GTGATAATTTTTCCCTCATTTTCCATCATAATTGTTCATATTTTGTTGTAAGCCTTTTCTATTTGCTATTTTTTGTATATTTGTTTGTTGAATGTTTGATAAATAAATTTGGAAAAAGTTCTTGAGTTTTTAATTCTTTCTGACATTGTTTTGAGCCTTGTATGTAAGCTTCTTCCCATAGTTTTGGCTTTTAGGTGAGCTTTAAAGCTGTCAGGCTTTGCCTCGTTGTTTGAGTTTTTTCCTAGATTCTCGATGTAAGAGCTTATTCTAAGCTAAAAATTTTCATCTCTGTTAGAGCTTCGAGTTCCTTCCTTTTGAAACCTATTTTCTCCAAAAAAACTCCATTTTACCTTTCTCCACCCATAATGTTCCACCATTCTTATCACAGCTTTAGCAATAGAATTTGTATTTTTTGAGGAAAGGCGTGCTAATGTTTTGTAAATATTTCTGTCAGAAAAAAATTTCTGTCATTTACTGTAAATATTTCTGTCATTTACAATAATAAGAAATCTAAAAACTAATGATCCTAAAATATTACTCGAACTATATAAAATATACGTATTACCCATAATAGAATTTGCATCGCCCGTTTTCAATCCATATCTTAAAAAGGATATCGAACACCTTGAACAAATACAAAAAACTTATTTACGTATTATATACAATAGGTCAAACCCACGCACACCAATCCCAGAATATCAAGACCTTCTACAAATTTTTAAGGTAGACTCGCTACAAATTAGAAGACTCAAAACTGACTTTAAATTTTTCCACAAAATTTTACATGGTGAAGTAAAAATCGATCAAAAAGAAACATTTAAAATTACAAAAACTAATACAAGGGGAGACGAATATAAATTTTTTATTCCGGCAAGATCAAATCAAATCAGCCATAATTCCTTTTTTGTTAGGACAGCGCGGCTATACTCTCAGTTACCAATATCAATACGTAAATCAAATTCCAAAATATTCAAAACACTTCTTGATCAAATAGATCTCAACACATATTTATCACGCCCCACACCCGTAACATAATACAATCACATATATTTGTTGTACCAATTATTGACATATATTTGTTTTAGTTTAATTTTCAACTTGACTTAATTTATTTTTTCAATCCATATATGTATTTTCAAATTTGTAATGTCGCCCAAGAGGCAAATAAATAAATAAATAAATAAGAAACTGCTGTCGATCTAGGCATATAAGAATTTTGATTTTAGATTGCTGGAATATTCCAAAATGAAGAGGCAAATAAATAAATAAATAAATAAGAAACTGCTGTCGATCTAGGCATATAAGAATTTTGATTTTAGATTGCTGGAATATTCCAAAATGAACACATTTTTGCAACGGCCTCGAATTCTTACAAAGAAAATTTAAAAAATTCTTTGAAAAAAATTTTAATTACCGCTAGCACAGTAAGGTCCTAAGAAAGCTCTGACTTTCTAAAAATACACAAAAAAATATTTTTTCTTTTAAATTTTAATTTACCTCTTTATGATACATTGAAGCAGCAACAGCAACTCCTTCAAAAGTATCGCCACATGATGCTGCTGATTGGAGTTTTTATAATTTTGATTTAGAATTTTAAAGTTTCAATTTGATACTCGATTCTTGAGAAAGGAGTTTTCAATAACAGTTTCTCCTTCCCTAATCTTCGACAATTCAATTAAAATGGAGCGGAAATTTCAAACTCGAATAATTGCCCTCCCCTCTATTTATTAACCCTCAATAATTACTCAGGGTAGTAATTTATTTAAATAACTTTAAACAATTTTGGAATAGTTTTCCCTTTTTTCCACCCACAAGAATGTATGTAAAATTGAGATCCGATTCAGCTGTAATTGAAATGTTAATTATTTGTGTACTTTTAAAAGATCATTTAAAATCCATGTGAAATACATATTTTATTAAAACAAAAGTTTTTTTTCTAAAGAATTTTTTATTTAAAAAAATCTTTAGCTTTCATTGACGTAAATTTCTATTTGTCTTTAACTTAATTTTTTAAGTAAATTTTTAACTCAATACTTAAACTCAATAAAAGCACTCTCATTCTTTCTTCTTGTTTTTTTCTTCGAAATTTTTGAAGACTAGAAGACTTTTTTAAATTTATTTATTTTTTCTAAAAAATCTTATTTCTATTCTTCTTTTTACTCTCAATTCTTAAACACATATTATTTCCAAACATTCTTTTCCTTTTTTCGATTATTTTCTTCAAAAATATTTTTTAAAATGATTTTTAAAATATTATTTAAATTTTAAAATAATTATTTCCATTCAATTTATATTTTAGTACATTTAAAATATAAATTTAATTTTTTAAAGTAAAAAAGTATTGTTCAATTTAATTTAAATAAAATGAAAATTTTTTTTATTTTATTGGAGCGTTAAAAATTTATTTTTCTTTTAAATTATTTTTTGAATATTAAGTAAAAACTGCTAAATAATATTTTATTTATTTTCCTTATAAAACAAACAAAAATAAAATTTTGTATTTTTATTTTTTCTTTAATTATTTTTATAATTAATTAACCATTTTTCTCATTTAAAAAAGACTAACCAAAATGCGTGTGGTGTATTTATAAATAAATATTTTTAGTGTCACATACATTTTTTTAAAAGGATTGTTTTATTTAATTATTAGAGAGAGAGAAATTTGTGAATTGATTTTATTTTTTAAATTTAATAATAAATAGACAAGTTAAAAATGAAAAAATTTTTTTATTAAATATTTTATTCAGAAAAAGATTTTTTTAAACTTAAATATTTTATACCAAATATTATCTTTCCAAAATTATCTCAAAAAAAATAAAATTTAATTATTAATTTATTTCGTTGTCTGGGTGATATTAATTATTTTTATAAAAAATTATTTTTCTTTTAATTTACCCCTTTTTCAGAAAATGAGCATTTTTAAAATAATTTTTATTTAATTCTTTTGACGTAAAAATGGATAAATTTTTTGTAAATTTATTTTAAGAAATTTAAATAAAAGTTTTATTGAAACTTTTTTTAATATAAATAATTGTGGTTTGAATTTTAAAAAATATTTCTAAGGGGTTAATTAATTATTTATGTATATTATTTTTTTTAGAAATTCTCTTCAAATTTTAATGAAAATAATTATTTATTAAATAATTTTTTAAAAATAAATAATTTAAAAGTGTGTTTGTTTGTGTCAGGCACTAGATCCATATATTCGTGTATAAATAGATGTGTGTGGATATTTATTTATTGCTTGCCCTATTGAATGGAATTTTTGGGGCAAATGGTTTTTTTTAAATATAGAAATCGATGCTTTAATGTTTTTTTTATTTTCTTCTTCCTCAAAAAGCTTTTTCTTTTTATTAAATAAAATGAAATTATTTATTTAGAATTTGTTATTTACAAATTAAATAAATAAATTTATTTAAAAAAATATTTATTTCGTCAGTTTTTTTAAATTAATATTTATTTTTAGAGTATATTAATATAATTAAATTAATTTAACTTAAATATAAATTAAACAAAAATTAACTTAAAAAAATCCTTTTTCTATTTACATCATTAATACATCATTTTTTCAAAATTTGTAAATAAATAAAAATATTAACCCAAAAAATTTTCTTAAAACATTTTTTCACTTTAAACAAACAATTTAAAGTTAGCACCTGTTTAGTTCGAGTTATCCACAAAAAAAGAAATTTGATATATTTTATTTATTTATTAACAACAAAACACGCAACAGAAAATCTTTAATAAATAAATAAATAAAAATATTTTCTTTTAAAAATTTCAAAAAAATTATTTTTAAATTATTTATTTTCCTTTTAGCAATATTTATATTTATCTATTAATTAATTCTTTTTAACTAAAAATATTTATATTTATTTTTTAATCTTTAAACGACTAGAAATAAACTAAAAGCAGAGGAAAATATTTTTTACTTTTTTTTATTTAATTGCGGATGGCCTCAATAGAAGAGGGTAACAACATTCATCAAAAACAACAACCCCCCTCAACTATTGGACGTGCCCAACAGCAAAAGTAAATAATTAATTTAAACAAAAAATAATTATTTAAATCTTAATTTAAAGCAAAGTGCCATCAGCACTTCGCCCCTTGCTGGAGGCATTTGCTCGCGAAACGTTACGATCTCAGCCAGCTGATTTGGTTAAATTTGGGTGTTGCTTTTTTAATACACTTGACAAACATTGTGAAAGTTTGTACAAAACTCCCCTCTCTTTCAAATATTTTAATTTAATTTTAAAGTAAAAACTCCAAACGGAATCGAAAATTTATTGAGTGGAAATAAATCAGCTTATAATTTATTTCGAATTGATTTACAAGAAAACTTCCAATTAATTACAAAAACGGCCAATTCAAATTTAACAAAAAACGGCGGTGGAGGGGGGTCCCCAGTTAATTGCTCTCGCCGCCACAACAATCAACAAAGGCCTAATAGTCCAATGGATATTGCTGCAACTAAAATACAAGCTGCATTTCGTGGGCATTTGGTTAGCTTTTTTTAAATATTTAAAATTAAATAATTTTGGGGAAAATAGTAATTTGTTGAATAAATTAATTTAAAAATAATTAACACCAAAATTATTAATTTTTGATTATTATTATTTATTCAAAAGCCCCTAATAAGCGAAAAAGGAATATTTTCTCCTAAAAACTAAAATAAACAGAAATATTTTTTTAAAAAGGATTTATTTTAAATAATTTTCTTTTTTTTTGAAAAATTGTGAGGGAGGAAGATAATGATTATATTTTTAGTAAAAGGATTCTTTCTCTTTCCTTTTTTTTAAATATTTGGATGGCATTTTAGAAAAGAAAATTGCTTTTTTTGTGACGGCATTACTTGGGGGCATTTTACACTGACATTCTGCCAGCCAACAAATTACTTTTTAAGCTTTTAGTTAAGACAAAAAAAGCTTTATTGTAAAAGGAAAAAATGCTTCTTCTTTTTAAAAATATTTTTAGATCAATAAATTTTTATTATAATTATTAAATAATCTTTTCATTTTAAATCTCTAAAATATTTTTAAAAAAATACCTATATTTTTCCCTAATTTCAATTAAAATTTATTTCCAGTTACGCTCTCACCCAGAAAAGTTTGGCTTGGACTCTACCAAAATCAACGGAATTTGCCAACGGCAAAGAATGCGTCGAAATTCGAATGAACGTCTAGCTTTATTTGATAATCGAAAAGATTTAAAGTATTTTTAAATTTAAAACAAAAATTTAAAAAATTCCTTTAGACGTCATTCTGTTGGTGGTTATAGCCACGCCCAACAATTAACAGCATCCCCTGAAGACCGTGCAGCAACAAAAATCCAAGCAGAAATTCGTGGGTATTTAACTCGAAAACATATAGAAAATGAAAAGAAACAAAACCAGACTGCCGCTACAAAAATACAGGCACATATTCGGTTAGAGAAAATAAATATTTTTTAAAATTGAAAATAATTTTTAGCGGGTATTTAACGCGTAAACACTTGGAAGAAAAAGGTGTTTTAGTTAGCCCTCCACGTTCTCGAACTTCTACAAATGCTCGTTCTGAAATGAAAAATGGAATTGATTTTTGAGAAATAAAAAAAAAAAGAATTTTTTAATGCTAAAATCAAATCTCTAGTAAATTTTTTTGGGATTGGAAAAATAATAAAATATTAGTTAGAGAGGTTTGATTGGTTGATTTCTCGATTATAACATTTTTTCTTTTGTACTATTTACATATTTCTTTTTTTTTAATTTCAAGCTTTAAATTTAAAAATTTCATTTTTTTATACCTATAAAATTTAAACTTTTCCAGTAACAAAAAAAACAAAATTAAACGGTTAAATTTTTGTTGAATTCAGAATCCAATATCCAATTATAACACACAGGGATGTAAAATCATTAAAAATTAAATCAACTATTCCTCTTGACTACCCCTTTCCTTTTCATAATGAGAGAAAATTTTTTCATCTTTCATTTTTGTGTCATTGACCATTTTATAACTTTTTTCATTTCTGACCTTTTTATTAAATTATTAAAAAGTTTTTTGGCACGAAGTGTTAAAATGCTAATTTTCGATTAACCAATTTTACAATTCGTTCCTTTTGTTTTGTCAGGAAGAGGGTTAATCAATTGTGATTTTGATCTTTTCCGTTTAAATTGCTTTTTTTTTATAAAATTTTGGAAACATTAAAAAAAGAAATGTCGGTAAAATCGATATAAATTGCGTGGAGATATTTTAAATAAATTTAATTATTAATAGTTTTTTTAGTTATTAATTCATTTATTATTTGACTCCTTTTAAATGTTAAGTGAAACAACTCGAAATAATTCTATTTTACCTGAGGAATCGACGAAGATTTTAATGTATCTAATTTTCTTTGAATTAAATTATTTTCAATTTCAAGGCAACCTTCAAGAATTCCAAATAATTCAGCAATTACCTCAACGCCTCAGCAAAATAATGGTGCAGACATGTCAGCAATTAATACACAGTAATTTTTAATTTTTTTTATTGAATTAAAAAGTCTGAACCCAATAAAATCACCCCCATTCCTCCCAAGGAAACTTCTATTTAGGTCAGTGGGACGAGTTATATTGTTGGTATCGTGATTTTAAGGGTCGATTCCGATTTTTCATCCGTCAAGAATTCTCGAAAAAAATTTTTCCGAATGAGTTCGTCGAGTTGAATCGAAAGATATTTGTTGAATTTATTCCTTTGTCAACTTTTACAACTTATAAAACCTTTCTTCATAATTTCAGAACTGTTACAAAGAAGAGAACACGCCAACAAACTGTCACTGTCGAAAATGCTTTTCCTTCCAAGGACATTGAAAATATTTTTAATCGAATTCAAAGCGTATTTTTTACTTTAATTCTTACTATTTCCCCCATTTTTCAGTCACCTGCTTCTGAAAATCAAATGATGGAACTTCAACGACAAGTCCAAATGTTTTTTATTCAAAAAGAGCGTGAATGGGAGAATAAACTTTCTCAAGTATTTTATTTTTAATTATAAATAGTTTTTGAAATTTTTTATAAATTTAGAGTAAGCCACCAGACAACGAAGAATTAGCTTTATCCAAAATTAAATTGAAAAGTGGACAGGCTATGATTTCTAGAATTGAAAACTTCAACAAAATACTGAAATCGAAAGGTACATTAACTTAAAAAATTGGAGTTTTTTGAGCTTTTTTCTGCAAATATTTGCGGACAACATTTGCGGAGATAGTTAAAATTCATCATCTAAACTTAAAATTATTTTAGGTCAACTCCTTGCTCGTTTAAGTAATTCAAATTCTTTCTTTAATGGCCAAAATTCTGTTGATGATGCTGGTGCTGGGACTCCTCGAAACGGTTATCCCTTATCACCTGGTCAAGTGGACGATCTGACAAGAGAAAGGAATTCTTTACGTGAAGATGTTGCAACATTGGAAAGTAATTATGCTGATTTGTTTAAACGTTATGAAAAAATGCGAGAAAATTGTGTTCTTCTAAAAAATGTAAAAAAAGTTTTTTTCTAAAAATTAAAAAGAAATTTTAGAGTGAAGAGGAATTAAAAAATGCTCAAGTTGAGGAAGCTACAAAATATGAAAATCTTTTGGGTAAATATAAAGAATTGAGAGATACTGCGGATTTTCAATTAAATCAGTTAATTTTTATTTAAAAATTAAAAAAAATTTTAATTTAAGAGCAAATCTAGAAATTCAAAGAATTATAAAACAGCACGAAGAAAATACTTTGGGGCTTAGATGTCGTTTAAAAATGAATGAGACACAAATACAAACGTTGAATTTGACAATACAAGGGAAGGTAAGGAAAATTTTTTAAATTACAAAAGTTTTACTTAGTGACCTTCAGAATTTTGGGACTGTTCAAATCTGAGAACTAACCTCAAAAATAACTTCGAGTCCCGTAGTTTTATTAAAATGAGAGAGTGTTAATCGATTACACAAGTATCAAAGCACCATTTTGGGTTCCTCTATTCACCATTAGCAAAAGTTTAATTTTAGGATTTTCGAATTTCAAAGTCAGTGACGGGGACAATCATGCAAATTTCTCCACGATTTTTCTTGACAAAGAGCCCCTATCACCAATTTTTTAATTACATTTTATTACTTAAAAACTAAAAATATATAATTCTTAGGATAAACAAATTGATGAATTAAATAAAATGGTTGAGGAGCTTATGGAAAAGAATGGAATTGCTGGGGACGGGGATGACCCTGAAGACGGGGAAAGTATGATTTTTACTCCTGGTTATGAATGAAAAGGAAATATTTTTGTTAAACATATAAATGATATACATATTCTTTTTATATTTGTATTTAAAAGACTGAATATTTTATTGCTTTTATGAGGTTTAAAAATTGAATTTTCTTTTAAATTTATTTAAAACATAATATCTTTAAATTATTTAAGAAAAAATATCTATTGTTTAATAAAACCAGACCATTTTTTAAATAAAAAAACTCGAATCTGACCACCACCGCTTTTTATTTTTCATATATCAAAAGAGTTTAGTTAATTTTCTGCCAATTTTTCGCAACGTATATTTTCATTTCGGTCACTAAGATTTCAGTTCGGTCATTTTTATCTTTAAAAAGGAAAAAATGTATTAATAAATTATTAATACATTTTTTTATTTAAAACAAAATTTTCACAGATGTATCGAAGAAGAGGTGGTTCATTAGAACAAGAATTAGTAATGTCATCACCAATATCAACAGGGACATCAGCAGATCCTTACCCTTTTTCTAACGGCCATAATCAATTAAAGTTTCCGAGTGAAGGATGTATTACTCGAGTGCCATTCTCTTCTCTTTGTGCATTTCTTTTTTGCCTTGGTGGAATTTTGCTTTTTAAGGCAATGATAATGTGGGCTTTTAATGCAACTATAGAACAAATTAGACGGTCACTTGGAATAACACAATTACCTTGGTTGGATAAGGTTTTTCTTGAAGATTTTTTTAAATGTATTTTTCTTTTTTTTTTAGTTTCAACTTTTATTAATAATTGCCTGTATTGCTATGTTTTTAATTTCTGCTGCTTTTCTACTTATCGGTATATTAAGTACTGGACAGACAAGAGAACATATTTTTCGTCAAATGCCTCGTTCTAGAAGAGGTGGCCGTATTTCTTGTATTTTAGCTATTTGTTTGGCTTCTTTACTTAATTTACTTTGGATAATTATTTTGGTATTTTTTTAAATTATTTTTTTTAATTTTAACTTTGAAGGCACTTACTGCTATTATGTGCTTTATTTATTCAATTTTTTCTTTTCTTTGTACAAATATTGGAGGAAATACATCTACCACAAAATCATGCTTAGATTTTAATTCTTTTAAGCCTTTATTTTTTTCTTCAGAAGACAATAGAGTTTGTCTATTTATGTTAATTTTAAAATAATGAAAATTTTCAGTCTTTACAATTCTGTGAAGGCCAACTTCAACAATTTTGTGCTTTAACAAATACAGTTGTTATTTGGTATTTTGTTGGACTTTTTGGAGCTTTAATTATTTGTTTTGGATTATTACAATTTATTGCTGCTAATTCTGCCAAGTAATTTTTTATTAAATTATTTTATTTAACGATTTTCAGTTATGCACATATTGGTAATGAGGCACGTTATGATGAACTTTTGGCTATTTTAAATTCTGAAATGGCCTGTGAAAGTTATCATTGTAGAAAACCACATAAATTTTCACCGCAGGAAAACGACAGATCTCGAGCTTCTTATAATACTGCTGATTATTACTCTCGAAAATTTGATTATAATTTACAGCAATTTCCACAAGGTAAACAATTTATTAATTCTAAAAAATTTCTTTTTAAGAAAATTATCGAAATGATGTCAATTATTCAACTGCTCCACCTTTAAAGCCTCGTTTAAAACCAAGACAACAAAATCAAAATATAGGTCAATCTACTAAACGTCATTCATATCAAAGTTCTTTAAACGGAAGTAATAATTGGTTAAATCGAACAAATGAACAAAAATGGAAGGAAGAATTGTATTAATTTAAATTAATTTTTGTATATTTGTAATTAATTTTAAAATTAATTTTTTAAGAAATTTCATACATCACTTATAGTAGATTTAATTTATAGGCTAAACTAGTTTAATAAATATTGTTTTAAAAACTGAAAGACAAATTTCAATTAAAGTTTAGCCTATTTTATTATCATTTATTGCTGCCATATTTATTCTTTTTTGCAATAATTCCCATATTTTTGATTTTTTTAAAATTCTTTCTGCTTTACTTTAATTGTACTTTAACGTTTTAAAAAATTATTTTAATTAATTTTAATTATTTTTTATTGATTGTAAATCGGAAATATATTTTTATTATCTAAATTTTTTTATTTTAATTTTAAGATTTAAAATGGCTTCCACAAATTTATTAAAAAGGGGAATGAATTTAAAAAGTAAATTTAGTTAAATTTTAATTTTATTTCTTAATTATTTTTAGAAAGCAGGCCAAAAAGCAAAGCTGAGAAACTTGCTGAACGCCAACAATGGATGTTGTCTTTTAATCACAATGATTTTGACAATCGCCAAGTCCAAAACGATGAAGATGATGAAAGTGTTAATAAAAAATTAAAAAGAAAAACTGCCAAAGCAGAGATGGAGGAACTTTTTAAAGATCTTGATGGTGAAGACTTAGAAGATGAAGAAGAGGTGGCAGATTTTTGTGATCAAAACAATGAAGATGGTGTTGATAATGAAGGAGACGACAATTTATCAGTTCAAAGTTCTGAAGATGATATTAACCAAGATGGACATTCTTCCAAAAATCTAGGTATTTAACTTGAAAAAATTTAAATTAGAATATTTTTAGTCGAATTTTTTAATACTTATGTTATTTAGCAATTTTTTCTTGTTTCTTAATAATTAAGCATTATCTAATAAACTTTTCAATCTATTTTGTTTTTGTTTTTTAGATTCACTTAATGAAAATGAAAGGCTTGCTAGTGATGATGACGTACCGCCCGAGGAATTTTCATCAAATATTCATGAAAATACAAATGTTGATGAACAAATTTCAAAAAAGAAGTCTCAAAATGTTTGAATATATTTAATTATTTACTTATATGTAATTTTAGGAAAATCCTCACCGAAAGAAAGCCTCAAAAAAGAAAAGGGATGCAATTAAACAAAAGAAACTAATGGAGACGGACGATGGAGTTTATCGAGTTCAGAAGGGGTAAAATTATAATTTTAATAATTAAAGTTTGCTCGCGAAGATTTCGTAACCTAATCTCTTAAATTTTGTTTGACCGTATTTTTGAGTTAATTTGTAATGACATAATATTTGTTATATTAGGTTGTAACATATTTAGTTGCCGTTTTTTTCAAGAGGGCATAAGGGCATAACATTCATATGGTAATTGCATGTTCTATATACCATTTTGAAGCCCTGGATCTGCTCTTTAATCTCATATATGGTCTTTTCACGTTCCATGTCTTATACTCATTTCAGAACCTCTAGAACACCCCTAACTCGTAAAGCATTTTTTGAGCTTTTGCGGAAAATTCTATAATTTAAACAGGAATAAACCAATCCAAGTGATTGGTTTATTTTCGACCATAACTCTTACTATCCTTAACAAAAAATTTTAAAATTTTAGAGGCTGTTAGAGGACAGTCTAATTAATATACGTACAAAAATTCATGATCATAGACTACAGATCCATAAAAATACACACCCCAAAACTTTTAATAAAAACGGCAACTAAATATGTTACAACCTAATAATTGGAGCCAAATTTTGAATTTATTATTTTTCCATATTTGCTCAAAAATCCCTTCTGTTTAGTCGAATAGGTTTACACATCTCATTGAATTTTTCCATCTCACTTATTGTTAATGGAAAATTCGAGTAAATATTTTTTAGTTTAAAATTTTTTAAATAATGTTTTTATATATTTTAGCGTTACTCAATTTGAAATTGTATCTTTGGACAAAAGAAATGCAACCAACACAGACAATGAATCAGAAACTGATGAAGAAGATGAAGGGTCTTTAATATGTTCACCTTCTTTTATTCCTCTTGATGACAATAAAAAAATTAATAAAAATAAAAAAGTTATGGCACCTCCAAATATTGGATTTAGAGAACAATTATTGAGAATATCTACAGCAAATAAAAGGAAAAAACGACGTTAAAGTTTGAGATAGAAATTGAATGAAATGTTAATAATTTTTTGGTTAAATAAATTTTATTAAAAAATATTTTTTTTAATATATTTATTGGGATTTTATTAACCATTTATTTTTTTAATTTTTAAAATTATATTAATTAAATTAGCATTTATTTTAAGTTCTCAAAAATATTTATTTTTAAATTATGGAATTGTTGGCATCACTTAGCGTATCTTCAGATGCACCGGAAGGTGCGGAGCATCCACGCTTAGCTGGTTACAAAAATTTAGGAAAATTTGAAGAAAATCAAAGACAACGACGTTCTGATGACATGCAAAAACGAAACCAGTAAATATTTATTAAATAAATAGTAAAATAAATTTAGAGATTCCTTGTCATAGGTACAAATTTTGTTTGTTTATAATCGCCCTTAACAACTTTATTTTTAGGAGTCGTGATGATTGGGTTATGCGTGGAAGGAATATTGAAGAAGATGAAAATATGGAGGAATTGAATCCAGAACAAGTTAATCCGTTTGCTCCACGTCCACGTCGCAAATGTCATTTTAAGGACATGCTTATGTTTAGTGATTGGCTTGTTGATATTCCCGGTTTTTTTTTACTAAATATTTTTTTATAAAAAAATTATTCATTTAGAAACAATGTCAAGTGAATGGACTCTTATGGCTGCTCCCATCGGACGCCGTTGTTTGGTTGTTGGACATAGAAATAAAACTAATATTTTTTATAAAAATGGTATTTTTTAAACAATTCAATTATTAAAAATTTTTAAAGGATATCTTTCTCTTCAATTTGAAAGTACTTTGCCTGGTGGAGGGCCTGTTCATCCTGAATGTTTTGTTTCTTTTTTAAAAATTTTTTTAAATTTATTTTTTAAGCTTTAACGATTTTGGATTGTATTTGTGAAAGTAAAAGAATTACTAAAAATTCAAAATTTTATGTTCTTGATTGTAAGTTTTTTTTGAAAATTTTTTTTTATATTTTTTAGTATTATGGTGGAATAATAAGATGTACACAGACTCAGATTTTACTGTGCGGCAATTTTTTATGCGCTCTAAAATTGAGGAATTAAATATTGAAAATAAAAATGCTAATAAAGCCAATCAATTTATTCCATTACCAACTTGCCCTTGTTTGCCAGAAGCAATGGCTGAATTTATGAAAACTGAATTTCCTTATGAACTTGATGGATTACTTTTCTATTTTAATTCGGTTTTTAAATTTAAAAATTATTTTAGAATTTATTTTAGGGATTTTATATTTCCGAACAAACACCTTTAGTTGGTTGGCTTAAACCTTGGATGTTACCAGGTATTTTTATTAAATGTCCAAAAATTGAATTCATTTTTAAAAAAACCGTTATTCTCTAGAGTTGGGGTTCCCGTAAAATTTTTAATAAACTGAACTTTTTGTTGACCACGAATTTTTCCTAAAAATTTCGGTTATAAAGTTATTTTTACAAAAGACTTTGTATTCTTATTACTAATTTTTTTATTAATTTAAGAAATTCTTGGTGTTCCAATTCCTGAATATCTTCAACGAAATCAACATTCTCAAGTAATTCTTTATTTTTTATTTTAAAAAATAATTTTTAATTGAGGATTTTATTCAAGATTACAACAGAACTTTTGGTCATTTAACTTCAACACAAATAAAAGAAGAAAAGGAAAGGAAAAGGCAAGAAGATGAGAAGAAAAGACAAAAAAAGGCTGAAGAAAAGAAAAAACAAAAGGAGGAAAAGAAGAAAAAATGGGAAGAAGAGAGAAATAAAAATAATTCTGATAAAGTATTAGAAGAAAATATGGATTTGGAAGAAGATAATAATGAAATTAAAATGGCTGAGAATGCTAAAATTGATAATGATGACATTTAAAAGTGCAATTTTATAAATATCAGAGAAGCTATTGAACGTATACTGTTTTTAGTATTTATATACCTTAGTGTGTGATTATGTTTAGAACTGCTGATAAATTATTTTTAGATTATCAACTACAAAAATGATAACAATTTATTTCGTTTGATTTATTTTAAAGAGTTTAAAAGATAATCAGTTTTTCTAAACATATGCACACTGTTGTATGATAATAATAAAATGACCAGATTAAATTTTTATTAGTTCAATATTTTAAATTTAAAATATCTGAAATAATACACAGTATTAGCAAATACTAACTTTGATCGACTAGAACTTTTTATGCCTGATCTACGATTATTATCCTATAATTATCCTAAATCATTCGAAAGCCCTCGATGAGCGGTATTTCTAAATTACTGGAACAGATGATCACTCGTTAAAAAGTTTATGTCGATATTATGTTATCTTAATATCCTAGACCCTACGGCTATTCATTAGCACTTAATTGGTTAGTAATTAATAAGGCTGTGATAGTTAGGCAAGTAAAATCAGTGAAATAGGCGCCTAAAATAGGCACCAAAAAGCCGAAAAAGGCACAAAAATAGGCATGTAAAAAAGGTTATTAGACCATAAAATGGAGATAAAAACAGAAAAAATAACCATTTAATCGTCATTTTTTAAATTATAAACTATTTTTTAAACAATTTTACCATTTATTCGTCATTTTGAATCATTTTTTGAAAAAAATGGAGTAAATTTTTTTAAAATGTCGATAATTGACAAAATGGAAATCTCGCCCAACACACAAAACGCCGCACCCCAAAACGTCCCAATACCAAATCGTCCCAGTTCAAAATGTCCAACAGAGTAAAAATAAACAATTTATCGAACTAAAAATCAATAATGGGACTTGGCTCCTATTTTTTCTAATTTGGGACTGATTTTTTTAGAGTTTGCACTGATTTTTAGGCAAAATTTCGAAAAAATCGCTAAAAAAGGCAAAAATAGTACCAAAAATTTCAAAATAGGCAGAAAGGCACAAAAAGTCAAAAATAGGCAGAAATAGGCAAATTAAAAGTCATGCTAGACTTATCGGACCAAGCTAAAAACACGTTTTTTGAACGTATTACATCATCCCAAGCTTGCAGAAAAAATAGGCATTTGCCTATAAATCACAGCCTTAGTAATTAATTATTATTTAATTATTAGTAATCATCAATTAATTATTAATAATTAAGGCTGTGATTTATAGGCAAATGCCTATTTTTTCTGCAAGCTTGGGATGATGTAATACGTTCAAAAAACGTGTTTTTAGCTTGGTCCGATAAGTCTAGCATGACTTTTAATTTGCCTATTTCTGCCTATTTTTGACTTTTTGTGCCTTTCTGCCTATTTTGAAATTTTTGGTACTATTTTTGCCTTTTTTAGCGATTTTTTCGAAATTTTGCCTAAAAATCAGTGCAAACTCTAAAAAAATCAGTCCCAAATTAGAAAAAATAGGAGCCAAGTCCCATTATTGATTTTTAGTTCGATAAATTGTTTATTTTTACTCTGTTGGACATTTTGAACTGGGACGATTTGGTATTGGGACGTTTTGGGGTGCGGCGTTTTGTGTGTTGGGCGAGATTTCCATTTTGTCAATTATCGACATTTTAAAAAAATTTACTCCATTTTTTTCAAAAAATGATTCAAAATGACGAATAAATGGTAAAATTGTTTAAAAAATAGTTTATAATTTAAAAAATGACGATTAAATGGTTATTTTTTCTGTTTTTATCTCCATTTTATGGTCTAATAACCTTTTTTACATGCCTATTTTTGTGCCTTTTTCGGCTTTTTGGTGCCTATTTTAGGCGCCTATTTCACTGATTTTACTTGCCTAACTATCACAGCCTTATTAATAATACTTAATAATTAGTACTTAATTACACTATTGGTGTAATTAAGTACGATATATTATATAGGTATGTGTATATTACCTCCTTCAGTCGATCAATAACATTAACATTGTTTAATAACATTCCAATGTCCTTTATCAAATTCTCGATCTTTTATTTACAACCTTCAAAAAGCAATTCACTCCGATTATTAAATATATATATATAATCACCGCCGCAATCTAACATAGAAATGATTCGTATTATATGTACATTCCTACCTATACAAAAAAATTTGTTTAACAATCTACATACCTATTCATGCATTCAAAAATGTTTCTTAAATTATTACAGTATTTTAAATCGTCCATATTAATTCTCTACTGTAATAATTAACCCTACAAAATTTTTTATGTAAATACCTATTTACACTTAACATAAATAGACAAACGAAAGCAAAGAGGCCCCACATGTATTAACAATCAATTTTGTTTATTCTCCATCTAGTTGTTTTTATCTAATCATTTTTGCACAATCGTCTCCTCATATAGAGAAATAATTGATAAAAAGAACACTCTCCATATACCAGAACCAACGCAACCAATTAAAATTATCTGAAATTTCAAAGCATAAACTTCTGAAACCTGAATGCTCTTTTCTCATTAAAAATAACTTCAACTTATTGTTAAACAAGATCGGTTAAGGTCAACTATATAATTAATTACAAGGAAGAAAAAAAGTGGTGAAAAAAATGAGCCGCACCAGTTGTCTATGCTGGATCGACTGTCACGGACGTGGCAAACAAAGTTCTCTTTTAGTTTAGTAACATAGAAAGATTAAATGTGGAAAGAGTTATTGGTAAAGATACATACAAATTCTTTTTGAACACTGACAGACGGTCTCTCTCAACATTAAGATCAATTCCTCTCTAATTCTTTTGTGAAAGGGAGAGATTGCGAATGAATATCTAGAGTATTGAAGAATGAAAGGAAAGTTTTGCTCTCATTGAGCGGAAGAATTAAGTTAGAGAATTTAAAATATTTTGGGAGTTTTATGTATAATATTTTGGGTTTCCATCTCTATTTCTCTTCGCTGAAATTTGGTCAATGCTACGGACACTAGTACACCATCCCAATCTATCCTCCCCTATTTTTCCATCTAAACAGTTCGTTTAGTATAAAGGGCAAACCTCGACGACCACTTCCTCCTCTAATATCTATTCTTTTCCTTTCAATATTTTAGTCAATCACCACAGCATTAGTGGTCCGTCCATTACCAAGTGGTATCGAACTACGTATTATCATTGTATTCGAATGGAATTAGCGAAGAAGAGGATGAAAAAGAAGGGAATTTGGAAGAGGAAAGGAAGGCAAAAGGACTGTCTTTTTCACTATATAACCCCCTTTACGAAAATACATACTACATTCCAATGCATCAGCAATGTCCCCCAACTCATAGGCAAAAATCGGGGGTCTTCCTCCCCAATTCAATCTCGTCTTTTTCCTCCTACCCCTCCTCGTCCACGACTTCCATCTCCTTCATATATACACCTATCGCCCCATTCACCTTCACCAACACACACACAGTTCTTCCCCCTCCTCCTCCCCGTCGCTTTCCACACATCCAAACGAATCCCTTTCCTCCCATATCAGTCAAGTCATTCATTCCTTGCTTACTTGCCTCATTTGCTCTCTAAAGGAATGAACGGTCTAAATTTGTCTATAATAAAGGTAATATTTTTGTTTTAATATTTTTAAATAATTATTTCACAAAATTAAAAGCAATTTTGGTTTATTTTTATTTAAAAAAAATTTATTTTAAATTGTTATTTCAAAAGAAAAAATTCTCAAAAATTTTGTGGCAGGAGGACGGGGTCTGGCTTGGTTCTCATCTAGTATAATACTTAGAAAACTGATGAGATCATACCAGATCACATTCGCTTGTTATTCAAAATAATACTTCTAAACAACAAAATTGCTTGTAGTTAAGTTTTTATTTTTTTAAATTATTTTCCTAATTTTAGAGGGATACAAAAAATTATTTGAAGGAATATTTCTAGAAAATTTATTTAAAATTTATTTAAAGCATTCTTTTTCTTAATTTATTTGGATTTTGTGTTGGAATTGTTTTTGATATTTTTCCAGTTGGACATCCTCCCCTCTTCTGTTGTTGTTGTCGTCTTTGATGTTTAGCATTAAGTTTTGGGCTATTATTGCCTGCAGCTGATGAACTAGTCGATAATGTTACTTTTTCCTAAAAAAATTTAAAATAATTTTTAAACCAAAAAATATGTATTTAGAAAGATTAATTATTAATGATAACAAAAAAAGTTATGGTTTCTCGTTACTCTTGCCTCATAAGTTTTGGGCTATTATCTTTTTTTGGGCTATATGCAAATCTAACATTATATGCTCGAATAATTGCCCCCTCTCAAATAATTACTCCGTATAGCGAGAGGTTGAAATAATAATTACCCAGGGTACTTATTCGAGCATATACGGCACATTGTCTAAATGCAAATCTAACAACCTCCGATAATATTTTGGGTTGGGTAGTTAAAGTAAATAAGTTCTTTAAAAATTCCAAAAAACAATTATTTACAATACCTGATCAGTTTTTACACTAAGTAAATCCTCTTCATCCACAATTCCATTATTATCTCCCTCTTCTTCCTCCAAAATAATTTTTCTTTTCAAAGGTTTTTTAATTTCATTATTAAATTCTTCCATTAAAATTTCATTTCCTCCCTCATTTGTTGTTCTAGTAAATAAACCTCCACCAAAATCTTCTTCTTCCCCAATTATTATATCTTCATCAAATTCTGATTCATCACTTCCAAAATCTTCACGAACTAATTTTTAAAAATAATTATTTATTTTCTTGTATTTTAATTAACCAATTATTCCAATTTTTTGTCCTAACCATCTAGCTTTTTGAACTACATCATCTTGCATTAATTTAAAACACATTGCAATTAATGCCATACCAAAAAGTAAATAAAGAGCACAAACCTTTATTTTTGAAAAGTTTTTTTTAAATTATTTTATTTGGTGATAAATAGGGTTGCCGGCCCGGTCCGAAAGAAATTTTGGCCCAAAAAAGACTCGGTCGGGCCGGCCCGATAAAAATGAAGCCCGAAAAAGATGACTCGAACGTCTGCCCGACTCGAAAACGGCAACCCTACATAGTTATATTTAATTTACAATTAATTTTTCTTGGGAGCCTTCATCCAATGACTGTCCAGGCACTATATCTCCAAATCCAATTGTGCTTAGGGTTATAAACTAAATAAATTATTTAATTAAATATTTTATTTTAAATATTTTACAGAATAATAAGCTCCATCAAAAAAATTCCAATCCTCCCAAATTGAAAAAAGAACAGCACCCCCAGCAATAAATAAAATTACAGTAATTATTCCAACAGAAACGGGCATCTTTTCTCTGTGAATTCCACCACCACCCATACTTGGATTGCTTGGAATAGTCCCTCCTTGCCCGATACCGATACGTCTTGAACGGAGCGATTCTGAATCACTTCGAAGTGATCTAATTTCGAGTCTAAAAAATATTTATTAAAAATTAATGGAGAACGAGGACTCGCTTGTGGGCGAGTCCTCGTTCTTCATTAATTTTAAATATTTAAAACCTTTTATTTGAAGACCCCCCACCTTCACTTTGCTCTTTTTGACTTAAACTTCTAACAATAGAAAGTTCTGTTATTGTTGTTGAATCTGGTCTATTTTGTTGTTGTTTATTAATTATTTTTATTTTGTTATTATTTTCAATTAAATTATTTAAATATTCTTCCCCTTCCCCTTCACCTTCCTCCTCTTCCAATTCCTTTAAATTTAAAGGATATTTCTTTTTTAATTCCTCTTTTTCATCTTCATCATTTTGTAGTTCTTCTTCATCGTTTGATTGTATTGCTGATAACTATTTTTATTTAAATTAAAGGTTAATTCTGCAATATTTAAAATATAATTACTTTATTTTGTTTAAATTCTCCATTATTATTTACATTATTAATAACCCTAATTTTAGGTAATTGTTGTTGTCTATTAGTTGGGAAAGGGGTTGAAGGTTTGTTAACATTTTCTTCATTTTCTCCATTTTTTAAACGTTTATTTCGAATTAAAGAACCAACATTTGCTGGAGTACTTAAAAATAAATTAGTTATTAATGAATATATGTCCAATCAAAATCAAAAGAAATTGAGAGAAAATATTTGGAACAAGTAAGCTAAATTATTTAAAAATTATTTTACTTATTCTGTTCAGAACCTAAACCATGTCTGTTTTAATTAAAAATTAGTATGTATAGACTGTTTCACAGACCAATAAATTTAATTTTCTTTTTTTTTTAATTTTTACCTAAATTTTTTATTTGGTTTCCCAATTCTGAGTGATTGATTCCTTAAAAGAGGAACTTGTTGTAATGAACGTGAAGGTTTTATTGAAGATTCTCTGTCATTAACTAAAAGTTCTTCGGATTCTTCAAATTCTTCTTCTTCTTCTGTTATTCCTTGTTTAGAAGGTTGGGGAGATAAACGGTGTTGTTGTTGAGATAAAATACCCAAAATTTAATTTTTAATTATATCTTTTATTCATTCCCTTCCCCTCACATTACCTCCTGCTCCTCCTCGACTACTTCCACCTTTTTGACGACAACATTTTCCTAATCCAAAAGTTGTTGCTGCACTTCTAGGCCCTCCAATTTTTTGTTTTCGTCTTTCGTAAGAACAACTTGATGAACTCATTGAAGATGGCATCTTTACAACAAAAGGGGAGGAAGGGGGTAGAGGAGGTTGTTCCCCAATTAAATAAGGCTGCTCTCCCCCGTTTAAATGAGTTACTGCTATATGCTTAAATTAAATATTTTAGATATTTAAAAATATTTTCTAACTAACCCTTTTTTGAACACGTCCATGTAAAAAGGTATTCCTTAAATGGATAAATTAAGTTTAATCTCCTCTACTATTTTAATTATTTTTTCTTACTTTTTAAGTAACAATTCCTCTTGCTGTAAGGCTGGTATTCTTCCAAAACTTGACTTTCTAATTCCTCCTTTATCAGTATGAAAAGACTTCCAAGATTTAATACTCTTTGTATCCCCTCCACCTCCTCCTCCACGTCCACCTCTAATGCTTAAACTAGCATTACGGGCCAACATCGAATTAAATCGGCGAGTTGCCGCGCGACCGGAATGAACTTTTGTTTAGATTTTTGAAATTTATTTAATTAATTTTACCTCTCCGAACATTTACGGGGGCATTTGGGTGATATCTAATTGTGAGTGATTGACATTTAACTCTATGTCTTTCTGCTTGCCAACGACAATAGGCACAACAGACTTTAAAATATAAAAAGGTAAAGACTTGTGCTAAACTTTCAGCAATATTTGCTAAACATAAAAGCATTAAAGGAATTCCAAATGTTGCGTAAATAATTGTTAATCCACGTCCCAATGGAGTTTTGGGGCAAATATGTCCGTAACCTGTTTAATTTTGAATTAAAATTTAAAAAATTGAGAACACATATACTTTCTAATAATTAATAAAAACTAAAAATAATTTAGTGTTTGAAATGTTATAAAGTTTATATAAGCTACATATCTGTGTTTATATCTTAAATGGATAGTTAATCTTTCAAACCCAATTAACAAAGAGTTGTTATTCAATTAATAAAATTATATTTCTTTATAAATTTTACCAATAGTTGTAAATACAGTAATGGAATAAAGTAAAGCACCAGAAAACTAAAAAATAATAATTTTTAAAAATATTTATTAAATTACCGTCCATTGAAATTTTAATTTATTTTCATTATCCAAATTCTTTTCATCATAACCCTCATAATTTACTGCAAATACAAGTTTTTGTTCATATTCTTTATAAAGTTTATGTGCTTCTCTTTTTAAATCATCCTCTCTAATTACTTCACTTTTTTCAATATATTCATAAAGACGATGTACTAACTGTTATTTAAATTTAATTTAAAAATATCTAAATTTATTTACTTCCCAAGTATCATTTGCAATATGTCCTTGAAATTTTTGTTCTTCTTGATATTCAATTGCTCGAAACATAAATGCACCTTTTTAATCTCTTTAAATATATCATTAACAAATAACTACCTAATACAGCATAAACAGCTACAAGAAAACATAATCCAACATGCGAAATTACAAAAATAACAAGCTAAAAGTATTTAAATTAATTATTTTAAAGATTGTCTCATTACCTTTTTGCTAACTAATGAAGTATGAATACAACAACTTCTGACACTTCCAAGAATTGACATCCAAAATTTTATTAAGAAACCAAGAAGTTTTTAAAGGAAAATGTTATTCTTTTTGTTCTCTATAAAAATCCAAGCTTTTTCACTTAAAGTAAAATATATGTAAACATTTTAAGACAACAAAAATGGCTTAAACCGGATGAAAAAGAACACGGACTTCCTGAATTTTTCTTTTCTAGTAAAAACTAAAAAGGAAGAGAATAACAATGTTGATTGATGACAATAACACAAATAAAAATTTCAAAACTCTCTAGGGATTGAGGAAAACTCTGACTACATACTTGCTTTGATTGTGAAAAAAAATATTTTTTGTAGGGAATTTTCTTTAAAAAATATTCCAATTTAATTTTTATATACTAACAAATAAAAAATAATAATAACGAGTATTTTAAAAATAAAAAATAATTTAAGAGGGGAGATCAATAAAATAATGTTAGCAAAAATATGTAGGTAGGTCAAAAATTTAGTAAAAATAAGGCAATTTAAAACCCCCAAATCCTCGTCCAAATTTCATTCATTATTTTCACTTTCAACTTCTTTTTGTTCAAGAATAGGTATTTGTTTTGAATGAATTTGAAAGCGTCTAAACATTTTCTCTAAATCCTCCAAATCATTTCGTACTTTTTCTCTCATGTAAAATATTGGGCAATCCCGGCTAGCACAAAAAACCTCGTCTTGTAAAAGACCCGCACAATTTTGACATTCTGTCCATAATCTACTAAATCGATGTTCGGCAGAACGAATAGCAACAATCTTTTTAAAAAGAAGAGAAAATTATTTTTAAAAAATTAATTACAAACAAACTTTCTCTAAATAAATTTCTCTCATCTTTCCAACACAATTTGAACACGTTGCTGGTGCTTGTTCTTCTTTAAAATTCATTGGTGCTTTACATCCTAAACATGTTGCTTTCTTTACCAAATATCCAGCCATTAAACCACTTTTTAATTTAACCATTGTTTTTTTCTTTGTGTGATCTCCACCTTTAAAATTAAGAAAAAATAATTAAAATAAATATAAAATTAAAAACTAGTAAAAATTTGTTCTGCTCGATTATCCAAAAGTGGATCAAAAATACGTGCCATAGGCTTTACAAGTTGATGCTCCAAATAATAGGTCGTATCAATTGGAATGTTATTTTTAAGAACCTTTAATTTTTATAAATTTTATTTTTTCCCCTCAATTTCTTGCTATTTTCTTACCCATATTGGATCTTCTGCTTTCTCATATGCTGGAACATTTGCTCCTTTATTAATAATTACATAAGGAACACGATCACCAAGACGAGGTGCTGACCCGGGATCGCGTTTACGCATTCGTTCAGCTAGTTCCACATGTGCTTGTTTTGCTGCATATTTCTTGAATTAAAAAAAATAAATTTAAACATTTTTCAGATTTTCTACCTCGCCTTTTTTAGTCAATTCTTTAGTTATTGTAAGCATAGAAATATCTATACGGTCATTTAACAAATCAGAAATAACACCCTTTGCATATCTAATTGCTCCATCTTTATCTCGTTCAATTAACAATTTTTCTAAACAAGAATTTAATACACAAGCAACTAAAGGGCAATTATCTCTCCGAACAGTTTCTAACTTTAAAAACAATTTTTAAATTAATTTTTAATCAATTAAATAGCCTACCCCTTTACAATCCATTTTATCATGTTTTTCCTCTTTAGTCCAGAATAATCCAGCATAACGTTTTTTATTTATCAACAAATAAGGGAAATAAACTTTTTCAAATTCCAATTTAATTGGTTTCAGAAATCTTTTACTAATTTCTTGTGCAGCATGTTTCCCTAAAGTCATTGCCTCTCCAATTGTTTTAACACCAAATTTAACCATTACAGAATCTGTATCTCCATAAATAACTTTTGCATCAATAGGGCAAAGACCATCAACCGCCCCAGTTTTGTAATAACCTTGAAAAATATAACTTTTTTTAAAATTAAAAGTTAAAAAAGTTACTTTCAACTTCTTTCTTTGTTAATTCAATCATTTGTCGTCCAAATGCTGTAACAGATTGAGCAACTTCAGAACATGGTAATTTTCCTTTAGAAGCACCAGTAAATCCATAAACAGAATTAGCACTTATTTTTAATGCTAATTGTCGTCCATCTAATACCATTTTTCTAAATTAATAATTATTTTATTAAATTTCTTTTAAACTTACTTTAAAGGGTCAGTTTCCTTTTTCAGAGCCTCTTTTGCCTTTTTTCTAGCTGCCAATAATTCTTCAAGTACTTGAGGTAATAATCCTTTACGATGCTTTGCTGAAACAAAAAGATCCCCAGAAGGAGTTTTTATATAGTCAACACCCTCTACCATTCTTTAAAAATAAATTTTTAACAAATATCAAAAAATATACTAACTCATTTTCAGGTGGAGCAGTTTTCATTAAAGTTGTATAACAAAGATTGTGAGCAATCATAATTGACGGATACAGCGAAGCAAAGTCTAAAGTAGAGATAGGCTCGTTGTAAAAATCACAGACTGGTTCAATAACAGTAGCACCTTCATATCCAATTTCATCTCCGCCATCCCCCACATCAATTACTGGAAGGAAAATGTTTTTTTCTCGAGTCTTTGAAAATAATTAATTATTTAAATTGTTTAACTGTTAAAACCTTTCGAATTAACATGGAAAGAATTTTAACTTGTTGTCCTCTTGAAATAAGGAAACTTAAAGGAACACCAGTAACACGAGCCATTTCCATATAATTAATAAAAAGCATAAGTTTATCCAACAAACGGATAGGCAAATAAGCATCTTTCATACAATAAACGGCTAAACGTCTTCTATCCTTCGCAGTTCCTGCCTTTAAAAGATAATAATTTTAGATGTTTAAGGGAAGGAAACCTGAAGTTCGGGTATAAAATTATAAGCAACATCCTCCTTCTGCTCTCCAAGAAAGAAATAACTAACATTATTTAATGTATAACTACGAAGTTTATAGTCACGTAATATCAACTAAAAAATACCTAGATATTTAATACTATATTAAAAACCAACTTGTAACACATCAAATATAATACGTCCATCCATTGAACACATTTTATTTACTCGATTACCCATTTGTTTTGATTGAAGACTGACATCCCTTTGTTTGCAAATATTACCTTTAACACGACTTAAGTAACAAACACGTCCATCAATCTTAATTAAAAAATTGGAAAAAAGTCATTAAAAAGTTAAAACCTTCAAATGTTTTGCTCGATCCATTATATAAGGCAAATCAAAATTTTGAATATTATACCCAGTAATTACATCTGGGTCAACAGTTCTAACAAAATCTGACCATTTAGAGAGTAGCTCCACTTCATTACGACATTCAATTACTTCAGACCCAACAATCGATTCACAAGTTCCCAATACAAAACAATTACGAATAAAAGGCTCTGACTCCCCTTCCAACTTAACCATATTTGCAATTTGAATAATTGGATCTCGGGAAGCATCTGGGAAAGTCCCTAAAAATATAAAATATTAAAATTAATTTAAAAATAGGGCAATCCACCTTGTTGTCCCAAACATTCAATATCCAAACTCAATGTTCGTAATGGTGCAACACCTGACCATTCATGTGAACTTGCATCGTGAGCTAATAAGAAATCAACAGAAATCATTAACTTAATAAAATAATTAATGACTAAATTCGAATTAAAAACTTCGAATTGTGAACAAGTTGTTTGTTTGTTCTCTGGGACAATATCGTATTTACCAGAAGGGCATTCAATCCAACCGCAACCAACAATCCCTAAGTCAGCCATAAAACAAACCTAAAAAGTAATAATAAATTATTTAGTAAATCTCCAACTTCATAATCCAAATTAGATTCAAATGCATGACAACTTTCTGTTCTTTTTAAATCAACTGATTCTGAGGCAAGCATTTTGTCAATAAGATATAAGGCACCTCGGCCTGAAACATAAAAGATATGTAAAAGCTGTCTTTAAACATACATGCAGTAAAAAGTCGATGAGAACTGATAAATATTTTTAAAAAATTTCTTTTAGTATTTGTGTTGCTGTAATAATATAGGCTCGATCCTTGTACAATTTCAATTCCAGTCACCGTCCCCAAACCCCCCTTAATTTTATTGAATTTTAACAAGTTTTAATCAGAACCTTGATATGCGAATTTAAAAGCTCAATTGTTTTCTGTATATGTTGTGCACCAAATGAAGGTGGAACGGATGCAAAGAAATAAGGTCGATATCCAAAAACACAAACAGCTACTGAGTTTCCCTTATCTGTTACACCAAACAAACGCATCACGACAGCATTTGATTCTAAAAATAAAACGGTGTTTAGATTATATTTATGCAAACCTATAAATGAATCAATATCCATAAGTTGAAACAGCACAGGCTTATCGTTTCGACCATCCTTTATCAAACTATTAACTTCAGGGCGTTCCCAGTATGTACGAGCTACAAAACGTTATTTTCAATTTAAATTTAAGACGAACCTCGGTTAACTGTCCCATCGCTAAAAACTTAAGAATATTATACAAAATTATAATAACTTGTTTACCTGCTTGGCCCTGCATTATCATTCCCACCATTTAAAGCTCCTCCAAGTGCTGCCAATTTATTCACAAATCCATTTTTGTCATCCTCTGGCCTAAAAAATTAAATGACAAAATAATTAAACAAAAACAGACTTTGTACGCTTTGCATAATGAATGGGACGTGGAGCAGACCTTTTCTTTGGAGAAACTTTTTTCTTAGGTGACATAGAGATAAAATACTACAAATATTTTAACTAAAAGTGAAATGTCTAAATTTATAAAAATTAATTTAACAAAATATTTTGAATTAATACAATTCAGTATATTGGTAGAAAAAAATTATTTATTTATCAGGAAAAAAAATAAAAAGATTAATGACTAGATATTTATGGACAAAAAAGATTACTTTCATTTGTAAAAATTAAATGAGATCAATACAACAAAGCTCGAATTTTGGCAGCTTCTTTCTCTCTAAAACAAATATGAAATAAAAAAATTATCTCAAATATACTTTTGTTTGTGATGTGAATGAGATGACACAGGTTCAGGCCCAAACAATTCATTATAACTACAAAATAACTGTTTTAAAGGTTGATCAATTGTGTCCTTAAAATTAAAATTATAACAATTAAAAAAAGTAAAAACAAACAGAGAATTGAGAACTACAAATTCTTTTATTTTCGTGTTTTATATTATTTCCGGTATATGCCTAAAAAATTAAAAATTAAAACAAAATTAAAATACACAAACAATGCATTTAAGTTGCCAGTCCCCAACTTCTTCATTCCAATTAACAAATTGTTCAATATAATTCATTTGATTATCGGGAATAAAACTATCAATAACAAGGTTTGCATAAAGCAATTCTCTCTGTAATTGTCTAATGCTTTCAAGGAGAGATTCTGTTTCTCGATGATGTTCCATTTCTTGATCTTGTAGTTCACTCTTTGCTTGCATATATTGAGTCCAAACCTTTAAAAACAATTTTTTATTATAATACTTCACCACACCTTTTTCAATTTTTTATTAAGACTTTGGGCTTGTTCTTGTAAACTATTACTTTGCTCTCCAATATCAATTTGTTCAGCCTGTTGGCTACGTAATCTCTCATTGAGAACTTGTTCAGTCTAGAAAAATAAGAATTAAAACTATAAAAATTCCGTACTTGTCGAGCATGTTCCAAATCTCTACAAATAAAATTTAAATTATAAACGGAATATTTGAATAAAAAATACCTATTTCCAGCATCTAACAGTTGTGCTTGTCTCTCCGCCTTCTCAATCATATTTTCCCCTCCTACAATTATTTGTCTTTCAATTGCTACTAATTTATGCATTAATTTTTCCCTTTCGCTTTTATTCCGCTTAAGCTCTTCTTCACGACTTAAAAGGTCATCAACCAAACGTTGATGCTCGGAATCAGTATTATTCACCTTAAAATTAATTAGCTTTTGTTATTAATATTATTTTACTTGTAAATCCAGATTCTCAGTTTCATTCTGTTTGTTTCGCTGTTGTTGCACATCTGCTTCTCCTAAAGATGTTTCTTTCAAAAAATTTTGCTCATCATCATCAACATCACTTTCTGCATTTGAACCTGGCTCTTAAAAATAACCGACAATAAGTGTTAATTATTTAAAAATTTACCGGCTTCTTCTAATCTTTTCTTCAAAAGTTGAATCTCATTTTGGAATCGCCTGAGCAAAGCATCTTTTGGATCTTCGTTAATTCGCGCCATATTTTGTATACGCTAAAATTTAAAAGTTAGTAAATATTTCAAGTAAAAAAGGACACTCACCTTTGCTCGACTCGCATATCGCAATGTGCTTATTGTTTCTGCATAATTGTACGCTGCAGGCCCAATATTTGCAATCTTTAATTTGCAATATTTTCGTTATACATATTATTCAAAAATTTACCATGCATGTCTTTGAATTACCACCAAGAGAATCTTGCAAAATCCTTGTAAGTTTTGAATTTCTAAATTTTAAATTCATTTAGATTATTTCTATCTTTAATTTACCGGTATGGTATGTGGGTGCTTTTTGCATCAGCTAAAGCACTAATTACATTTCCAAGTGTTGACAAAGATAAGTTAATCTTTGTTGCTTCTTTCATTTGCTCTCCAACAACATTAGTTTTTGATTGTCTTTCACTTCCTGCCAAATCTACAAAGCTAAGTTTCCCTTGTGTGAGTAATTGCTTTCCATCAGCAATTATTTCTGAACACTCAATTGTTATTGTAAAAATTGCATGTGAGCGACTCGATTGCTCATTCATACTTGTTTTTCCAGTATGTCCTTAGAATTAAACAATTTTATAAAATATTATTGTCAGTCCTTAATCAACTATTTGCGTTGCCTAACTGCATAATTCGCATGCATTGGTCAGCACTTGAAACTGTGACACTCAATAAATCCTTTACATAAACACCGACATCCGCACGCTCCTTTATCTCTAAATATGAATGTACTGCTCCGGGGACTGTACGAACAAGCAAATCACGCAATTCTTCGTTGTATATTTCCATGTAGGAAATTCTGACAAGAAATCTGCAAAATTTATGAGATTACCTGATCACATGATTTAGCTTTCTCTATTTACCTCTTTTCATGCCCACTTTCGGCAATATGATTAAAAATGTGTGCAAAGGAATATTGAATAATCCCTTGTTCTCCTATATTTGGATCACCAGACATCTAAAATATGGAATTTTCAAGTTAATTTAGATTGGTTACATACTGTGTATGTCTTCCCCGTTCCAGTCTGGCCATATGCAAAAACTGTTCCTAAATTTTAAAAAATCAAAAGATTAACCAATTATTTAAACAAACCATTAAAGCCCTCAAGTACATTTTCAACCACTGGACGAGCTATACAATTGTAAACATCAGATTGGCAAGAATCCGGTCCAAATACTTCATCAAACTGATAACATTTAAGTAAATCGCTTTGACCATTTGAACTCGAAACAAGAATTGACTTTCCTGTGTAATCAACCTCAACTATTGATTGAACGAAACCAATTTCTTTTTCCCGTTTGCTGAGTGGACGACAACGAACAGAAACCTATTGAAAATTAGATTATTCTGATCGATAAAAATTTATATTTTACAAACCTTAACATTCTCAACTTCGCCCTTAGAATTTATTAGAGATTCATTCATCTAAATTTACAATAATATACAATTTAATTTGCAGATTATTAATAAATATTTAAAATAATTGTATACAATAATTGAAAATAATATATTTAATTTTATTATTTATTTTATTATCTAGATACTTGCAAACAAAATTAATGTATAAAGAGATCTTTTAATTCCGTAGCCTTAAAGAGTTTTTTTTATCAAAACAATTCATATTTTTACATTTATCCCAAAAAAGGCTACGGCGTAAATATTAACTAGAGAAGTGAATTCATCTAATCATAATAATTTGTTTAAGTATTGAATTCCTTAAAATAATGAAAGGTGTGCATACTTTAATTGTTTTTTAAAAAAATGAAAAGTAGCTAAAATTGTATTTTTACATTTAAAAAATACGTGGAATGAATTCTAAATTTATAGTAAATAAAATTCTGTAAAACTATTCACGTTTTATTTTTAATGTTTAACCGGGAATTAAATCCAAATATCATTTAATGCTTGCTGTAGCCAATTTTTCGTCAATCGACATTGTAACACTTGTCATTTTTCCAGCTTCTGCAGCTACAGAAACAATCGGATCCATTGATAAAGGGTGTGGATAACTTTCAACAGGAGCAGTATCTCCAGGGAAGGTAACTGGGTGTGATCGCGAAGGTGAAGAAACATTTTTGTTAACAAATTCAAGTAAACGTTTTGCGTACTAAAATTGAAAAAAAATTTAGATAAAAAAATCTTTCATTAAAAAAACTTGTTCAGGCTTAACAGTTGAAGTATTCTCTGCTCCTGAACCATATTTAACAGTTTTTGCTGCAGATTCTGTTCGCTTTTTTACACCATAATAAGTCAGAATGTCAACTAAACCAATAAAGTAGACAAGTTTACGAGGAGATTCTAAAAATAACAAAAATATTTAATATGACCAACAAAAATACCTTCGCTTGACGGAATGCCAAAAAATTCATCATCCAAATTTAACCCCCCTGAATTTGTTGTAAATGCTCCAGCTGAATGTATTGGACTCTCAGGAGGTGAAATTTGTTCACCCCCAGAGTCTAAATCGGACAATTGTTGCTGATGAAGTTCTGCAACAAGTCCAGCCGGACACTCATCATCCACCGGTGATGAGGATGCAACACGTTCTTTCTGCAATTGTTGTTCTAATTCTATATCATGAATGCCAAGCAACAGAGAATAATCCATTAAATGCATTTTCGTTAAAAATTCTAATCAAAATTTAAAATATCACAAATATTCAAAATACCTGTATCTGATTTCAAAAGTTTCATCAACTGAGACTTAGCATCCCCTGGTAACATAACTTTGTAATTCTCCTCTAAAAAGTCATTATCCTTAAGAGTAGGTAACTGTTTGGATTTCTCTTTTTCACTAGCTTGACGTTGAACTGTGGAACCCTTTAAGAAAATTTTAAAAGAAAAAAAATAAAAGATTAAAAACCTTCAAATCATATTTTTTATGAATATTATATTTTCCACCAAAAATATTTCTCATAACGAGCATGTAAGTTTCCCCAACATCAACAGTTATTCGATAAAGCCCTAAAATCGAGGGAATTGATAAAATCTAAAACACTCAACAAAACCAAGATATTGTGGTAATAAAGTCTTTCCATGTTGTTCAACAACATATTCATGGTATTTCGGTAAAATTGAATGAATCTCAGCAATTGCTTCAGAGTCAATTACCTTAAATTAAAAATTAACATGAAACAAGCAAAAAAACATACCTTTATAACAAATTGTTTGTCATAAGAAATAAACAATCTGCCTGAACTACTCGACTCATTTGGCTTTGATTCAGGTTCTTGCATAGTCAAAGAACACTGAATTTTTAAATAAAAATCTTTTTTAAATAACAGAAATACCAAATATTCACTCTGATCAACACCAAACTGTTCACGTATATTTCGGAACACATCTGAAGTTTTAAAATAAAATTATAAATTTTTATAACAGACTGGGGCAGTAGTCTTTGAATTTGAAATGGCTTGGCATTACATCCCTAAATAATTTGTCTTTTATTTAGAAAAACAAAATCAGTTTGGTCTGCAAGTTTCAGTGCTTTTTGTATGTATAAATTGAAACGAGAATCAGATTTCATTTTTACTTTATATACGAATGTTTGAAACTAGGTTGAACCTTGCGGACTAAACCGTTCCATCAGAAAAAGATAATTTTAAATAAATTTACTTGTTAAATGAGTGATTGCTAACTTTAACTTTAGAATAAGCTTTGAAGTCATCTGGCATTAGCAAAGCCGGCGGCGGAACATGCATCAATTCTCCAACCTTTTAAAAAACATTTTTAAATAGAAAAAAATTTTTTTAACCATGTGATTGACTCCCCACATAAACACAGAAATTAACGGCTCTTTTGTACGAAACAATTTCCATTTTGGAACCAAAAGTTTTTTATGTCCTGTCCTAATTTTTCGGCTTTTGCTTTTTGATTTGCCTGCCATTAAACTTTTCTAATTTATTTAATAGTATTTATGTAGCTGTCAAAAATTTAAAGAAATTAAAAAAACAAAACAAAATACAGCTGTATAGAAAAGATTGTTCATAATAGATAACATTTAAAAATTGACATTTGCGTACATTAATATGTAAACAAACAAAACATTTAAACGCGAATAAATTAAAAATTGTTTTCAAATAAACAAAAATATTTTGTTGAAATTTAGTAAATACCATATAAAGTAAACAAAAATTTAAAAAAATATTAGGTAATTTATACAGAGATCACAGTAAAATAAAGTTAAATTGACTAACAATAAAAGAGATCATTTACAATTAGATTTTTGTATTTCTGTACTAGATATTTGTGTTTTAGGAAATCGAGAAAATTTTCTTAAAAAAGCTACAAATGGCCCCGCATCAAAATCATCAAGATCTTGTGGCAGCGATTTTCCAAACGTTTCTGGTGCCATCATCTAAAAAATAATATTAAAATTTTCTTATTAAAATTCACCGAAAAAATTATAGCCACAACCGACATCAAAGCAATTATTCCCTTTTGCATATTCTCGTCTTCCTTAAAATAAAATTTATTAATTTTTTAAAACTAAAACAAACAATTCTATTCAAATAAGGGGACAAAGAAGATCCAATTTCCCCAGCCGTTGAAATAAGTCCATAGCTCATATTTCTAGCAGTAGTAGGTGCCATTTCGCTAAGAAGAAGAGGTGCTGATGCCCAAGCAATTGTGTTCATAATTTTGGCGATTAATGACAAAATCAAAAAAGGAGTTGTTCCCCCTAAAGAATTGTTTGAGTGATTATTTTTAAAAAAGAAGATACTCACGTGGGGTGAAAATTGTTAATCCTAATGATATTGTTTGACCACTAATTGTAAGAAATGTAACTGTACGTCTTCCAAATATCATCAATAAAAGCATAGCAATAATTCCAGCTGGAATTTCTACTGCAGCTGATAAAAAGAATCCAACCATTCTATTTTCATGCATATCAACACTGTGTAAAGTTAATACCCAATATACAAAATTGAGGACAACGCTAAAAATAAAAATTGTAGGTTGTTTTCGGGATTAACCCTAAAGATCGACACCCTCTAAAATACAAATTGATATAAAGGATTTTGATATAGGGGTGGACTTATTATTTAATAAAGAAAATTTTGAAACTTTTCTACCCCTTTGTTGAGAGTAATAGAAAAGAATTCTTCCCCAAAAGTTTCTCAGTATAATATTATTTAATGAGAAACTTACAAAATATAACAATTTAATATCAAATGGAAAGCAAAAGAAGGCTTTTTGAACAAATCAAGAAAATTCCTTTTTACTCTAATTTTGTTTGTTTGATTTGAATCATTTTGACATTCTTCCAAATTTACTTTTGTTCTGTTTACATATTGAGATAAATTTAAATATCTAAAAAACAGTTATTTTTAATTTCAAAAATTCAACAAACTTTTGTACTTTTTCTGTTTCTTTATTTGTAATTAACCAATGTAATGATTCTAAAAAATATATTAATAATTAAATATTTTTTTACAAAAAACCTGGAAAAGCCCAATAATATGATAATGTAAATAAACCAGGAAAAACAACACACAAATAGAGATACCGCCAATTAAAAATAAATTGATAAAGAATTCCAACAACAAAAATACCCAAAACCCAAACGAGTGAATTAATTAATGCCTGAATTGACCGAAAGGAAGTAGCAACAGATTCAACAGTCACTACATAACCAACAATAAGAATAGCCTTAAAAATAATTTTATTCAAATAATTTATTTAATACCTGCCCAGAAGCACCAGACAAAAATCGAAAAACAAGAAATAAACTATAAGTTGGCGAATATGCACAAGCAAAACTCATTGCTGTAGTAAACCATAATGACAACAAAAAAGTCATCCTTCGTCCGTAACGATCTGCCTTGAAGAGAAATAAATAAAATTTTTAAAGAATTAATAATAACCAAATAAGTAGCTAATGTAGAGGCTACTAAATTACCTGAAAATAAATATTTAAGAGTTAAAGGAAATCCAAAAAATTTAACCAAACATAAAAGCACCACTTGCATGATCAAGAAGGTATTTGTTTTCACAATTTATTCCAAACTAAATTATATTGTTAAGTAAAAATATTTTTTTAATTATTAACCTCATCGGCTAAAGATATATGTTTATCATAATAATTGTTAGTTGAATCTGCTAAGAGTAAATTAGTAGTAGTAGAACTCTAAAAATTAAAATAGTAATTAAAAAATTAAAATAAACAAAACATTTAAAGGAGTAGGGGGGCATTTATCGGCAGGGATTTCACCAATTAATGAAATTCTGAAAGAAAAAAATATTTAAAAAAAATTCTTTAACAAACATAGTTGTGAGGTAAGAGAACATATAAAAACAAATCAAAGACATAATGTAAATTAGAAGCTGAAAAAACAAAAATTATAGAGGAATTTATTTAAAGAAACTTGATATGATCCACATTTCCCAAATTGAAGAAGTACTTTGTCTGCATCTAAATTTTCTAATAAAGAAATGGAAGAACGATCCCCAAAAGATTTGTGAACCATTCTCTCTAAAAATTAAAGAATTTTAATTTTTGAAATTTTTAAAGATAAATATCCGGACAGAATTTGTTAATAAATTTTAAATTTGAGTGTTAAAACAAAATAAGTTTACGTGATAATTAAAAAAATATATACTTTTAAATTTAACATGCGTAAATCAGCTGTAAAAAAATTGACAAAACAAAAGACTAAAGTTCTATTAAATAGAATGATTTATTTCATCAACAGGTGTTAGGATTAGTGAGGAACAATTGTGGTTTTGAAAATAGGATTATCAAAAAAAAATTTTAAATCCCCAAAATTTTAAATTAAAAATTAGATAATTTAATACGGTGGGTAATTAACCCTAAAGATCACCACAACCTATTAAAGTCTGACTTCCTTAATTTGTAACTAATAATGTATGGAAACAATCTGTTGCTTTATTATCAATTTTCAAAATTAATTTTGTAAAGCTCTGGCCAATTTTTGTATTTTATCAGTGTAATTCACAAAAATGTTTTGAAGAATTTCTGTTGATTTTGTTGGATTTTTATTTCACTTATCGACATTTGAGTGTTATTGTTATAAAATTAAAGTTTTCAATGAAACGTGGCAACCATTTTTTACAATTTAAACATTTGGTTATGGAGCGTGCAAGACAATCCCCCTCCCTTAGTTTCGCAAAATAATTTTGATAATAAACTATTTTATAACTTTCTCCATTTCAAGTTTTGACAGTCCAATATTTTAAAAGAAAATTAGTAAGAAAATTTCTTTACAAAAAGGAAATTGTTCAATTTAAAAAATATATTTTTTTATTTATCAATTTCCTCGTGTCAAAATTTGTTTTTTCAATAAAAAAACTTTTACTAAAAAGTATTGATGAAATAACAAGTAAATTGATTTTTTGTGACCTTTTGTGATATTTTTTTATTTGTCGGGATAAAAATGTTGAATATTATAACAATTAAAGAGCATAAAATTCTCACAAAAACAATTATTATTTGCCTATAACAAAAAAAGAAACACAAAAATTATTACTCTAATCGATCACGTCCTCTATTCCACCATTGCGAAAAAGTTTCTTTGAGTCTCCTATTTAATTAAAAATAAATAAAAACCTTAAATAAAATAAAAATTTACCAATATCCAACAACCGTCCTACACCAAAGAGAATCCCAATCACGAATTGCTGGTCGAACATCCAATTGAGTAAAAAGTTTTGTCTCAGGATTTACTCTACCCACATCATAATAATCAATTATATACGTCACCTTAATATATTTTTTACATAATTATATGTATAAAAATAAACATACATCATCTCCACACCTATCTACCAACCAATTGTGACGATCAAAAGGCATCTAAATTTTATTTATGTGAATCCCGTTATACAAAAATATTAAAATAAACTTACTTGATAACCTAACCAACCACGAATTCTAGCTCTTGGCGAATAGTTTTTTGCGTCTCCGTGAAAGCTTTTAAGCTTTGGAGTGCTGCATTCCCTAGAAAATTTTGCTATTTTAATATTTGTAAAGGCTTACTAACGGATGAAGGGCTCTTTCCCACATAAGAACTTCTCGCCATGCATGTTCGTTGTTAGCATTATGGATTTGAATGATATTTTCCATATCTTTTTGATTGATCTGTTCATCTCTCCAACGCCAACCTAAAGTAGTAAAATATTTCATAATTTATTATAACAAAAACCTTTTTTAACCATAGCATTCCAAAACATTTGAGGAGAAGGATATTCCCAAGTAATAATTTTTTCATTTGTGCATTCACTTGCCTTTGGAATTGTGGACTTCTCTCGATCTGTAGACAAAGAGAAAGGTTGATCAGGAGCAGGTTGTTGATTCGGACGGGGCATCTAAAAATTGAGAAATAAAATTAAATTAAAAAAAATTAATTTACAGCATTCAAAGGATCAATTTCGTCCATTTTAGATGCAACAGGACATCCTCCACCATTATTTGCATGCGGACAAGAACTTGAGCTGCTAGATTTTTCATTATGATTAGACATTTTCGATCTCAAACAATAAAGCTTAATAATAAAATAAATATAATTTAAAGAAAAACAAACAATCCTTACGAAATTTTATATATTTTGTATATTTTCTCCAAAAATATTACATTTTGTCAAATGTCATTTTGAATAATTTTACCGAAAGAATAATTCAGAAAAAATTTATTCGTGACTTTGAGGTTTTTATTTCTGTTTTTTTTTGTTTTTAAGGGTACACATACAATGCAAATCTCATCTAACAAGTCATCAACAGCAAATTCTGCAAAAGAGTTCGATTCTGAGATAACTGAACGACTAAATAACACTTTAATTTCTTCAGCATCTAATGAAGTAAGGGAAATTTCTAAAATCTCCTTCAGTGTTACTAAACAAAAAACAACAAAAGTTGTTTCACAAAATAAATTACTTGGCAAAAGAGATCGAGATGAAGATGAAGAGGAGGATGACCAAAGCAGAAAAAGAGGAATTCTTCATTTGGAAAATGGTGTCCCTGTCGAGTGAGTTTATTTTCTTAATTGTTGTGGTATTTTTTGGTTGGGATTTGCGGCTCTATCTGAAAGGAGTGCCTGGATGACTTTTTTCTTTCTTTTTTTAGAATGGCCTTTTTTCTTTCCTATTTTTCCTAACTTATCGTCTGTGAGTTGCAAAACAAGGAATTCAAAAATACGAAACAGAAAGCACGGTCTAGTCCGTGTTTTGATTGTTCTGTATTTTGGTCGTTCCGTATGTTGGCAAGCCCGTGTTTTGTCGTTCAATGTCGTGCCCATCCGTGTTTTACACTGCCACGATTAAGATCACCAACATTTGTATTTTTCGAAGCTATTTTAGGTAAAACAACCAGAATTTTTTTGAAAAATAAATATAGAATGTATGAAAAGTTAAACAAAATCAGCAAAAAATGGAAAAAAATCCTTTTACACATTTTTACATTACGAAAAAATAAAGGAAAATAGACCATTCCTAGGCAGTCTAAGGTAATAAGGAAAAAACTCAACCAGGCACTCCTTTCAGATACGGTCGGATTTGCTAACTAGCATGAAACTGTTGGTAATATGGTTTTAGAGATTGTTATTTATAAGTAATTGAATTTTTTCTAAGCGTGTCAAATTGTTTTTAAAACCTTGTTATTCTTTTATTTATAAAATTTTATAGGTCAGGTGTACCTCGAAAAAAGGAAAAGATCTTCGTCATTCCTGTATTACGACTTTCAAATCAGGCTCAGATCGATAGGCTAAAGAAGTTAGTAGAAGAAGGAACTGCTTCTGAACAAGATTTGGCTCGATTGGCATTGCTTAGTGAATCTGTTGGTGATAATTCTGACGAGATTCAGATTCAACAATTTGAAGGGGTTTGTTCCTTTTACTCTGTCTAAAATAATATCTAAACTTTTTAGAAACATACTTTATTGCCAGCTTCTCATAGCGGAATGCCAACTATTGTCTTACCAGACGATGCTGATCCAGATTATGAGAGTATGCCTGTAGGTGAATTCGGTCTCGCATTTCTACGTGGTTGTGGATGGAAAAATGAGAGTTCGGCGATTGGAAGAACAAATGCGCAGGCTGTGCCTATGCACTTGAGCAAACAGAGACCTAAAGTATTTTTTTGATAATAATAAAATTTAATTATTTTTATTTTCATTTATGATTCATTTTTTAAACAATTTAGGGGTTGGGCCTTGGGGCTGCCGTTCCATCAACTGCTCTTGAAATTAATGCTTCTGGAAATGATAAATTGTCGAAAAATGGTACAAGTGATGAAAAGAATGTTTCGAGAACTCTTTGCAAGAATTCATTTGTTAGATGTTTAGGTAGTTTTGTATATTTTTATTTTTAAAAATTGCAAACGGATCCTGAAGAAAAGAATGGTTTTTAAATATGCAGACTAAAAATATCTCAATAATTGAAATTTTCATGTTCTTGCACATCCCCTAAATTAATATTGAAAATGCCAGTGTTGGCTAATAAAAGTTTCTGATTTGTCAAAAATTTTCCGACTTAAATAATCTTATCATTCGACAAAACTCGATAACCTCTTTTATTATTTTCACATTTGAAAATTTTACTTATATTTTCTCATGTCTGTATTTCAAAAAGGAAGGCCTTCAGATTTGTGATTATCAGCTTTTATTACCCTACATTTGTGTTTACAACATTTAGGAGGGCATGGCATAACAATAAGTATCTAATTTTTGTATTTAAAAACACATTTCCTAAATTCGTAAACTTTTAAATGTTTGAGCAATTAACTTTAAATATTTAATTTTTCTCTTTTTTAAGCTGGTATGAATAAAAATGTTTATGGCCAAGTAACAAGTTTGGATGTTGAAAACAGCAGTGTTTTTATTGAAATTGCTTGGCCTCCTGATCGTATGGGCAAAACTATTCGTGTTAGTCAATTTTCTCTGGAATTGGTCTCGGCAAACGATTTTAAACAAAAATTAAATGATTCAAATGGAATTAAAACAGAAAATGGGGCTAAGAAGACACGAAATAGATGAAAAAGGATGTGAATATACTTTAACTTTATAACCTCTAAAAACTTTGATTTTGAAATGAAACTTTTATTTCTGTCATTTTCTGTGAAAAATTTAATGGATAAACAAATATACCGTATTTCCTAAAATAAAGCCCCATGGGGCTCTATTTTTCAACTATCCTCCAAAGTGGGGCTCTATTTTAGGGTGGGGCTCTAATTTAGCATGGGGCTCTAAATTTCAACCTGTTTTTCAAATTATTTTAAATTACAAATATGAAAAATAGATTCTTTTTATTTACAAAATTTAAGAAAAATTTCCGATTTTCAGTAACTTTTGCCGACTTAAGATCTTGCCTATTTTTCCAAAAGTTTCGTCTGCGGCGTTGAGAATAAAGAAATTTGACTCCTTGGCCTTCCAATGTTCTCAAAAATTTCGCCCTAAAATACCCTACGTCCAATAATACTTTATTCCCTCAAATCCCTTTATCCCCCCTAGACTTTTTATAAATAATAGTAAAGCGGTTGGTCCCTTTTCCCAATGCCTTCTAAATGGGGTTGTTGGATTAGAGTTTCGCAAGCGTCCTTGTGTGAGCTCAGCAATGTATAGGATATAGACTAGCGCTGGATATAGGGGAGTTTTCGATCGGGAGACATCTTCCCTCCAAATCAGACACTCGACTAACTGACATCCTTTTTCGGACAGATTACACACCCAAATATTACAATCACTTTTCCTTTAAATTTGCCTCATTCAATATCCCCCGAATGGACACTTAAATTCCTTCACCGGCTTTTCTCAGACTGGCAGTTTCTGCTAAACTCCGGATTGCTCTGGGAACTTCCGTTACTTAGCGCAAAATTTAGAGCGCAATTATTCTTCAAGTGATTTCAGGTGGTCTCGGCCTTACAATATTAAGGAAGGTCTAGCTCCCCCAACCCTCTTAATTTTAATCTCTCGATATCCCTTTTAATCCCCAAATTCACTAACATTCATTTACTTATCCTACCACTCTCCCCTTTTACTCACCTCTTAACAATTTTGTTTACTAATTTGGAATAAATTAGATTAAAAAAGTGGGGTGGGGCTCTATTTTAGAGTGGGGCTCTAATTTAACATGGGGCTCTAAATTTCAACTATCCTCCAAAGTGGGGCTCTATTTTAGGGTGGGGCACTAATTTAGCATGGGGCTTTATTTTAGGAAATACGGTAAATCAAGTCTATTTTGCATTATACAAAATTTAAGATGGAACTCTCAAATTAATTTTAAACGAAAAATTTTATCCAATTATTTATGGAGAAATATTTCTCACAAAATACATTTAAAATATAGGTAAATCTTAATTGGTTGCTAATCAGTCATTTATAAGGTATTTTGATAAAAATGCTTGCAAACTTCAAAACAATTTTTTACATATTATAAAAAATTACCAAAATGTGCAAGTTATAGTTGGAATGTTTAAAGAGGGCTTTTTTAAAATTATTTTTTTGTAAATGAGTGGAAAGGAGAGGAGATTTTTTTGTTTATAATCACATTTGCATTACTTTCCGTCCATCCTTCTTTGAGACAGAATTTAAAGGTTCACCTTCTAAGTAAGGATTGTAGCGGCTGTATGATTGATGTTGCTTTTGTTGGGGAGCGATAGAACGTTTGCGTCGCCGAGGCTCCTGAAGAGTGGAAGAAAAAATATTTTGGTAATTATATTTTTATTATACCTCAGCCCTAGTAACATGGAATTTCTTTGCAATCATCCTTGAAAAGGATAAAAGTATAGAAAAGCTATGAAGGTTACGACTTACGATTTGTGGAGTCCATTTTTGGCCAAGACCTGTTCTAAGTCTTGTTCATATTGCTCAGAATTGCTTTTTGTTTGACAACTGCAAAATAGAAATAATTTTTAAAAAATTACATATTTTTTTGAAATTCTTTATATTACTTAAACATGTGTTCTTGGTCACAAAGGCATTGCTGATTGGCCTGGTAGCTACGTGAAAAATCAGCGGTGTTATCAAACTCCTCCAAACATCCATCTCGACTGGAGTAGCCTACAGGGCAGGGATTTGGAGGATCACAATATGCTGGCAAAACATTGTCACTTTTAATCTCTTGGCGGTGTGAAAATTCAGATTCTGGGTGGAGTTGTTGGTCTCCTTCACCGGCACCTCCTAATTATTTACAGTAAATTTATTAAAAGAAATAATTTACAATAATTCACACCTGTCATAAATTTATGACCAAACGCAATTGGCCCGGAAGCACTTTCAATATCACGGGAAATCAAGTCGATAAATTGTGAATCCGGAAATATCTAATTAAAAAGTTTGTGTAACTTCAATGGATGATTAAAATTTTATTGATTTTTAAATCCTACAGGTTCCCCAAATTCAGGCATTTGTTGGCCACCTGCTATGGCACCACATACGAACAAGGCAACACCAAAAAGCTCCACTAACATTTTGCAGTACAATGAAGAAAGGGGAAATGAATATGAGGGAATTGAACGGAATGCGAAATGGCTAGGCATACGACTGCCTTTAAAGGCGTGGAAATACGTCCTAGTTTGAAGGCACACGCTCGGCTGGCACAAATCAATAATGCCAGCGGCCATAGAACAAAAAGAGATGTTATATATTGTATTTCATGAAAAAAAAAGCTGAGGAAATATATTTGAATTTTTAGAGTTGAGAATAAATGAAGAAATATTTACGTACGTGTGCCTTTTTATTTAAAATATAAAATCTGCGCTCTCCATAAAATGTAAATTGTAACTACTAAATATAAAATACCTATTAAGTTAGAGAAAAGGGATTAATTTTTTTATTTTAGAAAAAATTTATATTTATACATACTTAAGGTAATATATTTTTATGTATTTAAACTAAAACAGTCAATTCCTCCAAATTATCATTTAAAACCAATTTATTTACAAAAACACTTCCATTTCTATGTCTCTTTAATGGTTTCTTCATCTGAACAAGTAATAATGTTGGTTCATCAGAATCCATATCAGAATTATTAAAATAATGCCGAAAATTTCTTTTACATTCACGAGAATTTAAATTGAAGAGTGAACCTTTAATAAAATATTTTTAAATTTTTTTTTATTTTCACCTAATGTCCACCAACAATCACACGTTAATGAAATAACCATTATTAAAATGCTTGCAACTAAACAGCAAAGAATTATTCCAATGAGTATAACTCCCCCAATAGTAATTGAACGAATCTAAAAATTTTAATCTCGATTAAAAAATATTACAAATTCTATCGTCCCGATTCCTTAAAATCAGAAATTTATTTTTTGTTTTCAAGATCCCTGATAAGTACCTACTAAAGAGAATAATCTCCGCAAGTTTAAACCTACCATTTAGATTTGATCCTCTTCTAATATATGTAGTAGTAGCATTAAAGACTTCCCAACAAAGAAGCATCAAAGCATTATTTTATTTCAAGATTATTTAAAAATAATTTTGTAATTTTTTTTTGGAAAAACAAAACTTTATTGGGGGAATTTAAAATTATTTTTGTTTAAAAATTAACAAAAATTAAAAAAAAACTTAAAAAATCCATAATAACAAAAAATTCCTTTTTTATTCACCAAATGAATAAATGAAATGAGAGATGGCACTTGTGGAATGACCGTTAAAAACTTTTATTAGTTTAGACGGCTTTCTCCCTTTTCCAATTTTTTTAGAATAAAAGGTTATTTTTTAATTAAAAAATATTTATTTAGAAAAACAAAACAACTTTTTATTTCTTTTGTTAAAAAAATTTTTGGGTGACTGGAATTTATAAAAAAAAATAAAATTCATTTAAAATTGAAAATTTCTTCGGATTTGTTTACATAATCAAATTAATTATTTAAATATAAGCCTAAACAAATTAATAATTTAGTTAACTTAGTCTTTCAACTTGGCTCAATAAACTTGTTACCCTCAATAAATACCCTCAACTTAAATACAATTAACCTATTTAAATATTTTTTAAAAATTAAACAAAACCAATTTTAAAATAACCCGTTTATTTCTTTTTTTTTGTAAATCTGCAAATTGGAAATGCATTGCATAATGATAAAATTAAAAAAAGAATGGACAAAAAATGAGATAATTTAAATTTAATTTCAAAAGATTTTCAAAAAATAATTAAAAAACTTTTTTTGTCCATTAAACTTATGGCAATGCTTTTAAAAAATATATTTTCGAGTACTAAATAAATAAAAATTAGAAATATGTCTGTGCTTAGAAACTTAATTTGTTTAATTATCAAACGATATGAATATTTGGTGGTTCGCTATGTCTATCAAATTGTTGTTGTTCTCCTCTTTTATTTTCAATATCTGATTGTTGAATATTCTTTAAAAAATAATTTAAATAAAATTAATTTTTATTTAAAAAAAACTTTTTCATTTGAAGTGTTTCTGTCAAGTAAAACAACTTTAATAGCCGAATCTCGAATTGATGGTTGATTGCTGGTACTTACAGGGGACCGCGGAGGATTGTTCTGACGCATACATTGAGAAATTGAAGTAACTGTTAACTAGAAAAATTGAAGTAAAATTTAAATTCCTTTTAAAAAGAAGTTGGTATCTAGGTATTTATTGACCAGGAAGGAGGTAGGCCCCATTCCAATTATTTTTTTCTTCTCAAGCATTATAAGTGAAATTTAAGTAAAAATTAAATGTTATTGCTTGACCAAAATAACCAAAAATGAAGAAAAGAATAACTGATACTCAAACTAGGTGGGAGGGGGGTGTCCAAAAAGTAACGGTGTTTATATTACGTGATCAAAAATTTTGTATTAATTTTTAATGTAAGGTTGAAGGTAAATAAAAATGGTTTTTCCATAAATATTCAATCGTTACTTAAATTTTTGCGAAAAAATTAACCTCAAAAAGACATATAATAAATATATATTCAATAAATTTAAAAAAAAAAAACAAAAATTAACTTGTTCATCAGCTTCAGGCACAACACTCAACTTTTTCGAATTAGAGCGCATTTCGGCATTTAATTTCGAAGCAATAAATCCATTCGAACGATTTGTAGGTATTGAACGTGATCGAACTAATAAAGAATTAATTACTGCATTTGGACGGCGATTTTGTGTTTGGGAAGAGTTGGAGTCTCTTTTTGAATTATTTGCTTTAATGTTTTCGTTGGTAAAATCTTTTTTGTCATCGGCACCCAATAAATCTTCACTGGCACGAGAAACTGGGGAAGAACTTTAAAAAAATTTCTGAAAAAATTTTAAATAAATTAAAAACCTTTGTTTTGTTCCACTTATTAAATTAACCATTCGATCAGGACATGTTGCTAGAGCAAAAAGCCTATTTTAAATATTAAATTAAATAAAAAGAAATCCAAATTTACCAAGCAAAGAATAAAAAACAACATAATAAAACAATTAAAATAATAGCCAATAATTCATTCATTACAATATTTACATTATAAAAACTTTAAATTTAAAACAATAACAATTTTAATACAAAAAAAGGGGTAGTATGTATAAATCCCATGACTTAAAATAAAAATAAAAACATCGAAATGGCAGAAAATGAGCACGACTGTTAATAAAAGAAAAAGCTGGTCAATAATTAAAGAATAATTAAAAAAACATAATGCCAAATTAAATATATTTTTAAATATTTTAAATTAGGACTAGGCGGATAATTTTAATTTCCCTTTCCCGTTCTCGAATTTTTGGACCCGAACCCGGCCCCTACTTCTTATTGACGATTAAATAATGTAACAAATTATACTAATAACATTTTTACCAACAAATATAAATGTGTTAATAATAAATAAATATATGTTAAATCAATTTCTAATCTCTCTCTCTTGAATGATAACAAGTAATAAATAATTCCTCTATTTTCCACTTTTCTCACAAAAATAACCACACCATTTTGTTGTAAATAATATGTATGTACATCTGTACTAAAAAATAAATAAAGGACTAAAAAGGAATTTGCAAAATTAAAATTAAAAAATATTTTCAATAATATCTATCGACAACTTTTTCTCTCACTCCGACCGACCTAATTTTTCAAAATTAATAACATTCTCGCCTTTAATCGGGAATATACAAAACATATTTTCAGCCGCTATCTACTCATATTTAATATAAACAACTTTTTTTTTCAAAATTTTCTATTTTTTAACTGTAAACTTAAGATAATTCCAAATGGAAATTATTCAAAGAATTTAACCTTTTATTAATTAATATAACTTATTATTTTTTTGCTTATCTTCACAAGAATTTTATTAAAAATAATATAATATTTTATCAAAATATGTACATTCTCTCGAATATTTTACAATTTATTCCCTAAATTCCAACCGATTTGGTGCGCACTTTTTCCTCCTTCCTTTAATCTTTTATTTATTCTTCCAACAACGATGAGTGTACACATTCAACAAAAAGTAGTTATATATTTTGATTCTACACATTTTTATATTTTTATTGATTAATTGTTTGAAAGGAAATTTTCAGACTTTTCTTTTGTACAAACATAAATTTTTAACAAAAAATATTTTACAATTTTATGATTATTCTTTAGGCAATTAGTAAATTTGTTAATTAATAATTCCACCCCTACTAAATTAAAACCCATTGAGTAGGAGGACAAAAGATCAAATTTATAAAAAAAATAAACTTAAAAAATATTCGAATATAAAGGTTAACTCTGTTTACATAAACATAGAAAACTTAAAAATAACAACGACGTTGTTTTGTAGGATTTATTAATTTCTCCAGTAATCTAGTATTTTTTATTTTCGGGATACTAAAAAGCTTAATATCTAAAAATAAACAAAAATGTAAAAAAATATTTTAATTTTTAATGTTTTGATCTTAAAAATTAAATCTAAATAATTAAATATAACTGTTGATACTAAAGTTATATTTGAATTAAAAGGATCTAAACTTTAATTTTTTGATAAAAAAAATACTTAAAAATATTTTTACTTCTATTAAATAAAATTTGTGTATTTATTTAAATTTTAAGTTTGGTAAATAAGTAAAATTAAAAAAATAATTTTGTAGTGGAACGGAACATCAAATTGCTAATTTATTTAAAAATAATTTTTTTGTTTTTATAAAAAAATTTAAAAAAATATTTTTAAAAGTCAAGTCTTGATTAATTTAATGTTTAAAAGATTTATTGTATACATAATTTCATAATTTAAATAATTAATTAAATTGTTTTTAAATAAACGTCAATTTTTATTTTTCTATTTACACTTCAATTCCTTCACACAAAAATAATATTTACAATTCTTATAAAGCAATTATTTTTGTCATTTTTTTTATCATCATTTCTTTTATTAATTCCCACTTTTCCAGCAATTTTTCTTTTTAATTTTTTGTTTGTTTTGTTCCTTTTGACAATTTTTAATATAAAACACGTTTTTTGTGACAATTTTTTAATTAAAAATAATTTTATATATAAATTTAGAATTTTTATTTTAGAAATTTAAAAGAAATATTTAAATAAAAATGTCAAAAGATTTAAATGATTACGAATTAGAATATAGATCAACAATACAGCCTAGAGCTACACATACAACACAAAGTAGACAATCAACAACGACTTCTTCTGGTGGAGGTGGAGGGGGAGGTAAATTAAAATATTATGTTTTTAATATTCTAATTAATTAACAAAAAAATATTTAAATTGTCTTGAATACTTTTACTCATTACATATCTGTTTTTGTGATGGCTGATAAGTACATATTATCCTTTAAGTAATTATTGGTATAAGTAAAAATAGTTATTAATTTTTTTGTTCCAATTTTGTATTGTTGCCGATAAAAACAAAATAGGAACTTCCCTTCCCTTTTACTAATTAATTAATAAATCATTCCAATCGTTTATTAATTTTATTCCAAACACACTCCACAAGCAATGTGTTATGAATCAATTGGCAAGTCTATGTCTGTATATCTTTAACGTCAACTTTAATTTTATTTTTGTTGTGATTCAGCGCTAAATAATTTTCTTGTCTCTTTCTTCATTATTTTTACTTTAAATATTTTCCTTCTCTATTTAATCAACACAAAATTCCTTTCCAATCAGCTGCACACCCACAAACCTCCATCAAGTTTTCTTCTTTAATTTTAATTAGTCGTCTTCTTATCATTTAAAACTTCTTTTTATAGCTACCCAAAATGCGCAAATTGTATATAATAAAAATAAATAAAAATAAATAAATATATTTTGTAAATGTTGATTATCTTCAAAGATGACCTCGACGAGCTTTTTTATTTTTTCAAAAAAAAACTTTCAATTTTTTTTCTATTTTATCTAATTACTTTTTTATTTATTTGTCCTCGAATAGATTACGTGAATACTTTCAATTATTTTTTTCTATTCAATTTTTTTAAATTAATTTTTAAAACAAAATTCTTTCTTCTTCCCCTTTCTTTTTCACCAATTAATATATAAAAATTCTTTTTAATTTAACTAGTTTTCATTTCTTTTAAATTATATTTCCTTTTCCAATTTTCACTTTCAAATATTTTTAAGAATTTTTAATAAAAATAAAAAATATGGTTGAAATTAAAAGAGTAGGCTCTTCTACTTCGATAGTTTCTAATTCTGTTGTTGATGGGATAACACAGAATGGGACTTCTGGAGGAGGTATTTTTTGAGAAAATTAGAAGGGGGAATTAATTATTCATAGAGAGAAGCTTGCTTCTTCCTCTATTTAACAAAATTTAATCCTAGTCTAAAATATTTTATTTTTTATGTGGTGGTCGAATACTCAAAATGGTAACAGAAATGGGGTCGGCACCGGCAGTTGGAGGTATTAGCCCGGCATTGAGTGCAAGTGCCGCTAAATCCTTTTTGGAAGCTACTGATAAAGAAAAGAAGGAAATGCAAAATTTAAACGATCGTTTAGCTAATTATATCGATAGAGTTAAGAATCTTGAAGAACAAAATCGAAAATTAGTACAAGATTTGGAAGATCTTCGTGGACAATGGGGAAAGGATACTAGTGAAGTTAAGGTAGGATGAAAAAGTTTTTAAAGGGGGCTTATTATTTGTTAATTAAATTTAGTCATTTTTCTGGAAAATAATCCATGGATTAAAAAATAATTATTAAACAATTTTAAAGATTGTTTTAAGAAAGTTTTATTTATATGTATATAGAGAGATAATGTTTGTTTTTGGGATAATTTAACTAAAGCTAAAAACTCTTGAAAATAATTTTAAATTAAATAGGTAAGATATTCAACAACTCTTTCAACTGCTCGAAAAGATATTGACCAAGCAGCACGTGATAAAGCTGCATTAGATGTTAAAGTTGCTCGTTTACGTGATGATTTAAATGAATATCGTAATCGGTAAAGAAAAAAAATAAATTAATTATTAAATAATTTCCTCCTTTCCTTCAAAGCTTTGAGGATATTCAACGCCGTCGAGAAGGAGATCGAGAACATATAATTCAATTTACTAATATGATAGCTGATGCTCAAAGTGAATTGGAAATGCTTAGAGCCCGTTGGAAACAATTAACTGACGAAGAAAAACGTTTTACTGGAGATAATGCTCGTCTTTGGGATGACTTAACTAAAGCTAGAAATGTTTAGAAAAAAAAAGAAATATATATTTGGGAAATGATTTTAATTTTTAGGATTTGGATGAAGAAACACTTGGACGTATTGACTTCCAAAATCAAGTCCAAACTTTATTGGAAGAATTGGAGGTAAAGAAAATAGAAAGGGACTTTAATATTTTCTTTATCTCAAGTTCCTTCGTCGTGTACATGAACAAGAAGTTAAAGAATTACAAGCACTTTTGGCCCAAGCACCGGCAGATACACGCGAATTCTTTAAAAATGAATTGGCCTTGGCTATTCGAGATATTAAAGACGAATATGATTATATTGCTAAACAAGGACGTCAAGATATGGAAAGTTGGTATAAATTGAAGGTAATTAAAAGAAAAGGGAAAGTAGTAGGACTAAAATAAATAAATATGTACATAGGTGTCAGAAGTTCAAGGAAATGCTAATCGAGCACTTATGGAATCTAATTACCAACGAGAAGAAGTAAAACGAATGAGAGACAATATTGGAGATTTACGTGGAAAGTTTGGAGATTTGGAAAATAAAAATTCTCAATTAGAAAAGGAAGTACAAACATTAAATTATCAATTAACTGATGATCAACGACAGTAAGAGAAAAAATAAAATATTTTTTTTTCTAAATTTAAATAAAGATATGAACAAGCTTTGAATGAAAGGGATGCAACTTTACGTCGTCTAAAAGATGAATGTCAACAATTAGTTGCTGAATTACAATCATTATTAGATACAAAACAAATGTTAGATGCTGAAATTGCTATTTATAGAAAAATGTTAGAAGGAGAAGAAAGTCGTGTTGGGTTAAGACAAATGGTTGAACAGGTGGGGGGAGGGGACTTTAAATGAGGGGGGACTTTTAAATGAATCTTCAATTAAAAAGGTTGTAAAAACTCATTCACTTCAACAACAAGAAGAGACAGATTCAACTCGTAATGTTCGTGGAGAAGTCCAAACAAAAACAACTTTCCAACGTTCTGCTAAAGGAAATATAACAATTGCTGAATGTGAACCTAATGGAAAATATATAATGCTAGAAAATACACATAAAAGCAAAGTTTCTTTAAAGAAAAGAGTTTTTTTTCCTTAAAATTTAAAAAATTTAGGATGAAGATATTTCTGGTTGTAGACTTAAACGAAGAATGGATGATAAACGTGAAATTAATTATACAATACCTGCAAATATTATTATACCTGCCGGAAGGAATGTTAAGGTAAAAATAAAGGGATTGAGATAGATTATTCAAGGTTCAAAGAAAGAGAATCCCTTTCCCTGTTGGCGGTTCTAGGTATTCGGAACCGAAAACAAGCCTGAAGGTTAAAAATAATTGCCCTTTATTTGTGGAGCCATTCACTTTATCGTTTCAGAATCAGCCGCCCTAATTTAACTTTTATAAAGATATGGGCAGCAGGTCAAGGAGGTGTTCATTCTCCTCCACATTCATTAATTATTCATGAGGAAAGTTGGGGTGTTGGACAAAATGTGATAACTGCATTCTTTAACAAAGAAGGGGAAGAAAGAGCAACACATACACAAAAGACTATCCAAACTGGACAATAAACAGAAAAAAATTAAATTTAAATCAAAAAAATATTTCAGCAAACTCCTGCCTATTCGCAAAGATTATTCTCTACTAATTAATATTTTTTAATTCTTTTTATGTAATAATTTCCACAAAAAATGTTTGGAGAAAACTTAAAATTAATTTTTAATAATAAATTTAGTTAAAATAAAAATATTTTTTTTTTGTTTTTTTAAATAAATACTTAATCTTTTTTATTTTTTTCAATTATTTAACAGGAAAATAAGGTCGAAATTTAAATAATTGAGGGAAAATTCCTAACAAATAAGTTTCCAAAAATTTTTATTTTAAAATCATTGATTGGAAAACAATTTAAAAAATATATACTAATTAAAAGTATTTTGAACTTAAAAAAAGTAGTCTCGGCTTTGTTTTACCAATCAATCTACAAAATAATGCATAGTAATAGTATATATAGTACAATAGACAATCGAACTTGTTAAAAAGAAAAGGGGACTTTTAAACAAGAAAAGTAGCTAAAAATATTCTGCTATTTTTAAATAAACATTTTTTTTTAATTTTTTTGTCCTTGCCCATGTAAATGTAAAATTAAAAAAAAAGAAAGAGAAAAATTGTGAATTTAAAATATTCAGTATTTATTTGAGTTTGCCTCACTTCAGAGAACGATAAAAATGAAGAATCAAAATGCGCTCATCATTACCACAATTTTCCTTTTTTCTTTAAAGTTTTTAAACATTATTCAACTCCTTTCAACCAATTATGCTTTAAACATTGACCAGCGGTAGCTCGTTCTGAAGGTCTAAAAAAGCAAAGTTTTTATTTTAATTTATTTAATTATTTACTCGTAATTAAGCATTGGAAGGAGAAATGAGGCAAAAGAACGTGCATGTTCAAATGGCCAACCATATTTTTGTGTTAGCACCTGAAAAAATTTAATTTTGATATTCATACTTCTCAAAAATGAAGGAAAATAAGGAAGGGATCATAAAAATGTCTCAGATCTTTTCGAGATTAGAAAAAACAAGTTTACCAAATAAATTCCAATTATTTTATATTTTTAGGAAATATGAAATCTGATTAATTTTTCTTAAAATATTATAAAAAATCAAAACAAACTTCAACAAGCGACCATGGCTTTAAATTGGGAATATGCAGTAAGCGACCGTTCTTTAAAAGAGAAGCATTTTAAACATATAAAAATCAAAATTCCCTTACTTTATGGAAGAATTCACGCCAGTGCTCACCCTTTTTAAATACAGTTGGCGGAATGCTGCCCAAAAGCTCTATAAAAACAGAAAATATACAATCAAAAATATTTTAAAAATTACCAATAATATGCGCGAGATGGTCTTCATCTCGACTATATGTTGTACCACTGTGTGGCTCAAATAAATAATCGCCAGTAGCTAATTCAAATGCCTAGAGATTAAAATATTATAAAAGATTGAAAATAAAACTAACCATACATGCAATACTCCAAATATCGGCAGCTTGGTTATAACTCTAAAATTTTGTAAATTATTTTTAAAAAAGTTTTAAGTCATAAATCGAATAATAAAACTAATAATTTCAAACATTGACCAAAATCCTCACGTCAAATAGAGGATTTGTTAAATTTAATTTTGTTAATTTTTTTAAGGATTTTTTAATAATGCGGTTAACTATTACTTTAGTTTAATACCAAGTTAAATTTCAAAAAATAGTGTTTTATTTGATAAGAATTTCAGAATTTTTTCTCAAAATTTTATTCAAACAATTTAAAAAATACCGCTCCAATAATAACTTCAAGTGCCCGATATTGACGAGTTTGAATGTCTTCAGTGAAGTGATGATGCTAAAAAGTTTAATGAATTATTTAATCATATTTTCAATATACCGTCCAACAAGCATTTCCTAAATCAGCAATTTTTACATCAAAATCCTTTCGAAGAAATTTCCAATTTTGCCCCTCCTCTTCATTTTTCTAAAAAATAATTTTTCATTTTTATTAAAAAAAACATCACCAACTTCCTTTATTAATTGATCATCTTCTAGAATTGCTTCCTCAGATAAAACAGGCTTTATAATTTCTTTACTTTCAAGCTCATTTGATTCATCCATTCTTGCATCTTCCAATTCCTCCAAAGATTGTTTTTGTTTCTTCTTCTTTCGTTTCTTCTTTTTAGTTTTCGTAATTGCTTCATTTTCCTAATTAAGATTTTAAAAAATTAAAAATATTCTCAATAAAAAATTCATTTACTTCAACATCCTTTTGAGGTGATTCAATAATTTCTTCTTTAACTTCAATTTTTGGCATCAACAATTCTCCATTAAACAATTGTTTATTTTGTTCTTGTTTGGTATTCACATTTTGTTTTTTGGGATTGTCATTTTTAATTTTTGGATTTATTCCTCCTTCAATTAAATCATCCGTTTCATCCCTATTAATTGGAGGTGATGGGGATTCGTCTCTTTTTTCTTTTTTAGCAGATTCTTGTTGTTGATTTTGTTGCTTGTTTTTTGCATTATTTCCCTTCTTTTTCTTTCCTGTTCTTTTTGGTTCTGTTTCTGGAGGTCCTAAAAATTCGAAAAAAAAATAAACAAATCAAACGACATAAAAAACCTTTCTCCTTATTATTCTCCTGATTATTATTCTCTGGCAGTATTTTATTTCCAACAGAATTTTTCTTAGTTGGCTTTTCTTGTTGTTGCTGTTTATTGTTAGAAATAATATTCCCATTAATTCCAGCTTGATTTTCCTCTCTTCTGGATTCTCCAGCCTCTTCTTCCTTTACTTCCTTTTTAATAACTGCTTTCACTCCTTCCTTTTCATTTTGAGCAAATTGATTTAAATAAATGCGTGGGATTTTGATTTCATCAAAAATTTTGAGATTCGTTGCTTTTTGTTCATTAACAATCTGTTCATCATCATTTGAGTCTTCACTCTTCAAATGAAGTCCAGTTGTTGTTTCACTATTATCCGGGTCACGCTCGGTTGATGAAAAAGCAGAGCTGTTAAGTTGGTCATCGACTGATAGAAACTGCTTTAAAAATAAAATTTAAAAAGTTTTTCTAAATTCATGATATAACTCTAAAAAGCGACAAGGAGGTCAAAAATTAGTAAAATAGAAAAACTCATACATTTCGACCGGAATCTAGACTATCAATATCAACGCTCATTCCCTCAATTTCTTTGAGTTGCTGTTCCAAAAGATTTCGATGGCGTCTTCGCTTCTTTTTCAATTTCTTTTTCTTGCTTTTAGTCATAGATTCCTCCATCTTTATTTAATTTTAATTTAAAAGATTAAAGAAAAAACCTTTTTAAAGCACCGTTTTGAACTACAAATTGCACTTCCTGACAAATTTTTGCCTGTCTTCCCTGCCAATATAGCATCTTCAGCTAACTTTTTAACCTCTTCAGGACTCATTGTTATAAGTACATTCTCTGGCTTGATATCTAAATACAAAAATTTTGAAGAAATATGAATCACCGCTCACCCGTATGTATAATCTGGCACTTTTCGTGTAAATAATGAAGTCCTTCAAGAACTTGTTTTATAATCTTTTTAACCATTGGTATTGGCAATCCTTGGTAATCACTTTTTAGAATCAATTTGAGTAAATTACATCCCAGAACCTAGAAAATAAGAAAAATAACTAATAAAAATTAATGAAAAAACCTCAAAAACCATACAGACATGTACCCCATTCACCCCACTAACAGTAAAATGATCTAACAATTGGACAACTCGCTAAAACTTTTAGTTAAAATTTGAATTTAAAAATTTTAAAAACCTGCAGTGCCATATCAGAAGGATCTGAATCTCTAACACATTCCAGAAGCTAAATTTAAAAAAAATGTATTAAAAAATCGATCATATTGAACTTACAGACCCGATATTTTCCTCGCTAAGTTTTTTCCTATTTATGTAGTACATAATTGTCCGACTTTTTGTTTGATTGTAGGCAAAATATAGAAAGGTAAGAAAGAAAGGAAAAAATTTGCCCATTCTGTATATAAATAGAAAAAAACTTAGGGATACAAAAAATCAGGTCTGTAAAATTCAATATTCCCAAAAAATCTAAAATAACCTTAATTTCATCTAGAGCAGCCTCAGTATAATGTTCTGCAGATTTAACAATTTTCATTGCAATGAAACGTTTTGATTCGATATCCCAACTTGGAAAATAATTAAAAAGATGAAAATAAGAAAAAAATACCAAAGCCAAACAGTTGAGAAATGTCCCCATCCAAGTTTCCTTATAACGTGATATCTGCCATTCTTGAACACATCACCAATTCTTACAGGGTGGTAACCACCTCTTCGGTAATCCTTTGGATCTTCCTGGAATTTAATTTAAAAAATGTAAAATTTAAAAGCAAAAACCTGTTCTTCATCATCACTCCCTAGAGGTGGCTGATCTTCTTGATCGTTATCCATTGAACCATCAATTAACCCATCATCACAAGCTCCGTCCCCAGACATATTTGCATGGGCATTGTAAGAACTTCCTTCACTGTCCACACCTTGTGGTTGACATTGGTAATCACTAGCTACAATAGTTGATTCGGCTTCTTCTTCAGGCATCCATCGAAGTTTATCCATCTAAATAATAAATATTAAAAACAAAATTTTGCAAAAAAAATTAAAATGGAAATGAAATCATTTGTAAAAGAAACAAATTAAGAAAAACTTTTTAAAGAAAAATTAATAAAAAATAAAAAAAAGTTTGCATAAAATTCAATTTGTAACAATCAAAGCGCCAAATTGATTATTTTTTAAATCGAATATTTTACACTTTGACATTTCCCTCAAAATAATTATAATTTAAATATTTATTGGACTGCATAATTTAATTAAAATGCAAGGTAAATTAGTATAAATTTATTTCAAACCCTCCAATTTAAAGCATGCCAATGTTGTTCTCTATCTTCGTTTGAAAAATGTTCATCCCCAATTTGGGCAAAATCGAATAGTTCATTATGTCCATTATTTGTAATATCAGAATTTAACTCATTTCCACCTTGCCAGTCCATAAGCAGGTGTTTCCCTCTAAAATTGCATGATTATATTTTGATAAAACTGATTGAAAAATATTTTTAATTGAAGCTATCAACAATGCTTCGTTAACACTACTATTTTTTGCTTTTTCTTTTTGCCAGTGTTTCTGGCCAAAAGAAATATGTAGTAATAGCCGAAAAAGAGACATAAAGCATGGGACATGCGTGTACAATTTTGCAATAACATAGAAGGAATCGATTATTCACACACTAACTATTACACTCACAAAACTCAGTCATACCTCACTGGCGAATTTTTTTATATGTATTTGCTTTCTATTTTATTTTAAAGTGAGTTACTACTATCGTCAAATGCTGTTAGAAGAAAGTAATGTTGAGGCGAATTAAAGAGGCGACTATTAGAGTATTGTGTAAATTAACAATAATAGGCTGATAGAAATTAAAAAAGATGAAAAATTTGTGACTCTAAAAGAAACGCCGATTTAATCAATAAAAATCACGTATAATCACTTAAATTACATATTAAGTAGATGCTATTCACGAAGTTATTTTTAAATATTTTGATTTTTATTTGTATCAGAAAGAACATTTCGTAGATCGATACGGTATAATTTGATATGTAGCGTCGACATTTTCCCAACAAAAAATTGGAAATTGAATAAAATTTATTAAAAAATTTAATTTCTAAATTTTTGATTAAACTATGTTGATTGTAAGAGAAAAATAAAATAAAAAATTATTGCTAATATTTTTAAAATATTTTAAAAATTAAAAAATTGTTTTTTTCAATTTTTGGTGATTTTCAAAGCAAAATTATCCAGAAAAAATATTTTTTTATTTCAACTCCACTTCTTATCACTTTAATTGGCAATTAAAAAGAAAAGAAAAAAACGAAGCTACAATTAGCATTATCAAACAGATAAAATAATGATTGTGTGTCTATATTTAAGGATTTTATTTTCTAGTTCTTGTTAATTAAAAGTTTAATTGTTATTGATGCATCTTCGCGAGATCTTTCGAGATTATCGATATTACCCTTGAAAAAATTTTTGTTTTCGAGATCGAGCTTTTTTGTAAAATTGATTGGAGTTTTTCTCCAAGATTTGGCTATGCTTATTAGTTTGCCCATAACTCTTGTATTATCAACTATTTCAGAGAAACTTTCGCTGGCTTTACATTAATTTGCACAGAAAAGCTCAAATAGAATCATTAGAGAATAATCCCCGTTTCATTTCTAGATGAAACTAATCTTCAATTTAAATATGAACTGGAATTCTTTTAACAAACATTGTTTAGTTTCTTAATTTTTTATCATTTTAAAGTAGATAAATTAATTTTTTATAAAAATATCTAATCTTGTTACTATCTCGAAATCTTCTTCAAAATTAAAAAAAACACAACCTGACGAATATTGTTTTCGGTAATCAAAAATGAAAAAGTAAAATTGATTATCTTTGATTGAAAATTAAAATAAATTATATTTTTTTTGCATTAAGCCCGGGAGGTTTAATATTTTAAAAATTCAACTGTATAAACAAAATATATTTATTTATGTATTATTGCAAAATGTTTTGAAAACATTTTATATAAATTAGATTAAATTCTCTCTTAAATTCATTGACTCTATTACGAAAATTATATTTAAATTTTATATATAATTTTATAGCTTCTCATTAAACACACGTTGCCAAAAATTTATTATAGTTAATTAATTATTTATTGACGTTTTTAAATATTATTATTTAAAAAATATTTTTCTTAATTTTTTAAAAATTAAATTATTAAAAAGAATATTTTATTAAAGTAAAATAAATAATATTCTGATTCTTTAAATTTACTTTAAAATTTTTCTTTTTTAAAGTAATACTTTAATTTATATATCTCATTCAGAATTTGTATTATTTTTAAATTGATATTTTCAGATTAAATGAAAATTAGTAAAATATTGCCAACATTAATTATTTAATTTAATTTTAGCTTTTTATTAAATTATTTAAATTAACTCTATATTTAAACAGAAAACGTGAATAAAAACGTGAATAATTAAAACAAATCGATTAGCTTTTTTAACCCCCATCTTTCTTCATTTTTTACTTAAATTTTTGGTCTTTATTGGAAATACTCAGAACACATAAAGCCTTCCAATTTAAAAATATTTTTATTTATATGTACAGAAACTAAAGAAATTGGAGATTCTCTTTAGGCTTTTTCTATGTAGTTTTTGAAATTATTTATTTCATTATTCCTTTCTTTTATTTTTCTTGTAAAATATTTCATTGGCAATTTTTTTAATGTAAAAAAAAGAAAGAAAAATATATTTCTACATAACTTCCGCTCATTCATCTTTCTCTCTTTCACAAGCTTTTTAAAAAAGCCAGGCAAATAGTTGTTGACAAAGAAAAGGAAGACCCGCGGCATTCTTTTCGGCATTTTTTGTCACTGTTAACGCTAACATTTTTTATTTCTTTACGGCATTCATTTATTTGTTTGCCACGCTCGCTAATCCCTCTCGCTTAACATTACTAGGCATCTATGGCCTTTTTAGGGGATATGCGTGCGTTTACATCCAATCAATCCGATGAATGGATAGGGAGAGGGGAAAAGGCTAAAAACCTCTAAATATTCCCTTTCAAAAGCTTTAACTCTCAAAAAGCAATAGAGAGAAAACCTCTGTTTGTCAGTTAGTTTTTACATTAAATATTTCCAAGTTTTACCGTTAATGGCATTTATAGAGAAACGTTGGTTGGTTGGTTGGATGGCCTTTTTTCTTTGTCAACTTGTCCAATAATAAAAATTTTTGTTATTATTTTATGTTTATCTTTACATAAAATATATAGTTTATATTCTTAGATATTTACTAGCTTCTAATACCCAAAAAAACTTATTTTTAAATCTGAATATAATCTCATTAAATATTTACAAATTTATTTTTTAATTAAATTAAATTAAAAAACATTATTAAGGGGCAACACACAACATTTCATAAAAAATATTTTTTATGAAAGCCTCTTTTTGTTATTTTAAAATGTCCAAGAAAAAATTATTTGATTTTTTCTTAACCATTTTTACATTTAATTTACTTTTTGCTGTGCAACTTTGTAATGGATTTATGTCATCAGAACAACAAAATCGTTTATATTCTGGTAAATATATTTTTTATTCACAAATATTCTTTAAAAAATTTGTAATTTGTTAGCTTTGAATCCTCCAAAAAATTTTAGAAAAAGTTTTAGCTCTGGTCTAGTTTACTAGTCCAATGGAAGTTTTTACTAGTCCAATTGGACCATTCGAAGTTTATGAGTCCAATAAATAATAATGATAACTTTAATGCGAATTAAATCCTTTTTGAGATCAAATTTTTTAAATTTAATAATTTTACAAAAATAATTTTAGAAGGAGGTTCTTATTCAACAAAACAAGAAAATGATAAATCTTCAACTGCTGGACTTGCTGAAGAATTAGAAATGGAACAAGAATATGAACAACCAAATTTGTAATTTAATAAAAAAAATTTTTTAACTATTTAATAATTTAAATATATTCACATTTTTTTAAAAGATTTAAGATTTTCTTTACTCTTGAAGAGAAAAAATTTAACTAAATATTTATTTAGATATACAGAATCTTTTCAAGAAGAGCGTCAACGTCAACGTTTGGCCAATATAGTAGATCAACTTAGACAACAAAATGTTTATAATCAACAATTTAATGCCGCCCCTTTATTCGAAGAAAACGAGGATAAACGTAAATAAATAATTAAATTATTTTAAATTATTTTTTTAAAAATTTTCAGCTTTTTTAAATCCTGAAGAGCCCCGGTTAAGAAATAGAAATGCTGAAGAATTGGAAGAATTGCGACGACTTGGTATGGAATTAAAACAAATTAGCGGGGAAAAAATTGGAGAAGAAATGGGAGGAGATTCCGAAGGGAGTACTGAAGAAGAGGAAGAGGTAAATAAATTAATTAAATTATTTAAAAAAATACAATTTTCCCCGATAATAGTTAAAGAAAAAAAATAATGGTAACTTAAAAAAGAAGACAATCTGTAGTATCTTTTTCCTAACAGACTGGATCAAGTCTGATCACTCATTAAAAAGTTAAGATAAATGCATTTGTGTTCTTCACATTTATCGGGTTATAACTTTTAATTATTGACCAGAATTGATCAATCCTGCTAGGAAAGGATGCCGTTTATTGGGGCTTCTAAAAAATATAAAATTCACTCGGATTGGATTAAGGCTAAAAAGTTATAACCAATCAAAGTTTATATTTTTTTATTAAAAAGGAGTTAACAAGTCAAGAATATTATTTAAATCAAGAAAAGGAATATATAAAATATTTGTTAAATAAAGGAGAATTAATTAAAGATTTATTAAGTAAAATATCAGAGAAAGATAAAAGATTTGAAATTTTGTGGGAAACTTTTGTTGAAGAAGGAAGTAATTTAAAGGATTTAATTTTGTCAAAAAATTTTGAAAAAGAAATTAAAAAACAAAATATCAATTTATTTGAGGAATTAAAAGTTTATAAAAAATTGATAGAAATTGGTGAAAAATCGTTGGAAATTATTGGAAAAAAAGAAAAATTAAAAGAAAATAAAAATTATTTTTTATTAAATCGTTTAAATGAAAGTGAAAAAATATTGACAAAATTATTAAAAAATAAAGCTAGTGGAGAATTTATTTTGGGCCAAAAAGAGCATAAATTACTTTGGCTAAATAAATTAGGAAGAGCTTTAGATTATTTTGAAAAAAATATTTTAAATTTTAAAAGAGAGGTGTTTAAAAAATAAATATTTTTAAAAAATTATTTTTCTTTTTTTAAAGACAAAAAAGCCTTCTAAAATGTCAACACCAGTTAAGAAAGGCCAAAATGAATTTGTTGAATTTGCAGAACCTATTAACAACCAAAATTTAAATAGTAAAAGAATTAAAGATATTGAATGGATGGAAAAACGGTAATTAAATAAAAATTTAAGAAGAAAATTTTTTTATTTTTTTAAAGTTTGCCAAGTGATTCTGCTTATTTCGATAATCAGAGAAGAGGTGGAGGAGGTCCTTTCCATTTCTTTAACGCTTCTGGAAATATTTTGTTTATTGGTATTTTAATTGGAAAAGAAAATTTATTTTAAAAATTATTTTAAGCTTATTTAACAATTTGCTGTGTTGGTGTTGTTGCTGGGGTTGTTGGGGGTGTTTACTACTACAATCAGTAAATAAATATAATTTTAAAAAATAATATTTTTTTCTTCAGTGTTCGGTCCTCAAATGTTGATGACCCTTTTAACGAGTTTACTCGTTATTCGCCCTCCGGACCTGGCAAGGACAAATTTAGTAAGAGAGGAGGAGGAGGAGCACAAGCATTTGGACAAACTGTTGGAGATGATACTTTAGGTAAAATAAAAGAGAGAAATTAATTTAAAAAAATAATTTTTTTTATAGCTTATAAAGCCCAACTTCAACAATATCAACAACAAAAACAAAAAATTCTGGGAGCCGGTCAAACAATTAGTAATGACCAAATGAGTGACAATGAAGAAGAAAATGATGAACTTGAACATAATTTTAGTGTTTTTGAATGTCCTGGTATTTTTTGTTAATTAAAAAAAATTTTTTTTAATATTTTAAAGGATTGGCACCTACTGGAGATGTTGAAATTCAAAATCCAAATTTTGTTGGAGAAAACGGGGAAAACAATACAACAACAAAAAACATTGAAAATTTAAAAAAGGATGAGAGAAATGATTGAAATTTTTGAGTAAAAAAAGAGCGAAACTAAACAAAGTAAAAATCCCCTACCCTTCCCTTCCCTTTCCCCTCCTACATAGTCCCCAAATATGTACAGTAAAGTATTTTGCCCAAGGAAAAATGGATATACAAAAATTTAAATAATTTATCAAAAATTGACGGATCTTTTAAAATTAATTTAGAATATCGAAATTTTATAAAACAAAAAAAATCCGTTTTTCTTAGTATTTTTCTTTAAATTTTTTTATTTTTAGGAATAAACAAGAAAATAAATTTTTAATTTAAAAGATTTCTATATTGACTCTAAAAAGAACTCTTTAAATTCTTGTTTATTCCCTCCATTAAAACATTCCAAATTTACAATGTATTCCCAATTTTATTCATCTCCACCTCTTTTTAAAAAGCAACAAAAAAATTAAAAACAAAAAATCCCCAGAAAAGATACATTTATTAAAGTGTCATCATTTTATCTCAGTTTGCGTGTAAGAATATTTTACTCTTATTTTCCCTTTAAATGTATATGTATTCCCATTTTATCCATCCCCTAAAATCGACTGGCACAACAACACATTTACGTGTTTTTTTAACTTTGAAGAATTTGTCGATAAACTTTGAATTTTGTGTTTATTTTTGTGTTGGGATTTTAAATAAAATTAAAGGAAGGAATAATATTTTGATAGGTATTAGTATAAGAATACTGAAAGCATTAATTAATTAAGTACTGGGTAGTATGTATAAAGCACAGTTCTATTATTTAAATAAATAATCTCACGTGTATTTTCTAATAAATAAAAAGGATTTATTGTTTAGCTTACATATCGATTTAATAAATATTTACCAACAATAAATTCCAACAGATGTTCGTAAAAATAAAAACAGCTGGCGATTATGAGGAATAAAAGAAGTCTTTGCAATTTTGCACTCCAAATAGTTTCTTTTTTATTTGTTTGCCGTTTTCGTAGAGAATTAGTATTTTTTAATGGAATTAAATACTTCCTATCGATTAACTAGATCCCAATCCTTATGTGGTATTCGTTCAACATCTGCCGGAAATTATCCAGTCGTTCCAGTCAGTTTTTATTTCCTCTTACATTTTTCTTTTATAATTTTAATTTTAAGAGAACATATTCAATTACTGATTTTGCTGATTATCGAAGAGAAGTTTTAGCACATCCAATTACTTGGCCTAGAGTCCCAGTTCTTCGTCCACGTATTTCTACATACGTTTACAGACCTCATTGGACATATCGCTCCCATTGGCCGCATAGCCAAATACATTTTCAATGCCCGCCAGGCCCATACGAATATCGCAAGGATCCATTTCATTGGGCATATCCTTATCATCCAACATGGACAAAATATAGAACTGAATGGTTAGTTTAGACAAAGTATCTTTTAAAAAACACAATTATTAAGGTATAAATTTAACAATATCAACAATCATCGAATTTCCGGTGCTTGGAACCATCCAAACTTGCTAAATAATCTTTTTTGATTCTTATGCTCTGAACAACAATAAAATATTAGATATTTTTAAATATAGGAAGGAAATTACATTTTATGGTGTTTTTAATTTTAATAATAAAGTTTTATTGATAAGAATTGTAAGTTAAAGACCTATTAACCTACTTATAATCAAATAAATTATTTACTGAACTCATTGGACATATTACTATCATTAGCCTTATAAGCCAAATTTCAATGTCCGACTGAGCCAAACGAATTTTTACAAAGAATAAAAACTTGCTACATTGCTCATTTGAGATTAGACAAAGTTATAATCACTTGAATCCTCACTGGGAAAAATGCGTATTGTGCTGTTCCCAAGAGCAGGCCCTGTAATTCTAGGTAAACCTTTAAAGTCTCCAATGGCAAGAAGCTGTGTACCGATCGCTGGAGGGGCTCCTGACCCAGATAGATTCGTCATCTCCAATGGGCAGAAGATCCTAAGACGCCATTCTTTACTCAAGCACATTCCGGAGAGGTGGTCCCAATGTTCAGTCCAATCCTGTCGTGAATAAGGAATTTTGCGAGATGACTGTAAAGAAGGAGCAGGCAACAACAAAATTGAACGGATGGGCATAGGATAATTTGATAGCCTAACAGGGCTGGATTTTTTTTCGCTTCCGCCTTCAACAGAATTCCGCTTTTTGGCTCTTCCGTTTCCGCCTTCTGCTTGCACATTTCATTCCATTTCTTCCGCTTCCGCCATCCGATTTTTACAAAATTCTTCAGCCCTAATCTCTAACCCCAATCCAATGATGTAATTCATTATATGCATGAAATATTTATTTAATGTTTATTTATTTTTTAGGCAAGAATTTTAACTTAAATATTTTGCTTTACCGTACTTTTGACTTAAAACTTAAAATTAATCAAAAATTCATTTTTGTTAAATTTAATTTGCATAATACATTTGGAAATTATGACGTAAAAATTGTTCTTTTACATGCACTATTAGTATTTTGTAGAAAAGTAAAATTAACACTGACAGCCTTAACTTCAAACCTAGTTGTCTTCATGCTTAATGAAAAATCAATTATTTTTCTTTCTATAATTCCATTATTATGCCGTTCCAAGATAAAGCCGCCGTGCTCAACGTGTGGTCGTTAAAAAAGAAAAATGGTGATGTGCCTACTTGAAGCCGCATATCTATGTCATTTTGCCTGCTTTTTTCCGCTTGGCCACTGCAATAAACTCAAAATTCATTAGTAGTACATAGTGCCGGTAACAAACAAAGAGGCTAATGGATTGGGACTTGGCACACGAGTGGAATTGGTGCCGTTTCCCTTTTCTCAAAGAACCCTCTTCCTATTTCTCTTTCGTGCCGTTTCGCAGTCATGCATAAGCGCGCTTTGTTAAAAATGAATGTGAACGAGAAGCCTATGAATTGGCATTGTCGTTTTTGTTATCTTTCCTTTCAACATTAAGGGCAATATATATTACATAACAAAATCCCATTTTCTGACTTTTTCCTTTTTAAAAAAGGAAATCCGATTTCCAACGTTTTTCCACTTCCTAGATTTAACTTTGGAAAATTCTCGGAAATTCATTCCAGGAGCTTTTAGACTTCAGTCAGGTTTGTATTGACTAAGCTTAGGATCGGATCTTAATCTGATAAGGAGACTTTCTTTTTGTTTTTCCTTTCAAAAATGTTTTTATTTTTAAATATTATTAAATGTAATTTAATATTTAGTATGTATCAAATGAAAAATAAATAGAAAATTCAAGTGAATTAAAAATTTTTAATTAAAATTTTAAATTAAAATTTTACCTCGAATTTAAATTTTAGCGACTGCGGCGCCAAAAAGAATTTCTGGCTTCTTAGACATTTAAAAATTTTAGCACACTGCGCTAAAAAAGCTTCCGAAATCATGAGCCTGCGGATCTAAAACTTTGAATTATGCTGTCTTTGGCACTAGAAAATTAAAATTTGAGATTATTTGCAATTTCCTAAATACGATTACAAGTACACAGCTCAAAAGTTTTTTTATATTTTCTGTTGACACTTTTTCGTTTGTATTTCCGATTTTCAAAATTTACTTCCCGACTTCCGACACTTTCGAGTTACGACACCTTCAGCATTTCCAACCCTCCTCTGTCATACATTTTGAATTGTATAAATATTACTCAATGAATACTTTTAAAAATATTTTTTACAAATCAAAACAGCTGTTATTATTTTTCTGGATTTACTATTTGTACTCTATATTTTTGCAAATCAATTAAGTTGACAAATATTGATCAATGAAAATCCTATACATATCGTTTATTATGTATGTTAGCTAATTTTTCAAATATTTATTACTCTTTAAAATTCCAAATTATATAGCCGATTCAATATAATAACACTATATAATAATGAGATCTCAAATAAATTGATATCTTTGGTAGAAATAACCTAATTTTATAAAATAATTTCATAAAATGGCCGAAATCAACTTTAATAACAAAACGTACCATTTATTTATTGTCGCATTTAAAAACAAAGAAAATTAAATTAATCATTAATGAATAATAGTGAGGCGAGAGTTAGAAGTAAAAAAGGTTGCGTCTATATCACTTCCGCACGCATCGCTTCTCCTTCACTATTCGCACACGGAAAATTTTTAGCTGGTCCCATTATTTTACCCCATTCTTTTTTTCAATCTCTTCACACCAGAATCGTGAAGAAATTTAAGTGTACCTAAGCTGCCATCATAAGAAGAAGAAGAAAAATGCATGCTGGCTGCTGCTAACGGCTGAACAAAACCCCTCTGTCCGTTTTTTTCTCCCACTTTTTACTGACAGCCCCGTTATATATCAGTTCTCTTTCTTCATTTTCACAATCCTTACATTTTGTTATTAACGCAAAAATTCTGTTTATGGCCAACAATGTTTTTTATTTATTGATTCCTTTAAACCCCTTTATAGACAGTGGAAACCAATGAAGAATTTAATTTTGTATTAAAAAAGAGAGAGAATTAAATATTTTTTAAAGATTTAATTTAGAATATTTTGAAAAAAAATTTCTTTTAAAAAATATGCTAATTATTGAGTTATCGAAAAAATGGTTGTAAGCCCTGGACAGCCAAATAATATGATGACTAATAGCAACAATCAAATGGCTGCTGTAAGTTATCAATTTTTATTTGATTATTACTACTATTAGTTTATCACTCCATTTTAAGAAATATTATTTGTTAAAATTATTTTGGTAATTGTGTTTTGATGGGTTTTTGCGGATGTAGTTTTTATGCAAGAGCTTGATTTTTAAATTAGTATAATAATGTTCACGTCAATTAAAATATAACAAAATTACACATCAAAATTAATTTAGCAGAAGTTTCAAGACTGGCAAATACTCTTGAGATACTTTATAAAAACAAACTTGTGTTATTAAAAGTAAAAGTTAAAAAAGTTTTGGCATGGGGATGCATAATCATGACCTTTAGATAAACAATGAACATTTTTTAGAATACCTAGTTATAATATGTATACTAGTAACCAAATTTCGCTTTTTAAAATAATTTTTAAGATTTTTTAAAAATATTTTTATTTTTCTAAGACTGCAATTTCTCAGCAACAACAAATTCAAATGAATAATGCAACTTCTACAAAATTTAGTGACAATTATGATGTTAAGGAAGAATTGGGAAAGTAAAGAATTTTAAATAAATTTTGAAATAAGATTTGAAATTAATTTTCAGAGGAGCATTCTCAGTTGTTCGTCGTTGTGTTCACAAAGCTACAAATATGGAGTATTTAATCGTTAATTTAAATAAAAATATTTTTGTTTAGATTTGCTGCCAAAATTATTAATACTCGAAAATTGTCTTCAAGAGGTTTTTGAATTAAATATTTTCTTACCAAATTTTTTCTTTAGATTTTCAAAAACTTGAACGTGAGGCCAGAATTTGTAGAAAATTAAAACACTCAAATATTGGTATTTTTTAACTAAATTTTGAGAAATATTCTCAAAAAAAATTTTTTTTAAGTTCGTCTTCATGATAGTATACAAGAAGAAGGATTTCATTACCTCGTTTTTGATCTGTATTTTTTCTGAAATTTTTGAAAAAATATTTTCTAATTTTTAAAGGGTTACCGGTGGTGAACTTTTTGAAGATATTGTTGCTCGGGAATTTTATAGTGAAGCTGATGCGAGGTTTTTTTTGTTAAATTTCGTAGTAATTAAATTTTTTCAAGTCAATGTATTCAACAAATACTTGAATCAATTGCTTATTGTCACGATAATAGTGTTGTACATCGAGATTTAAAACCAGAAAATTTATTACTTGCCAGTCGTGCTAAAGGAGCTTCTGTTAAATTAGGTTGAAATTTAATTGTTTAAAATTAAATTTTAATTATTTTTTAAAGCTGATTTTGGCCTTGCAATTGAAGTTAAGGGAGAGGATGAAGCTTGGTATTTTTTAATTAATTTTTAAATTATTTAAGAAAAACTTAGAATTTTTACATATGTAGTTTATATATCGTTGATCGGAACAGGATCATTGAGTCACGGGGACATATTTTGGTCCATAACTTTTTCAATTCTTAATCGATTTAGATAATTAATATATCAATCGAAAGCTATTGGTGTAAGGATTATTTTATCAAGCAAGATTGATCAGATCAACATACAAAAATTTACATTCTAATAAATATCAAAAATTACGATTATCTCTTCTTTACTCTTTTTAATTTTAATTAATAAAAAGGTATGGATTTGCCGGCACTCCTGGCTATTTATCCCCGGAAGTACTTAAAAAAGATCCATATGGAAAGCCTGTAGACATTTGGGCATGTGGTATAAAATAAATAAAAAGACTTTCTTAAAAATTATTTTTTAGGTGTAATTCTTTATATTTTACTTGTTGGGTATCCTCCTTTTTGGGATGAAGATCAACTTCGGTTATATGCCCAAATTAAAAATGGCGCTTATGATGTAAATTTTATTTTTAAATTAATTTAATTTTAAATTTTCTTTTACTTTTTAAAGTATCCAACACCCGAATGGTTGGTTTTTTTAAATTAATTTAAAAAATTTTTTAAGGGACACTGTTACACCAGAAGCTAAAGCACTTATTGATGCAATGTTAACATTAAATCCAAAAAAGAGAATCACAGCCCAAGAAGCTTTGAAAGTGCCTTGGATTTGTGTAAATTTTTTAATTAAAATTTAATTATTTGAATCGGTTATTAGGGTTAGGGGATATATAGAAGGGTTTTGAATTGGTTTATAGAGTGTTTCGAGTTAGGGAAGATTTTTTTTATTTTCCATACATCTTTCCGTCATTTAAATTTTCGATAAAATCTTCTTTCTAGGACAGACAAAGAGTAGCATCAATGATGCATCGTCAGGATACTGTTGATTGTTTGCGTAAATTCAATGCTAGACGTAAATTGAAGGTAAGTACTTTTTAAAATTAATTTAAATTTCTATATATTTTTGTGGACTTTTTTCTCGTTTTTTTCGATTTTGGTCGGTGTTTTGTTTATTTCTATGTCAGTGAAATTGTTAATGTTTTTTGCTAATATTGATATAAATAAATTTTTGTATTTTTTAACACTTTAAATGTTTTTATTGTTTTTTATTTTTTAATTTTGTGGGAAAATTTCTTCAAATTTTTTGTCCCCATTTAAGTTTATTTTTTGAGATTTTCTTTAAAGACTTTTCCTACAATTTTTGATAAAAACTGAGAAAAAAGTTCGGCTTTTCAGACTATGAGTTCACTGTCATAAATTGCTTAGTCATTGGGTCTTATGACCTATGGATGTCTAATGCTTTAGACTTGATTTTTACTTTGGATTAAAACAAAAAACCAAATGTGACAAGTCAAAAACAGCTTTAGACATGCCTTTCATTGTACTCATAGTCTGAACAATCGCCATAAATTTTCTTTTCTTTTCCTATTTTTGGCTTCCCTGTTTATGCCTTAAATTTTTTGAAATCCGATCTCCTTCATTTTAAATGAAAAAAAAAAGGTTTTTATCATTTTCTAGTACCAATTCCTTCTCCATCTTTTTTGTATAGGCAGTAATTTCTGCTGTGACAATGGTCAATCGGATGTCTAATGCCTTTCGAATTACACCACAAAGCAGCCGCTCAACTCCAACACCTCCACCCATTACCACTTCATCTCTCGACTCTGTAGATAGAGAAGGAAATACTTCAAATAATAAAAATGAGGTTATTGAGGGAGTTGGTTGGCGTTATCCAGCTTCTGTTAAAAATACAGCTGCCACTCAAAATGTTGATATTAATAATTGTTCTGTCATTGGTTGGCGTCCAGAAATGACAGTTAATCCTTCAGCAGTCCAAAACTTCGCTGAATCTTTGCCACCAAAAAGATCTGATTCAGCACCTTCATTTGCAGAAGAACAGCAAAACGAGGTGGTCAAAAATGCTGAAAATCCTTTTTTAATCCCTTTGTTTTTGTAGTGGCTTTGCTTATAATTTATTAGGGTTAATATTTTAAAGCGAGTTATTTTTTTTGTTTTTGTGTTTTTTTGTGAATGTGTGTCTATGTTTTTTTTAATATATTTTAAGTATTTTTTGTTTATTTGCTTTTATCTGTTTGCATATTTTTTTGTCTTTTTTCATTTTTAAGTTTACAAATTATTTTTAACATTATTTACAATTAACTTTTTGTTTTTTATACATTTATTTCCAAATAGAAAAGATAGGATTTACTAATTATTTAAATATATATTTAATTTTATTTTTAATTTAGGGTGCCATCCTAACAACAATGATAGCAACTAGAAATATGTCAAGTGAGTTTATATTATCGTTAAGGTTGTCCATGATTTACACGGAGAATTGCCAAATATGGCCATATTTATGCAGCAAAAAAGTTGCAAAATTCCCTAAAATGTGCTGCAAAAATAGCATATCCGCATACAAAACATGCAGTTGTATGTTTTGAACAACTCTAATTATTAATTAACCTTTTTGAAATGAATTTTAAAAATTAAAGAAAAAAATATTTTTTTATTTTTAAACTACAGGTCGAAATTTGTTGAATAAAAAAGATGTGCCGCCAAGTACAATCAAGGAGTCTACAGAATCTTCGCAAACTATTGACGATTCTGATGGTTTGGGTACCAGCTCAACAGCAGATAAAGGTGATTGATTGTTTGAAAGAAGTAGTTTATATTTTTTGGTTTTTGTGGTTTTGTATTTAACATTTAAGTTTGCTGTGAACTGGGGGTTTTTCGGGAAATTTTAGATTAGCCAAAATATTTTTTTGATAATTATTTGGATTTGCTTTTAAAATACCCCTTCTAAAAATTTTTTAAAAACTCAAAAATTTACTTAAATTTTCCCCTCTTTTTTTATTCTTATTTACCTTTTTGTCTAACATTTTCTTTATCTTTTTCGCTTTTTTAATTGCCAAAACAAATAAAAGTTTTTATTTAAAAATAATTTAGAATTTAAATAAACATTTTTAATAATCTTCATTTTATTTAAAATTTTATAATCTATTTAATTATTTTTAAAATCCAAAATAAAATTTAAATATTTAATAACCTTTTTGTTATTATTTTTGCACTCTGTCCTTGTCTTAAATTAATCTTCACAAAAATTTTACTTTTGTTTCTTATTAAAATTTTATTTTCCTAATTTTGTTTAATTTGCACATTTTATCCTTTTGCTGTTTTCTTAAAAAAGTTTTTTGCTGTTATGTACTCTTTTTTAAATTAATTTTTTTATTAACCTCTAATAGTTGTTTTAATCCAAAAATTCACAATTTTTTTATTTAACCCTTTTTTTAATTTTTATTTGTTTAAATGTATAGTGTCAGTTGTTTATTCCAAATTTTAACTTTAATTTTAATTTCCCCCTTTTTTAAATTTTTTTGCAAATTTCTAGCACTAAATAATAACTGTCACTATATTAAAAACAAATTAAAAATCTTTTATTTAAATAAAATAAATTATTTTTTCCTCTTTTTTTCTTCCTCTATAGCAGCTGCAGCTGCGCGTATTCAACATGAAAATACAGTTGTTGAGCGAGTGCCCAACAACAATAAGGGCCACCAAAATTCACCACTGGCTCCGATTAGTGGTGGAATGAATGCAACAATTGTTGGTGTTGGCAATTACTACAATTCTGCTGCTGGAGCTACAACTGCTTCTGCTGCCTCATCACCTGCTCCACCTCTTCCCGCACGCGCTTCCCCAATTCTTTCTGGTGGGCATTTTTGTGATATTTTTTATTTATTTTTATGTGGGTCTATTTTAAAATTTAACTCGAAGTTTTGTAAGAAAAATAATATAATTTTTTAAGGGGTTTATATTCTGTATTTAAATTTTTAATTTATGTATTACATTTATATGTTGGACAATAATTTAAATCCCTTTGTAGCTCTAACATGATAATGTAGAGTACATAGCATAATGTGCGATCTATTAGCTAGTTTCTATTCGAAAATTATCGTATAACTAGGGTTGGATGTTTTTTTTATGTTCATAGGTTTATTCAAAAGAATTTTCTATTTTTTATTGCACAAATTACATATGTACATATAAGATTTCGCTAATAAAATTCCACAAAAGAACACTTGTAACATGTCACACTTTTTGTAGCATGTCACATATTTTTTGTTTTTCATTGCTTTTTGGTTTTCTTTTGTTTTTTTTGTCTTCATTTTCTTTATTTTTATGTTATGTGTCTTATTTGTTAGGTTTTCACTATTAATGAAATCCGATAATAAATATATATTTGTTTTGGACTTGTTTTTATAAAATGCACAATATACATATGTATATATTTTTATTTTCCTTTCTTGTTTCTTTAATTAATGAATGCTTCAATGCTTTATTTCTTATTTACAAATTGCCCCAACTACTTTAGATAACATTTTTGAAAATCCAAACCTCGTCCAATTGTACATTTTTTGTTTCTGATACACTATACGTTCCATGAATCTTTATGTCTCACATAAATTTTTGTGCTAGTACTTCTAAAATGTTATAGTTAACGACTCAGATTCTGTATTTTTATTTCTGTATTCTGTATTATTTTTATTTCCATGATTTTACATTAGAAAATACTATTTTCGTTTAGGATTTATAATTATCTCAATTAAAGAGATAAATCTTTATTTTCTGCTTGCCTTTTAAATTTATTCTTCTTAAACGAACTTTTTTTTATCGTTTTCTTTTTTTTTATTTGTCAAGTTTTTTTAAAAAGTCAGAAATCAATCAGATCAAGTGAATTACAAACAATTTTTTCGTTTTTTAACTGACTAGAATGAAAAGAAACAAAAAAGCATTTGTGGTCTAGGCAATTGACTTTTTACTTTTTAAAAATCACAAATCCTTTCCTTCTTTAAAAATTCTGTTTTAACTTTACCTTTCTCTGTTTACTTTATTTTTTGTGAATTATTGATGTGTAAATTTTAATTTTAAAAAAATCTAAAATATTTCGAAAAAACTATTTAATTATTTTAATATTTTTATCAGAAAAATAAAAGTTTTAATTGTTTTTGAAGGAAAAACTTTTTTTCGACAAAATTTTGGTTGGCACCACTAGACACAAAGCTTTTCTTCTCTTTTATATTTTTCACACCTTTACTTTAGGCTCCCCGGGGAGTGCCATCCCCCCTCAATTCACTCAAAGCTATTCAATATATATCGAAATAAATTTTATTTTAAATGTTTCTTATATAAATATTTGTATAATTTTAAGATTATCAAGAAAATTGTATATAAATATACCTTTTTTTCACATTACCTTCAATTTATATTATATCAGAATTTTTGATTCCTCCAAATATATTTTTTTGTATTTACATACCTCTAATTTATCATTTAATTTTTCCAACATTAAAGTAAAGTCAAAAAATAATGTTAAAAGGTTTTGTACCCCTACTTAGTTCCTCTAATAATACAAATACAAATAATCAACAACAACAAAATAACCTTTCTTCTCCAATTTCATCCTCCTCCCCTTCCCCCAATCACAATCATCATCAATTTCTTCATCAACAACTTCCTCCATCAAATAATCATTCCGCCTTCTCTCAACCAACACCTGCCACCTCCTCTTTACTTTATAATGATGGAAAGAATAATAATAATAATATATTATTGTCTCCTTCAACATTTAGTAATAGTTCATCACAATTAACAGCTATTGCTGCAGTAATGAGTGGTAGTGGTATTTGTAGTACTAGTAATATTTCAGCATCAACTGTTAAGAGTAAGCAAGCAGCACAAAAAAAATTAATTAATCTTTTTTTATTTCTTTTTTTTTGTAAAAAATATTTAGTTTTTTGTATTTTTTGTTTGTCTGTTTATTTAAAATATTTTGGGAGAAGGGGATTTTTAAATATTATTTTAAAAAATAATAATTTAATATTTTAGCACAAAAACAAGAAATTGTTCGAGTAACTCAACAATTGTTAGATGCAATTTCTTGCAAAGATTTTGATTCTTTTTCGTTTGTTTTCTTTGTTAAATTTTAATTTAAAAATAATTTTTTTTAAAGAAAATTATGTGACCCAAACCTTACTTGTTTTGAACCAGAAACTTTGGGAAATCTTATTGGTTTGAATTAATTTTATTTTTTTTAATTTTTAAAATTAATTTTTTAAGAAGGAATGGATTTCCATAAATTTTATTTTGTTAATGGTAAAAAATTATTTTGAGATTAAAAAAATAATTATTTTTAGGACCACAAATTTTACCTGGTTCTGATAAACAACATCAAATACACACTACTCTATTAAATCCAAATGTTCATTTAATGGGTAAAAACTAGTTTTTTTTGTAGTGATTATAAATAAATAAATAAATATTTTTATTTTTGATAAACAACTTTTTAAATTTTTTAAATAAAAATAAATTTTTAGGTGATGAAGGAGCTTGTATTGCCTATATTCGATTAACACAATATATTGATAGGTGTTTTTTGTTTTTAATTTTAATTTTTAATTAAATTTTAAAAAAAGATTTGGAGAGGCACGTACCTGTCAAGCGCAAGAAACCCGTGTTTGGAAAAAAAGAAATGGAAATTGGTATTGCATTCACACACATCGTTCTGGTGGTTATTTGTTTAGATTTAAAAATAAATATATTTTTATTTAATTTTAGCTGGAGAATTGTCTTGTGTTTTTGCTGGAAGTAGTGGAGGGGGAAGTGCACAAACACCTCCATTACAACAAAATTCTTCTTACCAAAATTTCCATTAAAAATAATTTTAAAAAAATGTTTTTTGCGCTAGAATTTTTCAAAGAATACCACAAATGTATTAATTATTTTTTTGTGAAAATTATGATGAAGCTTTCCCTCATTCTTTTAAATTCGCTCTATTTTATTTTTCTCTTTTCGCCATTTTTTAAACCCATTTTTTGATTTTTTAAATTTGAAAATAAAAAAAGTTTTTGGCTTTCCCTTAACATCAATACCTTTCCCAGCTCTAACAAATCGACGGGGCATGGAAGGAAGTACTGTTTAGAATTCCTTGTATTCTTGGTTAATGGTTATCGAATCCAAATCATTTAAATATCAAGTTTAGATGGTTATGCCAATTTTTTAATATTTCCGAAAAACTTTTTCAATATTTTTCAAAAAAAAATCATTTTAATTTTCAAATCATCCCTTTCCCAAATTATAAAATTTAATTGTCCTCAAATTAATTTCAAAACTCTATTAATTATATACAGTCGGAAAACACTTGGATATACACTCTTAGGAACGAGAAAATGTTACACATAAGTACATAATGTGTACATTGGAGATATATATCTTGGCAGCCCCCTCCCTTCAATGACTAAATTAATTGAGATCCGATCTGTATATTTTTTTCTCTCTGGTCATTCTCTCTTTCTCTTTTCTGGTGATTTTAAATAATTAAAAATGTTGCTTATATTTTCTGTATTTTTAAAAATTTTTTATATAAATATTTTTTCTTTCCTTTAATCTAAAAAACGAAAAAAAATCATTTCACTTTTGTTGAAAAAAAAGATTTTTTAAAATCTATTTTATATATTTTTTCTAAATTTTCAATTAATTTTTATAAAAATAAATAAATTTGTTAGAAAATAATTCATTTAAACATATTTAGCAAAAAAAGACATTTCATCAACAAAACATTCACAAGAAACTCTAACATTTAAATTAAACTTTTCCCAAACTTGACATAACCTAAAAAAATAAAAAATAATTTTTTATTTAATAATTTACTAACGGCGTTCCAACATTTCTCAAAACAACAAAATTCATATATTTTTGTTTACATTTCCCATGAGCTTTAAAATTAATTTTCAAAAAATTAATTATAAAAAACAAACGATATTCATAAAAATATAAACAAGCTTTATCTTCATTGCAAACAACTTCGTTAATAAAGGGAGGGAAAAAATCACCAGGTAATTTTCTAATTGCTTGACAAGCACTACATAAACGTAAATAACCATCCTTTTTAAATTTATTTTTAAAGGAATATTTTAATCAAAACCTCAGAATATCCTCTTTTATCACACCCAAAAGGGACTATATGTACATCCCCTATTTGAGATTTTAATTGTTTTTTATTTTTAAAATCACTTCTTTTTCTTCTTTCGGAAGAAGAATTAAAAAGATTTTGAGCAAAAATTGTATTTCTTTTTTGTCTAGTCATCATTATATTCTCCTCCCCTTCCTCCTTTAAATTTTAAAATTAATTTTTAATTTCAACTTAATTAATTTACCCAATAACCCCCACGCATTGAAGGGGATATTATTGAATGTTTTGGATTTGCTCTGTTATTTAGTAATTATTTTTAAATTAAAAATTAATTTATTACAATGTTATATTGCCAAATCTTGATAAAGCCTCTGGAGTTCGGATATTCTAAAAATAAATATTTAATTAATTTTGGGGGTTAATTATTTAATTTTTAAAATTAATTAATTTATTTACACAATGTAATTTTAATTCTCCAAGCAACTTTTCCAAAGCTTCAATATTCCTTTTAATTGCTTGTTCTCCAGATTTTTGTGTTTTTATTTGTTTCTCATATTGATCAACAATTGAACGATCAAGAAATCTAAAAACGCCGCTAACATCCCAAGCCATTAATTCTGGATTGTAAGTCCCCTTCCTTTTTAATTCATCAACTAATTCTGGTTGACTTAGATGTTTACATTGATCGAGTATAGAACTTGTTAAATTTTTCTTTTAAAAAATAAATTTTAAATTAAAAAAAATTAAAAATTAAATTACAATAGAATTTTGAATAATTATTTTTGGAATAAATAATTTATTTGATTGTAATAAAATATTGGGTTTTGAATTGAATGTAGATGAAGTTGAAGATGTAGTTAATGAATCATTTAAAGAGTCATTTAAAATATCAAATTGAGGAGTATTTTCTTTTTCTTCTTTTTCTGTTGTTGAAATATTTTCTTTAAAAATTAATTTGTAAATTCTAATTTTTTCAATTTTAATTTCTTAAAAAAATATTTAATTTAAATATTACCACCAATATTTTCATTAAATGTTTGATTTAAAAGAGGTATTATTATTGTTGTATTTATTGTTGATGGTGTTATTGTTGTAATATTTTCTTCAGAATTATGGGGAATTAATGTTGTTGTTGTTTTATTTGTTAATTGAAGAGGACTTTTTCGAATATTTTCTTCAACATTTTTATTAAAAGAATTAATTCTATTTAATAAATATTTAGATCTCCAATTAGGTAATGAGGAAGATATTGCACTTAAAATTAAATTAATTTAAATATTTTAAAATAGAGAAAAAACCTTTTAATTTTAAAATTATCTTTAATTAACTGTTTAATTAATTTATTTTTATTTAAATTATTTTCTCCTTCTTTTTCTTCTTGTAAATTATTTTCATTATTTTCCATTGTATTTAAAGCTGTATCTATTGTTGTTATTATTCTTTTTAAATTTTCTTTATATTTTTGAAGTTCTTCAACTAAAAAATAAATAATTAAAATTTGTTAAATATCCAGAAAAATGAACTAAGAAAAAAGAGGGAACTGACAGTTTAATTAGAATAATTTCTAAAGAAAAACCCCCTACTACTAACAATTAATATTATTTAAATCTCCATTTTCGTGTATTTGTTTATCTAATTTTAAAATAGCCAAATTTAATTCTTCTTTTTTAATTAATTTCATTTCCAAAAATTCTTTTGATTCGTCTTCTTTAATTAATAAATTATTATTTTCTTCTTCTGTTATTTGTTTTGTAGTAATGTTGTTCTCTTCTTCTTTTATCTAAAAATTATAAATAAATAATTATTTTTAAATTAAAATTAACTGTAAAATTATTTAAAGGTTTTGAAGTTGTTCTAGTTTCAAAAAATAATTCTTTTGTTGAATTAAATAAATTAATATTTTGTTGTTCTATCGTTGTTGAATTTGTTGTTGAATTTTCTGTTAAATTATTTGTTAAATTAAAAGTAGGGAATGAAAAAGTAGTAATTATTTTTGTTGTTGTTAAATTATCTAAATAAATAAATATTTAAATTAATTATTTTTTTTGTTTTTACTTAATTCTGATTTTGTTGTAGTGTTTACAACATTAAATAATTGTGTTGTGGGTAAAATTGTTTGTTCAGTAGTTGTTGTAGTGGAAGTTGGGAAGGAAACAGAATTTGTTGTTGTAGTATATAATATTTGGTTATTATTGTTGTTTATATTATTTTCTGTTGTTTCTTGATTAAAATTAATTTCTTTAAAAGAAAAATTAAAAATATTTATTTTAATTAATTACCATTTTTTGTTAAATTAATTGTTGTTGTTTCTTCAATTTTAATTTCTTTATTAATTAAATTTGTTGAATTTAAAATAGTATCTTTAATTTCCTCCTTTTCTTTCTCTTCTTTTTTTGTTGTTAAATTAAATAAATTATTTGGATTAATTATTGTTGAATTAATTGAATTAAATTCTAATTTAAAAAATATTTTTTTTAAATTCCACAAAAAAATCCACTAACCCTCCCCCTCCTTCCCCTCATTATTATTTAATATTTTATTTTCTTCTTTTTCATTTTTTGTTTTATTAAATTCTTTTTCAATTTCAATTCCTTCTTCATCAATAACATCTAATAATTGTAATAAAACTTGAGCATTATTTTCATTATTTCCTCCCTCTTCTTCTTCTAAATCTTTACTAAATTGTATATCTAAATTATTTTTGTCTAAAAAAATAATTTAAATTTAAATTCTCAATTAAATACCCAAAATTTCATTTCCCTCCTCTTCTTTAAAATAATTATTATTTTCTTCACTACTATCATAATCAAATAAAGACAAAAGTTCTTGTGTCAATTCTTCTTCATCAGAAATTGAAGATAAATTAATTGTTGAGATTTTCTAAATAAATATTTAAATTTAATTTTTATTTTTTAATTTTTTTCAAAACTTTTTTCAATTCATTTGCCAATTTACTTTTTTCTATAGCCGAAAGAGAAGCAGAAAGTCCATTTAAAAGAATTAAAAAACAAAAAAGAAGAGTTGACAGTTTGTGGATTTGCCAAATTTTTTGTTTAAAATATTTTAATAAAAATAATCTTTTATTTAAATTTTTAATTGTTTTTGTTGTTTTTATTAAATTAAATTCTTTATTCATTTACCCCCTTTATTTAAAAATAATTTTGTCAAAATTAGTTATTTTATGAAAAATTCTTATAAAATATTTTTACATCGTCCTACCAATTTAAAAAATATTTAAAATTTATATAACCCAAAAATTCGGACTATTTTGGGGTTGTTTAGTTATGGTTGAGGGGTTGGGATTTTTGGGGTTGAGATTCGTGTTGGTGTAGGACAAATCGTTCAAAGGTTAACACTCGGGTTTTAGCGTCTTTGGCAGAAATTTTGGTAAATATTTTGACTTAAAAATCTTGATCAAGATTTTATTTAAATAAACAAATTCATTATTTCGTAATAGAAATAAATTTTAAATAATGCCCAACAAAAATAGGCGGCGCCAATTTGATGGCGCCGAAAAGTACATATAAAGCCTAAACCTTGTGAAGCCTAAACCTTTAGGATTAAAACGACTATTTGGCGCCAACACAACCTGGCGCCAAAATTATTTCTTCACTTATAAATTCTAAGGTCGACAAATTTTATTACAAGACTTATATCATTTGTTAATGTATTATATCAGTTGATAGTTACGTTGGAATTATTTTTTAATGGATAAAATTTAACAAAAAATTTATCGAAACAAAATATTGGCGTCAGATAGTTGGCGCCGAATTGTCCACTTCCGCTTCCCCTATAAAACCTAAACCTTTTGACTTCAAGTTTTAAGCAAAAACTTGAAACCAAAAGGTATAGGTTTTATAGGGGGAATTGAAATGGACAATTCGGCGCAAATTATTTGGCGTTAACATTTTTCTCTATGAAATAAAAATGATATATTGAGACAAAACTCGAATGTTTTCTCTTATTTGTTCAAGTAAATTTGTAATTTAATAATTTAATTATTCAAAAAATATACAAGGTAATAAACATGACTTGAAAATCTAAAAAAGTTTTCTTTTCAAATATTGTTTATCTTAAAATGTTATTTACAAAGCCTTGTTAGTATTTAATTCAGGGTTCCGATATGTCCAGATTTTGCCTCATTTCGTGGTTTTTTGATAGGCCGAGGAGGATTATTTTTAAAAAAGCGGACTTTTTTGCTTAAAATTGTTGATTTTCAAAAATTCGCGATCGGAATTCTAATTTAATTTAAATATTTATTAAATATAAAAAGTTTTGTGAAAAAATAAAAAGTGAAAATTAAAAAGAAAAATAAAAATTAAAAATCCTTAAATTTTAATTAAAATATATATCCGTTTGTTTGTTTGTGATATATCAAAATAAATTTCCTGAAAAGGCGCCCCCACACAATATTAACTAAATTATTATAGTTTAAATAGAAATGAGCGGTAAATTTTTGTTAATTAATTAATAACTGGTTTTTATCTTTTTTTAATTAAATCTTCTCTTATCCGTTTTTATTTTCTGAGCGGATAAATGATTAATAAATATTTTTAATTTTTCCCTTTATTTTCCAGAAAAGTATTTTATTTAGTGTAGTTGATTATCGACTAAAAATAAAAGAATAAATTTTGGGATTAAAAAATAAATTTAATTTTTTAAAATTTAATTTTAATATTCTAAATTTTCAAAACTTATCAAGAAAAAATTATTTTTTTCTAAAACCCTTCTTCCATTTATTCAAATAGAAATTACATTTAAATTAGAAAAAAAACTTCGGTAAAAGAGATCACAAAATATTTAAAAAAACAAAATTAATTTTAAAAAATCCTTTCTTTTCAAATTTTCTTTTAAAAATATGTCGATTCCCAAACAAACGGAGAGGTTGCTATTGACCGTTTCCCCATAGAATTTAAACGTTCTAATGACAGAAGACCTTTAAAATAATTTTTAAAATTAATTTTTAAATTAAATTAAATAAAAACAACCATTTATAAATTCGGCACTTCTTCGTTTCGAAATATATTTTGATGGTGGAAATGATGAAACTTGAAGGGAAAGTAGTTGTTGATTTATCTATAAATATTTAAAATTAATTATTGTTTTTTTTAAATAAAATAAATAAAATATACATTTAAATTTGAAGAAGGAATTATTAAATTTTGTTGTTCTTTATTTAAAGGTTTTGAATTTGTAAAACTTTTAAATAAACAAAAGAACAAAATAATTGTAAATATTTTATTTTTAATTATTTTTGTTGTTTTTATTTTATTTAAATTAAAGAACATTTTGTTTTTAGTAAATTAAAATTTATTAGTAAACTAAATTTAGAAAAATTTTTTTTAAATATTTTACTAAAATTTCAGAATTTTTTGGCATATTTTTGTTGGTGATTCCAAACCGGACAACGAATAAAGCAAAATTAATCTTCACGGTATCCAATTATTAGAGACCTTGAGTTAGGTGGTGAGGATGGGAACTTGAGAATTGAGGACGGGGAATTAGCTGAAGAAAAAACGGCCAAAAATTTCAGGACTAAGAAGGAAGTTTTTAACTTCCTCTTCTGTCAATTTTTCACTTTTTTTGAGAATTTATAAGGAAATGTTCTTTTAATTAATCTTTTTAGTACATAAAATGTCAAAGAAAAAAGAGTGATGAACACTTTTTAATGATTTTTAGTAAAAAATATATTCTAAGAAAAAAAATATTTTTTAAAAATGAAAGAGAAATTAATTCAATTGAATTTTTTCTTGTTTAAAATTGGATTTTTGAGGTTTTTCTAATTTTATCGAAAATTGTGAAAATAATTCTTTAGGCAAAATTTTACAAAAAAATCCAGAAGATAAAAGGATTTTTTATATTTATTTAATTATTTTTGGATATTAATTAAACCTGAAAAGTATGAATGATTTTTAGAGAAATGCTTAAAATAAATAGAAAGAAAAGGATATTAGATGATGTTACTTTTATTTAGTATTTATAATAAAAATAAATTATTAGTAACATTTTCCATCGTTGAAATAGTTGAAAATACTTAGATTTGTTCGTACTTGGAGTACCAATTTGTTCGTACTTGGAGTACCAAGTACGAATTTTGGTACGAGCGTTTAATCATTAGTAGGAGGTATTTAATATTTAATTTTAGTTGCTACAAATTTTAATTCGAATTATTATTTTATTTGCTAATTTATTTATTATTTAAATTTAATGACAAAACTTGTTCAAGTTATACTCTATTTGAGTAAAAGCAACAAATATATAAATAATGTCAAGACATCCATCAAATAAAAAATTAGGAGGAGGAGGAGGACTTTAAGTAAAGTAGAGGTGTTTATATATTTATATATTACATGAAATGACATATTTTTTTATTCTTTTTTTAGTAAAAAATTTAATTTAAAAGGAAAAAACGAGAGGAAAGATGAAAGGACGGGGCGGACATTTACAAACATATATTTATAAATGATTTTGAGACTTTAAAAAAATAATAATAAAACTTTAATCTTGAATAAAAAAACTTTACATTTCGTCGTCAACAAAACAATTAAAGAATTAAAAAGTGTTTTAAATAATTTCTATGTCCTCTTAATATTAAAGAGTTAGGATTTTTAAGAGAATTATCACAAACTTGTCCAATTCTTTTCTGTTTTGTAAAAAACTCTATTTTTTTAATTTTATTTGACGAATTTTCTAGATTTAAATTTAAATTAAAAATAAAATATTTTAATAATTTTTTATTTGTTTATTTAAAAATTAATGCATATATCATTATAAAATACTCAAATTAATTTGTAAAAGCTTTTAAATATTTACATACACAAAAATTAAAAATAAAAAGTTTTTAAATTATTGCGTAAATAAAAAAATATTTTTTAAATCTGTTTTTAGTGGAAGAAAAGTTTTTAAAAAATAAAAAGATTTATTTAAAAAGTACAAAATAATGATTAAATATATATTTTTTTCGAGAAAAAGTTCCTTTTAAAAATCTTTGCCCTTTCATTTATTTAAAAATCTCTGGAGATTAAAAACAAACTTTTTGTTAAATTTTTAAAAAAATATTTTAAAATAAAATTTAAATATGTAAAATTAAAAGAAAAAATATTTTTTTAAATAAAAAGGGGGAGAAAGATAACATAAATTAAATTAAATAAATTGACAAAAAAATGAGCAATTAATTAATTAAAATATATTTATTGTTGTTGTTTTTGTACTAAACATTTCTAAAATACCCAATCTATTTGCAACTTCCATAAAATCATTTGCATTATTTAATTCGTCAACAACTAAAATTATTTAAATTATTTAAATATTGTTTTCAGTTTCCATTTACTATTATCATTTGGGGGCATCATTCCTGGAGGGTTCCCACTAATTATTGTTGTTGTTGTTGTTAATTCATCTTCTTCTTCTCCCTCTTCCCCCTCTTCTTCTTCCTTCTCTTCATCTATATTTTCTAATAAATTCGGTTCAATTTCTGTTGTTGTAGATATTAAAGGTTTTGAAGTTGTTGTTGTTGTAGGAGGGGAGGGGAAAGGAGGAGGGGAAGGGGAGGAAGGAGAGGCAGAAGGAGGGGGAGGTAATGTTGGGGATATAGAAAATACTCTTTCCCTAATTAATTGTTTAGCTTTTTCCCTTTCAAATGACGAATCTTCTACTAATTTTATTTTTGATAATAAAATATTTTCATGTCTTTTATCATTTGGTAATTGTTGGTGGTGTTTATTTATTGTTGTTTTTGTTGTTGTTAACTAATTAAATAATTAAAAAGAGTTTTAATTTAATTATTTACATTAATTTTTTGTCTACTTTCCCCGATTTTTGTTTTTCCTTCATTTTTATTAAAAGAATTTCTGTTGCTACTAATTTTTTCTTTGTTTATATTTTGTCTTCTTTTTAATTCTAAATTTAATTGCTGCTCTTGAATTTGTTTATTATTTCTTTCTTTTTGTTTTTTGTTTAATAATGATTGAAGAAATAAACGTTGAGAAGGTGTAGAAGGAGTATTTACTTTAAATTTACATAATTATTTTTGTAATCCCCCCCCCCCTCCAAACCTTTAGGTATTATTTTTGGATTTCTCAATTTATTATTTGATTGAATTGGCAAAATTATTGTTTTCTATAAAAATTAAAATTAATTTAAAATTAATTAATTAAACTTACAGTAAATTTAGTTATTTTAGGTATTTGATTATTTTTGTTAATTAATGTAGATGAAGAAGTAGATATTAATGTTTGGGGCTTTAAATTTTTAATTCTTGGCAAAATATTTCTTTAAATTAAAAAAAATTTTTTAAATTTATTTAAACAATACTTCCCTTAATAATTTTAAATTAAACTTTTTGGGTTTAAATATTCGTAACCAAAAAGTCCTCCAAAATTTTTGGGATTTTGCGAGTTCCAGTAATTTCCCAGAATTTAAAAATTATTAGAAAAAATTAAGTTTATTTTAAATAAATTTTTTTATTTTACCCTTCAGGAATTCGTCTATTACTATTAAATTTTAAACGTTTTGTTGTGTTATTTATTATTATTGAATTACTACTAGTTTTTGATCTAACAAAAAATAATAAATTAATTCAAAATATGTAAATAACCTAAATTGTTGAATAAATTGTTGTTTCTATTTAAAAAAAAATTAAATTTAAAATTAAAAAAAAATAAATAAAAATTAACCAAAAAATTATTTTTAGAAGAAGATATATTTAAGGGTTTTTGTTGTTCTACAAATTTAATAAAAAATAATAAATTAATAATAATTATTATTATTTTTAAATATAACATTTATTTAATTCTTTCTAAAAATTAAAAGAAGTAAACTTTTCTAAACATTTAAAATCAAAACATTGTTTAATTATAAAGAACAAATACAAAACAAATTACAAGAATTTTTTGAGTAAAAGAATTTAATTTTAAATTAAATAAAAAAATAAAATTAATTTTTTAATTAAAAAAATATTTGAAGAAAAAAGGGGGAAATACTTATTTAATAAAATACAAAATAAATATATTTCTCTCTCCCCTCTTCAATTTTTGTATTTATCCGGCAATTATTAATAAATTATGTCCATTTCCAATTTATAATTTTAGCAACCCTTAGGGAAGTTTTTGTGAAAGAAATAAAGAATATACGGAAAAAGAATATTTTTGTAAATATTGAATTATGTATAGATTTTTAGTTAAAATTCAGAACAGCTTTTCCTCAAAAAAATACTTTTAACAAAACGAGAAGAATCAAGAGACGACAAGAAGCCAAAAAATGGAGAAATTTGAATGTTTATTTTAAATATTAAGTTCTACTAAATATTTTTTTGTTTCTGTTATTGTTTTGTTATTTTATTCTTTTTTCTTTTAACCTTTATTTATTTTTTACTTTATTTTCTATTTTCTCTCCCTCGTTTCAATTTGCCACCCGTAATTAAAGGAAAAAAGAGAAAATGCATTATTTAATGTTTAACAAATATGTGCAACCTTCCAAAAAAGCTAATTAAGTATAAAATAAATATTTGATGGAACAAAAATAAAGAAGAAAAAATAAATAAAAATTTTGGAAAAATATTTTTATTTCTTTATATTGTCAAAGGCCAATACATAAATAATTTAGATCGAAAAATAAAAAATATTTTTTTGTATTAATTAACAGGTTATGAATGGAAAATAATTTTTGATTTAATATTAATACATATTTTTTAATGTTTTTTAACTAACAAAAGGAACAACTTTCAATTAAATAATTAATTTTTCATAATTGGAAATGCTTTAGTATGTAAAGCTGTAGCTATTTTTGTATTATCTACTTTTCTATAAACATCAGCAGAAGTATAACTTAAAGTACGTCCTAATTTAGTTACCCAAGCATCTATTAAAATTGTTTCACCTAAAAAATAAATTTATTTTTAAAAAATATTTTTTTTAATTTTTACCAATTCTGGCAGGAGCCAAATAACTAACAGTTAAATCAACAGTTACACCAGCCTTTCCCTGAGGTGTTGCCATTAAAGCTGTTGTTGTTACAATATCCACTAATGTTGCTGTCATTCCTTTAATTATTATTTTTAACACAAAATTAATTAACTAAATACACACTAAAGTTTCACCGGAAGTTCTGGTTCCGAGATCCGGAACTCAAATTGGATCCGGTTCCGGTCAAAACTTCGGTTCCGGTGAAACACTAATACATATGCACCTCCATGTAAAGTGCCAAAAGGATTTGTATGTTTTTCTTCAACTTCCATTTCTACTTTAACTCGCCCTTCTTCTACTTCAACTACTCGACACTTTAAAATTAGATTTAATAAAAACGTATATTTTTTTAATTTCCAACTTTTTCAGCACATCTTTGAAAATTTTTTGATATAGCATACACTTTATATAAATCTTTAATTGTATTTAAATATTTATTTGTTGACATTTTCTGTAAAAATTAGAGAATTAATTAAACAAAAAAAAATTTTTTTAATAAAATCCCCCTCTCATTTTTTTATTTATTTTCCTTTTTTTCACAAGAAAATATTTTAATCTTTTTTAACAAAAAATTTAGTGAAAAGAAAATAAAAACAAATGTTCTCTTTCCCCTCTCCCTCTCTCCGTCAAAAATCATAGATACCCTTTTAATTAAACCTTTATCTTTTAAATTCTTTTCAAAAATCCCAAAGAATTATTTCCTAATCAATCAATATAAAATTCAAACAAAAAATGTACGGACATATTTGTCGAAGCCGTTCAACAGCTACATTAACCCCCGAAAGTTTAACTAACGAGCCCCTCCCAAAACTTTGTAAATCCCAATCTTCTTTAAATATTGCCCAGCGTTATTCTGATATTAATTCCCCAACAAGGTTTTGAATAATTTAAATTTAAAAACAAAATTCTCCCCAACAGATACTGGCCAAAAAACAAACCCTATTACTGGCCCTTAACTAGCAATTTGTGCTCTATTGTCTCCAATTATTTTTACTACCCATTATTTCGCTCTTATTGGCCCTCTTATCGAAGTTATTTGGTAATTCCCTTTTTTTCTAAATTAATTTTTAAAAAAATTCCCTTTTAGTTAGAGACAAATTGGTATAATCGAAAATTTGATCGTTACCAATTTTTACCTTCAGACCCTTATTACAAGTATTTTTAATTATTTTTAATTTCCTTACATTTTTTTAAAAAGTTATTGGCCTCTTCGAAGTAGTTATTATTACTGGTAAATTTAAAAAAAATTAAAAAAAAATTATTTAATAAAATATTCTACATATTTAGGTATCATTATCCTTATTTTAAACGTTGGTATGGAAATTTTTAAAATTTTAAAAATAAAAAAAATGTAAATGAAGATTTAGAATTTAAAAAGAACAAGAAAAAGAGAGAAGAGATAATTTTTAATAAAATTTAATTTTTAATTAAATTCAATTTATTCTTTTTTTAACAAAAATTTTGTCAATAGAAAATACATAAATGATAAAAATTAATTAATTATTCTTCTCTCTCTAATTATTTAATGAATATCAGAAAAAAAATATTCGTTAAAAAATTGTTAATAAATGTGTACAGAATAGAAAAAAATATATTTGAATATCATTTACAATTTAAAAAAGGTAAAAAGAAAATTTACAGAAAAGGAGAAAAAGGTTATCTAAATAAATAAAAAATTAAAAAAATATTTTTTTGATAACCCTTTTAACCTCTTTTTTTAAAAATTAAATTTAAAAAATTAAAATTTAAGAAAATTTAAATAAATTATTTTTTAAATATCGCAAGAAGAGGAAAAGAAACGTCTACAAACACCTTCAATTGTTGCCAACCCCAACCATCTTTCGACCGGCCAAAGATGACTTTCTCGATAAAGTCTTTCATTTTTATGCTAAATTTAAACAATTTATTTAATCAAAATTTTATTTTTTACCAAAGAAATACGAATTCCCTCAATTTTCTGTCCATTTTGTCCATTAAAAATTTGAGAATTAAAAACAATTATATTTTTAGTTAGTGGATGGGAAAAAATAAAAGCACCTCTAAAATTAAAAAATATATTTTTTTTCAATTTTTCAAATGATTCCTTACTCAATTTCTCGAACTTCAAATTTAACACCAATTTTTTGTGCCAAATTAAATAAATTATTTCTTTCATTGTAAAGTAAAAAAGGGTCGGTAATTCTTTGAAGGCAATCCTTTAAAAATAAAAAAAAGAAATTTATTTTCTTTTTCACAAAACTGTTGGAATTTCTTGTATCAAAGTACTACAAGAATCTGCAGAATTAATTTGAGGTATATTTAAAATTGAAGAATTTAGTGTTGTTGATTGTCCATTATTTAATGAAGAGGAAGATAATTGACTTTTTAACTAAAAAATATTTTTAAATAAATTTAATTATTAATTTACATTAAATAAAGTATTTATTGAATTCTCATTTTTGGATAAATTATTTAAATTAATATTTGTTGCCAAACTTCCATAATCGCCTTCTTCTTCATCCCAATTTCTTCTTCTTTCGTTTAAATTCTAATTAAATAACTTTAAAAAAAATTTAATTTTCTCCACCTCATTTAATCCAATTGAAGACAAACTACAACTTTCCCCACCAAAATTCCTTCTTTCAATTAATTGTGAATCTGTTGTAAATGTAAAGGAAGATAAACTACTTGGAATTGGTGATTGAAGATTTTTAATATTTTCATTTTTATTTAATAATCCATTTCTTTGAAAATTATTTAAATGTCCATTACTATATTTTCCCATCAGAAAATCACCATAATCTTCATTTTGAGATACTTCCTCACTTTCTTGTTCAGACCAAGAATTAGTTTGATTTGTTAGATTATTAATTTTTGATAAATTTATTTTTGATTGTTTTTGCCTAAAAAAATTAATTAAAAACAAAATCTATTTATTTCACTTTTGTCCACGAGATATTAAATCCAAAAATCCCCCATCAACAACATTTTCACTAGCCATATGTTGAGAACGGATAAAATTTTTTAGATGTTTTCTTTTATTATTTTCTTCTTTTTGTTTATTTAAATAATCTTTAGATAATCCAATATCGTCTTCACTTTCAATTACTTGAATATTTTCTTCAGAACTAGTAGAATAATTGTCAGTAAATGTTCCCCTACCAAACATAACCTTTTTAAAAACTTTAATATAAATTCATTCTAAAAAGAATTTTTTAAATTTAAAATATTTAATTTTAAAGGTAAAAAATAAATTAAATCATTTTTTTAAATAAAAATTTTTAAAAAAGTTTATTTTGTAACAAAATGGAAAACTACATATTTAGTAATTCTGTTTTCATGGTCAAAAAATACATATTCATAAAATTTCTTTTAATATTTCAAAAAAAAGTTTTGTAAAGAATTACTTGAAAAAATAAAAATAATTTTAAATAATTTAAAGTAACTGGGTGTTCTCGAGATAAAGAAAAATTCCCCGAGTAGCATATAAAAAAGAATTTTTTAAAGAGATTTGTCAATAGCATGTATTTATATCGGCGAAAAAATAAATAAAAGTATTTCTACCGGTTTCGCCTCTAAAGCACTTTTTATTTTTGATTGAAATTAAATAGCTAAAAAATTTAACTAAAAGTGCCCTCATAAAAGAATTACAAAACAAAAAATGTAGAAAATAAAAAAAAAAAGTAAAAATAAAAACTTGATAAAATGAAAAAAGAAGGGAGAAACTTAAAAATAGAAATAGGTAATTCCAAATAAATTGTTTTTGTGGTAATTAAAGTAGATCCAAATCAGACCGAGCACATAAACGGCGAAATTCATTCTGAAAATATTAAAATTTAAATACTTAATAAAGTTTATATGTCTTTCAATGTTTTTAAAATGTTATTCTAAATTTGAAAATAATATCTTTTTACGAGTAAAGAGATAAATTACGAATCGTGTCCAATTAAATAACAAAAATTTAAATATTTAACCTTTTTTGCAAGCAAAAATAATTTCTGGCAACTCTTTGGTACGTTCAGAAATTAATCCTTGAGGATTTTGTACTGGCTTATCAATTGGATGTTTGCAAATAAAATATTGATGACGCTGTCCAGAAGTAATTTTAATTGTACTCTTTCCGCCAATTTCCAATTCAAATTCATGAAGTTTAAGTTCCGGACAGACAATCAAAATAACATAATTTGCATCTGCCTTATTCTGAATATTTATTTTAAAAAATATATCAAAAATTAATTTACAGTTTTTAATGCGTGCACAAACAAACGAGCAAAATTAGGATCACGAATTTCACAATATAACTTTCTTGGCCCTTTTTTAGCCTTTCCATGCAACCATCCAAATAATTTCTTTAAAAACATTTTTATTAAAAATATTTTAAAGAAAAAATATTTAAAACCTTCATTCCAATTGAACCAAAATCTAAAATAGAATTAGCACTTGTCAGCATAACATGAAGTTCAGGAATGCGATCCAAAGCTGAATTTTTGATTATTTTTAAAATAAATCGTAAATTTCATACCAGACAGTTCAAGAAGATTTAATTGCACAAATCCAATTTTTAACAATTCACATCCAGAAAGTAAAGCCGTAGTAAGAGATTTCATTTTGCCTATAGCTGAAATAATAAATTTTTTGAAAATTCATATAAATTTTTTAAAATTATACTTTCAGCATCATTCAGCAGAACAGTCACAGAATTATAAATATTCGCTTTTTTGAAGAAAACTCCCATAGTTCCAACAAACATAGCCATGTCATTGCGAATTGGCTCAGAATGTTCAACTCTTCCAGTAATAATTAACCTTTTCAGAGAAGCAACAGTTCCGTCAGAAATATTCTTTAAAATATTTTAAAAATTAAACAAAAAATTTTAAAACCTTATAATTAAATTTTCCCTCTTTTCCATCAACATTCCCCTCAATATCAATTTCCAATTGACAACTTAAATAAAACAATACTTATCATTTTAATTACAAACTAACAGTGGAATCTTCTCTTCCTGTTTAGGCTGATAATTTTGTTTAGAAGGTCTTGGCTCGTAATCACGGCCACCACCACCATAATCACCACCACTTCGCTTTCGATCGTTATATCCTAAAAATTATATTTAAATAAAAATGAAATATAAAATTAAAACCGTTATTATGATTTCCATTGTAACGACCTCCACCTCCCCCACCACCACCACCATAGCCATTTCCGCGATTCCCTCCATCATAGTTATTACGACCTCCTCCGCCGCGATTATCGTTGTTATGCTGCGGCGGACCACGTCGGTCATAGCCTCCTCCACGTCCACCTCCTCCATTCCTTTGGTCACGATATCGGTTATTATCCATTAAAAGGTGAATATATTGATAGAAAACTAGTCGTTATCTGAAAACACAAAGATTGCGGATAAGATGTAAACGAGGTCACAAAATTTATTGAACGAAAAATGCGTAAAAGAAGAAAAAAAATAATTTTAAAAATTTAAAATTACATAATGCCAAAAATAATTTTTCATTTTATCAAATCTCACTTGACCAAAAATGATTTTGTAATTATTTAAAAATTCCTTTTAAAGTTTATATTTGCATTAATAAATGGATCAAAATAATCAAAATAATTCTGGTGTTGAATCGGAAGTAAATGGTTCTACTGAAGCTGAATCCAACACAAATATTCAATCTAGAAATATTTTTGATTTGACTGGCGTTCCAAATACAGAAACGGTTTGAATTTAGATAAATTTAAAAAAAAAGATATTTTTAAGTCAATTGATTTAAATCAAATGCGTGTTGATACAATTCCTGATTTGTCACGTTTTAAGGATTTAGAGGTTTTTTTTTGTTTTAAATTTTAAAAATTTATTTTTTTTATAGTTTTTGGGTCTACGCCAAAATTTGCTTACTAGTTTAAACACAAATATTTCTTTATTAATAAATCTCACTGAACTTGAATTATATGACAATCAACTAACAGAAATACAAGGAATTGAAAATTTAATTAATTTGGAAATTTTGGATTTAAGTTATAACAGAATTGGAAAAATAAAAGGTTTTTTTAATGTTTTAAATTAAACAAAATTATTTTTAAAGGTCTTTCAACGCTTTCAAAACTTCGTAAACTTTTTCTTATAAATAACAAAATTGAACAAATTGAAGGATTGGAAGGATTAATTTCCCTTAAATTATTAGAATTGGGAGATAATAAAATTAAAGAAATTTGTAATTTAAAGTATTTAATTAATTTAGAAGAATTATTTTTGGGAAAAAATAAAATTAAAAAAATTGAAGGAATTGATTCTCTTGTTAAATTAAGAATACTTAGTTTACCTGTGAGCTTTTTTTTGTTTTTTAATTTAAAAAATTTTTTCAATTTTTAGGCAAATCGTTTGACAAAATTGGAAGGTTTGGAAAATTTGGTGGAATTGGAAGAATTACATATAAATGACCAAGGAATTGAATCTTTAAATGGAATTGAAAATCAGGTTTTATTTTTTTAATTAAAAGGAAATTTTACATAAAAAAAAGGTTAAATTGCAATTACTTGATGCTGCTGCAAATTCAATTTCTTCTTTGGATAATTTGGGACATTTACAAAAACTTGAAGATATTTGGGTAAAATAATAATTAAAATTAAAAGTATTTTTAAATTTTTAAAGTTAAATAATAACAAAATTTCTTCTTGGTTTGAAGTCGATAAATTATCTAAATTAGAATCTCTTAAAACAGTTTATCTGGAACATAATCCAATATATAATGAAGGGTGTGCTAATTATAGAAGAAAAGCAATATTAGCACTTCCACAAATACGGCAATTGGATGCTACATTTTGTAGATGACTTAATTAAAAGAAAGTGATTTTTAAATGTTTTTTTTTCTGTATTTGAAATTTTCTGAAAGTATTTTTAAAAATATTTTTTGATTATTTGTTTTAAACAATTTTTTAAAAATTATTTGAAAAATAGCTTTGACAAGTTTTTAACAGTTTCCTTTAAATTCTATAATGATGCCTTCAACATCAGATGAATCGAAAGAGAATAACAATCCAAATAATGAACATCAACTAAATAAATATGCTCCAAGACAACCAGTAAATAATTATTTTTAAATTTAAAATTAATTATTAAATTTTAAGTGGAGCGATTATTTTATTTGGTTACAAGAGAATATGCAAAAATTTATTGACAAATATGGAAAAATGTAATTTAAATTAATTCATTTTTATAAGAAACAATTTTTAGAGATTATCTTCGACATGCAATTACTGAATGGCAAAATATGCCTGTTAAAGAAAAATTAATTTGGGCAAAAAAATCAGAAAAAGACAAGAGAAGATACCAACGTGAAGTTGTTGAATATTACAAATTGAAATATCAAAATGTGGAAGAACAAGTTGAATAAAAATATTTAAATATTTTTCTCTTAAAGATTTCTTTTTGAATTTTTAAAAGTTAGACAAAAACTACAATAAATTCAGAAATACACTTTAAATATATTTATTCTTGTTTAAATAAAAACAAATGTCAATTATTATAACATCACAGTTATTATGCTTGTAACTGTCTAAATTGGTCATTAAAATAAAAAAATGGCTTGCGGACCCCAAGGAATGAGTCTGTTTGAAATTTAAGAAAAATTATGGAAACAAAGCATTTTAGAGGAGCCAGGTCTTTAAATAAAGATAAATGCAAAAAATATATAAACATCCCTCAAAAAGTTAGAACATTCTTTAAAACAAAATATCTTTTCTTTTCAATTTTCCTTTTTAACAACTCCATTTGCAACATTTGATTTACTAAAACGCCATTCATCAATATTTAATTGATTTGTTTGTAAAGACCATCCTTGGCCAGTCATTGACTCTCTAAATTGGCAAATTTCTTCTTCTGTTGGCCAACTTTTAAATTAAAAAAAATTCTTATTTTAAAAACTTTCAATACAAAACCTTTTTGTTAATCCAAAATATTCTAAAGAAAAAAGAGAATTAAACATATCCTCTTGTGTAGCCCCATCAACGGCAACCATCCAACCAATTTTTTCAATTTTGTCAACAACACAAAGTAATTTCCCTGTCCATTTCCAACAAATATTTTCTTTTTCTTCAATTTCTTTACTTAAAAATTCTAAAACACTGATATTTTTTGGTAAAGAAGATAATGGACATCCAAGATTTAAATGACAAAAACTTTTAATTAATGGAACCAAAATTGGTTCTTTTGCATTACAATATTGAACTGAAGGTGCTTTGCCGTTATTTAAATAATGCCTAAAAGAAAAGATTATTTTTTGATTAAAATTGAAAAATTTGTATGTGGGTAATAAATAATGGTACTTATCGGTTATACGCCCATAAACTGAGTGCCATACGACATTACTTGGCTATAACTTTTTTGAGTTTGATCCAATTCAAATATATTTTGTATTAATCGAGAGCCCTCAATAAGCTGTACCTTATTTAATAGGATAGATAAAGTCTGATCGCTCATTAAAAGTTATAACATGATTAGTCCAGTTATTTGGCGTTTTTCACATTTATCTGGTTATAACATTTTAACGAGTGATCAGACTTGATCCATTAAGTTGGAGAAAAGATTCTTCTTATGGAGGGCTTTCGAATGATATAAGATTTATTTGAATTGGATCAGGCATCAAAAAAAGCCGATCAAATTCGGCTGGCACTCAGTTTGTGGGCGTATAACCAATAAGTAATTATAAGGGGAAATTTAGATTAAGATATTTTTTTCCTTACCTAACAGAAATATGAAATCTTGCTTGATTTAAAGTATCAAATTCTAATGATTTTGCCGCTCTATAATTTGAATATAAATGTACATAAGTAAAAGAAAAATAAAAAAGCCAAATAAGTAATGCATTTCCTTCAACTGTTGGCAATAACATTAAAGAACATAACAAAGAAAAAACATTAACTAAAGTTTCTTGACTTCCATCTTTTGCTGCAACATCTGCTAAATTGTCTCTACGAGCCTTTAAAAAAATTCAAATTTTTTAATTTTTATTTTTATATTTACTTGATGTCTAATAACAGCCATTCTAGTTGTTCGACCAGAAACATCAACAATTGCTCTAAAAATAAATAAATAATAATTCTCCCTTATTTTTTTAATTCTCAAACCTAACAAAAGCAGCAAAACAAGCTAATGGAGCAAAAAACAGTCTCGGTAAATAAACAGCAAATAATTCAACCATAAAAGAAAAATCATTTAAAAAATCAGCAATTAATCTCCATTGTTTATTATCTTTTTTAAAAACATATTTTTTCTTTTAAAAAAATTTTTTTGAAAAAAACCGGAATCTAATTTAGAACCACGTGCCCAAGCAAAAACAATTCTTGCAATCATTCCAACTCCATCTTTTAATAACCAAGTTAAAGCTGCAGCCAAAACTGTTGCTTGTTCATTTCCGACTCCAGCACCTTTTAAAACTGCTAAAGTGGCTAAAGCGCCGTTTTGAGAACTTGCAAAGGCCTAAGAATAAATAGAAAAAAAATTTCTAATTGTAAGAAGTTTATAAAAAATGCAAGACCAAGAAAAAAAACATTTGACAGAGAAGGACACGGAGCGATGGGTTTAATAGAAATTAATTAAAATGTCGCTTCACCTCCTCATCACCATTTAATTTTCAATATTTTTACCTGTAAAGTATCCCATTTCTGATATTCCAAATAATCAGAACTAACAGTTTGTGGATATCCTTGAGGCATAAAAATTTCAGCAAAAAGTGCTCTAGCATTGTGAATGTGTTGTCGGAGGGGTCTTTTAATTATATTAGAAGACTAAAAATTTAAAATTAATTAATTAAATTTATTTTTACTTTTCTGTCTTTTATCATATATTCGTGAACAGCTTCTCCACTATAGGCTTCTTCAATTAATAAAGGTTCATTATCTTCATCAAGATTATTCTTTTTTGGTGCAAACATTTTTTACTGAAAAAACACAAATAATTTTTGTTTAATTTTTTAGAAAAATAAACAAAATCAATCCAAAATATTTATTTTTGCTCTATGTATTTTTTATTTCTACTCTTTCCAATTTCCTTATGGTTTCTTTTACAAAATAATTTATTTCTCTACAAATATTCCTTTTACCCTCTTTACCTTACTACATAGAGATATATCGCAAATATTTAAAGCTATAGCGCGTCATAGCCTCGGGCATCCGATTAAACAAATAAATATTATATTACATAAAATCTTTAGCCTATCTCAGATTATTTATTTTTCCAAATCTTCCTTTTAAAGTAAAAAAACCCTCCCCTCAATCTTTCAATCTTTTCTTTCAATAAATTCTTCCAAAAAAGATAATTTTCCTAAAAAAAAACATTTTTCCCTCCATTTTCTCTTTTTTTGCTAAATTTTTAATTTTTCTATTTATCAATAGGTAATAATGAGAAAAGATTTTGGAAAATAGTAATATTTAATGTTAGCTGTGCCAGTTGGCAACTAAAAAAGAAAAGTCAGTCAGTAAATGCCAATTCTTTCTTTTATTTTTTCCCTTGTCTGTTTACTCAACCAAAAAAATATGTAAAGCGAATAGTTAGCTAATTATTAATTCTTTTTTCCTTTTCTCTTTTCTAATGCCACAAAAAAAGTAAAAAAAAAATGTGTTTTTGACATTTAACAGTTGTTGAAAATATATGTAGACAATTCTTCAACATCAAAAATTTTCATCTTTTTTTTAATAAAAAGAAAGAGTTCATTTAAAATGAATTGATTATGATTTTCTTTTTTTAAATAAAAAAGAAAAAATTTTTTTAAATTTATTTGAACAGCGTTAAACTTATTCAAATAATTTAGTAATGGTTAATGTAAATGCTAGTAAATTACTTTTTGCTACAGCTTCGATAGATGCAGATGAAGCAGAAAAACAACGTCGATTATTTATACTTGGATTAATGATATTATTTGGATGGATGTTAGTTATTGTATTTTGTGTTTATCCACAGGTAATTGTTAAAATTCCAAAACTAAGCAGAAAAAATGGAAACAGAAATGTACAAAATAAAATGCGAAAATGTTCAATGAATGGAACTTATTTACTTTAACTACCCACCCCAAAATTTTGTAGGGGGATTTTTCATTTAGATTTGGACAATATATATGTCAATCGAAAGAGCTCGACGAGCTGAGTCGAATGGTAACAAAATCAGCTCGTTTTGATGATTTTGAACGAAATTACGAGCAACTGAATTTTCGCTGGAATAACTGCTTTTGTGTGGTTAGGGGGGTAGGTCCGAATTTCAGGGCTGAAAATCGGTAAAAAGGTATAGATTTATGTTACTGGTGTATAACTCAGTGATTTTTAACTTCCCGCGAGGCGTTTGTCGCAAAACCGTCGCGGAATGTCGGGGTTTTGCACTAGGTTTGCTTTGACCATTTTGAGCCCATTTGTCTCCGGTTAGACTTGTGACCGTGGGCTGCTTTTGGTGTCATTCGATTCAGCTCGTCGAGCTCTTTCGAATGATATATAAATTGTCCGTATACAAAATATATCCGGCAAAATTTTGGGGTGGGTAGTTAAAGTAAATAAGTTCCCAATGAATTAACATATCACGAAGAAAATTCCCTTTAAGAATATCTTACTCCGATTATACATATATCACCGAAATATCCTCAATTATAACAATGTTTTTATTAATTATTTTTAAATTAAAGTTATTTTCTGATTTATTTACTCGATATTTGTGTTGCTGTTTTACAAGATTATCGGGTAAAAAACAACAAGGATTAGAAGAATTGGCAGCTTTGAAGCGAGAACAAGAACGTGTTCGAACATCAAACCGAACATTCATTGGGCTTTCATTGGCAACCACAAGCCCTTCAAATATATTGCTCAAACAGGTATTTTAAACAATTAAAAAATGTGGGGAAAATTGTTTAAAAAATTAGAATATTTTATGGGGAAAATTTACGACTACATATTTTTAGACGCAAATTGAGTTTAAATAAACATGGGCATTTAAATGTTTTAATTAAGAAAAAATAGCTAAAAGAATGATTATGAAAGAATAAATATTTAATTTTAAAAATCCAACAAAATTAAGGTTGGATTCGATGGAAATATGGTTGAATATGATACACAAAGAAAACAATTTGTTTCTGCCAGTATAGCAATTCCAGAGTCAATTTTAGAAATTGAGGTAAATTTAATTAATAATAATTATTTAAGAAAATATTTTAAAATAAAGGATATTGATTATAAAGAAAGTGAAGAAGAGGAGGAAGATAAAATAGAAAGAAGTAAAAGGGAATCACAAAAATCAAAAAAATCTAACAAGAAATTACATTTAAAAGATGCTCAATAATTTTTTTGTTCAAAATATTTTTAATTGATCTCACTTAAAGAACTAAAAAAATTTTTTAACTATTTTAATCAAATAATCTGATCCCTTGTTTTCACAATGAGACGTTCTCTATGAACCTCTTATTGCCAGAAATACTACTTAACCTCTAAATACGTTAAATATTAAAAAAAAACTTACATAAAGCGTCAACCAATTGTTTGATTGAGTATGCAATTCAATAGCAACCAACCCGTAAAGAAATAACAAAAATCCAAGTTTAAAGAAATTATCTAAAAATATAATATCAAAATTATATTTTTATATAAAAATATTTAAAAACAATATATGAAATATTTTATAATCTTTACAAAAATCCCAGGCTCAACGTTTAATGAATAAAAGTAAAACAGACAATGTAAAATAAAAAAATATTGTGTAAAATATGAATAATGATCTTTGAGAAAATATTAAATAACAACATTTAAGTACTCATTTATATAAAATTAAATTTATTTTCAAGTGATACATTTTCATTATACAGTAGAACGTAAACCAGTTTTATATGGAGCAAAAAAACCCATCACCCTTCGTCAATGAGAGACTGAAAAGATAATAAAAAACGCAAAATGGCGGGAGTAATAAACTACTAGAATGGCTTGACGAGAGAAACTTCGCCTCATTAAATGGCAGACCTCTGAGACTATTTTAATAAATAGAAAAAGGTGTAAAATAAAGAATTTGTCAATGAATATTGTCAATTAATAATAGGCGTTTATAAAAAATTTGGGGCATATATGGAAGATGATCACACTAGTAAATGTGGGAGAAATAATAATTAATTGATGGTTGGTTAAATTAAATTTAAACTAAAATATATTTTGGATGGATAGAGGAGTATTTTAACGCTGCTAAAAATTCTTAACAAGAATCTTCAGTAAATAAAAGTAAATTTAGATGTTCAAAAATTAATTGTTTTGAAATTATTAACAATTTTTAGCGGCAATACTTAAAATATTTAAATATTTAGTATATTTAGGTCAGAATTTGGGAGAAATAAATAATAAAATTAAATTTTAAAAAATATTCTAAAGGGCAAATCAAAGATAATAAATGTCAATTTTCACCTTCTATATTATTTGAAATTAAATTTACTTTTCAATTTCTTATTGATGTCGTCGCAATTCTCTTGTCAATTTTTCCTCAGCTAATCTCACTGCTTGTGGAATTCTTTGATCCGTTTTTGATTTATAACATCCAAGGAGTTTCTCACAATGTTCTTCACCACGTGAAATACCATCCATCTAAAAAATATTTTTTAAGAGGGATAACATGTACATTGACGTGAATAGTGACCTTTAATTATTCACAATTTTTTTTTTGAAAATTTTAATTCAACTTCGAATTATTAATTCAAAAAGAATTACCTTCTTTAAAAGATCATAAATAATTTCATCACTGACGTAAGAATTATGTTTATAATCTGAATGATTTTGCACAAAAGATCGCATCCAACTAGCGGTAGTCATAATTTCCCCTTTTGCTCTCTTTTGTATAAACGATAAATATTGATTGATTGTACAACGTGTATCAACATCAACATCAGCTCCATCAAGAAATTGTCTAATTAAAGGTGCAAGTCCAGAGAATTGACTATTTCCTATAAAATATTTTTTAAAGTTTAAAAAAATATTTAAAACCGTTAACAATTTCATCTATTGTCATTTCTGTAGTATTATAGTCAGGTTCTGGTTCAGCTGGCGGCTGCCCTTCTGTACATGGCTTACCTTCAGGCGTATGTTGACAGTTGGCCATTTTTGAGCGAAACTACAAAAACAAAGTTTTTTTAAACAAAATTTAAGATTTACATGAAACTTTTCAGTCAAAATAGCATTTCTTCTCTTAAATTTAAATTAGAAAAATATTTATTTAAAATAGTTAACTGTTGCTCGTTTCATATTTTCCGAAACAAGAGAGATTCGAATAAGAAAAGTAAGTCGATAAGAAACAATTACTCTGAAAAATAATAAATAAAATATTTTTTAATAATAACCTTGTTAGTAAAACTAAAAAACAACAATATGCAGCATTTTCAAAATTTGTCAATTGAACCTGAAAATGAAACAGAAAAATTAATAAAAAGAATTTTTTTACCTCTGTTGGACGAAACTCAACACGCCATCCAATTTCTGGCGCGTCAGGAGGAGGTGGCTTGAATCGCATATTCATCCAATTAGAGGATTGGATTGTTTCAAAATGTTCAGTAGATCTCTGGTCATCTTGTTCAATACGTTCTTTAAAAACCTGATAAGAAAAATAAATTTGTTGATATTGTAAGCTCGCGCTCATTATTAAAAAACCTGTAGAGGATCACGAATAAACATATGAGCAAAATGTCTTGCCAAATATTCATCAACACCACCATCAACTAATTGTTGATAATGTTTTTGTTGATATTGTAATGGTAAATCATTATAAGGCGCAGAACATGGATAAATATAGCAATCAGTACTGTCATATCTGCTCTTTGGAATATTTTTGAATAAACTATATCCATCAGGAGCTGTTCCAGTCGAATCAAGTTCTGATGGTTCTTTTCCACGTTCAAAATTTGTTCGATCATCAACAGAAGCAGAAATTATATCCCAACGAGAATCAAGGTCAGAAAGATAAGAACGAAAAATAGGAGTAGCTAAAAAAGGAACAATAAAAATTGAATTAAGAAAATACCGGCACTCAACGCAACCATAACTGGAGTAATAATTGTGAGTTGGTCATAAAGCCAACGAGCTTCTTGAACATTTACCGCCTGAAAGGTCATTTGTAAACAACAAAGTCCCATTCCAAATCCCATATGGTCCATATAAATGTGATCAGGAAGAGCAGAACGAGCAGCTTCCGGATCGGTGAACTTTTCCTTAAAAGAGAACAAAATTAGAGTAAAAATACTTTTTCTTACAATGAAAGGTTTTGGAGTATTCGTATCGCGGAAGATTGGAACATTAATTGCGACCTTTTCTCCACGTCTTGCACGAATGTTTCTCACCAAATTACGAAATCTAAAAACATTAAATAACGGATAAAGTATATCAAAAACCTCGGGTGACCCTGATAAATTCCTTCATCAGGAAAAAATATAGAACGTCCTGCACAATTAACATCCTCAGGTGTCGGTATTGCAGGTGGATCAGTAAAGTCAAGAACACCAAGTGATGGAAAGCTAATTGAAAGAAGAGACTCGTTAGGCAAAAGAAGGGAGGATGCCAAAACTTGTCGCATCTGCATATTTGACTCGACAACATTAAAACAAGACATTAAACCTAAAATATAGAATATTTACTTAAGAAAGTATAAACCTCCATAGGGAGTGCCAGGCGTCCCCTCTATCATATAAGAAGCAAATTCAGGTCTCCATAGAGAACGATTCTCCTCACCCAAAGAATTATTGACCTCTTCACTTGCAAAAAGTTGGTCTAACAAGTCGAGAGCACGTAAAGAAACGCGAACCTAAATTTCGTTGTTTAAAATAGAAAATAATAATTGCAAATACTTTTTTGTGTTCATGGTCAAACTTAATAATTGTGTATTCGATCTCATCGCCCCAACGAAGTTGGTCCCGCTCACGGCTCTTAACACGATGGTAGAGAGCAACAAATTGCGCAATTCCATGTAACTAAATTACAATATTTTAATAACAAAATGTCTTGGAAAGCTCAACTTTTTATTTAAATAAACATCGAAAACTTGTTTATGTCAGTCTTCTATGTAATTTAAAATAAATAAAAACCTTTATATATTCCAAATGTGGAACAATTTCCTGCCAACTCAAAGGTGTCCCTTTAGTTAAAAGCCCCATTATTGATATGGAGCGAGACCTTTAAAAATTTAATAAAAAATTTAGTTTAGAAATTAAGACAGAATAAAATGCGAACAACGCAACAAAAAATAAATTAATGTATCTATTCTATTTAACAACTAATTTAACAACCATATTTAACAAAATAAAAGTAGAAAGCTATATCTTTTAAAAATAACAATGAATTAACAAAATAATGTAAGGAAAGCTTCAAATAATCAAAAAATAATAAAACATTTTTTGAAAATAATAACCACAATCAAAGCAAGCTTATAAGGATCTCTAACAATAATTTTAATTACATATATCTATCAAAAATAAAGTTCTGCTTAAATTTTTTAAATAAATATTATTGAGGAATTATTGTAAAACAAAACTCAATATTATAAAATTCTTTACAGATTTATTTGCCAAAACGTCGATGCCTTTGTGAATATTTCCCAATGAGATCACAAAATTCGGTTTCAGTTAATTTATTATAATTTGAGAAGGAATCGACAGAATGAAATTCACTTAAAAACATTAGTTAGAAAATTACAATTAATTAATTAACCTTGTCCGTAAACTCCAGAGCGGAAAATCTCCAAATCCAACATGCAAAGAAGAGCCAACAAAAACAAAATAATCTGGCTCTTTTAACCCTGACAATTCAAAAAGATAATCAAAGAAAATGCTCTCCTTCATTGGTTCATCCAATTCTGAGAACTTTTAATTTTTTTATTACAAAATATTTTAATTAAAAATTACCTTGGTAACAATTTGGTTGAGAATATTTTTAGATTTTTCAGCACCAATATAAACAACATTTAAATTGAACTTTTCTGACAACCACAATTTATTTGACATAAATTTCACACCTTTACAGGAAAGTAATTCAATAATTTGACCTTCGATTTTTTTGCATTCATCCTCAACATCAAACAAACATCCACAAAAAGAAATTTCATTAATACCATTCAAAAGGCATAAATACAAAAGTGATGAAATAAAATACTTAAAATATATTATATAAATTAAAACAAAAATAAATTTACCGGATTAATATAACGATTATCTGCAAAAAGAAAAGAAATATTTTTTGGAGCTTTTTGCAAAACATTTGCAGAATTTCTCCATAAATATTGTTTAAAACTTTTAATAAATTGTTTGATTAAGCAGAAAAATTTCCAACAAATAAACAAAAATAAGCTAAAATTGTAAATAAATTTAATAAAAAATTAATAAAAAAAACATACATGTATAAAAAGGCAAGAAATCGATAGACTTTTGAACAATAAAATTTTCCCGTCTCCTTAAGTAGTTCATTCTTCAAATATGAATAAAAATAACTAAATTCCATTCTTATAAGTATTATTTAATAATCTAAAAATTTATTAGTCAGTAAAATAATTCAGAAAAGTAGTTACTATTAAAATTAAAACATTCATTTTTTCACTAAACACAAACACGAGACACAGATAATTTATTTTTCCTTTTCATTTTACTATGTATTATACCAATGTTCGATCTTTAAAGTTTCATTTTTATTATCAACCTGAAATTGTCGCGCTATTTTAAATACTACTACTAATGTACATAAGTATCATCAAAAAATGGGCAAACATTTATGTAGCAAATCAGCAATTTATATTAAGGACCAAAAAATATATGTCGTGTTAAATTTGGCTACAAAATTAAATCTAGTTAAATTTAACTCTATTAATGCCTTGATTCATCATCATTGTTAATACAAATTTTAAGTTTAATTATTAAATAATTTAATTTTTCGAAAGTGAGAAAGTTGAAACATTTGATCCATTTAATTTCTAACTAGAATTTTTAAATATTTTTTCACGAAAAGATTCTCTGCTGTAACAATTATCAATGACATAAGCCTTCTCGAGCAAAACATCATTTTCCGAGACCAAAGAATGTTTTATTTTTTCATAAACAAGTAACCGCCTAATAATATAATTTTGTAAATATATTTTTTTATATTCTTACCTTGCTGTATTCGTTTGTAACGGTTGTTCACAATTGTAGACCAATCGAAGGCAGTCGGATCTGGGCAAAATCTTCTCTGAATACCTTTAAATTTTTAGATAACAGTTAAACTAAAATCTAAATTACTCTGATTTACACACTGGAAACCAAAAGGCCAACCGACCACCAATACGTAATAATCGAACGCCTAAATCCATAAGATCCAAAAATACTGAAGAAATTTGATATTGTTGTTTTTCTGGATAATTTCTGTGTCGCTGCTTTTGCTGATTAACTTCTTGGCTATTAAATAAAGTATAAACAAAAAATCATCGTCTAACCAATTTTTGTCTTCCATTTGTTTTATTTCTGTTTCAATTTTTCTTTTCCACTGCATAACACCCAATTTTTGTCCACGCTCCCTAATTCCGTATGGAGCTAAATATATTTTATAAAATAAATATTTATATAAAATTGTCACGATCTGCAAGAATAGCATCGAAAAACCCAAAATGTCGCCACATTTTATGTTTTGACGAATCAGCTAAGATAACACCCAAATAACGGCCATCATTCAAACCATATTGTGAAAAATTAGCTTTTACTGATTGGTCGCTTCCAAGAAAACCCTCCCCAACTCTTGATGATTTTCCCTTTTAAATAAAAGACAGTTAAAAATATAAAATGTTAAACCTTTGCTTTGGCTACATCCCATTTAATCTCTACTCCAAGCACGTGAGAACAGAAATAAGCTGCTGATAATAAAATACCACCTATTAAAGAGTAAATTAATCCTTAAAAATATTTTTATCTAAATTTACCAGTTCCACAAAATGGATCGATCAAAAGACTCCCTGGACTAGCCAAAACTAAATTTGCTTGTATGAAAGCAAGTTCAGGATCCATAGTAGAATTTCCAATGTAATTCCTAGACATAAGCGCGAATTTACTTTTCAAACCAGTCTGGCCTACGCCAATCAAAAATTAAAATAAGATAATCAAAATTTAAACTTTTAAGCTTACAAATTTTGTAAAAAGAATTCGATCAGATTTCTGATTTACTTCATCATTATAATTAATGCCAATTTCGAAAATAGTGAAGATATTATGTGCATTTTTCAAATCGATGGGCGCTTGAGTTAGACCCATGAAAGAGCCATAACGCTGAAACTCGTTTTTTTTTGTTATCAATGCATTAGATAGTTCCAATACAGGCCTAATATAAAATTTACCTGGATCAAAGACTGGGTGTAGACGACGTCGCTTTTTCGCAAATGTGAACGAACTTGGAGACACCATGACTGCGCTGGATCATTAAAAGGCTGAAAAAGCTTTTATTTACCAAATAATAAAACCTGTAAAATATTAGATTTACTCAATTGCTCAAGGACAATATCATGAGAAGGTGCATTTATGAGAATACGGAAGGCAGATTTAAGAAGAACTGAACGACCAAGTATACACCGAACAGAAGCTTCACCACCATCAAAGTGAAGGATTTGATAATGCGACTAAATTATAATTTAGAAAAATAAGGTTATTTGTTTACCTCGTCCGGGGTAAAATTGGGCACTGGCTGAATCCTAAAAAGCAAACATACACTTTCAAACTCTGCTCGTCTAAATTGTGGATGAGCCTGACTGAAAACAAATAGAAAAATATTTTCACAGGAAGTTTTATCCATAAATCTAAAAATTATTTATTTTAAATTATACTGGTTATTAAATATAACTAACAAACAAATAGTTTAGGAAAAAACGATTCTTTATAAAAAAATTTTTAAAATTTAATTATAGTACAAAATTTTACACAAAAATTAAATCAATATCGTTTTTTGACAAGCACTCTTCCGCTCTCAAGATCCTCCTTAGTCGCGGTCACAGTTCTGGTATCACCAGGAATACTCGAACGAAATTGTACAGTTAACTCATTAACTTGCATAACTAAAGCTTGCATTGACTTCCAACCGGTATTTGATGATTCTAAAAGATAAAAATTCAAAATCTGATTTAAAATTTAATCTCATAAGACTTACTTATGAAAACGTTTTGCCCTCGATGATAAGTTTTCCCATCTAGACTGAGTTTCCCAAATTCTAAGACAACTTTTCGAGGATGCCTCTTTAACCGGGAGTTCTCATGATCTAGTCGTCTATGTTGTATTTCATCTGCATTTGTCGTTGCATCAGACCCTAGCACATTTCTCATTTCTGTTGATCCTAATCTTTGTTCATCGAAATTGTCCAAATTGTTACAAGTGGCTAATTCTGTACCAATTAACGGTGATGCACCATTGATGACAGAACTCTTTGAAGAAGACCAACTGGATGAAGATGGATTCCGATCGATTGTTAACGGGCAAAGCCTGAAAAAAGTTTTCAAATAAAAATTCCTTTTTTACTTTTCCACGTCTTCAGCAATTGCTTGGGCAGATAAAAGAGATTGTGTTATAAGCGGACAAATATGTGCAGCACCCGGAGATCTTTTCCTACCCTTCTTTTCAGAGAAGACGGAAGCACTGACGCTGCTCTCAGCTGCGACTGAAGAAACGTTTACTGAACAGTTACCCACTTCGTTAGGCCGTCTAAAATTAAACCGGTCATTTAAAATAAATTATGGGCATTAACCTCCTTAGCTGTTTCTTGCCAAGTATTCCTTGTGAGGTTATTTGTTGAGCATTCATCCAAAGGTTACTACTTTGTCCTGCATGAGCTGACCAATTTGAATCAGAACTGCCAAAACTTCCATCCCATCGAGAAATATCCAAAGAAGAAATATCAGAATCTAACTGGCGCTTCTTCTCTTCAAGTTCTAGCCAAAGATTTTCGACAACTTCGCTTACTCTCTAAAAAGTTAAATCTAAAAAAGCTAAAATAATAAAACAAACATTTTCATATTCCTTTTCAAGTAAATCAACTTCATGTTTATATGTATTTTCAGCACGAGCAACCTCCCTCTAAAATGTGAAATAAAATTTATTTAAAAAAAATTAAAACATTTCTAATGTCTGCAATCCTTTCCAGCTTTTGTTCACATAATTCTCTACACTGAGAAATTCCGTCAACAAACTGTGAATGCAATCCTGACTCAAGCAATTGTTTTTCATCTTCCCAAGGGTTGCGCTTTGATGTGGCCAAACTAGAAATATTAAAAAACTACATTCCAAAATTCAAAACTTACGAATCCAAGAGCTTCCAGCGTTTTATAGATGTCTCGTAGTCAGCCGACATTTTCCCGCTAATTGACAAAAAAATTTGTCATAAATTTATGTATTACTATGATAAAGTTTAAATTTTACATTTTAAAATACTTGATATTTCTAACAATAAAAATTTAAAAATAATTAAAATTTACTATTTATTACAAAGTTTATTTATACATATTTACATACACACAAAGTATTTAGACAAATTCCTCTTTATTATTTGATATCTTTTTACAAATCATTTATTCTCTTAATTGGTCATATTAGCTTCGGTTGTTGATTCAGATACTTCACTTTTCATACTGATAGTCATACCACTTTCGATCTCAGAGTCCAAAATAATTGGCTGCATAATACTTATTTTTTCAGTCCTATAATTGAATAAATTAACTAAATACTTGAGAAAATTTATATTTAAAAAACTCACTCGCTTCTCTCGTTGCGAGATCTTCGTATGCTTTCAGAGCTTGAATCGCTGTCTTGCTTTTCATTCTCCTCACTCTTCTGTTCCTTCTTTTGATTTTTGTCTTTGTTCTCCGCCTCTTTAGAGGATTCTGCATCCTTTTTCAGCTCCTTGCCTTTTGTAACACCCGACTTCTTATCCTTTTCTTTCTTCTCATCCTTGCTCTTCTCTTCCTTCAGAACGGCGTTTATTTTAGCCTCCAGAAGCTTGAATACCCTCTGTTTTTCACGTTTGTTCTCTTCGACCGAATGCTTAAATAAAACTTTATTTCAAATTGTAATGCAAGAATTCTCACCCTAACACGACTTTGTTTATCGATAGACCCAATTTTTACTTCCTCATTGTCCTTTATTTTTGCTGTTTTCGTAGCTTCTGGCAGAGAATCAGGGCGTGGTCGTCCATTTTTTGACGGCCCAACTTCTTTTTTCGGTGACAGTTTCGGGACTTTCGATGGCAGTAGTTCTCTCTTTGAGACTGATTTGCGGCTCTTCTGTGATTCTCTTTTCGAAATCTCTGCAAGCTGATCAGATGGTGATTCATCCTGTGACGACCAAAGGGATGCAGTTTTTGTATTATCCTCCTGAGTCTCTAAAAAAGGTTGTCATGAAAATATTTTTTGAGTTTTATTTTGCTACTTTGTACTGGGAGCTTTTTCCTATCATTTTGACGCTTCTTGTTCACATCCATCTTTTTGAATATGTCGACATCTATGTTCCCAAGTGTCATATAGTCATTCTTCTTAGCGTGTCCAGGACGGACCTTTTCAGTTATACGCGGAGATGGTGTCTTAGATTTTGATGGCGTCCTGCCTTCTGAAAATATAGGAGTGAAAAATTACAATACTAGATACATACTTTTCTGTCCGGAATGACGTGGCGCCTTCACCTTCTAAATGATTAGCAAATAAATTTGAAAAATAATAGCAAAATTACCTTCTTCCGGCAACAACCACAGCATCCACCCGACTTCTGTTTAGAGGCGGCTTTTCTCCCTTTATGTTTCTTTCCGCGTTTCTTTCCACAATATATCGCCACAAGAGAAGTGAAACTACAAAACAGAAGTATTGAAGGAAAAACCAAAGAGAAAGAGTCCATAATTTGAAATAAATGTCTGAAGTTTATCCTTGAATTCAGTAGATCTACTTTCAGGTTGCTTCTTTTTATATACCATATTTATGTAGTATATTTGCTTGTTTCAATCTAAAAATGATTTAATTGATCATAAAAAAGTTTTAACAATAAATAAAGCTAGATTTCTACCATTTCTTCGACAAAAATTTTTTATCTTCTGGCACCGAAGTAGTCCAAAATTTGCCTCAGGCAAAAATTTTATAAGGCCTTAAAAAAGCCGAAACGGCAAACAGAAATTAAAGTTGGCTTATTGTGGCGCTAAAAAGGAGGCGAAATTCTTAAAGCATGCGGCGGGATTTTAAGAGAAGATTTTGCCAGTGGATTCGGGGAAATTCTTGCTAATAGTATGATTCGAACCGAAAATTTCGGATATCTGGACTTTTCGGACTTTTCGACGTTAAAACCCTAAATGTAATCCAAATTATTTAACGTTATTTTTCTTCCGATTTCAAAAATTTTGAGAAATAGGTAAAATTCCGTCATATCTCCCAGAAACCGATCCGGACAAACGATATGTCATTCGAAAGAGCTCACCGAGCTGAGTCGAACGACACCAAAATTAGCTTCGGGACTCGCCTGTGGGCCGAGATATAGGTCCCCGAAATCGAAAAACCAAAGAGGGGACCAAGCACTTTTTTGGGGTAAAAAATTCGAATATGCAAATTATACCTCATTCGAAAGAGCTCGTCGAGCTGAGTCGAAAGACACCAAAATCAACGAAGTCTGACTTGATTTGAGAAAGTTATGACCATTTGTTTTAGCTCCTTACCTATGGCGCCCGTGGAGTTCTTGCTGCTGCGGAGGAAGCCCGGCAACCCCACCTCATCGATTATAGGAATAGGATTAAGTTACGAGCCCAGAACCAGAGCCCGTAGACTCCCTGCGAGGCGCGTGCCGCAAGACTCCGCGCGAAGCGCGGAGTTTTGCACAAGCGCCTCGCCGACGCCCCATAGGTTTACGTTGACCATTTTTACCTCTTTATCTCGGCTCAGAATCAAGATCTCGAACTGATTTTGGTGTCATTCGACTCAGCTCGATGAGCTCTTTCGAACGAGCTATCATTCGAAAAATCGAATTTTTCACCCCAAAATTGCGCTTACTCCCCCCTATGGTTTTTCGACTTTCTGGGACCTATAACTTGGTCCATATGTGAGTCCCGAAGCTAATTTTGGTGTCGTTCGACTCAGCTCGGCGAGCTCTTTCGAATGACATATCGTTTGTCCGGATTGGTTTCTGGGAGATATGACGGAATTTTTCCGAGAAATATTTTCGGTTTCGATTTTCTTTAACTTTTTTTCTATTTCCGATTTCCGAAGATTTTTCGTTTCGAAACAGCTCTGGTAAGAATTTATGTGGATTGAAAATCATTTTGCAATCAATGTTTAATACTTTATTTTTATGCATTCTTTTTTTAACATACATATGTATATAGTTTTTAATCTATAATATTTGTATGAATCATTGATGATTCATTTTTTCTTTTTAATTGTTGTCAAATTTATCTTACGAATACTTTCTATTTTAATTACATATAACAAAATTTCTTTTCAGACGATGTTCCTTACATTAACAGAACCACCCGGAACATTAAAAAACCTTATTGGATTCAATGATTCAAACACAATTGATGATAATAACGAATCAACTGAGGAGGAGTTTGATATAGATTCTCATGTTGAAGACGATTTCCCTTGTGAGCCTGTTGATCCAAATGTACGACATTCTTTTTTTCCATTAATACTCTATTTTTAGTGTATTGATGTCGCAATTATTGCCAACACATCTCCGACAGATTTGGATAGTCTCTCTAGGCAATGGAAATATAACTTTTCAAAACGTCCTACCTGGTACGATGCTGGTATGGCATTGCATCAGATTATCAGAGTGATATTCCATTGAATTATTTTTATTATATTTCTTACTTTAGGGGAAAGCTGTTGGCTTTAGGGCGCCGCTCTATTCGCGCATATTCATTCAACATTCCCTATTTCGTGCCGGTTGTTTTGTTCAAAGGCGAGCCTGGTTCATAATTGTTACATTGATGACCTTTTTCTCTTTTTGTTGCTTTGGACTTCGGTACGTGAATGTGGAAACCGACATTGTTAAATTATGGGTTTCTGGTAATCTTTTTTATATCTTAGAATCCTAAGAGTTTATAATCTTAAAATTTATTCCAGAAGGTGGACGTCTAAATGAAGAACTCAAATTCCTAACTACACTTCAAAATCGGTCACGTGACACTTACAAATTGGATGAATCTTATCTTTTAAGAAACTTTGAACGAGATGATTCCGATCCCCGACTTGGTCTTATACCAGAAGATGACGCTCCTATGGCTTCTTATCAGGTTCTACCGTTTATTTTTCTCATCTAATAATAATTTCCCTGTAACAAGGTTCTTATACAAACTGCCGATCCTAATTCACGCGAGCATAACGTTCTCTCTAGAATCGATTTGCTTAAGCATGTTAATTTGTTAAAGGAAATTACGCAAATGCGCGTTTTCAAATTTGGCCGGTATGTCTTTATTTAAATTCATGCAAATACTGTTTAATTATTTTTTTCACATTTTCAGTTATTGGCGTCTTGAGGATATTTGCTTCAAGCCTGGCTCTCTTGATATTTCTAACAGTTCAATTGCACATGCTTTGAAGCCTACGTTAGAGCGACTCGTCCCCTGTGTCTGGATTAGTCCTATTGACTGTTTTTTCGAAGGTGCTAAACCTCTTGGTCCTTCGCCGCCAATTAAATTGAAAAATATTCCGTTTGGACCACTTCTCAATATGTTACTTTCTGACATGCCTGATGAGGCTACTTGGGCAAACTTAAATCCTGAACAAATAATACAGCAGGTTGCAGGCACTTTTGATCTTGGAACTATCAATAACTTTTTCTTACGTGTTAGTTTTATTTATTCATAATTCATAGGAAAAGATTTTAAATTTTAGTCGGGAATTGGAACTGGATATTTACAAAGGACATGCATTGATCCGCTGGATCCGAACTGCCCTAAAACTGCGCCAAATTTTTATAATTCTTGTGAAGCAATTTTGCATCTGGAGCAGAGTTTATCACATCAAAATTCCACTTTAACCGAATTTCTTTCGCCCTTTACCACCTCCAAGGATTCTGAAATGAATCTTCATCAACCGACATCTGCTTTAGACATTCTTGGAGCGCTATGTTTTTTTTTTGAATTTTATTAAAACATTTTTTATTTAAAGTTTTTAATCAACGGTTAAATGAAAATAAAACGGAAAAGGGTTTATCTTCACGATCTACTTGTGAGAAATATAGAACTCCGTTTTTGCGTTGGATGGCTTCAGAATGGGATAAGGCAAAGCAGCAATTTCCATCTAATGTATGTTTTTAGACATATATAGAAATTATAATCTAGAAAGAAAAAATAGAAGAATGGCGAGAAAAGTTTCTTATACCACTATTTTAGTTTTTACCAACTTTTCCCAACTATGGGCTTTTGATGAAAAATGGTTGTAATGGAATAGCGAAAAATGTAATGAATTGGCCAGCTGAAATGATTCTTGGCGGAATTCGCCAAATTGGAAATAACGTCGAAGCGGATGGTTTGTTTTATTAAATTATTTTATTTTTATTAACATAAGCATATTCAAGCTCTACAGTCAGTCATTCTTGTTGCTACTCCAACGGATGTCTTTCGACGTTTTAAGGTTAACAATATGTAATATGGGTTATATTTATCGAACTTTTTTGTAGGATTCGAACATATTTTCTGGTATAAACTCGACTTTATCTTCCAAAGATTGGTCTCCTCTTACTGCTCGTGATATCATTCAAGATTGGGCTCGTGCGTTTACGGATAAAATTTACAACCATGATTTAAATAAAAATGGTCATCGTGTCGTACATTCTTTAGCGTCCAATTCAATTTCTGATATGTTGGCAGAGTTTTGTGATTTTAATTATGCAATTATTCTTGTTGGTTATTTATTGATGCTTGTTTATGCCCTTTATTCTCAATGCCGTTTTGATGGTTGTTGCTCACTTGGTGTAGAATCTGCTGTGGGGCTTGCATTAGCGGGTGTATTAACTGTTACACTCAGCAGTGTTGCCGGTCTGGGTATTTCAACATGGTTTATTATTTATTCCTTAAGATATTTATTTATATCTTATTAAAGGTTTGATATCCATTTCAATGCTGCAACAACTCAAATTGTTCCTTTTTTGGCACTAGGCATTGGAGTTGATAATATGTTTATGCTTTTGCATTCTTACCCCGAGGTCGTTTCAAATGTGAATCGAAATGAGCTTGGATTTCTTCTCAAGCAGACTGGTTAATTTATTTATTAATTTAATATAGTTCAATTTTAGGTGTTTCTATTTTGATCTCTTCTCTTAATAACATCTTTGCTTTTTGCGCAGGAACCATTTTGCCAATACCGGCATTGCGGTCTTTTTGCGCACAAGTATATTTTTGTGATTATTTTTTAATCATTTAAAATATTCAGACAGCTATTTTGTTGTCAGTTAATCTGGTTGGTATCTTTCTCATCTATCCTGCTTTTATTGCTTTGGATTTAAAGAGGCGTAAAGCTGGAAGGAGGGATTTGGCGTTTTTAGCTTATTATTGTCTCTGTATGGATGAAAGTGTTGGAACTGTTCAGCATTATCAACACCAAGTAAGTCAAAAGTTTCCTCTAATAATAAGTAAAAAATATAAACCAGAATAATGACAACAATGGAGTAACTCATCAAGAATTAATAAATGCGACAAGTGATTATGAATGCGCCAGTCCGCCTTATTTACCGGCAGATTTGGACAAAACTGTTAGTAGTTGCAAACACCCAGAAATTGTTTATACCCAACCAAAGATCAACAACGTTCATCAATTTAAACGTACCAGAAAACGAAAACAAAAGAAGTCCTATAGAATGTATACTCTTCAAGGCTTTCTTCATATTGTTTACATTCCATTATTAAAATACACGACTTTTAAGGTTGTTTTAATATTCTAGGGCATTATGTATCTATTAAAAAAATTTTAGATTGGTGTGCTACTATCAGCTTTCGGACTGTTTCTTTTGAGTCTTTACGGAATAAGCCATTCAACTATTGGTCTTGAGTTAAGTGACATTTTACCTGAAAATTCGGCACCAGCTGACTTTTTAAGAACACGCGATCGTTATTTCTCGTTCTATCCTATGAGTATTGTGTTGCATGGTGAACAGATAGATTTTCCTGCACGACAACACCAGATTGATTTGTTGCGCAATGAAATTGGTTGGTACCATTCTTAATAGTGAATCAACACTGTTTTAGGTTATTCACGTTTTGTTGTCAAGCTGGCTGATGGTGAACCTTCTGAACGATATTGGCTTCAGCTATTTCGAGACTGGCTTATTGGAATGCAGCAACGCTTAGATAATGCTAAAATTCAATTTGGTGATTTAAATTCTGCAAATTTAACTTCGTCAATGATTGGCAATCCTGACTTACAAATTGCTTTTTCTCTGGCATGTTCTTATGGAGAAAATTATGATTGCGATCGGGTTAACTTTGTGCGTTTAATTGATGAGAGTGGGACAATCAACTCTGATGGTTTTTACAATTATCTGTATGGATGGCATGAATATGAACAAATGGTCTAGTTTTCACTTTGTTGCCTTAAAAATTCTTTTTAAGTTCTATGCTGTTTCTCAAGCAAGTTTTTATCCTCGATTGAAAAAACTACGTCAAGGAACTCCCGGAAATATGAAATATGTTTGTTTCTAATTAAATAAGATTAATATATAATATTTTCTTTCCAGCGTTATTTTATTCCACCTGCACCAAAGCCACTATTCAGCCGTATTCCTTTCTATCTTTCTGGGTTGCATGATACGCCGACCATAATGCAAATGATTCACGATATTCGATCTATTAGCGAGAATTACACTCGCATGGGATTGGTCAATCACCCCGAGGGTGTGCCATTCACTTTTTGGTAAGGAGTTTTTTAAATCACTGAAAAAATATTTTTTAGGGAGCAATATCTGCACCTGGAATATTATTTAGTTGTTTCTATTTCTATAATCTCGCTATCAGTGTTTTGCATTATAACGTCTGTTTTAATTTTAATTACTATTCTTCATTATTTTTCAGTTTAATAATTTTCAATCCATGGGCCGCTGGGATAGTCACTTTGGTTGTGTTGAGCATGACTGTGGAATTGGCTGGTTTTATGGGGTTGGCACATGTCAAGTTAAATCCTATTTCTGCTGTTACGGTAATTAGCTTATAACTACAAGTTTTATATTCAATTTAAAGTTGATAACGGCTGTCGGTATTGGAGTCGAATTCACTGCTCATGTAGTTTTGGCTTTCCTCACTTCGTTAGGTACTCGGCATGAACGAATGGAGGAATGTTTAAAACATATGTTCGTCCCAGTAATTCATGGCGGAATGAGCACTCTTTTGGTAATTTAATAACGATATTCCCCTAGTTAACATTTAAAAATCATACATTTTAAGGGCATTGTGATGTTAGCCTTTTCTCAATTTGACTTCGTTTTTAAATACTTTTTTGTGGTTATGACTGCACTAGTAATTATTGGAATGTTAAATGGTCTTGCACTTTTGCCTGTTATTCTTTCGATAATTGGACCACCCTGTGAGATAAAACCGGTCGGTGATGGCGCAGTTAATCGCCTTAGATGCCTATCTGTCAACGACAAACCAAGGCTTAAACAATTGACAGCCTCTACCAAATTCTATTTACCTTCTTCTAACCTATCAACATTTCACCATTAATTTTTCCCATTTATGCCCAATGAGAACTGATCTTTGACTAGAATTTTATAAGCATATATTTGACTTTTTTAAATTTTTGATTTAAAAATCTCCGTGCATATTTTAAGTAGAATCCAAATTTGTAGCTTAATTTAAACCCCATATCTACATACTATTTAATTAACACATACTTTAAATTTTTGGCATTTCCTACTTTTGTTATTTCTATTGTTCCATACAATTGACTAATTAAACTATCAAAATATCATAATTGTTTTCATACACTAAAACAGATACTAGAATCTTTTTTTTTCAAGATTTAGCCTTCTAATGCAAAGAATTATTTACTTTTATAAAGGGTTGTTCACCACCGTTAATTAACCAGTACTCTCGTTTCTCGGTTATGGCGAGTTTTGGACCTGTTTTTGATTCGGTTACCAACCGTGTACAACCCTGCTTTTAACTCTCATTCAATTTAATCTAGGATTTTGATTTTTGTTTAATTTTACCTTACTCGATTATATACATATTTTATTGACTATATGAATGACTGGGAACTTTGTTTCTCTTCGATCTCAATATAATTTGAATTTTCGTTCAAAAACCAAAAAAGTAAAACTAACGGCTGTAAATATTTTTGAACGATCATACAATTTTATAAGTGATTATATTTTTTGTGCATTATATTACTGGCAGATAGAAGTAATAAATTTTTGGTATTTATAAAATGTTTGAAAAAATTTCATTTCATACAAAATAAATTTACTTGAAATATAACATTTTCTCTCTTGCCAGTCATAAGATATTTCTTGAGCTTAAATTTAATTAAGGTACACATTAAATTAATAATAACTAAGTCCATTTTTTCGTTCACACGTACATATTTTCCTTTCTATGTATATTGTGTAATTTGTCAATTGCTTATTTTTAATATGAATAAATTTTTACGCTTTCCATTCCTAATTAACCATGCTTAATAAATTTTATTCTAATCAAAATAAAGCTATTTAATTCTTAAAAATATTATTTCGAACATAAAAAGATTTATTTGATAACAATAAGTCCTAAGAATTCACGGCGGCATTTAAAAGACAAAAAAAGCAAAGGAATAACAGAAAGTAGGGGATAATGGCTTCGCTTAGTTGGAAGAAGAAAGGACGCCCGACAGCAGTAATATTTGAATTCGGCAATGTGAAGTAGGGGGGCTAGTCGAAGAGAGGGAAAGGATTGATTAGCTTTTGAGTTGTGTCGCCCAAACATTCATCTCTCGCCAGCAAAACCCCAGTCTTCATCACAACATTAGTGGCGTCGGTAGTAGAGGCCGGGTGGTGACCATCGGTCGGCCATTTGCTCCCTTCTTCATTCCTTTTTTCTTCATTTATGTCAACGACAGCATGGCGATTTCCGATTTACTTTTTGAAAATGCCGCGCACACATTATGTACATTTTTCCCTATCGAAGTGTACCTCCTCTCTCCGTTTTTAACTTTCCCTCTTAAGAATGCACACCGCTGTTCTTTCCCAGTCATTTTACACAATTGTGTCCATTTGTGACGATTTTTCATTTAAATTGTGCAGTTTGGAGTTTTTTTATAAGATTTTTGGATATGCTTATCTTCCAAAGAAATTTGATTTTTCGTCTATTTTTAAATTGTTCTGTTTTATTGTGTTTTTTATGTTTTTCAGATAAAAATAAATAATAATGGCTGCTAAACGTTTTCTCAGTTTATTCAAATCATCAAACAAACGAGAAAAGGAGAACAATGATCCATTAATGAGTGAATACCAGTATCACTTAAATAATGGACAGCGGAGATCTGTAATTTATTTTTTAATTTTATCAAATGTTTAGAAAAATTTTGAGCGTCGAGTTAACTTTCAATCAGCTGATGGAAGTTCAAAAAGGCGAAGTTGTGTTACTGAAGTAACTAATGATGATGACGATGGTAGTGAGGTTAGTGTTGTGGATATGTAATTGAATTGATTGGTATAATTTTGTAGATAACTTTAACTGCTTCGGCGGCTAGTCGTCAACAACATCCTAGCAAGAAAATGCCTCCAAATCCTTATTTGGTTGTTACAGAACCAAAACAAAACCATGTTAGAAATATTTTTATTTTTTTATAAATTAACAATTAAAGGGTCCTCGTTCATGCCCCGGAGGGGGAGGGCAACATTATTTTGATTTTGATTCTCTCGACAATGACGACATTTCTGGAGCTAATGGGGGAACTCTTGATAGGTCTTTGGAAGCTCGTTCAGAATTTATTTCGAATACACAACAGCAACATAGACGAAGTAGTAGACGTCGATTGCTTCCATCATCAGACGAAAAATCATCACAATCCTCACATCCTTTTAGTGAGATTGGAAATGGACGTGGAAAAGAAGGTTAAATTTTAAAAGATATATAAAAATAAATATAATTTTGTTAGGGCAACAACGCGAAAATGGTGTTAATTTTGGTGGTTCTTCTCGGTATAAAAATATCCCGTGGGCAGCTACTAATGTTAACAATTGGAGATTGGAAGGAAATTTTGTAGGAAAACAGCAATATATCATTCAAATAAGAGAACAACAACAGGAAATACATGATTTGCAGATTGCTTATAGAGATGAAAGAGGACGAAGAAAAACACTTCAACGAGAATTACGTAGAGAACAAGAAGCTAAAGATAGATTTCAGTGTGAAGTAAGGATTTGGAGGGGGGGGAGGGGGTTGGAATTTTTATAAAAAATTTGATTGGGATTAGGGCTGTAGAGAAGGGGGTGCCATTGAGGGGGACACTCGAGACAAACTATAAAAACTGACGAGGCAAAATTATTTTTGGGAGTTGATTAATAATAATTTTATTTAAAAAAGAATTTTCGACTTCAATCAATTATTGGCTTACTAGTTCAGCAACAACAACAACCAAACTCGGGCAATTTAAATACTCAACTTGGTATTGAGCTGAATAATTTAGCAGCGATCATGCCTAATAATTTGTATAATTCTTGGACTGGAAAGTGAGTTAATTAATAATTATTTTTGTTTTGGTAACTTTTAGTTTCTTTGTGAAGATTTTGCGGTGATTTTGACCTCATTAGAATTAGTGGTAATAGTGTCGTTTCCCAGCCCCCTTTTTTTCCTCCCAATTTTCTACCCTATGTTTGTACGGAATGGTCAAATTTTCCCCTTTCTTTCATCAAATTTGCCTTTCCATATTTTGCCTAAAAACAATCAAAAAAGATTAATTTTTTATTCATTTCTTTCACAAGGATAAAAAAGTGAGACATGATGCCAAAAATTATAAAAAACATTTTCAATATTGCCAAATCGTTTTCGCCACATAAATTCCGGGAGATAACTTTTATAGGTTTCAGTGTTGTTGCCAGCTTGATGTCTGAATTTTCGTTTATAAGTTGACCACAATGATTCAATGTTCTGTGTATGGACATTAGGATCTTCGCTATATTAATTGGGAAAATGATTCTTTTCATTACTCTAATACTTATTTAAATATCACAAATTAATCTTTTTCGATTGTTTTTAGGCAAAATATGGAAAGGCAAATTTGATGAAAGAAAGGGGAAAATTTGACCATTCCGTACAAACATAGGGTAGAAAATTGGGAGGAAAAAAAGGGGGCTGGGAAACGACACTATTACCGAATTAGTTAAAGGAACCATTTTTATGAGCTATCATTTGTATAAATTTTAACAAAATTCTCATGTTATCCTCAGCTTTTTTTAGTTGGAATATAGATTTTTTGGGAAAATTATTTTCAAAAAAATTATTAAAAATTGTCTATTCCGAATATTTCAGCTGAAAAATAATAAAAATATATTAATATTTATTTTTAGTACTCCTTCTTCGTCTTCTGCTGTTGCTGCTCCACCAATCCATCCACCACTACAACAACCACCCCCACAACAATCTTTACTTCAACCACAATCTTCAAATCCTTGGACTCCTTGTCGGAATGCTGCAGCATTTGATTTTATTAATTTTCAACAACAATTACCTCCACAGTCTTTATTTGGAAATGTTGGGGGGCCAGGAGAATGTTTAGCAGCTCCAATACTTTCCTCTTCTTCTTTAATTTCACAACAAACAAAGCAACATCAAAAAATTAATCAACAAAATAGTGAAGATGAAATTAAAATTTTTAGAACTGGACAGCACAATACTGACTCTTTTAGTGGGTCTTCTCGTTTAAGTAAAAATTTAAATATTTTTGTGGATATTTTAATAATCGAAATTCTCTTAACACGTTTCTGTTCGGGGTCGAAATTAGCCGACATTTGAAGAGAAGTGTTGGAGAAGTTTAAAAAATAAATTTATATTTGGAAGTTTTAAATAAAAATTTAAAAATTATTTTTAAGCAACAGGAGATTTAACTGAAATGGAACGTGAAAAAAATGATTTGTTAGTTAGTGATGTTAGTTCTAAAGGTAAATAAAAATATTTTAAGTTTAAGAAAAAATATTATTTTCTTTTTAAAAAGAATTTTGTTCTTCACCAGAAGTTGAACGTGGAGGGGGAAATACAACAACAACTTTACATGGACTTTCCTTTTCTGTTGATGATTGTCAATATCTTTTTAGTTTAAATCGTAAAAGTGTTGGAGGAGGGGGAGGGAAAGATAATTCTTTTACAATTTTATTTCCAGATGTTGAATTACCGTTGAGAGATGATGGTTAGAAAATTTGAAAAAATTAAAATGAATTTTTAAATTTAAAAGGTTATGCAACAAGCGAAACAAATATGTCGGCTTCGGGAATAGCAAATAGTGAATGTACTACAAATACAGTTAATGATGGAGGAGGGGAGGGGGGAAGTATTTCCTCAAGTAATTTATTATTTGGAAATTCTAATAATGTTTTTAAAACTCGACGACGTTCTAAAAGCACGGGACAGTTAACTACAACTTTTTAAAGTTGAAAAAGGAGAAGAGAAAAAGTGTTTTTAATTAATTAATTTTTGTGTATTTTAAAATTTTGTTTGAAATTTGTGCTTTTAATTTTAAATATAAAAAGATGTTTATATAAATTTAATGAGTGTCGGGAATTTTCTGAAGAGAGTTGATGAGCTCCAACTTTCAAAGCACAAATTATTTTTAACTAATTTTGCCTAAAAATTTTTTTAATTTAAACAAAAAGGAATTTTTTAAATTTCTTTTAAATTTAATTTATTTCCAAACAGCTCTTTGTTTACTTTTTATATATTTGGGTTTTTGAATTTTGTTATATTTTTTGAATAAAATTTCACAAAAAAATTTAAATTTATTAAATTTAAAATGATTAAAACAAATTTAAAATATTTTACTTTCAATGTCCCTGAAGAAAAACCCCGAAAGTTCTTGACCAACATACCCAAAGCTTCCTGCTGAAAACTAATATAGTAAATCAACAAAAAATTTAAAGTAAATGACAGACTTTTTAGACTTAATTTTTGCATTCTTTCGTTTTTTGCATTTTCCTCTTTCATTCATTCTCGGCCCTCAGTAAATTCTTGCAAAGTTTATTTAAAAAAAATCTTTTATTTAAAAACGAAATTTGAGAGATAAATAATTTTTATATATTTTTTGTTTATTCTTCAAATAATAAAAGAAAATTCTTTTTAATTTAAAATTTTCTTTTAGATTAACCGAAATTATTTTTATATTTATTTTAATTGTATAAAATACTGATCCCAATTAAGTTTTAAAAATTGCGGCTAACCGGGAGTTGATTATAGGGTTTTTGAAATTGTGAAGTGTTGAAGATATTTATGAGGCCCCTTTCCTCCTTCCCGAATTCTACTAGGAAAACTATACGATTTTACATATTTAAAAAAAACGTATTTTTATTTTCTCAATTTGGCCATAGTAAATATATATATACTTATTTACTAGTAGAGGGAGAGTGTGGCTGTATTAAAAAAAAAAGAAAAACAAATCCAATCTTTTCCCCTTATTTTTTCAGCTTTTCCTTTTTATTTTCTCATTTAGGAATAAAAAAAGGCAAATATAAGTATATAAAACAGAAAAAATACTTTTAAAATTCCTCCCCTCTCTCTTTTATTTATTGACTAAATAAATTTTGAAAAAATTTTTATTTAAATTATTTTTATAGCAAGGATTTATTTTGTTATTTGAGAGATAAAATTATTTGTAAATTAAAAAGTTATAAGAAATGAATTGAAGGGGGAGGGAGTTGAGTGGAATTTCATTTTATTTTAAAAATTTTGTTTTTAATTTTTAAAGTAAATCAACAAATATTAACATTGTAAACAAAAAAAATTTTTTTTTAACTAATTTTTTCTCCTTTAAAAAATATACTGCTAATATTACTTTCTGGCAATTTACATTAAGAGAATTTAACTGAAAGTGCATATTCAACAAAAAAAGATTGGGAGGGGGGAGGGGGAGTTAGGTTTTTTGTTTCAAGTCTACAATATTTTTCAACACTTCTTGTAACAATTAAAAGATATTCTTAACTTTATAATCTTTTTATTTGAAAATTAAAAAAAACTAATTTTTTAGACAATAAATATAAATTTTATCTTTGTCTTTTTTCTTACAATTTTTAAAAAATTTTAGTTACAATAATTATTTTCAAAAAAATTTTTTTCTTATTTTCTACTGATTATTTTTTAGTAACTTAAATAATTTTATATATTTTTTAAGGTTAATAACAAAGAATCCTCCTCTTCCTCCCTCCCCCTTTCGTTTTTTTAAATTTAAAACATAAAAACTAACCAACCGAATAGTTTTTTTTAATTTTATTTTTTCATTTGTCAGTTTAGTTTTGCTTTAAATTTATCAAAATTTTTTAACGACCCTTTTTGTTTTTAGTAATAAAAATAAAAATTTATTTTTGTTTTTAAAATAATTTTAGGTAATTTATTTTGTAAATGTTTTTTTAAAGAATAAATTTTAAAAAATATTTAATTAATTAATTTTATTTTTTTTTGTTAAATTATTATTTTTGTAACAATTTTTGTTGCTTATAAATTATCATATTAAAAAAAATAAATTTTGATTGAATTTTAATAAAAAATGTAAAATTATATATTTAAATAATTTTTGCAAAAAAATTATTTTTTTTTTTTAAATTATTTAATTTGTTTTTGAAAATATTTTTTTAATAATTAAATTTATTTATTTTTTGTTTAAATTGTTTTATTAAATTATTTTTCAATTGTTTGTAACATTTAAATAATTTTTTTTCTAGAAAAATTCAAAAATAAAATGCAACAAAATTTAATAAAACCAAAAAACCCTTCATTTTCTCTAAGCGATTGCTGTTCTGATTTAATAAATAAAAATATTCCTTTATCAACTTCTTCCCCAGAATTTATTAAAAAAGACGAAAAAAATACTTCTAAATTATTAAATCCCCTTTTAACAACAACAATACCCCCCACAACCACCACTACACCTACTTCATGTCCTCGAAGACATACAGTTTTCTCTTTTTTTGATAGAAAAAGGTAAATTAATTAGTATTTTTTAAATTATTTCTTCCGGATATCCGAAGATAATTTAAGAATCAATAAGCTTTAATTATAACCCAAAACCAATGGGTACACCCCAACTTACCGCGAGCCCAACTCGTCGCAGAGCTATAACTTCGTTCAGAATTGTCGAATCCGGGGCGCCCTGGTATAGTTCGATTCAGCTCGTCGAGACGCATCGAATCATACCAAGGCGTACCGGATTCGACAATTTTGAACGAAGTTATAGCTCTGCGGTAAGTTGGGCTTGCGGTAAGTTGGCCTGCTCCCAAACCAATTTAGGGGGTAATTATTTTAAAATTTTTGTTTAAATTAATTAGTAGAACATTTAAATATCCTCTCTCTACTAACTTAATAGTTGTTTTTAGACTTTGCTTTTCTAATTTTGAATATAAACTTTTTATTTGTAACTAATCCCGGCTCTATTTTGTGTATTTAATTATAACTAATTAAGCTAATTTAATTGAAAATGTTTTATGGAACAAAATAAAATAATTAAAATTCTTCCCCAATAAAAACTCTTCCACTTAAAGGATCCTTCCATAAAAACTTTCCTCCATTCTTTTGCTGGCAGTAAAAATGTTAGGGAATATTTACTGTCCGAAGCGATATAGGGAATAGCTACCGATCTTTAGTATTTTTATTACTGCAAATATTTAGCAATTTATTTATGGAGTTGTGTGTGTCTTCAAAAAATGGAAATTTAAAACAATCATTTTTGCTTTTAAAAATGGAAATAAAGATATATCCACACACTTTTTGACAAAATATTGAGGGCATCAAAACTTTTAAATTTTTTCATTTGGAAACCATCAAAAATTCCCCTTTTCCTTTCTTATTTTTAAATTTAAAATTATTTAATTAATTAATTTTACTAAATTTTCTTTAACATTTTTAATTTTTTAAAAAATATTTATAAAAGTTATACATAATATCATCCAAATCAAAGTCCAATAAACAAAACAATTGTTTGCGGTAAAAGAAGATTTACCTAAAAATCAACCAATAATTTATACTTAAATTCTTTTTAAAACAAGTCCCAGCTGTTATATTTTAAAAGAAGAAAGGTTTGGCATTAAAAGAAGATAAAATAAAATAAAAAAAGGTGTGAGGGAAAAACAGTTGCTAAATATTTTTTTTGAAAGAGAGAAAAAAAATTAAAATTAGCGCAGCTGCAGTTTAGATATGTTGTTGTTTGTTGCTATATATTCGTTTTTTCTTTTATTTTTATCTTCTTTTAAATATTATCTTCTTTTTATTCCTTAAAAAATTAAAAAAGGTTGCGAATTTATTTAAAAATATTTTTAATTATTTAATTATTTATTTAATTTTACAAAAATATATTTTTAAAGATTAACGAACATTTTTGGGTTTTTAACTAATTAAATTTAAAAAACAAATTCTCATTAAAATAATTAATATAAACAAAACTTTTATATTCCAAAAACTAATTTCTTTCTTTTTTTTTTCTTCTTTCCTGGCACGAATTAAGTTAAAAAAACTTTTCCCCTCTTCTCATTTTTATCCAAAAAATGTACATATCTGCCTCTCTTTTAAATTGTAAAAAGGAAGGAAGCATTGAATCGAAAGCTAGAGAGAGGGAGCTAGAGAGGGATGGCTGTTTTGTGCCAGTCTCTTTTTTAGCTTGTCATCGACTAAATAGTTAAAATAAAATAAAAAAAAGTATAGAGAAAAATATATTTTATTTTTTTATTTTTTTCTCTCTTTTTTCAAAAAAATATATTTTTACTAACCCTCAACAACACAAAACTCATTCATTCTTCCTCTCTTCCTCAACTCAGAAAAAGGGGTGGTTAGTTAGTTTTAACAAGCAAGTATAGCTACTAGCTACTAGTTATTTTTCTAACCAAAATTTTTTTCTGATTATTTTATTTAATTTACAAAAATATTAGAAAAAATTTTTTGTAATTTTTTATTAAAAAAATATTTAAATAAATTATTTTTATATAAAAATGCTCTCTTTTATTTGTAATAAAAATTCCAATCTTTTTATTATTATTCATGACTGAGTCCCCCCCCCCTCCCCTACTCTCCCCTAGTCTCTCCCTCTCTCCCTCTAATAACCTCAATCTGTCCTTTTTTTGTTGTCTCTATTCATAACCCTCAATATTTTTTTAAAATTCCTTTTCTTCTTTTAAAAATCCAGACACTCTCGGGAGCATTGATGGACCCCCTCAAACAATGAATGGATTGCCTAAATTACCTTTTACCCATTGACGCCTTTTTGCCTCACAAAAAATTCTTTTTTTTTATTTTACTAGTAGCGCCTGACCTCATTTTTCTCACTTTGTCTCCTTGTCTTTTTCTATTTTTCCAAATTTTCTTCTCTATTTATTTTTTAAATTAAAAAAAAATATTAAAATTATTTTTAAAAATTATTCCTGTATTTTTTAGAAAAATAAATTAATTTTGGAATTTATACTTATATATTTGGGGATTTAATTAAAAAAAGATTTAGATTATCTATTCGATATTCCTCTAGATTTTATTTTATATTTTCTTGACTTTTAAAATTTTTATTTTCGACCACCATTTGATAAAAATCCCCTAAATTAATACCAAAAATGTTTTAGATAATACATAAAAGCTGATGATCACAAGTCTAAATGTGGATTTTGAATAACTTCGATATTGAAAGAAAAATGAGAAATTAAAGGACTAAATTTTTATTATGAAGGAGCTCATCCAGTTAATTTGAATGGTACCAACATATTTGGAAAATTCTTAGCAAATTTATTATCATTTAATTGACAGCCGGTCGAAGTATTATGTATACAATTTGCCATAACTTTAAATATATCCAGTCATTTAATTCCCTCGAAAAGCTCGCAATAATTTTGCAAAACGAATTTTTCATGCGAAATTGTGTTTGTTTAGTATCCATAATCTATCTTCAGATTCGTTTCAGCATCTCTTATTAAAGTGGAGTTAGTAAATATACACAGTTAAAATACCTCTAATAATCTTTCAATTAATCATTTTATATATTTATTTTTATTTTTAAATATATGTAAATGCAAATACTATAAAATTCTCTAAAAATGTATTTAGTTGTTTTGTGAATGCGAGGAGGGGAATATTTTTACAAATCTGCTCCGTTACACGAAAAAAGAAAAGATTATTATTATTTAATTATTTTGTATATATATTTAACAACAATTATTATTATTATTCATCACACACAAAATTTTTTACAAATAATTATTCAACAACTATACATGAAATAATTTTTTAAAAAATAAAATTTATATAAATATCATCATCATTTTAATTAATTAATTTATAATTATTTTTGAAAATATATTTTCTCTTTAAATTGTCACAAAAATCGGTCAATTACCTTTGGTGGCTAGCGGCAGCCGCCAGCAGCAACAACAAAAGCCGCAACGTTTATTAAGATTTACTGGATTAAAAAAGGAAGAAGAAAAAAGAGGAAATAATAATTTAAAAAATAATTCTAAATTGTCGTCGCCTTTATTTATTGGCGGTGACAACCTTCAAAAAACAACAACGCCGAGAACAACTTCAACCCCCCACACAACTTCCCCTCCTTCCCCCTCTTCTTCTTCTACAACAACAAATACCCCTTCCTCTACCCCTTTATCTGCTAATAAAAAATCTTCTTTAAATTTCCGGCAAAGATGGCCACACAAATTTACTTCTTTAAGTTTATTTGGAAGCGGGAATAAATCGAGAAAAACATCAAATAATTTAACAGAAAATAATAAACAAAAAAATTCTAGTAATTTAAATAATTTAAATGATTCTACAACAAAACATCGGTCATTACCTCCACCTTCAACTGTATTAAGAGAAGCAACACCAATTGAAGATATTACATGTGAAGGAAGAAAAAATGATGAAGAAGAGGAGGAGGAAGAAAAAGGAAAATCAGAATTAATTTGTTGTTCTTCAGAAGAAATCCCTTCCCCTTCCCCTTCCTCACAACAACAACCAACAGCAACAATTAATACTTCACTTAAAGAAGAAGAAGAGTCATCTCTTTCTTCACCTCCTTCCCAACAACAACAAAATACCTCTCAACAACAACAAAGTCCAATCCCTCAAAGAGTTCCTCCCCCTCAAAGAGCATTTTTTGGTGGAAGATGGCCAACAAGTGGAGGGAATACTTCTTGGTATTGTGAATCACCTAGACAACATTCTGGCTCCTTAATGAGAAGTAGATTACAGCCATCTGTTTCCGGTGGTTTTCCTCAACAGTCAATGCTTCAAGTCAGAAGAGAAAGTTTTTTGTATAGAGGAGGAGGGGGAGGAGGGGATGATACAACAACAACAAATAATTCTTCACCTTTTTATGGAAATAGATTTGGGGGAGGAGGTAGAGCAACAGATGATACAACATCTTTGGCTAGACCGGCATCTAGAGCTAGTTCTGTTACGAGTAGTGAACAGTTAAGTATTTTAATTTAAATAATTATTTGTAACTACTAAACTCGAATATATATTTTAATTTTTAAATAAAATAAAATATATGTATTTTATTTTAAAAATAATTCCAACCAACCAACCAAACACACATATCCACAATCTCAAATAATTTTAAAAGATTTTAAATATTAAATACTTTTTATTACTTTCATTTACGTAAGATGTTCTTAGTCAACATTTTTTCAATAAAAAAGTGCGCAAGCTAAGAAAATGAAAAAATTTTTTAATCTTCTTTTATAAAAAGGGCAAAATTGTTAAAGAATTAAAAGTAGATATTATATGTATATTCTTCTTTTATTTTCCAATAAAAATCAAAAATTACATATTTTTCTTTAAAAATATTTTCTCTATGCCAGTTTTTAAGCAAATTTTACTTCAACTTTGTGAAAAGTTTTGTCCTCCCTGTCCCTTTAATAATAGGTGTTTATTTTAATTAAATAATTTAATTAATTTAATTTAAGGCATAATGACTCATTTGATATTGTCACACCTTTTGCTCAGGTAAATTAAAGAAAATAATAATTTTCTAATTTAATTTCAAGTTATTATCTTCTTTACACAATGTCCGTGCTAATCTTATTGCAATTGCACAAATTCCCCAAGCAGAAGGCCAACAACAACAATCCCAGCCCCAACAAAGGCATAGTGGAAGGCGTAGTGGAGGGCAGACATCTTTATTGGTTTGGCCTCCCGGTGGTTCTCCTTTACCCGAAACTGTCCAACAATGTGGACAAGAAACACTTGAAGAATTGGATTGGTGTTTAGAGCAATTGGAGACTATTCAAGTTTATCGTTCTGTCACAGAAATGGCTTCTTCTAAAGTAAATTGAATTGAAATTTGGATCTAAATATTTTTTCTTTTCAAGTTTCGAAAATTATTAAATAGAGAATTGACTCATTTCGCAGAAAGTTCAAAATCTGGACCTCAAATTAGTCGATTTCTACTTAATACTTATATGGAACAAGAAGAGGCACAGGAAGAGGTGAGATTAAATTAATTTTTTTGTGAAATAAAATTAAATATTTAATTTTATTTTTTTAAATATTTATTTAAAAGTTTCTTCTTTTTCCTTTCCCCCTTTTCCATAAAAAATTTCGGTCTACTTGTTTTGCACTTTTTTAAAATTAGAGTAATTAATTTTTAAAGTAAATTTATTTATTTATTAAAAAAGGGGGACTTTAAAATTTTTTAAAAATGAGGGGAATAAAATAATTGATTAAAAAAGAAAGATTTTTTGTCGGTTGCCTTTGTATGTAATTAATTTGTTGCCGCAAAATGATTTTGATGGGAAAATTAGGGGAAATAAAAGGATTGAAAAAGAAGGGGGGATAGAGGGGAATAATTAAAAGAGAGAAGAGGGAGACTTTTTTTAATTTGAAAAAAATTTGTTTTTAATTAATTTAAAAAGGGGGAAAGAAGAAAGGGGTTTTTCTCTAAAATACAAAAAAATTAAATTTCCCCACAAGAACAAATCACAAAAAAGTTGTGAGGGAAAATTGAAAGAAAAAAGGAGGGGAGGGGGGAGAGGAAACGGAAATTAAAAAGAAAATAAGTTTTGTGTGTTAACGGACTTCCGTTTAGATAAAATTAAGAAATCAGTAGCAAAAAAAGAAGAGAGAAGAGAAATTTTAATCACAAAATTCACAAACATTTTTGGACAGTTGCCCAAAAACTTTTTATTTTTTAAAATTTGGAGTATATTCTCTTTTATTTTAAATTAATTCGAAGTTTTAATTTTTTACCTCTTTGAAAGGTAAAAAATACCTTTTTTTAAAGAAAACCTCCACAAATCAAAATTTAAAAAATTAAAAATATATTTTTAATTTTCTCCCTCCCTCCATTTTTCTCCCCACATTTCTTCATTTTTACTTCTTTTTAATCTTTCAACATTGCGCAGGTCCTTCTTATTCTTTTCCTTCCGCCAGTCAATTTCCGTTAAATTTTTTTTCTTCTTCAAAAGTCAAAGCCCAGTAGAAAAGTTTAAAAAACGCAAAGAGAGGGGGGGAGGGGGGGGGGAGGGTGGAGAAATTTTTAAAAAATAAATTTTTATATTTAATTTTTGTTCTTTAAAAGACTAACAAAAATTCTATTTAAATTTATTTATTTTTAAAAAAGGGTCAAAAAATGGAACAAAAGCCGAGTACTTCTTCAATTCCTTCCAAACCCCTACCTCCAATGGTTGCTGTGGCTGGACATGCTTCTTTATTTAATAAAGCCAAAACGGCAGCAATGTCCAGAATTTCTGGTGTTCAAAGACTAAGAAGTAGCCAATTTGGACCTCACCACGGATGCCCTCCCGAATTTGGAGTTCCCTGCAAAAAAGAGATTGAAGTTTATATGCAAAGGGTAATTTATATTTTAATTAATTTTATTTCCAAATAAACAAAATTTATTCTTTTTTTTAATTAAGAAAGGGGTCAATGATTATTGTGGGGAATTGCAAATTTTTTGATTTATAATTTATTTAAACACGTGAATATAATATGAAATTAATTAATTAATTAATAATTTTTTTGGAATATTTTAATAAATAAATAATTTTTAAAGATAAATGATTGGGGAGTTAATATCTTCAAAATGCATGAGGTAATTTAAATATTAAGAAAAAATATTTAATTAAATCCAAAATTATGCAGTTATCAAAACAACATTCATTAACATCAGTTACCTACACTTTATTGAGAGAAAGGAAAATGTTATTTAAATTTGAAATTCCTGCAAGCACTTTAGTTAATTATTTACTACATTTAGAACATCATTATCGTAGTAATCCATATCACAATCAAATACACGGGGCTGATGTTGCACGTAAATTAATTTTTTTTAAATTATTTACATAACTCATTCTTCCATTAAATTAAATTTATTTTTTTTTAATTTTTAAAATTATTAAAGTTGTATTAATTAATCACAATCAATTTTAAATATTCTTTTAAAATTTTTTCCTTTTCCTATTTCCCATTTAAAATTTACTTACACAAAAAATTTTATAAAAAATTAATTTTTAAGAATCTATAAGTGTGCTAATTTCCTCACCAGCATTGGAAGGTGTTTTCTCTGATTTGGAAGTTTTGGCAGCTATTTTTGCTTCAGCAATCCACGATGTTGATCACCCAGGCTTTACTAACCAATATTTAATTAACACACAAAGTGAACTGGCAATTATGTATAATGATGAATCTGTGCTTGAACAGCATCATTTGGCTGTAGCTTTTAAATTACTTCAAGACAGGGACTGCGACTTTTTGCAGGGACTTACAAGAAAACAAAGACAAAGTTTTAGAAAAATGGTGATAGAAATGGTGTTAGCTACAGATATGTCCAAACATATGAGTTTATTAGCTGATTTAAAAACAATGGTTGAGGCTAAAAAAGTTTCTGGAACAGATACTCTTTTAGACAAATATCAAGACAGAATACAGGTAAAAGAGGATGAGAAGAAAATTAAAATCTTTTCTTTAAAAGGTTCTTCGTTCTGCTATTCATTTAGCTGATTTATCAAATCCTGCAAAGCCAATTGATATTTATAGGCAGTGGAATGAAAGAATTTTGGAAGAATATTGGAGACAGGGAGACAGAGAAAAACAGCTTGGACTTGAAGTAAAATTGAAAATACTTAAAAAAATTTTCTTTTTAAAATTTTCTTAGGTCAGTCCAATGTGTGATAGAGGTAATGTAACTGTAGAAAAATCTCAAGTTGGATTTATTGATTATATTGTCCATCCATTATTTGAAACTTGGGCAGAATTAGTACATCCAGATGCTAATTCAATATTAGATCAATTAGAAGAGAATAGACAATGGTATTTGGCTAGAATGGAAGAAGAAGAGGAGGGAGAAAATGGAGGAGAAGAAGGGGAAGGAGAACAAAAAATAATTTTAAAGGAAAAGCCTCCATTACCTCAACAACAACAACCATTTTTTCTAAGTAAAGAAAGAGCAGCAATGAGACAAACACAACCACCAGAAAGTTGTTTTAGTACAATTAGTAGAAGTTCAAGTAAAATATCTAATCCTCCTCGTCCACGTGCTGCAACTACAACTGCTGTTATATTACCCGAAACTGCTGATATTAATATTAGTGATCAAAGGCATTAAAATAAAAAAATAAAAGAAGGCATTAAAAATCAAAATAATATTAAATACTAATAATTTTTCCTTTAACCCTTTTTTTAAAGAAATTTTTTAATTACTTTTTTTTGTTAGTTTGTGATTCTCTAATTTTTAGGAAAATATTTCACAAACAAACAAAAAATTTTTTTATTGTATATCGGGTTTTTTTTCCTCTTCCCCCCTTTTATTCATCTCTTTATTAAGGAGACACTACAAAATGATATTTTTTAACAATTTTATCCCAATTTTCTTTTCTATCTCACAGATTAAATTAAATATTATACCCAATAAATCACCCTTAAACATTATTTATGGTGCTCCCCTTCTCTCATTTTTTGCATAATTTTTTTCTTGCTAATCCCATATTTTTCTAATGCCAGTTTTTTTCAAATATTTTATTTTTGTATTGAAAAGTGATAAAATAATTTTAAAAAAAAATGTAAAAAAACTGATTATTTAACCTTTCAATACAAAAATATCTTAAATATTGTAAACGCAATCGCCTATCTCTTGCTCGTACAAAAATGTGATTTTTAGATATTCAATAAAAAATTAAAAATTGTTTTTTCGCAAAATAAAAATATTATATGTATGTATGTAGACAATAAGGAAAAATTCCGGTATGCGACGCAGAAACTTTGCTGAGATTTTCTTAGATGTTATCTAAATCCCATTCGAAAGAGCTAATCGAGCTGAGTCTAATAACACCAAAATCAACTCGGTCGGATGATCTTAAATAAAATGATTATTAATTTAACCTCGTTGGGAACACTTTGTGCTGCTGCGGAGTTGCACAACAACTGTGCTTCGTACTTATCTGTGGTGACACTATGTGAGGGCTATCTAAATCCCTTTAACCCAAGAAATCCCTATTCCGTTCAAATCCAACGATTTCACATATCCCGTCAGCTCGCCCTACATATATCACGATATTCCTTCAAAGCCTCCTATATTAGTGAAATGCATTGAGAGAAAATTTCGCTAAATCAAATTTAGTAGATGTAAATTTTTTAATTTTTGTTTCTATAGATGTTTTGCCGAGATTTTCTTAGATGTTAAGACCTTTTTTTAATCTTAGTTTCAAAGAACTTTATACAAGAGAAGAATACCTCCATTTTAATTTATAGTTCGACGAATTGGGTATTTTTACTCTGTTGGACATTTTGAGTTGTGACGAATTTTTTGGACGAATCTTTGGTTTTTGTTCAGTGGGACGAATTGTGAGTTTTGTTCTAGGGGACAAATCGTGGTTGTGACGAATTTAGGCGCAGTGGCCCATTGTTTTGTAAAATTGAGCGAATCAAAATTTTTAGGGCAAGATTTACATACTACTTGAACGGGTCAACTCTAACGCATAATAATCATGGCGGATCCTGAAAAGGCAAGTGATAATGGTGCATGGCTGGACGAACACTTTCCCTTGCACAAAGCTGTGTTTCAAAATGACATTTCTCGAATTAATGAAATCCTAACTACGACTTGTCTTCCTAAAATCAATTTGGACCAAATGGATACTCACGGCAATACAGCGCTTCACTTGGCAGCAATGCTTGGAAATATAGGTAATTTATCATTTTTGGTAATTTCGAACTGGACAGACCCCCTTTTTTCCTACACAATTTTTCCCCTATACTTTTGTAAAATGGTTAAAGAGCTCATCAAACTCTTTAATTAAAGTCTTTAATCAAACTTTAATTAGAGAGTTTGATTAGCTGAGTTAAATGACAACAAAATCCAGGAAGGTCGCAACTACTAATTGAGATATAGTCTCCTGAAAATTGCAAAAATTATTGGAAGGACAAAGCTCGTATTTGCGACCTCTTCTTAATTTTGTTATAATTTATCTGGTTTTGATTCTGTTATATATTGTAAAGTTTAACCTTTAATTTTTTTCAGAAGCTGCCAAACTACTGTTAGAACATGGAGCGAATGTCGGATTGAAAAATAACGATGGCTGGAAGAGTTTACACGAAGCAATTAGTTATGGGGATCGAAAAATGAGTTTGTGTTTTTATTTTTTTATTTTCATTCATCATTATTTTTAGTTGGGTTATTGTTGTCTTCACATAAGAAGCAGTCTCATCGTTCATTGACATCAAAATTGCCTGAAATCCAGAATCATCTTGAATCCTTGAACGATTTCTATATGGAAATTCGTTGGGAGTTTCAAACTTGGAGTGTGTTTTATTTTAATTATTTTTGAATTTTTCATTAATTTATTTTTTAATTAATTTTTTTTTCTAAAGTTCCTCTTCTTTCGAGAGTGATGCCTTCTGATACATTTAAAGTCTACAAACGAGGTTCTAAGCTCCGTGTAGATTTTACTCTAACAGACTTCAATGAAAGCATAATTAGTTGGACCCGAGGTGATATGTCTTTGCTTTTTGATCCAGGTGCACCAAAGAGTTACCAGACTCTTTTGCTCAATAACAAGGATGAGGTTAACTATTTAGAGAATCAATTTTAGATTTTTACTTATGGAAAATTTTTCTAAATATTTTTTTATATTTTAGGTATATCAAAGGGTCCGAGATAAGAATCGTCACCTCAATGATGAAATTGATCTCCTAATGGGCTGTGATATCATAAGGTTATTTATCTAATCTTTTATGGTCTATAATGAATTTTAGTAGTCACATAAGTACTCGGCCTATTCGTTTTGTTCGTGCAAAAGGCTGGTTCATGAACGACAAATCGGTATGTTTAAAATATGTCTTAAGGTTTTTGAAATGCATCTTATTATCACTCTGCTTTTTTGGTCATTAAATAACGAAAAACAAAGTTTTACGGCTAAAACTAGTAGATAATTGAATCAGGTGCCGAAAATTAATAGTAGCCGATCATTCTTTCCAGCTAATAACTTTTATTTTATGCGCTTTTAAGTCTACTATGGATTAATAAAAAAGGAGATTGTCTAATCTTTTTTTCTTTAAATTTTTAGTATAATATTGGAGAATACAAAGCTGATCTGTTCAACATTAAGGAATTGTGTCTTATTACTCGGAAGAGGTTTATTCTAATTAATAATTTTTTATTTTATTTTAGGCGGGAGCATCTTTCTCAAGAAGATCTACGCAAGAACCGAGAGTTGAATAAGGCTTTCTCTAGTGGCAAACTTCCTCCTGATGATGGTAGCAGTGATGATGATGATAAAGTAATTTTAAATAATTGATTTTTCCTTTTTCAGAGAGTTTTAAATTAATTTTTAAAGGACCGTCACCGTGCAAGTTTGTCCCCTCCCCCAAAACCAGAGTTTACTTGGGCCGAATATCTCCGTTTGCCTGATGGGCCGGACTCGCATTTGGGAAGGCCGAAGGAAGAGAAGACTACAAATACTGAAATCAAAGGAATGCTGGCGTTGGTAGGATTTTTCAAATTTAAAATACTTCTCTGTTAATTTAAAGTGTCAGGACTTTCCACTCACAACCGATCAACTGTTGGACATTCTTGAAGTTCTAGAGCCTGTGAAAACAACAGTGAAAAAATTCCGTGCCTTTTGCAGTTCTGGACGGTTGCCACCAGGCTTTCCTATTCAATTAGGTGTGTTTTTTAAAGTCTTACTTAAAGTTTAAGTATTTTTAATTGGTTATACCCTTTAAAAAAATTTAAATGCATTCTGATCAAATAAGCTAGTTAAATCAACTACCTTTCACACGGAAATAAACTACCCACTGCTCACAATCGGTATCCTTTTTTGGTGGATGAGATTTAATTTTTTCAGAGATTCCCATCTTTGCCACACTGACAATGAAGATTACAGTTCAGCTCTTTCGTTGGCAACAATCTAATGATGATGCAGCATTTCCAGATGAAATGTTCAAAGTGCCTAGTCATTTTCGTGAGGATCCAGACCATTTTGACAAAATCTAATGGATATGTGATTTGCAATCGAAATAAAAACGATCTTTCATTTAAAATAACCTCTACTAGGTAAAAACTGAAAATAAGCCTCTATCTCATACAAAATATCTTCCAATAATTTACCCAAATATAACTTAACTCAGTTACTTATGTATACATATTTTTATTATCAATGCATTTTTGCTCTCGTGTATTAATTAATTATCCCATTGGCATTAAAACAAATGAACGTGTAAATATGAAAATTAGGAATTTTTTTATTTGTTTCGTTTAGATTAAAGCTTTAACATACCTTTTATATATGTACTAGTTTTATTTTATTGTTTGTCTGATTTTTGATAAATCACCTGAGCCAAGCTCAATATAAAATTTTGTTCTTTCTTGAAGTAAATTAATAATTATAATTTTAAATATGTAATAGTAACAATTGCTATTGTTTATTTTGTATGAAAATATGTTAATATTTTTTCATTTAATTAAAATACTTGCAGGTTTATTTAGAATATTTAAATGACTGATTCGGATGCCTCAAGTAATGACGGCGGGGGTGTTTATCAGGTTAATTTTTTTTCATTTATAAAATAATAATTTAATATAAGGTTGAAAAAATCTTGGACAAGCGAACGGTCAAAGGAAATAAAGTTGAATATCTGATTAAATGGAAGGGTTATGACAATCCTAGTGACAATACTTGGTATTAAATTCATTTAAATTTCATTACTTTAAAAATTCAGGGAACCAGAGGAAAATTGTGATTGTCCTGATCTGATTGAGGAATTCAAGAAGAATTATAAAGAGAAGGATGTCAGCAAGAAACCTACAAAAAAGAGACGACAAAGTCCTGGCCGTTCAAATTCCAAATCTGTGGTTATATACTTTTTCTAAATTACTTCCGTTACTTTATCTTTTATTTTAGAGTGTCGATCGTTCTTTAAAGGAAGGGTCAAAAGATAGAGGTGCCAGCAAGACTTCCAAGGTTTAATTGTTTTAAATTTAGAGATTTGATTCCTTTAGAATACTGCTCTCGCTACAAGCAAGAAAACACGTAGTAAAGAATTCGTCATTTCTTCAAGTAGCGATACTGAAGCGCCTGCTGAAGAGAAGAAAACTGTTGCAAATGAAATGGCTCCATTCCTCGGTATACGTTTTATTCTTAAATTCGTCGTCATCTTTACTCATATTAAAATATTTTAAGAAATTCCATATGAAGGAAAAGTATATAAATTTCAACAAGACAAGAAAATTGACAAGGTATTGGGTGTTAAGAAGACGCAAAAGGATGAGAATCAATTGTTGGCGTTAGTTCGTTATGAGGATACTGATTACGAGCTTGTTCCTACGCCTGTTTTGGCTACCGAAAATCCTATTAAGGTGGAGATTATTAATCTAAAAGTGTTTTAATTCTTAATATTTAGCTAATTGAATATTATGAGCAACATCTGCGATTCTTTTGAATGTTTTATAAAAATGTGGAAGAAGGCATAAACTGGACACGATCTAATTATTTTCATTTTGTTTTATTCACTTCTGATTTTTTGTTTTCAAAGCTGTAACCAGGTTCTAAATCTCTCATGAATTAAAGAAGTTACAGTTTATAAATTTTTTGCTGGCAATTTATTGATTATTTCTCTGATAATAAATTATTTTGTTTTATAAATTTAACACGAAAATATTGGATTTTATCCACATTTTTAGAATTCAATAGTTTTTTTTCTACCTATTTTAAACTAACAGAAATGAATAAGAAAAATGAGCTACGCCTTAAATTACTTTCACGTCAACAACATATTCCAAAAGCTAAAAGGCCAGCTGCTTTGGTTTTTTTTGGATTATTTTCACTTATTTTATATTTTCTCTGCTTTAGGTTGCTTCTGCTGCTGTCGCACCTGTAAAACGATCGAAGTTTGAAAATCCGAGAAAGCCACAGCCAACATCATCCTTAACAAATGTGACAACAGCAGCGGGTCCATCTGAAGCGCCTCAGGCCAAGAATCAAAGGAATTTTTTATCACATCCGGTAAAATTTTATCATATTAAAAATCAAATTGGTCGTAAAAATTATGATCATATTAAGATTTTTACTTGTTTTGAAGAATAAATTGCCGAAAAATTTATAAAATTTTTATAAAAGGTATTTTTCGTAATAGGGAATAATATCAAATAATTGAGGGAGTTAAATACTATATTGTTTACTAAATGGATAATTTTAAGGTCACCGTTCAAAACCATGGGGTAGGTAATAATTTGACTTCTAAACAAAATACTTTTGGTCAATTCCGTGTTTCTGCACAAACAGAAACGAAAGAACTTGAATGTCAACCGCTGCGAAAAGAAGTTGAATGTTAGTATTTTTAATTTATGAAATAATAGCTGATCCTAATTTTAGCATTTCCGGTTACATCAAGAGTGAATTCATCAGTCTCAAGAGAAACTGATAATGAACAACAAAATTCGTTGATAAGTGGAATTGATGAGCAAAAAGGTTCACAACATCAGTCAAATTTTGTTCATCAATTTGGACTTTCTAGCTGTGATGAGTCGACAATTGATGTTGGTTAATTTACTTACATTATATAATTATTTCAAAACTCTAGAAAGCATTAATTGGTATGCTTCCAACTACAGCTCTAACTGGTCTTGAATCATTTGGACTTTCAACATTGGCATTCTCTAAATTAGTTTCAATAATAACTTCAAGTGAGTTTCATCACAAAATTGATGAGAAGACAGCAGAGACAATAATACCTTTTCTTTCTGCCTATCAGCTTAGAGGGGCAAACAATAATGTTAATCAGGTTAAGAAAACATTCTTTGAATATTGTGGATTTTTTTAAATTTTCAGTTAATTTCTTTTTTTCGTTCAAAATTTCCTCTAATTGGCAACGATGAACTTTTAGACATTAAACAAACATTTAAAAATTTTCCTCCTCATCTTCAATGTAATACAACAAGCAATACATTTACGAAGGAAATAGCTGATGTTAACTTGGTGGCACTTTCTTCGTTTTCTGAGGAAGATGGATTAATTTCTGGTAGTTATAATGAAGAACAGGAAATAGATGAACAAGCATCACCAAATGAATTGTTAAAAATACTTTGTTCGGATAATGTTTGTACTTACAATTAATTAATATATTTACTTACAATTAACATAAGTAGTTCATTTTTTAAATTTAAAGGCGAAGAATAACACCCATAATGCTTTACTTTTACAAAATTATTGTCTTCATAGACCTGATATCTTGGATTTAAATTCTAACAATTTCGACGAACAGGTGGGTTTTAAATCGCTTTCTCAAATTTTTAAAATTGCTTTTATGACTCGGCATTGTTTTTTGCCTTTTCCAATCATAGCTTTAACTCAATATACTGTTTTTAGGTACAAATACTTTTCTCGTCAAAATCAGAATTTGCTAAAGAATTGATTGTAAAAATTGTTAATCATTCTTCAGCATTAGTTATTCGAAAAGTGATTGACAAACTTTTGTTCAAATTTGATGAACGGTTCATTTGAATTTCTTTATCTTAAATTTTATTTATCTTTAGTTTTTTGCCTTCGTCTGTTATTAATTTTGTGGTTACTCTTTATAATTCTTCACCATCCTTAGTCAAAGCCAAACTTGACAAACTTCAATGTTCTTTTTTGACACTTTATTTCGTTGAAGTATTTTCATTTTTTTAAATTTATTTTTGTTATAATTTAGGCATTATTCCATTCGCCACAGGAAAAGGACTTTACGGATGAGTAAGTTTTGAATAAAGTTTTAACTTTTAGAAATTTAGGTTGGATAAATTTGTAACTATTATTCAACTTCTAATTCAATCATCATCGGTGGGGATGCCAAAAGATAAATTCTCTGATATTTCTTTACATGGATTCGGTTCTACTCTTTTGGCATATCTTCTTCGTTTCTTTCGTGAACAGGAGGCAAAGTATCAAAACTCTCAAAAACGCAAACAAATCTTGCAAAAATTAAGCGAGCGTCTTTTTCAAGAGTTTCCCCGTTAGTAATTTTTTAATTAAATTTTAAATTACTTTAATTTTTTAAAGTTATTCCACGTGACATTTCTTTCTTGAGCATAAGTGGTGATCATCATAGACAACTTTCCGTGCTTGATATAGCTGATGCAGATAAAATTTTGGAACAAACTATTTCCGAATGTTTCGAGATGGTTAAATCTACTTCGTCTGTTACTTCTACTCAAACAAAAGATAAGAATATAGTTATTGAGAAACTGGAAAATTTGGTTAAATTCACTAAAACTAGCCCAACTTTAATGATAAGGTAAATTATTTTTATTCTAATTTACATAAAAAATATTATTTTAAGGCAGATGCCTGTTATTGCTTCAAAAGTTCAAGACTTGGTAGAAAATTTGAGTGGACGTGAAATTCGATTTAGTACAGCAGTTCCACTTTTACTTTATATTTTGGATATTATAATGATAGCAATGAAACGGAAGATAGTGCTAACATTTGAAAAAGAAGGAACTCAAAAAGATAAAACATGTTATCTTATACAAATTCGATCTTTTCTTGCTGTACTTAAATCAATCTTTCAAATATTTCAAGTATGCTTTTTAATTAAATTTTTAATTTTTATCTTTTTCATTTTTAGAACCGAAAAAATCGACAAATTCCATTTTTGACTGAAAAAGCTCTTCAAGCAATTGTTTTGTTTATTAAGGAAAATCAAAATTTTTCTTCTGATTTACTAGACGATGTTCCTATGTTGAAAGAAATATTAGATCGACAACAGCATGTACTTTCACAAATGGACAAAGAAATTTTGAAACGTGAAATATCCAAAATAACTAATGTCGAGAATTTATAAATTTAAAAATAATTTCTATATAAATATAAATTTACGTGTACCAGACAACTATGGTTAATTATAGAAAAAATTATAATAATAAAATGATAATTAAAATAATGATTCCCAATAAGGAAGGAATGTTAGTCTAATACATATTTCCTTTTTACCAAATCTGACCTCGGGAATTTGCTGACACGGGAACACTCCGGACTATTAAAATATAAATCGATTTTTACGAGATTATGAACTAAAGAGCCCCCATAAATGGAAAATGTGAAAGAGAAATATTAAAAGAATAATTAAATATTTATGTATTTCCACCCGATTAAGACGTTAATTGCTGTCTTTTAGTCATTTTGTCTTTAGTGCTTGAATTATTTTATTGTCCACTATTGCAAAAAATTCACTGGTTTTTTATTTAATTAAATTAATCTTTTTAAAAATAAACAGCTGATACTTTCAATGCTTTTAATTAGAACAGTTACATGATATAAAGTTCATGTCATAAAGTATATTTAAGTACTCTATTGTCCATTTATTTGTGTGTAAGAGACATATTGAGTAGCAAATACTTATGCATATTTAATTACGAAATTTACTTTTAAAGATCATTGTCTGTGTTAATATTAAATTTTTCTAGCAATTTCTAGCAAAACAAAGCTAATAAATACTCTTCATCTTCAAACTTAATTTTAGATGCAAATTAAAGTATTATTTTCTACCGATAATTAATTTAACAAACAATGGAAGGATCTACTAATACAACAACAGGAGGCAAGCATGATATTAAAACCCATGAAGATTGTGCTAAAAATGTAAATTTTAATATTTTAAATTAAATATAAATTGTTTAGGCTGTTCTTAAAGCATTGAAATCTCTTGAATCAGCAGATGGGCTTAGTGATGATTGCACGTTTGCTCAAGCAATGACGGATGGGATAGAGATGTAAGGAGTTTTTTAAAGGAAATTAATCAAAATTTATAATTGTCTATTGTGGGTGGAAATTTAATTTTATTTAAGTCTGGTTAATGTTTGGCGCAAGAGGGACTCAAAATCAGAGATTGCATTTCAAGGCATCCTTTCTTCCCTGGAATATTGTTTGCAACATTCTTTTGAGACTGTGGACCATTTTGAAAATTTTGTCAATATTCTAGGTATTTTTATTTTCTTTTAGGTTTATAGTAGGGCTGTTCACGACCGGTTTTAAAACCGAAAATTTTTTATTTTTTGCTAAAAATTAACCGTTTTTACAAAATTTTTTAAACCGAAAACTTCTGAAAATGAGTGATTTTATTAAAAATTACCCCAAAATAAAACCGGTATTTGTCTAAAACCGAAAACCTGGTTTTTAAAATTTGGATTAGCCGAAAACCGCGGGTACCGGCTTTAACTGGGAGTGAACAAACATAGTTTATAGGCTTTAATATTTATTAATGTTTATATTTGAGGTTATCATACTGTGCAATTTTGGAGAGCGGCAATTCCTTACATTTATGAATCAGATATGGCACATGGAACTAAGTAATTAAAATTTTTTAAACATTTGAATGGAGATAATTTTAATGTAAGAATATTTTTCACTTTTAATTTTCAGATATAGAGATGCACTTCTCTTTAGCCTAACATTGCATGATGTCAATACTGGGAGGAACAGACTCAAGTAATTTTATTTTTATAAAATTTTTAATTAAAAATTTTGAACAGAGAATTTTATGCTGCTGTGCCTGGTATTCGTAAATCTCTTCTCGGTTCTTCTGCAAAGCGCTTTAGTGAACAGTTCCACCATTTACAACAAAGACGGACTCATTCTTCTTCTTCCCTTCATACTTCTTCCAATTCTTTATTACTTTTACCTGAGTCTCAGCTACATCAGGATGAGACATCGAACAAATTAAGTCCTGCACCTGTCTCTTTTTCTCTGGATAATAATGAAAATAATGATCAAGTGGAAGGACAGAATAAATCGGAAAACGAATCTTCACATCCGTTTGGTAATTAAAATATATAAATTATTTTAAATATTAATTTTTAATAGAAATTCGTAGAGAAAAAAGAATGTCAATAGCATCTTCTGATACTTCAGATCGCCATCATCCAGCTGTTTTTGATGGAACAGAGGCCATTCCTTCAGGAGGCATAGTCAACACACAACATTTTCAGGTTTATTAATTCTAGATATTTTCACTTTTTTAATTTTCTAGCAAAGGGTTATTAATGTCTCAAATGCTCCACCGGTTGCATTGAAACAGTCAGAATCTGGAGAATGGGAAATTAAACAGGCTTGGACGCATTTTTATTCAATTAAATTAAATTTTTTCTCAATTTGTTAGGGTTCTGGTGGTCTTGTTTCTTGTGTGGATCCAGTGATGGCTGTAAATCCAGAAAATATGTGGTTGGCAAATTTGGGAATGAACATTGATAAATTTAAAATTACATCAACTGAATACATTGAAAAGATTGATCCGAGTATGGAGAAAATTGATCCTACTTATATTTCTGCTCCGACAACTAATACATTGGGTAATTATGAATTATTAAATATTTATTATCAATTTTGTCGATTCTAGGACTTCCATTAATGAAACAAGCGCTTGCTGATGTTCTCTTTCACGTGATTGGTTCTTAAATAATCATTTACTAAAATTTATTTTTATTGTTTTCAGCTGACGATGACCTCAAAGAAGAAAACGAGCCCGCGGATAAGCGTCAAATCAGAGAGGAAATGTCGCTTCTTGGTGTCCTTAATACTTATAATCGTGGAAATTATAAACTCAACCCTGTAAAAGAATTTTTTTTTATAATTTAAGAAAAATATTTTTAAGGTAATCGTTCAAGAACAAGATTATAATGTCTACTATGGAGGAATCAGCAATGGACTTCTTTGGCCAGCTATGCACAATCTCGCAGAATATATATTGCCCGAATATAAGGATACGAAAACTTTAAAAGAACATTGGTTTTCATATGTTAGAGTTAATTATCAATTTGCAATTGATGCTGTAAGAAATAGCCGTCCTCAGGACTTTATTTGGATTCATGATTATCATTTAATGTTGACAGGAATGATTATGCAAAGTTTGGACAGAAATTTGGAAATTGGTTTTTATTAAATAAAAATAATTGTTTAATAATTCTATAGGTTTCTTTCTTCATATACCTTTTCAACCACCTGATGATTTTTTTACTACATACAAAATTGTTGCTTTTCCAATTCTTCGGGGATTACTTCGCTTTACAAAAGTTGGATTTCAGACACATAGAGATCGGACAAAGTTTACTGAACTTGTTAAAAGTTATCTGGTAATTGTATAAAAATTTTTTTTGTTTATTTAACTAATTTTAGCCAACGGCCAAAGTAAAAACTGAAGATAAATTGGATGTAGTTGTAGTTACTTATCAGGGTTGGAGTTGTTCTCTTGGCGTTTTCCCTGTTAGTATCAAAAACGAGGATTTCCTTCGAGTGGCTAGAGATCCAGCTGTTATTGAAAGATCGCAACAAATTCGAAAACAAGTTTGAATTTTTTCTAATTTCTAAACTATTTAACTCTCTAGATATTTGGTGAAAATCCTCCAGCTGATGTTTGTTTATTCTTTTCTGTTGAAAGATTTGATTATACAAAAGGCATTAGAGAAAAATTGTTAGCTTTTCAACGTTATCTTGAGAAATATCCAGAAAGACGTGGAAAGGACATTCTTTTCCAAGTTGCTGTAACAAACCGTCGCGGTGTTGACACTTACAGAGTTTATCAGGTTTTTTATTTAATTATTTTTAAAATACAAAAAAATCTCAGGATGAATCTATTGATTTAGCTGGACAAATAAATAAGCAATTTAAAGATGAAGAAAAATATGGAAATTGGTTACCTGTAATTTTCCAAACAAGCGGATTACAACGTAGTGAATTAATAGCTCACTATTTGGCTATGGATGTTGGTGTTGTAACACCTAAAAAAGATGGAATGAATTTGGTTTTGCTTTATTTATAAATTTTAAATAATATTTTTTATTCAAAGGTTGCAAAAGAAATGATGCTTTGTAATTCTGCAGCTGGTTTAATTCTCTCGACTGGTGCTGGTTCGGAAATGCAATTTTCAATGGCCGGATTACATTCAGAGCAGGATCCAAACTATCACAGAGTTTATTTTATTCTTTAATATTATACTTATTTGTATTTAAAGGTTGATGATTTATTTGATGTTGAGGCTTTTGCTGAAGTTTTTCATAAAGCACTTACAGAAATTCGTGAACAACGAGAACGACACGGAAAGGTTCTTAATGATTTTATTATGGCAAATGACATCGAAAGGTATTTAAAAATTGTTATTTAAAAAATTAAACTTATTTTAGGTGGAGTCAAACATTTCTTGATCCGAGTTGGTCACATCTTGTCATTCGTCAAACAGATGTTACCACACTTGATGATTTCTTTAATATAATGCTTCGAACTCGAGATGTCCGAAAAGCGATTGTTGAACGTGTTCTTAAAGGAATTCCTATTAGACAACATTTTGCAATTTCTTTACAAAATGCAAAAGAATCGCTGGAATTAGCTTGTAAACCTGATTCTTTTAAAATTGAACTTCAATCTGGTAAATAAAATTTTGCATTTTTAAATAAATTAATTTCATAATTAAATTAGGTGTAGACGCAACAGTTGCAAATAAAAACAACACTGTAGAATTTTATATAAAAAATGAAATTGAAGAATTGGAAAAAGATTTAAAATTTTTGGAATTTATTCAGAGTGAAGATGTTTTCAATGTAAAAATTAATTTTTAAATATTTTTTAAATTTTATTTTTTAGATTGAACAATTTATTTCTTCTCTTCAAATTTATCATCCAGATTCCGAAGAAAGATTCAGAAACGAAGTTGCAGCTGTTGTTGATGTTAATATAAAATTTTAAATTATTTGAATTTTCCTATAAATTCAGATGTTTTTTGATGCTGATCACTTTAATTATTTCTTCACTGATCGTGATGGGACTCTCAAATCCTACAGTTGTGCTTATCCTGCTTCAATCCAACCTGCCTATTCAGGCGTTATTCAAGCACAATTTGCTAGGCGTTGTGCTCAAACATGTGCCATTGTTACAACTGTAATATATTTTTTCTATTATTTAGTTTATTAATTTTGTTTTTAAGGCACCATTGATGCAAGTAGGAATTTTGGATGTTAATACAATCCCAGAAGGATATTATTACATTGGTGCATCTGTTGGGCGAGAGTGGTATGTTGATCCAGACAATAAATTTAAGGTTTTTATTTTTGAAAATCTGTAAATATTTCTCTTTTTAATTTATAAAGGATCAATCAATTCCTGAACATGATTTACAACAACTTAATTTAGTTTTTGATTCTATTGCTTATTTACTTGAGGATTCGGAATTTAAAATCTTCAATTTGATAGGCTCGGGATTGCAAAAACATTTTGGACATGTAACCATAGCACATCAGGATTCATCTAATACAATACCAACTGAATTAAAAAAGAAGATTGATGACAAAATTCATGCAATTGTTGAAGATATTGATCCAAACAATCAATTATTTGAAATTATAGTAATATTTTTATTTTTAAATTAATTTTTTATTTTTTAGATTGATGACAGAGACATAAAAATATTTGTTAAAACTGAATTTGGAGGAATTTTTGACAAAGGAAATGGGATAGAATTATTAATAAATCACTTAAAATGTGATTTAACTGAAGGAACTATTTTAGTATGTGGTGACTCAATTACAGACATTCCAATGTTGGAATATTGTCTTATTAAAAACCCAAAAGTGAGAATACTTTAATTACAAAAATTAATAAATATGTACTTCAGAATGTTTATACTGTATGGGTTGTAAATGGACAAAATATACAGTTGAGGAATCAAGTAAATCGAATTTAAAAATATTTGAAAATTATTTTACTTATATTTAGGTTCATGATTTGTGTAAAAAATATGGGAATGAACATTTGGTTTTTGTTTCTTGCCCTGAAGTATTGCTTGGATCGATGGCACAGGTGAGAATAATGGAACGAGTGAAAATCGCTACCAAGCTAACTAGTAAATCTGAAAAAATGCCCAAGTGATAGCTGAATTACAATATGTACTCTAGTTAGTTTAAAAAGCGATGAAGAACCGAAAAGTACCATTATTAATTCTACATACATTTTAAGGCAACTATCCGCGAGATTAGCATTTGCAGAGGAGCTGTCACCCACCATCGACACAGTTCATCCACTACACAATTAGAGGAAGGTGCTTCTACAGATGACAGATAATTAACATCGAGACAATAATTTAGTCTTTTCATTACGATTATTAGTTATTTACATATTTTATTAGCGAGAGACGCACATTCTACCTTTTTATTCTTATAATACCCGCAATCTTTGGTATTGGAAAGTTGCGTAATTCTAGTTTGATAATTTTTCAATGTAAATTGAAAAATCGTTATGCGTATTTTTAATAATTTAATTATGCAACATTCATTTATTCAATTATCTTATTCTTAATTTGTGCTAATTTGTTGCCACATCGTATAGGCCATATTTGTGGTGTCCTGAAGTTCTTCGGAAAAGTTCTTTTCTAGTATTTTTGGAATATTCTTCCCCAACTTTTTTTGGAAAATACCTTCAAGATTTTCCTGATTTCCGAAAATACTCGTAGATAAATTTTCCGATAGTTATCATATATTTGCTCATATTGATGCTTTCTTACTACTTCCAGTTTCTCCTACTTCATACAAAATATATCTCTTATAAGTTTAATTTTGTTTCTGATTTAGATACCTAAATACATATTTCCATTTTTATATTTTAATCAAAATAATTTTAAATTTTATTTTCCCTTCTAATCTATGTACAACCTCCAATTTTATATTCCCCATAGTGTGCACACTCTCGCCTATTCGTTTCATACCAAAACTTGCCTTAAGACATATTTTTCACCAAATATTTAGTTAAAACAATGGCGCTATTATTTTTATCATTTCGTCATCGTTTAATAAAATTAAAAATAAATATTTGTTTTAAATTTTTGACCCGTGGAGAAGTGGAATTAATTTTTTGAAGAATGTCGATGAAGTATAAAAGCCGCCAAATTTTTAATCACCCCCACTTCAAAATCTTCCATTAATAAAGCATATATACGATCGTTTCATTGGATTGTTTGCAATGGTCAAGAAGGTATTTAAAATATTTGCTTTAAAATTTTTTTCAATTTTAAGGGTAAAGCGCCAGGAAAGAAGAAATCTCCGGCCTCGAAAAAGCCTAAAAAAGCTCCAAAAGTTAATGCAGGGAAAGTGAAGAAGGCCAAAGCGGTTTCTAAAGCGGGAAAGAAGCCAAAGGTTGGAAAGTCATCTGCGGGTGCAAAAACAGCAGTTAGTGGAAAAACAGCGGTTGGAGGAGGGAAAACAGCAATAGAAGGTACAAAAATTGAGAAAGGTCCTAAAGCTGATAAGCCAAGTAAAATTAAAAAGGCTGGAAAGAAGAAAACTCCAAGTGCAAAGACTGCCGTGGATGGTGGAAAACCTTTGAAGGAGAAGAAGGCACCAAAAGCAGAAAAAGGCAAAAAGAAGGAAGGAATTGGCAAAAAGAAAGAAGGAGGGGATAAAACGAAGGCAGAAGGAGGGGGTGATAAAACGAAGAAAGAAAGGGGTGATAAAAAGAAGAAGAAAGGAGTGGATAAAAAAGGAGGAAAAGGTAAAATAATATTTTTTAATTTTAATTCTTAAAATTCTAAAGGGGCAAAAGGTAAAAAGGGCAAAGGACCTAAAACAGCTGAAGATCATGAAAAAGGAAATAAAAGTTTAGACAAAACAGTTGGAGCTACAACAATAGATAAGGAAGGAGATACACATAAAGAAGCAAAACAAGACAAAAAAGGAGGAAAAGAAAAGGGTAAAGAGAAAGAAGGCAAAGAAAAGAAGAAGCAGCCAAAGGAAGATAAAAAACAAAAACTTTCCAAAAATGACAAAAAACAACAAAAAGATAAAACTGCTGCTGGTACTTCTTCTGTTCAACAATCTTCCGAATCTTCAATTTCTGATACAAAAAAAGATAAAAAAGAAGAAAAGAAAAAAGATAAAGAAAAGAAGAAAAAAGAAAAGAAGAAGGAGAAGAAGAAAAGAGAGAAAGAAAGGAAGTCTGTATCTGTATCTTCTTCAAGTTCTTCATCTGAAGAAGAAGTAGTAGTAGAAGCAAAGAAGCCATCTCGCATTGGAAGAATTGCTGGTCTTGTGAAAAGAAAAACTGTTGGGGTTGCTAAATTCGTTATTAGTAAGTTGTTTTGGAAGAAAAAATAAAAAATAAATTATTTTTTTAAAGATAAAATAAAAAATATTAGAGTAAAGAAAAGGGAACAAAAGGAAAAAGAAGAAATGGAAAGAAATCTTCCACCTAAAAAGGAAGAAACGGAAGAAGAAGAGGAAACTTCTGATGAGGATGAGAGTGAAGAAGAGGAGGAAAGTTCTGAAGGAGGGAAAGATGAAGCTGGATATGTGGCTATTGGGGATATAGATACAGGGTCTATTAAAGTAGATAAGAAGAAAAATAATAAAGAAGATTTGGGAGAAGGAAAGAAGAAAAAGTTACAAACAAGGGGAAAAGAACAACCAAAAGGCCAAACATGTAATTAATTAATTTGTTTTTAACTGTTAAATTAATTAATTAAATTTAGCTGAAATGTCAACAATAACTTCTAATTATAATCCTGATACTTCAACTGTTAATGCTCAAAGCAAAACTTCTATTGCAACGAAAACTGATGCAAATTATAATAGTGAAATTTGTATGACAACAAAGTCAATAATGCCAAAGGAGGATTTGAAGAAGAAAAAGAAGAAATAATAATTAAAGAGATTACAAATATTGTACAAAAGTAATTATGTATTAGTGTATATAAAATTAAAATCTATGTATAGTATACCTATTTTTTAATAATTAATTGTATATTTTTGTTTCATTATAATAAATAATGTGTTCTGTGAATTTTTTTTGTAAATTATAGTAATCTGTGTGAAACGAGATACAAATTTCAAATTATTTTTAATAGATATCGGGAATATCAGAGATATTGAAGAATTAAGAGGGATATCGGTGGACTCGGAAGGATTTAAGAGATCTGAACGTGTGTGAGGGGATTAAGTAGGATTTAGAGCTAGCAAAGTTTGCGACGTTTCAAACCAAACGATGAACACAATCACCCCTTACCGTTCACCTCTTTCCAATTGTCCCACTGTCCATTTGTCAAAAATGGAATGTTTTCAAATGGCATGTTCCAAACTGTCCAAATGTTTTAGAAAAAAAGCTGGGAACAGACATGAAAAGTGTAAAGAAAATATATAAACAAAGATAAAAGTATCAGAGAAACTGTTTAATAATTTTATTTTATTTTAATTGACATTTTTAAAATAAAAATTATTTAAAATAAATTTTATTCTTTTTTTTCAGAGAATATAAAATTATTTTTTTATTATTTTAAAATGAAACAAATAATTAAGAAAATTGAACGTTTTAACAAGAAGGCTACAAAATTTAAATTTCGAATAGAACCACAACAAATGACTATAGAAACCGACGATAAATGGTATCCAGATCAAGTATTTCTTGTTTGTCAACACAAGTTTGTTTTTTAAAGAAATATTTTTTAATAATTTTAAAGAAATAAACGTTTTACTTCTCAACCACGAAAATTAGAATCTAGTTGTACAATTGCTTGTCGACGTCTTGTTGTATGGCCAGAATCAATGCCTGACCCAATTGAATTTGAAACAACTTTATTTAATTTAAATTCTGATTTATTTGAAGACAAGGTTTTCTTTTCTGAAGTTTTTCTATTAAAAAATAATTTTTTTAAAGATTTGGACTTTAATTTTGGAAGGTTCTATGACTAAATTAAGAGGAGAAAAATTTAAATTAAAACAAAGACCTTTGGCCTCAACAGAATTAAATATGAAAAATCTAATTAGTCAACCAGGAATGAAAGCTGAAATTAATGTTGTAATGAGGCCTTTACAAGAAGGGGTTTTTTAAATCTTTTTTTATTTTTATTTTTTTTAAGATTAAATTTTGTAAACTTGAAATGATTTTAATTACTGTTAGATCTTTTGAAGAAGAATATTTTAATACTCCAATTATGTTTGTTCTTTAAAAAAATGAATTTTTCTAAAATAAATTCTTTTTTCTTTTTAGCCCTTCTAATAATTTAAATAATTCTCCGCAAAAAAATTTTTTGGAAGAAAAAAATATTTCTTTATATGTTGATGACAATAATCAACAAAAACAAAAACAACAACAATTTATTCAAAATATTGATCAAGATGACGGAAATATTAAAAAAACTTTTCAAAATTCTCCTTTAGAGCCTTCAATTATTATTACGCAAAATAACAATATTTCTTCAAAATCTTTGGAAATATTTAATGAAAAACAAAATATTAATAAACAAATTAATCAAAATGAGAATATAAAAGAAATTTTAGGTAAATTTAATTTTTTAGTTTTAACAAACTTAAAAAAAGGAAGGGGGATGACTCCGTATTTTTGATATTATTTGACCTCCCCTCCCTCCTTCAATTCAAAATTTAATTTTTAAAAACAAAGAATTTTTTATCGATACAGATAAATGAAGTTAGTTTCGGACACTAAAAATTTAAATTTAAGTCAATTAAAATTTTCTACAATTTTTTTCACATAATTTTTAGAGAACGGTGTTGAACAAAACGGAAAATATATTGAAAATAATCATCATCAATTAATTAATGAAACAAATAATTTATTTGAACAAAAAGAATTTAAAACAATTCAAAATCTTCCTTCTTCTTCTACTCTTCCACCTATTCCTCCACATCCTTCTCCACTTCCTTCTTCTTCAACTGCAACCCCTCAACAAAATATTTTATATACAAATAATCGTTCTTCTATAAGGCCAATACCTCCAAATAAAGCTGAAGTACAAGCACTTGCTGCCCGTTTTATTGCTTCAAAAAGGCCAGGTTTCTCTAAAAAATTTTTTAATTTTAAACAATTTTTTTAAGATATGGTTTTATTTAAAACTCCAACGACTTCTTCGGCAAAATCTCCAAAAGTTGTTTTAATACCCCCTCCAATAGATAATGATTCAAATGTTTTACTTGAAGAGGGAAGGAAAATAAGTAGTGAATTAAAACAAATTAAACAAAAAATTGGAGAAATTGAAGAGCAAGACGAATTAGTTAAATTAAAAACTTTGGATTATGGTTAGTTTATTTATTTAAAATTTTTTTTTTAATTTTAAAAAAATTAGAGAGAGGTAGTGAACAAGAAATTGAAATTATTGAGCATCATCAACGGCTGGTAGGAGAAAAAGAACAACTGTCAAGACGTCAAGATTATTTAAATTTTAAATTAGAATTATATGAAGTTGACTTTAAAATCGTTAATTTACGTAAACTTTTGGCAACATCGGCTGGGGAAAATGAAGAAAATTTAAATAATGAAGGTATTTTTAAATAAAAATAAATATTAGTCCCTTAGGGGATATCGAATATTATGGTTAGTTAGGGGGGGGGGGGGAGTTCTAGGAGAAGAAGAAAAAACTTCACCTTCTTTTCTCAAAGGGAGTTCTCACACCTTTGAAGTTCTCAGACTGCAGCATATATTTTCTTTAAAAAATGTTTTTTTAATAGTGGATGGAAAAAATATTTTAATTAATGGCCGTAGAGATAGTAATCAAATGTTGATGGAATTGAAAGAATTTATGGATATTAAAGATGAATTGACACATAAATTAAGTGATTTGGAAGCAGAGTATATTACAATAATAATTATTTTTTCAAAATATTTTAAAAATTTTTTCAGAGATGAGGAAGGTATTGAAAGAAGTAAACTTATTTTGGAACAAACAAGAAATCAAAATTTGGTAAAAGAAAATATTTTTATTTTAACATTTATAATTTTTAGAATTTCCGTCGTGGTACTCAAGACCCATTAAATGTTTCAAAACGATTAATGGGTTGGTTAAATGGAATGGAACAACGTTTTAGACAATAAATTATTTTAAAAAATATATATTTGTGATTTTGCCTTTTTCTCTCCCAAAATTTTAAATATTTAACTATGGCTCATTGGCATTACTTAGATATATTAAATCAAAATTTTGCCTGTGTTTTGTTTAATTTACGGTGTTTATTATTTGATTTTATGTGTGCACATAACCAAAAATTGAAACAAAAAAATTTTTTAGGCATATTTATGTGAACACTTGTAAAAAATATTTTTATATTTATGTTTGTTTTTTTCGCTAGATTCCTCCCGATTATTATTCTTAAAATACAAAAAATGATTAAAATACTTTAATTTTTAAATATAAAATTCTTTAAACTCAAAGTGTCAATCAAAATTACTCAGGTATTCCAAACAGTCAAAATCAAAACAGTTTTCAAAGTTACTTGATTTCTTTTTCGTTTCAAGGTCAGAAACAAAAATAGTCAAGGATTTTTAAAAACTCAGTTAAATGCTTAAAAATAAATTTAAATATAATGGAACAATTTTTATATCAAAAATTTATTTTTATAAAAACAAAAAGATATTCGAAGAGACCATGTGTTTAATTTGGAACTGGGCACAATTAAAAGACAAAAATAATGTAAAACACATAAATACATAAAATAAATTTTGAGAGACAATCATCGTTACAAATTCTTTAAATATAATCCAGCATCATCAAAAAAGTAAGAGGCCGCTAACATTTAGCAATCCACATAACATTGTTGTACCGAATCATCAATTCACCAATCTTTGCACCTTGATCGGGTCCAACAAGTTCCTAAAATTGAAATTTGTTTTAAAAATTGACAGAAAAATTAAACTTCGGTTTTGATAAGATGCAAATTCATCCAATCATCAGTAGAGATCAAAGTTCCTCGAAAACGGTTGCCCCATTTGAGTTTGACGACTACTTTCTTGCCAACCATCGAATTAAGAAATGGCTTAGGGTTAAGAGGTTCGACTCTGCCCATTATTAATTTTTTATTTTTATTTTGCTTGAAATACAATTTACAATCTGAAAATTGTTTACAAATTTAAAAAAGTACTAGAAATTAAAAAATTAAGCCTACGGAAAAATCATTTATATAGTTATTCTCGAATTTAGTATTTGGCGTTCCGTATTTTTTATAATGGTTCCCATATTTTGTCAAATCCATATTTTGCCAAAAAGGCTAATTGTAAGATACCTTTTCGGCCTAACAATAAGACGACTGCCTAACAATAAGATCAACTGTATAACGTAGATTTCAATTATAAGGGAAATTCATTCTACGCATACTGAATGTCCCCTTTTAACAGTATACTGAACCGGCGTTTCGCAGAGTCAACGATTTCAAGTTTTTGTACACAGTAGCAATCTTTTTTGATAAGTTTAGACTTTACTTGTTCACTTTACTTGTCATTAAAATTTTAAAGTGACAAAATATTTATTTCCACGTATTTATTACTTTTCCCTTTTACTCTTATATGTATTTTTTATAAAGTCTTTAGGAATATATTTTTATTTCATTGAATTAACAGATAAATTAACAGATATGCTTGTAGAATTACCTCCATTACTTGACAATTTATTCAAATTAGATTCATGGTTGAAGCCTTACGAAAATGAAATTCTTCGACGATACCGTGAATTTAATAACAAATTAAGCTTTATTGAGCAGCAGGTAATTAAAATTTAAAATTATATTTTGTTATGTATGAGCAATATGTATAAGCAGAGATGGCTTATGGTTTTTGCGTGATTGAAATTATGTAAATTCAATGCCAGTTGTTTTTCTTGCTCTTAAACCTTACTGAATCTCGAGTATGACTGATCTTATCTTTTTTCTTTTTAGTGTGAAGGTCTAGATAACTTTACACAAAGTTACAAACATTATGGTATTCATGTGGAGACTGATAATTCTGTTTGTTGCCTTGAGTGGGCGCCTGGAGCTGAATCAATGGCTTTGGTCGGTGATTTTAGTAAGTTTTAATTTCATTTTAAAAATTAGGTTTCGCACGTAATTTTTAGTTTGGATAATATAGCCTTAAAAATTCTTTTTTTAGATAATTGGGACACTAATGCTAATATTTACGAAACTATTGGTTTTGGCAAATGGAGTTTGAAAATAAAGGTTAGCTCGAATATAAAATTGTTTTGTTAGAATTTATTTAATTTTGTATATATCGTGTTACTTTATTAAATAAAACATTTACCTAAATCTTATTTTAGCCGAAAGCTGACGGGACTTGCCCTATAGCGCATAATTCTGTGTTAAAAGTGGCAGTAAAAAAGAATGGGAAGTTTAACTATAAATTATCGCCTTGGGCCAATTATGTTACATGTGCCAATGACAGTATTGTTTTTCATCAAGTTTTGCTTTGGATCTCTAATTTTTTCCAAAAAATTTTATTTTAAGCAATTTTACAATCCACCGACCAAATATTCTATCAAAACATCCCATCCGAAAAAACCGAAGTCTTTACGTATTTATGAAGCTCATGTTGGCATTTCTGGTAATGAAGGGAAAATTAATTCTTATCGTGACTTTTCTGAAAATATTTTGCCACGTATTGCAAAGCAAGGTTTTTTAAATTTTAAATGTTTTATTTTTAATTTTTTAGGTTATAATACAATTCAATTAATGGCAGTGATGGAACATGCTTATTACGCTTCTTTTGGCTACCAAGTAACTAGTTTTTTTGCTCCTTCAAGGTCCTAGTTTAAAATATTTATTTTCGAACAATTTGTTGTTTTAGTCGTTTTGGCACTCCTGATGAACTTAAAATGCTTGTAGATCGAGCTCATCAATTGGGTTTAATCGTTTTGTTGGATGTTGTTCACTCGCATGCTTCTAAAAATGTTGAGGATGGTCTTAACCATTGGGACGGTACTGACGGGGGTTATTTCCACAATAATGTCAGAGGATTTCATCAACTTTGGGTATTTAATTTAAAAAAAATCATTTTTTCTAATTTTCTTTAAGGACTCGCGTTTATTCAATTATGCCGAGTTTGTTTTACTTTTTATTATTTTATAATTGTTTATTTTTAGAATAGAGACATTGCGCTTCTTACTTTCTAATTTACGTTGGTGGATTGACGAATATGGTTTTGATGGTTTTAGATTTGATGGTGTTTCGTCTATGCTTTATCATTCTCACTTAATTAGTAAGAGATTTGTTTCACGTGTAAAGTAATAGTTTTATCGTTTTTCTCCCTTTACTCATTTTTTATTTTGACATCCTCTGTCTAAATCGATAACACATTTATTTGAATATTTTGAAACGATTTTTATTTAAGGTGATCCTGGGCCTGGAAGTTATGATGATTATTTTGGATTAAATGTTGACACTGAATCCCTAGTTTATTTAATGCTAGCCAATCATATGCTTCATTCTTATGTATATTTTTATTTTTGTGTTTTTTCTAAATAATTATTTTTTTTTAAAGTTCCCTGATGTTATTACAATTGCTGAGGTTTTGGTATTTTCTTAATGATTATTTTTAAAATAAAGGAAGTCAGTGGAATGCCTGCTCTTTGTCGTCCGGTGGCTGAAGGAGGACAAGGATTTGGTATATTCGTTTACTTAATTTTGATACTTTCCCCTATCCTAAATTAAGTTTTAAATAAATCTTCTTTTTTCTTCAATTCATTATTTTCTCTAATATAGCACCAGGAAGACTAGGTGCTATATGAGAGAAGTACTCTAATTTATATTTTATTTTTTTAGACTTTCGATTAGCAATGGCTATTCCTGATTTGTGGATAAAAATTTTGAAGCATGTCAGTGATGAGGATTGGCCGATAGGAGAAATTGTAATTATATTATAAAAATTTCTTAAAATTAAAATTAGGTCCATACATTGGAAAATAGAAGATATGGTGAGGGGCATATTGCTTATGCAGAATCTCATGATCAAGCTTTGGTTGGCGACAAAACTATCGCTTTTTGGTTAATGGACAAAGGTATAAATAATTTTATAAAAATTTAATTTTTTTGTAGAAATGTATGAAAATATGTCTTTAATACATTCTCAATTAACTCCTGTTATCGATCGAGGAATTGCACTTCACAAATTAATTCGATTGATTACTTATGGTTTGGGAGGCGAGGCTTGGCTTAATTTTATGGGTAATTTTTAATAAATAAATTTAAAAAAAAGTTTTAAAGGTAATGAATTTGGCCATCCAGAATGGTTGGATTTTCCTCGCCATGGAAATAATCAATCGTATCATTATTGTCGGCGACAATGGAATTTAGCTGATGTATTTTATAATTTATATATTTTATTAAATTCTTTTTGATTTAAGGATGATAATTTACGCTACAAATTTTTAAATGATTGGGACCGTTCAATGAATCAACTTGAAAATAATTTTGGATTCCTTAGCAAAGGGCCGGTTTGTTTTTGGTTTAAAAATTTTAAAATTTTTTGTTTTTAAGGGGTATGTTTCTTGGAAGCATGATGTGGATAAAATAATTGTTTTTGAGCGTGCTGGTCTTTTGTTTATATTTAATTTTCATCCGACAAAAAGTTTTAGTGACTATAAATTTGGAATTGGAGAGGCAGGAGTGTTAGTGATTTTTATATAAATTTATAATATGTGTTGAGAATTACTTTTAGTTATCAATTGGCATTAAACAGTGATAATGAGAAGTTTGGAGGACATAATCGTTTAAAAGAAGATCAAGAATATCATACTTTTGCAGAAGGGTAAAGTCTCTTTTTTGAATATTTTTTTTATCATTTTTTATTATTTAGTTATGCTGGTCGACAAAATCATCTTTTTGCCTATATACCTTCAAGAGTAGCTATTGTTTTGAAGAAAAAAGAATGAAGGATGCAAGATTTCGCCTTATAAGCGATACTAAATAGGATTTTCTTTTTATAAATCACTTAAAATTAGGTTTTTAAATACCCTTGCCATATTGACAATTAAATAATTATATTTAATTAAATATTCGCATTTTGAATAAATTTATTTTTAATTTTATTTTTTTTAATTTTGTTTAATCAATTAATATTTTAATCTTTTTTTAATATTATTGTTTATATTTTTGATTCCGAAAGATTCAAAAACATTTATGGATTTACATTTTGACTCTGATATTAGGCAACATTATTGAAATTTATTTTTTAATAAATCAATATTCTAGGCATTTAATTGATTCCACGTTTTAAATTTTTTAGGGCCAAATTTTTTTATTTTAAATTCTTTAGAAAAATTAGAAAATATATTTTTAAAAGTTACAACAACAAATATTATTTTTATTTATATTTTATTGTCAAAATTGTTTGTGATGGCATTGTTGCCTTTAAAAGGTGAAAAGTTTGCAAATGAACAACATTAAATCAACAATTTTTATTCTTTATTTTTTATTACAAATATTTACAAAAACTGTTAGTGAAGACACTGATACTTTTCCTGTACTGACAAGTGTATGTTTAAAAATATTTTTTTAATAATTAAAGATTAATTTAGGATAAATTAATTGAAAATCCAAAAACTTTATTGATTTCAACGATTGACGGGTATTTAACGGCTGTTGATGCACAAACTGGAGTAATTAAATGGCGCTTCAAAGAAGGTTTTCTAAATTTTTAATTATTTTATTTTCCTTTAAAGGTCCATTACTTGTATCACCAAAAAATGTTCAACGAGGATTTACTTTTATCCCAGATCCAAGAGACGGACAGTTATATTTGGTTATTGAGGGTCGTATTACTAAATTACCTTTCACAATACCTCATCTTGTACGTGTTTCTCCTTGTCGAAGTTCCGAAGGCATTTTCTACGCAGGTTTTTATTTTTAGTGAAAAATTCAACTGCAGTTTGCTGTTTTTTAAATATAAAAAATTATACTATGTCAATCTAAAGAGCTTAGCTCGGGAGCCCTTTCGAATGAGCTATCATTTGTATTTTCGAATTTTTTACCCAAAAATGAAAAGGTGGGCATGTGGTTTTTGCCCATTTTTTTAATTATAAAATTTTTTATTTTTGCCAACAGCTCTCCTTTAACTTCTAAAATTTCGTATTAAATTTTTTTGATTTTTTTATTTCCTCTAGGAAGCAAAAAAGACGTTTGGATATCCGTAAATCCTGAAACAGGCGAACGCATCGACATACTTGCCACAAATATTTCACCTTCATTTTGTCCAGCTAATCATGCACATGCAATTCACATAGGAAAAACTGAATATCAAATCCAAATGGTGGACACCAAACGACGAGACAGGCATTGGAATGCAACATTTGTTGACTACTCTTCGCATCTTTTGCCTGGTAGGAATTTTTTTAAATTAACCGAATTGTTCGATTCTTTTCTCAGAGGATGCAGATTATCCACTACAGCATCTTACTAGTTCTGCAGATGGTCGTGTACTTACTGTTGACTCACGTTCCGGCTTGGTTCTTTGGCAACGTGATTTTGACAGCGTGATTGTAAACATGTATTTGCTCAAAGATGATGGAATGCATCGACTACCTAGTACTGCAATTGGATTAGAAACATTTGAATTGCTTGTACAGGTTGGCGATATTATACATTTTATTTTAAATTTATTATTTGTACAATATTAAACAAAAGTTATAGTGAAAGAGATCTGATTGGATCTGGTCCAGAAAAAGAGAGATTGGGTTTCTTAGGCTTTCTACATTCTGGTCCAGCCCAAAATGTTTTAACATTTAATCCATGACCTGGCTCGTGCGTGCCAAGTTTACCATCTACAAATTGATATTCTTCTCTTACGTCTTTGTAGATTAGCGTCCGCGTTTACTGAATGTTTTCGTTAGCATAAGTGTTGACTTGCCATTTTGTTCGGATTTTTTGTTTATCTTTATACAAATTACTTATGTTAGATTTATTTTATTTTTAATCATACATGTTGTCCGCATGCTCTTTATTGTCTTCTTCTTCATTTCCCTCCTCGTCACTTGAGTACATATCACTGCAACGACGCACCATATAACTTAAATTTAAAAGGGGCAATTTTCAGATATTTTCGACATCTTTTGTCTCAAAAACTTTAAGTAAAAGCATTTTTATTTGTCATTTTAATATTACCCGTGAAAGGGACATAGCGGCTTCATAAACACTATTTGACCTCGCGATCCATATAAACAAGTACATGGTAGTTCTTCTCCTGGCCCCAAATATCTTTCTGCTTTTCTACTACCAGACGAAGTAGAAGAACTACTTTTACTTTGACGGCTTTCCCGCTCTTCCTGGAAAAAATGAATATTATTTATCAGTAAATAGTGTGATTACTTTTATGACTGCTATATCTTTTGGTAATGATTTTGATGACTTCGAAGAACGTCCGCCAAGTGATGGATTGTTACTTGGCGTTTTGCTTGTTTTAAGTTTTGAGATCGAACCTGTGCCAACTGATGAAAGAGGCGTACTCGAACGTTTTACTTGTACTCTAAAAACAAAAATTATAATTAACACAATTGTTATCCTAATACTTTTTAGTGTGGTAGAAATCCAGACAGAACCAGATTAATTGGACTACTTCCAGAATGCTGACAATTGATATTCCAATCCATAGACCAGTCAAACCACCCAAATCGGCGATTAAACTAGTCAATCCATAAGCCGGACTTTCAGATAATGTCTCATAGTTGAGCTCTTCGTAAAATACTTGAATCATTGCTGCGTTTGTTCTATACTTCTCCATGCACAGATCGTCGCTGCTTTTACATTCCATTACGTTTGTTGTTCCTGAAGGCCATCTTGCGGCCGAATAAGTTACTTCGTAACCTGTTTCCCTGTTAAAATTTTTTTCTCGTCTGGAAGATTTGGGGAATTTTAGGATCTTTCTGTTTGTTTTTTTCAGTTCAGAGGTTAATTCGGTTCTTCATAAAACCAAGGATTCCTGCACACTTGAAATCTTAACATTTTTGCCTCGGCGATAAAAAATTTTTTGATCCCAATGAAACCCCCCCCCCTCCTTCGGTAGGGTACAACCCTAATTAAACCAATTTTGTATTGTAACATAGCTGTTTTTCTTGTATACCTGCAGGGCTGTGGGCATGTGCAGTTGAATAATTTATCTTGTGAGATTAGATCACTGATTTCTCTTGTTGCATTATCTATACACCTTCTCGCATCAGGATCACTTACAGGACAAGCATGAGCTGAGTTAGGAACTGGGTAGAGAGGGTCAGCACACCCACAAATTCTGATTATCTTAATGAAAAAAAATTTTCATTAAAATTTTTCTCTTTTTTCACTTCTTGTTGGGTACAACTTCTATGACATCCTTCAATGCTATAGCTGTAATCCTTGTAAATATATGTTTTTGAATTATCTCCTCGTTCGCTGCAATGTCCATAAGGTGGTTCAAGTCGAAAAAATTTTTTCTGAATTTTTTTTCAAAAATTTTAATTGAAGATTGTAAATGACCGACCATTCTAACACCGAATGCAGACATAAAACCAGTGGGTGCATTGTATCCAAAAGCATCCGCGAATGGAACCGTCCATTTGTCGTGCACAGTAATTCGGAATCCAACTGCTTCTGTTATTGATAAATACTCGGATACATTCGCATACAGCATCACCTTTAATCCTAACAAATAAAAGTAAATTTTTTATTCTTACTTTCTTACCATAATTGGCTCCTGCTCTATATGCTGTAACTGTTGCATTACGATTCCAATTAAATGTATAACAATTTCCATAAGTCGGATCAAAAATTTGTTTAAAATCCCTAGAAATATTTTGTAGTTTTATTGTAAATTCATATCTCAAACTTTTCAATATCACAGTCTCTTTGGTTAAAGGAACATTTTAATATTAGTTCATCCTTTGATTGTGACATAGTTTTTCGCTCATTTATTGGTTTCTCTCCCATGGCAAAACGTAGATTCTCTTGCGCCTTGTTTCTTATTGCTATCTCGTCTTCTAGTTCCTTTTTAATAAAAATATTATTATTTTTTATTAAATACTTAATATGTATTTATTCATATTTTTGATTAAACATTTTAACAAATTACTTCATATCCCATCGCCTCAACAACGTCTGGTGCTCGTGTAGTTGTCGTGGTTGTTGTTTCTGTTATTGGATTAAATAAAAAATCACTATCTCGGCTATAATTCGATGGAGTAGCGAAACTTTCAGTAAAGTTGATGCCTTCAAGATCTTCACTCGGTAAAATGTCAGGAATTTCTCCGTTAATATTGTTCTGCACGCAATGATTGTATTCTTGGTGACAAATGCATACATCTATATTTGTTTCGTTGAACTTTTCCTTTGCCCGATTAGTCTGCTTATTATTTGTTTTCAATTTATCCCTTTTTGAGTTCGAGTCTTGGTCTGTAAATTTGATTATTTTCTTTCGATTTATTTATTTTCTTTTTACCATTCTGTCTCCTTTTTTTATCATTTCTTTGTACGCTTTTATTTTTGCTGCCATTTCCGTTTGATTCGACAATATCATATGAGTAGAAACGCATTGGACAATGCCCAAGTTGATCAACACATTCCGTACAAATATGTTCTTTCCATGTGTTGTCTGAAATAAAATGTTTTCCTTTTTTTATTTTTACACCAAAATTTTTACATGGAAAACAGGGCCACAATGTTTTACTAATCCAGTCAAACTAAATATTTAAATATTTATTTTTGTTTTTATTATTTTACTTGACATAAACATTTAGTTGGATGAAAATTTTGTAATTGACTTCCAGTTGCGAATAGAAGGGAAATTTTTCCTTTATAAGCGGCAAAGCAACTAAAATGTGTAAAAATAACACTTCTTATTTATTCAATTTACACACCTTCCTGGCTTTCTTTCTGCCGAAAGCCGATTTATTTCACAGTAGCATTGTGCGTAAACTTGTAAATACCGACGTTCAAAGCCTTCTAGTCTAGCTTTTTTAGCTAATTCTCGCCTTCTTCTTTTGATTACTAAAAATTTAATAAATTGATAGTTAAATTTTTAATAATTATGTTAATTTTCTTAACATACATGCAGCATTCTCGATTTTTAAAGAGGCAGCAATTCCTCCTTTGTGACCAGTTTCTCTTTCTCTATCTTTGAATGCATCTAACTAAAAATTGATATACTTTAATTCGAAATTCAAACAAGTTTGTTTCGATACTGACCGTTGCTTGAATTTTTGAATCTTCCCCTATGGCTGAGGCTTTGTATGGATTAAGATTGCAAAAAGTAACTGATGGAAATGGGGCATTTTCAAATTTGAGCTAAAAAGGATATTAGACAATTTATTAGACTTTTAGTGTAACTTACATCAAGATCAACTGTTTTTGGAAAGCGCAAATATTTGAGAACTAGATATATAACTTGAATAACCATAATAACGAAACACACGGTAAACACTCCTAACCAAAATCTTCGCCAGCGTTTGTTTGGAGCTAGCGAGGCATGACATATTCCATGAATTGTAGAATGTCTTTCGAATTTTTCCATAATCTTTTTAATTGAAGTCATATGCATTTTGTCGCCTTAATTTAAATATGCGGAAAGAAAACTTTATATTAATTTACCTGCTCTTTTAAAAGGAAATTCGGCTCGCGACAATCTACGGAATGCATTAACTGCATGCGGTCCTTTCTAAAAAAAATCATGACAATTTTCATAAGTATTTTAATGATATTATTTTTCTTAACTTATATCCGCTATTTGTCTCTGTAGTCGGAGTATTTGCCATAAGGAATGCTGCTCTACGTTCAGCTGGATGCATCTTTTTATGTTTCATACCCTGAGATGCCGTGGATCTTTTTCTAGATTCTGATTGTTTTTTCCTAGCAACGTCTTCATCTTCTGTGCTCACTTGACGGCTACCCCCCATTGACCTTGGTCTTCTGACAGGATTGTTTCCAACATTTGTTTTTTCCTTTTCTTCTTCTTTTTTCGGAGCTACATCAAAAGTAGAAGTTGATGGATCAGCTTTGATTAATGGAGATGAAGATTTTTCATTTTCTGGAGGTTGGTAATCTTCCTTCTCTCCACTTAATATCATTTTTCTGAAATAGATCTGATGATTTCAGTTATTTCCTCTAAACATTATTAATCTGACGTGAGTACTGAATTTTTATTGATTTGTAATAAATTTAAAAAATATTTCAAATTTTTTTCTTTATTCAAACGAGAACAAAGGTTCTAGAAGATAACAAAATTCGAAAAGGGATTTATATTTTCAAACCTTTGAATGATTAATTCAAAGGTGACGAGTTTAGTTAAGCCTACCTTCTAAAAACTGATCTCATATTGCAATCGATCAGTTTTATTTGTTAATATTTTTAGCCTAAATATTTTAAAATGAAAGCGGGTGGGTGTGACGTTTTCACATGCCTAGGAGGTTGCATGCATTATTATCCGTTTATTTTTACTCCAAGTTTCATTTAAACTCAAATTCTTCGAGGTTATTGTTCATGATTGTAAAAATGGCGCCTGTCTTCCCTTGGCTTTAGATGCAAATATATTTTCTCTAACTCCCCATTTTGCTATGATTTGGGTGTTCTTCCTATTTGATTTCCCTTCAATAGTGTTCATTGCCATTACGTATCCTTCAATTTTCATTTCTATTTTAGCATTAAGCAGTTGTTTCGACTTTTTTTAAACGTGAGAGGCGACGAAATGCTCCCGTTTTCTTTACCTCGCTAGGAAAATAAGGGAAGAATGTTTAAAATTATAATGGATCAACATTATGTTTTTTATTATTATTTTAATTTTAATTGGATGATGGAATGATATTAATATGTAAAGGGTTAAAAATAATGGAGAGGGGGGGGGTGCAAGTTGTCCTTTTTTGCAAATTTTCGTTGTTTTTTTTGGAAACATTATTTACTCATTAAGATTGACACCTTATTTGATTAATTTTTGTAAATTCTAGGTAAATATTACTATTCTATTAGAATTACATATGTATTATTGGTTGAGATTTTTTAATTTATAAATAGAAGAGAAGGATTATTACAAAAAAATTTCATCATCACGTATTCTTGATAAATCCATAGTAGAACTTCGAATTATGCTTCTGCTTGAATTTCTGTTTGCGTCTTTTAGTTGTTTTTGTCTTGTCGAGATCTAATAACGATATTTTCTTATATTTAATTGTTTCACTTAAATTTATGTAATTCTACCCTTATTTTAAATTGACTATACCTATTTCAGAACGCTGCACTTAATCCTTTGCTTCATGTCCCTGCTCAATTTCCTAATCGTCTTTTTCCTACATTATATGTCGGTGAATCAACGCGTGCCGGTGGTCTCTATGCACTTCCTGCTTATGTAGATGAACGAACAAACAGGATTTCACCAAAATATTTGGGGCCTCCACTTTTGGAAGGGCCAAAATTTGAGGTAATTAAATGAATGATAACAATCAGTATGAATATATTTAAATTATCTTAGGACAATGTTCATCATGATGAACCAACAACTCCTAAATTAAAAACGCGTAAAGTATTGCCTTCTGACACTGTTGGTACGACTTATACAACTGAAGATGGCGAATTTTTGATATTGGGTTTGATTTTTTATTTAGTTTAGTTTTTTTATGTTCTGAACCTTTAGGTTACCATGAAGTTCCAAAAATTGCTATTTCTGGCGTTGGACATATTTTTTCTTTAACTAATAACCCTTTCGGGCATGATCTTTCACTTGTTAGTCGTCAACAAGTCAAAAGTAACAACATTGACTCAAATGTTCGTGTTTTGCAAGTTGATGACCATAATCAACAACAAAATGCATATTTGAGTGTTGACACATCTGGCCCATTTATTGTTGAAATGCTTCATTTTGCTTTAAGACATCCATACCAAATGAGCGTTATTTTCTCTATAATGATTGCACTTGTAATTGTTTCCTCTTGGCTGCTTGGGAAACAAGTTGTTTATTTAATTTTTTTAAACTTTATTTTTTTTGAAGAGTGCTTTGACCAGGAATCGTTCATGGAGTTATAGTTCTAACAGGACATTACAGGGTTCAGAAATAGCTAATCCCGAAAGAGGAAGTCGCTCAAGTCAAGGAAGTAGTGTATTTACAGCTTATGAACCTCCAGAGGAAGATGGCCCTTTGGGCTGGCATCGAGTCAATAATTCAGCTCTTAGCTATAATTCTGCAGAGATTTTAGGACGAGGCTGTGATGGGACAGTTGTTTACATGTATTTTATTAAACAATTTTGTTTTATTTGTTATTTTTTAGGGGTAAATTTGATGATAGAACGGTTGCTGTCAAACGAATTGTGTCTTCCAATTTGGATCGAAATTTTAGACAACAGATTGAACGTGAAGTTATGCACCTTAGACAGAGTGATTCTCATCCAAATGTTATTAGATATTTCTGTTCGGTTTGTTTTTATTTCTGTAAAAAATATTTTGTTAATTTAATTTAGGAAGCTGATCGTTATTTTCATTATATTGCGTTAGAATTATGTGATTTGAGTCTCTCGGACTATATCCAACGGTATGTAGGTAATCTGGACAAAGCGACAAAGTTAGACTTGATGAAGCAAGCAACCGATGGCATTGCTCATTTACACCACATTAATATAAGTTGGTTTTGCTTTTATGTTATTTAATCAATTTATCTACTTTCCAGTTCATCGAGATGTTAAACCAAAAAATATATTAATGACTGGGTTACTAACAACTCCCAATAACGGACATTTTTCTCGTGTACATGTGAAAATTTCTGATTTTGGATTATGCAAAAGTGTAAAAATTGGACACAACTCAATTTCTAAAGTATCTGGTGCGGTAGGGACTGAAGGGTGGATGGCACCTGAATTGTTTGATGCTGATGCCTCTGTGGTAATTTTATTTAAATACAAGCTTTAAAGCTAACAATTCTTTCTAGACATATGCTGTTGATGTTTTCTCTCTTGGTTGTGTATTTTATTATACTCTTACGGAGGGAAAACACCCCTTTGGAGATTCGCTATCCAGAATGTCTAATATTTTGTCTGGAAATCACTTTCTGAACCATTTGGATGAACACGGTTTGGAAATTAAAAAGATATATTTTGTATTCTAATTAATTTTTAGCTGAATATACTAGTCTAACTTTGATTAGTTCAATGTTACGACCAGAAGCTGCACGTCGACCTACTGCTTCTGCTATAGCTGCACATCCACTTTTTTGGGAACCTTCAAAACAATTACAATTTCTTATGGAAGTTAGTGATTGGATTGAAAAGAAGGAACCTAGAGATCCTGTAATGCGTCGGTTGGAGTGGAGGCGTAATCTTGTTTTTACAAATTGGTTAGATCAATTGGATGAACCTCTTCGTTTGGGTATTTTTGTTAATTTTCTTATATTTATAAAAAAATTAATTTATAGATTTGCTTAAACAACGTCAGTATATGAATAATGTTCGGGATTTACTTCGCGCTATTAGAAATAAAAAACATCATTATCAGGCAAGTACACTGCGACGCAAAATTATACGTCCACCCCTTTTTTCGAAATTTTTTTCATTTGTATTCATCAGAATTTTCTGAAAATTTTTATACACACCCTTTGGTGAATAACTAACAAGATGTAAATGGTTTTTTGCCAAAATTTTTATTTTAAAAATTTTTAGACCAAAATTTGTGTTTTCGGCCTACGCAAAATTATACGTCCACTTTCCAAAAAAGTTAGTTCCAATAATAGGAAAAATCTACAAAAATTCCAGTAAACTTATATATTGATATTATAAAAAACTAAAAAGAAAGTAGGTCCATATCTTTACCCTAAGCCGAGATCCTGAGACCTCGAAAATCAACGTAAAATGGGGTTTTTCAACTTTGAAAAATATTTTCGACCACTTATGGATTACTGTAAATTTTGATTTTGGGCTCATTGGAAAGCCCTTGAAATTTGCTACAAAAAAGCAAAAATCTTATTTTTCAGAAAATTTTTTAGGGGGAGATACAGGCGTTTAAACTTTTGATGCAGAAAAAACGTTTAAATGCCCCATAAAATTCCCCTTAATGTCGCCTCCGAAGTTTAAATTCCTGTATCTCCCCTTAAAAATTTTTCTGAAAAATAAGATTTTTGCTGTTTTGTAGTAAATTTCAAGGGCTTTCCAATGAGCCCAAAATCAAAATTTACAGTAATCCATAAGTGGTCGAAAATATTTTTCAAAGTTGAAAAACCCCATTTTACGTTGATTTTCGAGGTCTCAGGATCTCGGCTTAGGGTAAAGATATGGACCTACTTTCTTTTTAGTTTTTTATAATATCAATATATAAGTTTACTGGAATTTTTGTAGATTTTTCCTATTATTGGAACTAACTTTTTTGGAAAGTGGACGTATAATTTTGCGTAGGCCGAAAACACAAATTTTGGTCTAAAAATTTTTAAAATAAAAATTTTGGCAAAAAACCATTTACATCTTGTTAGTTATTCACCAAAGGGTGTGTATAAAAATTTTCAGAAAATTCTGATGAATACAAATGAAAAAAATTTCGAAAAAAGGGGTGGACGTATAATTTTGCGTCGCAGTGTATATTTAAATTAAATAAATATTTCTATATTTTATTAAGGAACTCCCACTTGAACTTCGTTCATTGTTAGGTGCAATCCCAGTTGATTATTTATCTTATTTTACAACACGCTTCCCAATGGTTTTTTCAAAAAAATATTTTTATCTCAATTTAAATTTTTCTTAAAGTTATTAATGCATTCATTTATGTCTTTGGCTTGTATTGGAAATGAAAGTGTTTTTAAAAATTATTATTCTCCAGATCAACTTAGAGATTTTTATGAGCAAGAACAGACGATACTTTTTACTTCATGGATGAAAGAGAGGAGAAGTGTTAGTCCAACGAATTGGCGTTCTGATGGAAATATTGTTTCTAAACAAATTCAAATTGTGTCCCCCCAACAACAACAATCAGTCTTTGCTTCAACAACTTTAAAATCCCCTCAACTTCAAGTTTCATTTGATCCATCAATTCCACCTCCTCCAATTATTAAACAACAAATTAGTCCAATTTTGAAAATATCTGAAGAAAATGAAAATAATTTAAATAAAAAAGAAGAATTAACAACAAATTTGGTAGTAAATAATGAAAAAAATCAGAAAAGTAAAAATAAAAATAAAAGAAAAAAGAGAAAAGCTCCATTTTCTATACTGATATCTGCTGAAGAGCAAGACGAACAAGAAGAAGAAGAAGGAATAGAAATTAGTAAAAAGACAAAAGAAATTTCAGAGGAAAAATGTGAGGATGATGATAGTGAGGATGCTTCAAAAGATGATTAAAAAAAGATTTTCTGTGATAAAAATTTGTATTAATTTTTTAAATTTTTCGTTTTTTTTGAAAATTTGTTTATATGTTAATTTTGTTTTAAGAGTTATATATGCCTGATTTTTTATGGGTAATTTTTATTTAAATTAAAAATTCAATGTCCATTACAATCTATATTTACATACAAATATTTTAGTATTAAATTGAACATTTTCATTTATTTTCTTGTAATTTTTTGTTCAAAAAATTTTAATTAAAATATTTCCAAAAAAGAAAAATTTAAAAAATATTTTTTGAACAAAAACTTTCAAACAATTTAAAGTTTTAATGGATTTATTATTTCTTTATATTCACTTAAATTGTTTTGAGTTATTTTAGTGCATATTTTTGGGTGGTATTTAGAGAAGATTTATTCTACGAATATTTTTTGTTTTAATCCTTATTTTATATCTTTTGCATATTAATTTGTATATAAATATGTTTAAAAAGAATCTATAATTTTGTTTTTAATGGATTTCATTGTCCAATTATTTTTTAATTTTAAATTTTAATTATTTAAAATCTTTCAGATATTTTGTTTTTTTCTGATAAAAATGGGTGGAGAACATCACGAGCCGTATAAAATTCCGTAAGTAATTTTCTTTTTATTTTTATTAAAAAATTATATATTTTTAAAGTCATTGGACTACTCATTCAAACTGGCGTTCTTCACCTGATTTGCTCGATTACCATAATCGACTTGCCCGTCTTGGACTTAAAGACCCGTGGATTAGGTAATTGATTAATTAAAATAAATATATTTTAATTTTTTAAAAGAAATTTCTGGCCGGCTTTTGATCCATCAAAGACCGGTATTAGAAGGAGAGGAAGACGTTGGTTGCTTTTTGGGGCTTGGAAGGTAATTATTATATTTAGATAAATTTTCTAATTTTTTTTAAAGAAAATGTCAATTGGAATTAAACCGGGGATGGCAATTGCTGGTTAGTTTTGAAATATTTTTATTTATTTTTAATTATTTTAAATAAAAAAAGGAACTGTTGTTGCTATTGAGGAATTATATAGTAAATTAGTTGTAAGTTTTTTTTAAATTAAATTTTATTCAAAAAATATTTAAGTATGGACATACAAGTTGGGGAGGCATTTGGGCCGAACATAAAAAGTCTGGACATTAGGGAGATTTAAATAATTTAAAAAGTAAAAAATTGTTTTTATTATTTAGTTAATAAACTGATAAATATTAGAAAATTAAATAAATTTATTTAAAAAAATATTTTTAATTTTTAAATATCTTTTTTTTTCTTTTATTAATTTCATAATTTCATTACAAGACATTGACAAGCCCCTCCAGACTAAAAAATAATTTTTTAAAATTATTTTTCTTTTTAAAAACAACCTTCATAAATTCACTCATTTCAACTTCTTCAAGAGAATAGCCTAAACAAGTTAAAGCTTCCAAAGTTTGTTTTGAAACACCTTTTGGTGAAATTACTTTTTTCCGAATATTTATAGCATTACAAACAAAATTTAATGCTTCTTCCTCGCTAACAGAAATTGCTTGAGGAAGTTTTGTTTGTATCTTTTTTTAAATATTTTTTCTTTAAAATTTATTTATTTAAAAAAACTTTTTCTCTAGTTTCAATTGAAAATGCGGGTGGAAACCACAAAGCTGAATTTTCCCCAACAGGGCAAAAACAAGTATCCAAATGATAAAAACGTTGATCAATTAATTCACAAAAAATAATTTCAAAATCATTTCCCCCCATTAAACGTATATTGTCATATGCCTAACAAAGAAAATATTTTCTTTTTTCCAACTTTTTCTTGAAGAAAACTTTTTTGTCTGTCCGAGGTCCACCCCAACCTGCCCACAAAGTATTTTTATCAGAAAATACAGCATCTCCTCCACCTTCAAAAAATTCTGGATAATCTTCTCCAAATAATTGAAGTCCCAATTGCTTATAAAAAGCAGCAAAATATTTTTGTTCTCCAGTCCTTTCTTTGTGTCGATATTTTGAAAGAAAAATTTTGTTGTTGTGAACAAGTCCTTTTTTTGATAATTTTTAAATTTATTTTTTTCTATTTATTTACTCTACCACTATTACAAGCAAAAACCATATCTGGTTGTCCTTCCACTTGATTTAATGTCACAACTTTTACACCTTCCTTTTCAATTGATTCTTTAAGTAAATTCCATTGTTCCATTGCTTTTTGTTTGTCTACTTTTATTTTTTCGTTCATCCACGGATTTATTGAATACTTTTTTTTTAATTTTTATAAAATAAAAGAATGTTGTGACTTATAGGGGGTTTTTGTTGGCTGGACCGATTTCGACAAATGAGGTGTCATTCGAAAGAGCTCGCCGAGCTGAGTCGATCCCGCGGGGGAAGAAGTCGATCCGACAATCATGGACCGAGTTACAGGCCCCTGAAGTTTGAAAAAGAGAAGGGGGGAGTAAGCTCATTTTGGGGTGAAAAATTCGAAAATGCAAATAATAGCTCATTCGACTCGGCTCGTCGAGCTGAGTCGAATGGCACCAAAATCGGCTCGATACCTTGATTCTGAGCCAAGATAAACAGGTTCAAAATGGTCAACATAAACCTATAGGGCGTAGGCGAGGCGCTTGTGCGAAACCCCGCGCTTCGCGCGGGGTTTCGCGGCACGCGCCTCGCGGGGCGTCAACGGTCGCTGGGTCTGGGTTGGTAACATAATCCTATTCCTATCATCGATGAGTTTGGCATACTTGGCTTCCTCCGCAGCACCAAAAACTCCACGGGCGCCTTAGGTAAGGAGCTAAAAGAAACGATCATAACTTTGTCCAATCAAGTCGGATTTCGGTGATTTTAGTGTCATTCGACTTAGCTCGACGAGCCGAGTCGAATGAGCTATTATTTGCATTTTCGAATTTTTCACCCCAAAATGAGCTTACTCCCCCCTTCTCTTTTTCAAACTTCAGGGGTCTGTAACTCGGTCCCTGATTGTCGGATCGACTTCTTCCCCCGCGGGATCGACTCAGCTCGGCGAGCTCTTTCGAATGACACCTCATTTGTCGAAATCGGTCCAGCCAACAAAAACCCCCTATAAGTCACAATACCCAAATAAAAAATAAATTACTTTGACTGTAAAATGTGTTGGAGGGACCATCAACACTCGTTGAATTGTATCGTTTATTGCTTTTTTCATGGTTATAGTCCACAAAAATTTTTGAACCTTGCCTTTTATTTGTTGAAATTTAAACAAATTCGCGTTTAATAAGTCTTTAATTTAACTTAATTTTTGTTTGATTTTAGTTAATTGATTAAATTATTTAAATGTGTTGTGTGTACTTTTGTTAGAGACATTTCTTAATTTAACGCTTTCATTAATTAAATTAATTAATTATTCTTTCCCATTTATTTGATTGATGTATTATTTTTATTTTCTCTACTTAAATAAAAGACTTTACAAAAATTTTTTTTTAGTTGTTTCAGGGATTTTTATATTTAAAAAAATTATTTTTAAATTATTCTCTTTTATTCAAATGTCACACTCATCTAATAATACTTCAAAAAACAACAAAGAAAATGGCAATAATTCCAGAAACTTTCGACCGTCAAAACAACGAAAACAAAATGAAAATTCTCAAAAAAATTTGGAAGGCAATAAAAATGGGGAATATGTTCCGAGAATGGATATTGTGGAAAAGGTAAATTTATTTTGGGGGGTTTTTTGTATTTTTATTTTGGTTAAAAAAGCAAAGATTTTTTTAGTTTTAAAGGATTAAATGATTATTTTCTTAAATATTTTTTTTTTATTTTTAAGAAATATATTCCTGAAGATTATTTAAATAAATCTTTTGTTGGCTGTTCTTCATCTCCAAGGACTCCTTCAAAAAATATTAAAATTATTACACCAACTAGACAACAAAACGTAAACAAAATATTTAATAAATATTTACAAAAAGATGAAACAAAAATTGAATCCAGTATCAGGAAAAATTCAAAACAATTTCAGCAGCAAAATGGAGGGAAATTAAATAATCAGAATAAATACAGGTTTATTTTTTGATTTTTTAAAATATTTTTTTAATTTTATTAGCAATCAAAATGGATCTCATTTCAACAAAAATATTCAAAATAATCGTCCTTTAATTAGGCAAAGTCCTACTTCTTTATTACGTCCTTTAAAAGAAGAACTTAAAATTGATGGAAAGTCTAGTGAATTTAAACCTTTATTATATGGTATTATTTTAAATTATTTTTAAAAAAAGTTGTTTAGTAAGGGAATTAATTTGTATTTTTAGAACTTTTAATTTTTATCTTTATTAGGTCAATTTAACTCTTCGCCTGTCATTCCACAAGATGTAAATGGCCGTCCTCCAAGAAGAAGGAGACATCGTCCAAGGAGTTCAATTCCTGCTGAAATTAATGGAAATACTTTGTCTGGTAATGAAGAAGAAGTATTTACTCGTTCTTTAGGTTTTTAATCATTTTTCTGGTTTAAATATTTTTTTTAAAAAAGTTGGAGTAATTCTTAAAAATTCTTTGGAGGAAAATAAATTTAAAAATGATGCTGTGAATAACTGGGCAGAATTCCTTGTTTATCAAGACAGCAAGGCAACATTTAATTCAATTGTTCGGTTACAGGCAGATGGGTTTTAATTATTTTTAATTAAAATTTTTGTTTTTTTTTCTTTTTAGAATGCTTTCTTGTTCTCCTCCAGGCTCTTGGCGACGAGTAATTTTAACAAATCCAGTTAACTATAAAAAATTAAATTTTGATACTATTTTGGTACCAAAAAAGGTTTTATTTTGTCAACGTCATTTTATGACTTCATTTTCTGATGGGCAAGTTTCTGTAAGGGGTTTATTTAAATTTTGTGAATTTAAATTTATTTTTTTAAATTAAATGCTATATAAAACAGATTTAGACAAAATATTTTGTTTTTAAAATGTTCCGTTCTTCGATCTACCCGAAATTACCTGATGAGAATTTTGGAGACCCTACTCGCTGTTTTCTAAAAATTCCGATACCCGATTTCATACCGACTTTAATTCTCCCTTATTTCCCTTTTTTGAATATTGGAATCCTTTTTTATATATGTATGTCTATAATTTTATAAGAAAATATCTAGTAATTTCTAAGTATCTTCTCCATGTCAAAATTTTGTTTTAAAATTCCAAAATTGACTAAATATATTTCTACAAACTAACAAATTTTAAAAATTTTTTTAAGTTTTTTGTAACAGCTACATCTCGAAAGGATATTATTTCTGGAGATAAAAATAAATTTGTTTATCATTCTCGTTTGTGTAATTTATTTATTGACAAAGAAGAATTAATTGATCCTTTAATAAAAATGTTTGGAAATAATTCTGAAAAAGAAGAAAATGATATTCCAATAAAAATTCGTCTTTGGTTTGTTTTGAAATTTTTTATTTTATTTTAAATTTTTTTTAAAGGTGTTTTCCTTTTATTCAAAATAATAATTGTCAATTAGAATTTAAATTGAAACAAATTGATGAAAGATATTATGTAAATTTTGATTTAATTTTTTTTTTAAATTTTCTTTTTTTAAAAGGCTAAAATAAATTCAACAGAAAATGAAGAAGAATCAAATGATGAAAATTCAAATATTGGAGAACAACAATTATTATTTTCTACAAATTTTTGTAATTGGTTTAGTGAATGTATTGAAAGGTTTTATATAAAAAATAAAATGAATAATGACAAGAAAATTAAAATGGACAAATTTGTTAATTTATTAAATAAAAAATTGAAAAATAATTTGGATTTGCCTAATGAAGCTAAATTAATTTTGTTTGGTTCGGCAATTTCTGGTTTTGGAAGTAATGACTGTGATTTGGATATTTGTTTAATTAATTGTGGAATTGATTCTTCTTTAAATGTTTGTTTGGAGGGAAGGGGAGGGGGAAGGGTTTTAATTAGGTTATAAACTTTAAAAGTCCTTCAGAGTTTTTAAAAGACTTTCTAAACTTTTGTTTATTAACTAATTAATAAGTACTTAATTATTTAATAATTCCTCAGTTAATTTAAAAATTAATTTTTAGCCTTCCAAATCTTTCCCAATAAAAAGAATAATTTTATCTCAAATTGCAAATATTCTACGCAAAGATGACGAATTTATGCAAATAACAGCAGTTTTGGATGCCCGAACACCGATTGTTAAATTTGAACATTTACCAACTGGTTTTAATGGAGAGTATGTTTTTTAATAAGAAATTTTTTGTAAGAGGATGGGGACTAGAGACCGGACCGATACGATATATCGAAAAAAAATATCGATATATCGATGTCGATATTATCGATCGATACAACTTCTTCCGTCATTTGTACAACCTCCCCCGTCATTGGTACAACTTCCCCCGTCGGGAAAAAATATCAAAAAATATCGACGATATTTTTCGATACTCGATATCGATAAACGATACAGATATTATCGATCGATCACTCAAGTCCGGTCTCTAATGGAGACTGTTTTAATAAAATTGGTTTTCCGCCTAAATTGAGATTATTCCCCATCCTTAGTTTTTCAGTTTCGAAAACACCTTGATATTTATTATTTATCCTAAATAATCTTTATTTATTTGTAGTTTGAGTGTTGACAATACATTATCAATACACAATTCAGAATTATTAAAATTATATCAAGAATTTGATGAAAGAGTGGCCCCTTTGGGGTTTGCAATAAAATGTTGGGCAAAACTTTATGGAATAAATGATGCATCAAAAGGATCTATATCTTCATATGCTTATATTATAATGCTTATTTATTATCTTCAACGTTGTTCTCCTCCAATACTTCCTTTTCTTCAACAAGAAGAAGAAGAAAACAATAATTCTTCTCTTAAAATTGTTGAAGGATGGAAAGTTTATTATACAAAAGATATTAATTTAATTAAACAAAAATTTCAATCAAAATTTACTCCAAATAAACAAACTTTGGCTGAATTATTTTTAAATTTTCTTCATTTTTATGGTTATAAATTTTGTATTCATTCAACGATTGTTCAAATTCGTGTTAATGGTATTTATGATAAAATACAAGCAAAAGTGCCTATTAAAAGAAGAATTTATGTTGAAGATCCTTTTGATTTAAATCATAATTTAACTGCTGGTGTTTATTCAGAAAGTTAATTTTTAAGAAAAATTAATTAATTAAAATCTCTTTATAGATTTAAATTATTTTATTAAATGTTGCCAAAAACCTATAATTGGATTACGTCAATTAGATAAAGAAATTTTCTCTTTAAATGAAGTAAATGATCAAATATCTTCTGACAACAATAAATTACAAAAAGAAAAATTAAAAATGGTTTGTAAACATAAAAACTAATACACTTTCATAACTTTTAAACGAAAAATTAGGGGTTTTGCCATTTTATACGTCCACCCAAATTAAGTGCCGAAATAGTACACTCCAAGGATCACACCAAAGATAAGGTTTCCGCCTTTCATTTTTTCCCTCTTTCATTAATTTACACCTAATGATGGTCATTATTTTTGAAAAAAAACTTTAGCCTTCTAGGATTTTAGCTAAATATACGTACAAAACAATTAGTGTTGTTTTGTACTCATAAACTTTGATTGAACTAATAAAACTTAATTTTACTGTGTATAAATTAGAATTTTAAAATTAATATACCTACGGTACTGAAAGTATTTTTTGAAAACAAATACCTCTTCTCTCCACTGATTTTTAAAAATTTAAATAATGGTTTGGGGATTTGAGGTCTGTTCATTTTTGGTTTAATTAGAAATAAGAACATTTTTTGAGATTTAATTGAATTTAAAAAATTTCCAGGACTTTTCCACATTACTGTTAATATATCGCCCTAGACGGGTGACTGAGCCGAAAAAGAAAAAGACGAAGCCGAAGAAAGAATTGCCATCAAAAGATTCATTAGAGAATTAGAATAGATAGATAAAGTTTAGGAAATTAATTTATATATGTATTACTATATTGTTATTTAATAACTAACTTTGTGTAAATTATTTTGGATTTATAAAGATTGTTGTTTAGGAATTATAAAGATTAAGAGATTCTGGATCTCAATATTGTACTTTCCCATTTTGGAAATAACAAATGAAAATGGAGCTTGTACATGGAAGATTTGAGGAAAATATGATATAAGATAAAATGGAGAAGTTAGGCTCTTTAAACTTTCTTTTCATTCATTTTTGCCATTAATTTTATGCTCTGTATCATTAAATTTGTACCCTAATTATTTTAAATTAATCAAGTATAAACTCAACTTCTTGTATTTTGTGAAATTTCATTAAGCAAACCACTATTATTTCATTTGAATCCCAATTTTCATCAAAAATTACCTTAAAATTTAAATTTTCAAAAACAGTCCGAACAAACAACTAAAGTTTGTTCAGCCATTAGGTGCTTGAAGAGAGCTAACTGATGCCCCCAATTTTGAAAAATTCAAGTTCATTTAAATACATTAAATTTCAAGATTAGAGAGCTAAACGATTTTTCCCATGTAAACCAAATTTTATATTTTTTCCTTTTACCTTCTTTACAACATTTACTGTATTTGTTCGACGAAATTCTTCTTCAAAAGCTGCTACACGTTCAAGGAAATAGGCCCACTATTTGTAAATAATGCAATCTAGAGGAGTAATCTAATTAAGAATTCAAGTGCAAACAAACTAAACAAGAAAAGATAAATATAGTTTTCAAAGGGAAGAACTCGAAGCTCTAATGGAAATTGAAAATTTTCAGCTACAGATAAGGGCTTTCAAAGAGAACCTAGGAGAATCCTATCCTTAAATTTTGACTCAACACAAATCAAGCAATTTACAAATTTATTTATCATACATTCAACAAACATACATATATACAAAAAATAACAAATAGAAAAGGGTTACAACAAAATATGAACAATTATGATGGGAAATTAGGGAAAATAGGACACATTACAAAAAGTTTGGGGAATATACATATCACAATCCTATGAGTTTCTGTTATTGCCCACATCACTCGTCGAACTTCTGTCCTGGCTTCGGTTTGCGACACAGCACCAAGAATTTGTGGACAGCTGGTCCCTCGAAGCGCTCGTCCTTGCCAGCGACGACAGCCGATGCACGCTCGTTACGGATGTCCGCTTTGCCGAGTGTCTCCTTGCCATTTGGTAGAGTTAGCAGGCATGGCGAGATGTTTCCTGAAAAGATTAATAAATTTTAGGGGTATCTCAAAGTATTAGAGGATCGAACCTTTCACATGGTCCACGTGTACTGGATAGTACACTCGGGAGTTCTTGTCATAGACGGCAGCATCACTCCACGGGCGCCAAAGGTAGTCGTAGCCGCGAACTTGCTCAGGAAGGTCGACGAGGACTTGAATGGAGCCAATATTGTCGGTGAAGGCCTTGCCGTTCCAGCCAAATGCAGCAGCGACCTGTTTTAAAAAAAGATAAAAACGATCTTATTGATTTATAATAATAACTATCACCTTTCCACCATTGTTCCAGATGCGGCCCATCACAGGTTCACCGTGCACGTACCACAAGGCCACATGCTGCTCAGCAGAGTCTCCAGCCGTTGCGTTCAGCGTCTTGTCACCAGCTCTCACCGTCCTATATCCTGGCCATGGGTCTCCCATCCTGATGTCTGCCCACTCGTTCAGCATGATGAGCACTGGCGGCGGTCCCTTAAGGCAGCTGGCGCACACACATCCTGGAGGGCCTCCTTTCATATTTCTAAAAATGGGATAAATTTTAAAGACGCACCTAAACACCTAAACGTACCGAATAATGATCATCATTTCCGAGAGCGGTTTTCCAACGACGCATTCTGCCTTGCCAGCTTGTGAAAAGTAGGCTTCTTCCGTCTTCATGTTCAAGTAGCCGAGCAGTGTTCCACCAGGACGATTAACCCATAGAATGGGCATCGAGTCGCCGCACCGAACCAGTTGACGTTCATCTGTCTTCTCGAAACGGTCCTTGTACTTGATCCACTCGTACCAATAGCCGAGCGAGTTGTGGTCTCCTTTGTACTGCAGCACCTTAAGGAAAAAGAAAACGGTTATAAGTTAGATTACTAAAAAAAGACCCAACGCACCTGAATCATGCCGCCAAGATCGACTTTCCCTGTGAGCTCAGCCTTGCCGTACGGAAATGAAGCTTGTACAACGCCACCGTCGTTCCATGCGTAGCCGTGCACCGGCTTTCCGTTCTTGTACCACAGTGCGACGTACATGTTCTGCTGGCCCAGCACTTTGACAGGATTGTCCGGAAATGGCGACCCGATCGGATTGAACGCCCACGTATCCTCCTTCGGTGCAGGGTTTGGCATTGCGGCTTGCGTTGACGTAACTTGCGATGATGATGTGATGGACGAGATGAGTTGTTGACGGTGAGGAGTGATCGAAAACCGTCGTTTTTATAGTTATTTTGATCTGCACAATGCCACCTACAATGAAAGGCTATAAAAACGACGGTTTTCGATCACTCCTCACCGTCAACAACTCATCTCGTCCATCACATCATCATCGCAAGTTACGTCAACGCAAGCCGCAATGCCAAACCCTGCACCGAAGGAGGATACGTGGGCGTTCAATCCGATCGGGTCGCCATTTCCGGACAATCCTGTCAAAGTGCTGGGCCAGCAGAACATGTACGTCGCACTGTGGTACAAGAACGGAAAGCCGGTGCACGGCTACGCATGGAACGACGGTGGCGTTGTACAAGCTTCATTTCCGTACGGCAAGGCTGAGCTCACAGGGAAAGTCGATCTTGGCGGCATGATTCAGGTGCGTTGGGTCTTTTTTTAGTAATCTAATTTATAACCGTTTTCTTTTTCCTTAAGGTGCTGCAGTACAAAGGAGACCACAACTCGCTCGGCTATTGGTACGAGTGGATCAAGTACAAGGACCGTTTCGAGAAGACAGATGAACGTCAACTGGTTCGGTGCGGCGACTCGATGCCCATTCTATGGGTTAATCGTCCTGGTGGAACACTGCTCGGCTACTTGAACATGAAGACGGAAGAAGCCTACTTTTCACAAGCTGGCAAGGCAGAATGCGTCGTTGGAAAACCGCTCTCGGAAATGATGATCATTATTCGGTACGTTTAGGTGTTTAGGTGCGTCTTTAAAATTTATCCCATTTTTAGAAATCTGAAAGGAGGCCCTCCAGGATGTGTGTGCGCCAGCTGCCCCAAGGGACCGCCGCCAGTGCTCATCATGCTGAACGAGTGGGCAGACATCAGGATGGGAGACCCATGGCCAGGATATAGGACGGTGAGAGCTGGTGACAAGACGCTGAACGCAACGGCTGGAGACTCTGCTGAGCAGCATGTGGCCTTGTGGTACGTGCACGGTGAACCTGTGATGGGCCGCATCTGGAACAATGGTGGAAAGGTGATAGTTATTATTATAAATCAATAAGATCGTTTTTATCTTTTTTTTAAAACAGGTCGCTGCTGCATTTGGCTGGAACGGCAAGGCCTTCACCGACAATATTGGCTCCATTCAAGTCCTCGTCGACCTTCCTGAGCAAGTTCGCGGCTACGACTACCTTTGGCGCCCGTGGAGTGATGCTGCCGTCTATGACAAGAACTCCCGAGTGTACTATCCAGTACACGTGGACCATGTGAAAGGTTCGATCCTCTAATACTTTGAGATACCCCTAAAATTTATTAATCTTTTCAGGAAACATCTCGCCATGCCTGCTAACTCTACCAAATGGCAAGGAGGCACTCGGCAAAGCGGACATCCGTAACGAGCGTGCATCGGCTGTCGTCGCTGGCAAGGACGAGCGCTTCGAGGGACCAGCTGTCCACAAATTCTTGGTGCTGTGTCGCAAACCGAAGCCAGGACAGAAGTTCGACGAGTGATGTGGGCAATAACAGAAACTCATAGGATTGTGATATGTATATTCCCCAAACTTTTTGTAATGTGTCCTATTTTCCCTAATTTCCCATCATAATTGTTCATATTTTGTTGTAACCCTTTTCTATTTGTTATTTTTTGTATATATGTATGTTTGTTGAATGTATGATAAATAAATTTGTTTTTGATTTTTTTTTTGATTCTTTCTGACATCGTTTTGAGCCTTTTAGTATTTAAGCTGCTTCCCATAGTTTGAGCTTTTGGATTTAAGTTGCCTCATATGTACTTATTTTCGTCGCTTGCTTACTTTGTTTGCACTTGAATTTTGAGTTAGATTGTTCCTTTTAGATTGCATTAGTAACAAATAGTAGGCCTATTGCTTATGAACGAAGTTCGACGAGTGATGTGGGCTTTTGAAGAAGAATCTCGTCGGACAAATACAGTAAATGTAAAGAAAGTTTAAAAGGAAAAATAATTGTTATCACTTGATTGCCTAAGGAAAATTGCCTAAGGAGAACTAGTTGGACATTTACCAGTGATTTCTTACTCTAGGCCTTCTGAAAGTTCCAAAATTTTTACTTGAGGGGCTTGAAAAGTATGAATTCTGGCTTCTTGACCTTGTGAAAATATAAAAATGTGTTCACTTGCAGCGTAAATATTTTGGCGTTAATTTTAGCCGATTTTGGCGCAAAACTCTTCTCTCGAGCTTGAGTAGAAGCATGATTCTGAAAGGCCGGAGCCGGTGTAGGATTTAAAAAGGGTTAAACCTAAAATCGAAATACCAGCAATACCCTGCCTGGTAAAATCCTGGTTTGGACGGAAACTTTGGGTACAGTCTCGGTTTTACCAAACAACCCAACTACATACAGATACTTTAATATAAATAACAAAAATAATTCAGATTTTTTAAATAATTTCTTTATAATCAAGAAAATAAAACTAAAGTATTTGTCGGAATTCCCCTTGGATATTTTTGATTCTTTTCTGTAGGTCTGTACATAGAAATTATTGAAGTAAAGTCCTGAAAATTAAATTTTGAGAATAAATTAATTTACAAAAATAGTTTTTAATTTACCATTTTTAATTTTTCATTTTGTAATTTATTGTTGTCAGAAGATATTTGATCATTTACTTCATTTAAAGAGAAAATTTCTTTATCTAATTGACGTAATCCAATTATAGGTTTTTGGCAACATTTAATAAAATAATTTAAATCTATAAAGAGATTTTAATTAATTAATTTTTCTTAAAAATTTACTTTCTGAATAAACACCGGCAGTTAAATTATGATTTAAATCAAAAGGATCTTCAACATAAATTCTTCTTTTAATAGGCACTTTTGCTTGTAATTTATCATAAATACCATTAACACGAATTTGAACAATATTTGAATGAATACAAAATTTATAACCATAAAAATGAAGAAAATTTAAAAATAATTCAGCCAAAGTTTGTTTATTTGGAGTAAATTTTGATTGAAATTTTTGTTTAATTAAATTAATATCTTTTGTATAATAAACTTTCCATCCTTCAACAATTTTAAGAGAAGAATTATTGTTTTCTTCTTCTTCTTGTTGAAGAAAAGGAAGTATTGGAGGAGAACAACGTTGAAGATAATAAATAAGCATTATAATATAAGCATATGAAGATATAGATCCTTTTGATGCATCATTTATTCCATAAAGTTTTGCCCAACATTTTATTGCAAACCCCAAAGGGGCTACTCTTTCATCAAATTCTTGATATAATTTTAATAATTCTGAATTGTGTATTGCTAATTGATGTTCAATACAAATACTAAAATTAATATTTTTATAAAAAAATTTGTGGTCCAAAAAGAGGGGGGGGTTTTGTTAATTGGCAATATTTAATTAGTCTGTACTTGCAAAGAAATGGTACAAAAGGGGTGTCGAATTTAACTAATGCCAAATTGTGATTCTTCTTTTTTAAACGCCAAAAACGAATTTTTTTTTATTTTAAAGCAAAATTTATTAAAAATAAAATCCAACCCACTCGCAATTAAAATTTGTTGGTAAATGTTTAAATTTGAGAATAGGCGTTCTGGCGTGTCTAAGTAAAATTACTTCTCCAAATTCATCATCTTTTCGTAACAAACTGCCTATTTCAGTTAAAATATTTAATCTTATATCAATAAATATTGAAGGCTAAAAATTAAAAAAATTAATTAAACCCTTCCCCCTCCCTCCAAACAAACATTTAAAGAAGAATCAATTCCACAATTAATTAAACAAATATCCAAATCACAGTCATTACTTCCAAAACCAGAAATTGCCGAACCAAACAAAATTAATTTAGCTTCATTAGGCAAATCCAAATTATTTTTCAATTTTTTATTTAATAAATTAACAAATTTGTCCATTTTAATTTTCTTGTCATTATTCATTTTATTTTTTATATAAAACCTTTCAATACATTCACTAAACCAATTACAAAAATTTGTAGAAAATAATAATTGTTGTTCTCCAATATTTGAATTTTCATCATTTGATTCTTCTTCATTTTCTGTTGAATTTATTTTAGCCTTTTAAAAAAAGAAAATTTAAAAAAAAAATTAAATCAAAATTTACATAATATCTTTCATCAATTTGTTTCAATTTAAATTCTAATTGACAATTATTATTTTGAATAAAAGGAAAACACCTTTAAAAAAAATTTAAAATAAAATAAAAAATTTCAAAACAAACCAAAGACGAATTTTTATTGGAATATCATTTTCTTCTTTTTCAGAATTATTTCCAAACATTTTTATTAAAGGATCAATTAATTCTTCCTTGTCAATAAATAAATTACACAAACGAGAATGATAAACTAATTTATTTTTATCTTCAGAAATAATATCCCTTCGAAGTGTAGCTGTTACAAAAAACTAAAAATTATTTTTAAAAATATTTATTAGTTTGTAAAAACATATTTAGTCAATTTTGTAATTTTAAAACAAAATTCTTACACGAAGGTATTTAGAAATTAGGTGCTTTCTTAAAGAATTCTATCCAAAAAAGAAAATATGGGAGAAGAGTAAATTAAAGAAAAATCTTACAGAAACTTTTCCATCAAAACATGAAGTTGAAATGCGATGTTGACAAAATACAACTTTTTTATTTATTTTATTTATTTTTATTTATTTATTTACACCACTAGGGTGTGACAGTCAAAAATAAAACAATTTAAAGTGAAATTACGAAAAATAAAAATGCTAATAAAAAATGTCCTTAAAATAAAAATCAAAGCAGCTTAGCAAATAAAATTATCTCATTTGTCATTTAAGATATTGGAAATATCCAACTGTTCAAGAAGTTTAGAAAACATTTTGGGTGTATTTTTTTTAATTTCTATAGGAATTAGTGAATAAATTCTAGCAGTTCGAACAAAAAAGGAGTTGTACCGAATCATGGTTGAACAACGTGTTGGTTGTATTTTATATTTTTCGCCCCTAGTTTTTGTTTGTTTTATGATATAGGAATTATTATGGTTAATTTTAATTTTCCCAAATATATTTTGATGAAATAGCTTTAAATCAGCTTTAAGTCTTCGACTTTCAAGGGATTCTACTTTGAAATGTTGTAAAAGTGTTTTGTATGGTGGAATATCTTCTATTTTTACCTTTGTGATTCTTTTGTAAACAAATCTTAAATATCGTTTTTGTATGTTTTCTATTAATTTAATGTTTTTCTTAGTTAAAGAATTCCAAACCGGTGACCCAAATTCTATAATTGACCTTACGTATATATTAAATGCTTCTATAAGAATTTTAGGATCTTGTGATTTTAGAGATTTAATTAATGCATAGCAGTTTCTATTGGCCCTTAGAGATATTGTTTGAATATGTTTATTAAACTTGAATTTAGAAGTGAAGAAAATTCCGAGATCCCTATTCTTGTCTTCATTACTAATTTGGAATATTTTGTGGTTTCCTATTGAGTATTGTAATTTAGGGTTTGATTTACCTATATATAATACTGAGCATTTATTTAATGATATGTTGAGACCATTGGTGTTACAATATTGAATGAATTTATTAATAAATAATTGTAAAGAATTGTTAGATAAATCGGTTTTTTTTAGAATTTGATAGGCTTTGATGTCATCGGCAAATAATTTTATTTTTATTTCAGGAGTGTAACAGAATGTTGGTAAGTCCGATAAGTATATATTAAAAAGGAGCGGGCCTAAGATAGATCCTTGCGGAACTCCACTAGTAATAGAGAATTGTTCAGAATATTCATTTCCTATTTTAACAACAGATTTTCTGTTGTGTAAGTAATTAGAGATCCATTTTAAGAGTGATTTTTCAATTCCTATTACTTTTAGTTTTGTTAAAAGACGTTCATGGGGTATAGAATCAAAGGCTTTAGCTAGATCGAAATAAACTATGTTTATTAAATTTTTATTATCCAATGCAAATGATATATCATCTTGAACCTCAATTAGTTGGGTAGTGACGGATTTGTTTGGTCTGAATCCATGTTGACAATCTGGTAATATACCATTTTGTTCAACATAAATTGATATATGGTTTGCAATAATTTGTTCAATTACTTTTGTGATTGAACATAGTAATGAAATTGGGCGAAATTCTTCTATTTTGGGTATCTTTAATGTTTTTGGTATTGGTATTATTATACTTTGCTTCCATATTTCAGGAAGTGTTGAAGTCATTAATGAATAAGAAAAAATATAATATAAAGGATAATAAAGACTTTTAGCGCATTTTTTAAGGAATATACATGGTATTGAGTCATAAGAAGAGTTAGTTTTTTCAGGTAGCTTAGAAAGAAGATCAAAGATTTGAAGTTCATTTATGATTACGGATTGACATGTATTTTGATTTGTTATAGAGTTTAGATCTGCATTGTCTAATGAATTTTTATTAAATACAGAACTAAATTGGGTACTTAGAATTTGTGCTATTTTATTATCAGCGTATACTAATTGATTATTTTTATCCAAAATTGAAGTTATTTTCCTGTTTTTGGATTTAAGAAATGAAGAGATGTATGAGAATTTTTGACTGATAGTTTGTGTTTTATGCTTTTCTCTATTTTTTAAAAATTTGTTAGTTTCAGAATCTATTCTTTTTGATACATATGAGATTTTACGTGTTAGCTCTGGCGTGGATTTTTGTTTCCACAGATTTTTTAGATATAATGTCATTTTTTCAATGTGTTCGGGTTTTTTGAGATTGTTAGATTTTACTTTAGATTCGGGAACAAAGGAACAAATAACATTATGTATAATCGATTGGAAAGTGAAATATAGTTGATTTATATCAGAGCATTGTGTGAATACTAGATTCCAGTTTATTGTTGAGAAATGTGCATTAATTATTTCATAGTTAGCTTTACGAAAATTTGGATATGTATAATTATTATCTTGGTAATTGTTAGTAGAAGATATTTCAAATTCTATTGTATTATGGTCAGATTTACTTATAGGCGGATTGATTGTTATAGCCTTTATTAATTCATCCTCATTAGTTAATAGTAAGTCTAATATATTTACTCCTCTAGTGGGTTTATCAATTTTTTGTTTTAGTCCTAAACTTTGAATATATTCTAAAAATAATGTTTCTTTGGTATTTTTGGTTTGAGTACTATAATTTTCCCAATCGATATTGGGTAGGTTAAAGTCTCCTAATAAGATAAGTGGGTAGGATACAGCCGATATATCATACAAGATTTGCAAGATAGATTTAAAATCCTTAATGGTTTCTTTAGTGATTGATCTATAAATCAAAATAATACGAATTTTTTCATCTGGGGTTAATAAATCTATACAAGATATCTCTGATAAAGTTTGGGGGATTTCTATTTTAATAAATGGTATTTTATTTGATATAAATAAGCAAGTTCCTCCACCCCTACCATTGGCCCTATCAGTTCTGATAATATTATATGGGGTACCATGTAGTAAAAGATTATCATCAACTATATCAGTCAACCATGATTCAGTAACCCCTATTAACTTATAACGGTTTTCTAATAACAGAAAGTGTAAATTTGACAATTTGTTTTTTAAACTTCTTGAATTAAAATATAAAAAATTAATAGTATTTAATCTATTTAGATTATTTTTTTGAAGTCAGATTTTTTTATTTTTTCTAAAAATGTGAACCTCCGATCTTAGAATTACTGCTTCTCCATAAACTATCCAGTCCAATTGAGGGTTCTCCATTCTCTTCTTTTTGCACTCTTCAATTAGTTCCCTTCGTCGCTGTAATTGTTCTGGTGTCATTGAGGCACGCATATTGACTTGGGGGAAAGATTTCTTGCCATTTGTTTTCCATTTGTTGAGAAGTTCACGCTGAAATTTTCTGGATGGTAAAACAATCTTTAAAAGACGGGCATGACCATTATTGGGTGGGTTAGACTGACGTCCCATACGGTAAAAAAACCTGGGTGCGCACTCAACCCCCACCGAGTCGAGTAAACTTGTTATTGTTTTGGAGTCATCCGCCATTTTCTCTGATGGAAGTTTTTTTGTAGATTCCGTCAAACCAGTCACAACAACACTTCTTTCGCGCTCTAGCTCCTCTGCTGAAATAGTGTTTAATTTTGTTGTTCCTGAAAAATATCCATAAGGTTTTTCTTGTTGTTTTTCTTTAAGTGAATCGATTGATTTACTAAGAAGGTTAAATTGTTCAGTCAGAGTTTTAATAAAGTTTAATAAAATCGGAGTTTGCTCTGTTGTCATAGACGGAATAAAAGTATTGATTGTTGTTAGTGTTGTTTTCACCAAATTGACTTGACAATCAATAAGAAAATTAAGAGAATTTGGATTTTCGTTGTTGTTGCTATTATTGGAGAGAGGCGAAAAATTGGCCTCTGTTGCTGTCCGTTTTGCAGAAATTTTATTTGTAGACATTTTTCCATCACCAAAATAGTATTAATAATACCAAAATAGTATTTAATTTCAAAGAATTATAGTTTACTGGATTTGTTAAAATTACTCTTAACCAAGAGCCTGGAGGAACACAAGAAAGCATTCTAAATAAATTTTAATTTTAATCAAAATAATTTTAATAAACCCATCTGCCCGTAATCTTATAATTGTATTAAACGATGCTTTATTATTTTGATAAACAAGAAATTCTGCACAATTAGATTTATTGAAAGCTTCCTCCAAAGAATTTTTAAGGATTACTCCAACTTTTAAAAAATGTATTTAAAACAAAAAATAAATTAAAAACCTAAAGAACGAGTAAACGGTTCTCCTTCATTACCAGACAAAGTATTTCCATTAATTTCAGCAGGAATTGAACTCCTTGGACGATGTGACTTTCCATCAATTTTAAATTCTTCTTTTAAAGAACATAATAAAGAAGTTGTTGGTCGTGTAGAAAAAAATCGTGCAAACAATCGTGTATAATTATTAAACATCTTTAAAATATAAAAAATAATCATAAAAAACAATTACTTTAAATTATTTCAAAAATTGCAACTTTTCATTTACGGCATTTACAACTAAAAAAACCAAAATTATATATTTATGTTAATGCATTCAATATATAAAAGACGAAATGGAAGGGGAAAACTAAAAAACAAAACCGGTATCCTCAAAATAGGTACAGAATTGGTTAATCTATAATTATGAGGGTATTGGTTGGTGAAAAGAAAATTGTTGGACACAAGATGACAAAAAATAAAGTTTAGAAAATTTTAAATGGAAAAACTTTCGGCAATTATTTCTAAAAATTAATTTCTAAACTTTATTGTCATTCTATAAAATGTAATGAATTTAATAATTATGTAGAGAGATTGGCATAAAACCCATAAAACATTAAAGTTCAGATTCAGGCATATTTTGATAAAATAATGAAAAATATATTTAAAAAAAACAGAAATTGCAGTGTATTGTCAGTTAGCAAAAAAGACAACAAACGGAAGTGAAGCAATTAAATCATTTTTCATAAACAATAAAAATGATTTAAATTTATTAACCAAGTTGTTGCCATTCTTCCAACAAAATACCTTCATTTGTTTGTTGTTGTTGTCCAGTTTCATCATTCATTTGATCGTCATCTATTAACCATTCATTATCAACATTATCACTTCCCCCATCATTTTTATTTTCAAATTCTTCTAAATCAATATGTTGTCCATACGATGTAGAAGTCCCTTGATCATCAGAATAACCACTTGTTCCGGCATAATTGGAAGGGTCGAAATGAGTTACTGCCTTCCTTTTCCTTCCTAAACCTTCATATCGAAGAGCACCAAACCCGTCAAAATGATGAAGATGAGACCGACGCCGATTCTTTTTTGATTTTAAATCTTCATCTTCGTCGTCTGAAAAGTCGTCCCTCCTAACCTCCACATCTCCTTCGCTAGATTCTCCTAAAAATATCTTCAATTAATTTAGAAATATATCAAGCATACCAATGTCGTCATTCTCATCAAGAATTCTGTTCTCCATTTCTTCCTCAGTTTCCGTTTCTTTATCGGTTCCTTCAGATTCACTCAATTTTTCATCTCCAAAATCAATTTTATCTAAATCCATCTCGCATTCACCATATTTTGTAACAGGACGTCGTTGGCGCGGCCCACTGACCAACAAATCAGCAGCATCTGCTAGAAGAACCCGTGCCTCACGACGAGGTTTTGCAAGAACAGTACATGCACGGTTATTGTTTGCCAACGGTTGATTTTGTGAATTAACCAAATTATTAGCAACAGTGTTCTTAAAAAATAACAATTATAAAAAATAATTTAAAATATGCACTTTTTTTCTCCTTTCTTTCTCTAAGGGAGATTCATAATCCCAATTGACAGAATATTCAAATGTTGTAGCGAAAAGAGCTACTGCTGAAGGGCTTTGACAAAATTTTATAGCACGTTGCCAATCAATAAATGTTTGTGACGGTGTTCTTTTAACAACTTCAAAAAAAAATTTTTCAAAAAAGAATTAAATTAAACAAGCCTAATCCATTTCTTTTTGTTTCAGTGATGAATGGCGATTGCAGACATTCCAATTTAACGCCCTGAGCTAACTGAATTAAAGCAACGGCAAGTCTTAAATCAAAGGGATAGTAAAAACAACAAAATATTTATTTAATTTATACTTCTCGACGGGAGTTATATTAAAAATTTCTTTGCCAAACAATGAACTAGGAGCAAATAGAATATCTGAGTGTGAAGAATGAAGAACAGAAACACGATTATCAACACAGAATGGTGTAGTATCACCATCTGCTTCCAATGCTTGTCGCCATTTTTCACGGTCAACTGTGCAACGAGGGTAACCGAATCGTCTCTCATGGACCTTAAAAATTAAATTTAACTAAAAAATATAAAATAATAATACAAATTCCTCTAATTGAAGCAAATGTGAGATCATGTCCCTATACAAAGCATCAGAAATACTTGGACTTTGCTCAATTTTAACTTCTTCTTTGCCACCTCCCAACTCCTTAGGATTACTTGAACTAAAACCAAATAATTTTAAAGAAAGTGGTCGAACAGAATGACGATCCTTCCAAACATCCAAAAAATCATTCATCTCTTTTGTATAAATTTCTTTGAAAAAAGAAATATTTTCAGAAAGCTCAGATTCACGAAAACCACGAGGATTTAATGAATTCAATATCTAAAATATAATTTATTTTTAAAATATTATTTTTTAACCTTTTTAACAGCATCCCTTTCAATGTAATATAAAAGCCGACCACTTGAGGGATTATGCACAGGACAACCCTTTTTACTAGTACAAGCCATTAGAGGATCAACATCAGCAAAACCTTCGTCATCAATAACATCATTCTGATCTTTGTGTTCTTCCTGTTCAACAGTATTCAATTTCTCACCGTTAGATAACGACTCAGTACTTAAAACAAAATTAGTCTTATACCCCAAAATTCAAAATACCATTTATTAACATTATTGCTTCCTTCATTCACTAATGGCTTTTCATGTGCTTTGTTATTTTCTGACATGCCTGATACAGCCACTCCATAGGAATCAAGAATTTGAATGTCATCATCTTCGTCGGCCGATAACTGAGTTGGATTTGGAGTTGATTCTTCACATTTTCCACAATCTTCAATTGAAGGGCATTGAATTACAAAAGTTGAGCACATATACTTAAAGCAACAAAAAATAAATTATTCAAAAACATATATTTACATACATAATAGCTACGAAAAGCACGATCTCTACCAAGAAAGTATAAACCCATTTTACCTAAAATAAAATTAAAGTAAAATTTAAATATATTTAACCATGTAATTCAAATATTTTTTGTAACAATTCTTGCACTCTATCAGAGTGAAAATTTCGTTGAACAGCTCTAAATTCAAGTACTTCAGTAATATTATCCATTTGTGCCCACGGCAATGGATTTTTTTCATCTAATAATCGTTCCTTAATCTCTGCAATATTTTGTATCCTACGGCCTCTAAAATAAAAATATATAATCTAAATAAAATAAAATTAAAAAATACTCATTCAATTGAACAAGAGCTCTGCGCAAATTTGCTAGTTGTTTAGATGTCGATTTTGATGCCTGCGACTTTTCGCCCTTAATAAAGATAATCAACTTGTTAAAATTTCTACTTCTTAATGCGTAAATCAAAGAAAAATATATCAGAGTCAAAAAATATTTAAATATTTTATAAAAAATGGTGAGATTATAAGTTATACACAACTCATTGTGTAGACATAAGACGCTACTACTATTAAATAAAAACAAACATTAATTACCGATTCAGAAGTTTTTTGTTGAGACAATAATTGGTATGCTTCGCGTGATTCCCTTTCATGCTTAAAATAAATGAATAAATATTTTGCTTATAAAAACTGACGCAAAAAATAAAGAAAAATACCTGTTGATCAATAGCCTTTAAATGTCTCAATTCACGCTTCAATTCATTCATCTCTTCCGTTCGTTTAGTAATAAGAGTCCGACATCGTCGATGACTAAGTAATTGATTGATTAAAACATTAAACAATTTAACACGTTGATGAGGATTTAAAGCATAAACACTTGACTAAAGTAAAATATTTAAAATAAAACATTCAAAGCAAACCTTTTTCAATAATTCCATTATTTCAGTTTCAGAATGAGAAAAAATATAACCATCATCCTCATAGCAATGCATAGAACCACGTAATTGACGACGATATTGAGTGTAATAACCTAAACAATTTAAGGCTTAAATGTTTAAAATTTAAGTCACCTGAAGTTTTCAAATGAAGTCGAATTATTTCAGTTATGTCTCTATTGTCACGAATTAAGGCACGAATATGTACTCCTATTTAGTTTTATAATTTTAAAAATTTAAAAACAAAATTAATAACCATGAATTCTTTTTTGACGTTCACATTCTTTATTGATTTTACGAATACGATCTCCATGAATAGGATGATCAAAATCTTTAACAGCTTCATTGCCAATGTGCTCAGGTTTTAACAAATCAGCTAAAAAATAAAATTTAATTTTGAACATAAACAATTACCAGGATCTCCTTCATCTTCTTCGATACTTTTATTCATTGCAGTCATTAACCAATCCAAAATTTGGTAAAATTGTGTATTCTCTGTTGTTTGACGGGAAACTAAAAATAAAGAATTTCAATAATACAGAGTAAAATAACCAATTGCAGTGGCAATATTTGCAAGAGTAAAAGGATTTTTCCCGTCATGAAAGAGTACTTCAGCAAAATTTTGAAAAAAGCTTTGAACTGACAAAATTTCCCAATATAGTTCACGAGGAACCCAATCAGGCCAACGTAGTTCTCTGAAGCCAGAAGGAAAGGGCTGAAAAAAGAGAAAATAGAGGGAGAAAAACAAATAGAAAAACCTGAAGATCATCGCAAAGTAGATCATCTCTAAAAATAAATGTAGTTACAAATAAAAGAAAAGGATAATTACTACCTTGGTTTTCGCCACTCAGCTAATAACTCTCTTTGTTTCCGACGCTGTTCAATTTGTTGTTTACGAAGTTCAGCCTTCTCAGCCGCTTTTTCAGCAGCTTTCGCTATTGCAATAGCATTTCTCAATTCTTGGATATCTTCATCCGAGAGTACTTGAAATGTTTGCCGCCAACGTTCGACATTCTCGACACCATGATTTTCGGCTGTTTCGAATAAGGGTCGAAGTTGCATTTGTTGCTCGATAATCTTAAAAGAAATAGAAAAACATATTTATTAAAAAACCCTTTTGCGGCGAATATCTGCTTTGCTGACTCCTGCCTTCTTCGTTAATTGCCCATTACTTGATGAAAGCTGTGCTGAAGTACTCGGACGTGAATAATTCTCCTCCATTAACATTTTCATTGTGGAGGGGAAAAGTTTGTCACTGTCAGAAAAAGAAGTATTTCGATCTTCTAAAAGAAGAAAATAAATTTTATAAGAAAATTTAGAAAAATAAACTTTGTTTTTTAAGTGAACGAGTTTGTGGAAACTTTGGAGGCGGACAATCAGCAAATAACTGCCCAAAACGAAGCCGGTCCAAATGAAAATCAGCAACACTATTAGGTTTTACTACAAAACGTCCATCACACATTTCTGTGTAGTACCTAGGAGAAAAATATTTATTTAAATTAAATTAAAATTAACTTAATAAAGAGCTTGATCCGTGGTCGAGTTGCATAGGAATATTTGCTGCGACTGAAATTTTAAGATACATTATTTTTATATAATTTTTAAAAAATTGTAAACAAACAAGATTTGTTGATGTGTAATGTTATTAAGCAATTCGCCTTTTGCATCACATCCATTCTTTTTGTCATCAATAATGCTAGAAGCATCAGAGTCTGATTCCGATTCTTTATCAATAATTTGAATAGAATAAGTAAAACAATCGGGATGGCAAAATTCCAATCCTGCAGATTGTTCTCCACTATAAAAAACAAAAGTAAATTTAAACAAATTTATTAAATCAACTCTTTTTTATTTGGTGATTTTGATTTAGTTGGTTTTAATGAAGTTTTTGTAATGACGCCATTTTGTTGTGGTGATTCTGAAACTTTTGTCATTTGAGTTTCAGCAGCTGAAGTGCCGGCGTTATTATTTTGTAAATCATTTGGTGGTTGGTAATTAACAGAAACAATCCGAGCCGGCAATCTCTTTTTAGAGCCTACTCGATACAAAACATCTTCATTCTATAAAAAACTTCATTATTTTCAAATTAAAAAAAACATACAATAAAATATCTGTCACGCATAAATAACATAATATCACTAACAAGTTCATCAACGCGAGCACGACATGTATAGTGATGAATCAAATAAAGAATTGGAGTCTCCAGAAATGAAGGAAATTTATTGATTTGCTCCTATTTTTAAAGAATATTCATTCATTAAATAAAAAAAAGTTTTTAAACCATTGCATCAGCTTCAGATTGCAATGCTTCATCATAAGTCAATCCATTCCTTCCTGTCATTGTACATGACCAACAAGAGCTGTTTAATTGAATCATCCTTTCAAAATAGTCCCTAAAAATTAAAAGAAATTTTTAAATAAAAGAAAACAAAAATTTAAAGAAAATTATACTCATAATTCTCAAAAACTTCATTTGTAGAGGGGTGATAGAAAACTTCAGTATTTGGACTTATTCCATCTGGGATTGGCGCAATTGCTTGAAAATTCTTATTTATTGTTGTAGGCATTGTCTAATAATTAAAAATAAAGCAAAAATCACTAAAAAAATAATTAAAACTAAAAAAATACAAAATAAATTGAAAAAAATATGTTTAGAAGAATATGTCGGCCATTAGAATTTAAAGAAATGAATTGGCTAGAAAAGAAAAAAAGAATACTCTAGTTAAGAGCAAATGCTAAATCATTAATAAATAGTTATTTTTTTGTTTCAAAATTTTTGTAAAAATACATATATACAGATTATGTAAATAACTAAATATTTTTTTGGATTTACATATTTTATTTATCTTGATTTTATTAATTAAATTATTTTTAAATTAAAAAATTAAAGTAGAAAAGTTTCAATAAAAAGAAAAGTATAGAGAATAAATTATAGCGGATTTATGGAGAAATCATTGAAAATCGAAAAAAAATTTTTTAATAAACAAACCTAGTATGTATAATATCGAAAAATATTAAAAATAAATTAAAAATAAATTTTGTTAAGTTCTAGTAAAGCCTAATTCACTATCGCTGATTGCGAATAGCTGGTCCAGTCATTGTCTGTGCGCCATGGCGTTTTGGCGTGTTTTTACTATTTTGGTTCTTCCGAAATTCTCAAAATTTTCGCCTGCGGCGTTGTAAATGGAATAAATCTGGCTTACTGGGTTCCTATGATATTCCCTCTTAACACCCAACTCCTCTGATATTCTTCCTAAATTCAATTTATGATTTAGAATTTTGGCGTCCATTTTGGACGATTTTGGCGTTATGACATTTGGCGGTTTTAAGAATTTGGAATATTGATGTTTGGCCTCCACATGAAAACAGCTCGGATTGTCTAAAAACGATTCAGAATACAAGCAATAAATGTTTTGTTCTTGAGATCAAAATCACAACAATAATTATTCGATAAAATTTAATTTTTTCTATTAATTTTTTTTTAATTTTTACCAATTTTGTAAATACTCAACAGAGTTTTATATACATATGTATTACAAGGCGAGATTTATTTTGTAATTTTTTAGAATTTTTAATTTACTGCTACCAATCTGATAGTGTTTGAATGTTTTTCTAGGGGTTGTCAATGAAGAATTCAAGCCGACATGAGGTAATTCTGCCTGGCGAGAATTATAGGTAGTTTTGGAGAGAATAAAAGTGGTGATCAAAATATCCTTCCCCTCAAACGGCCAATAAGTAAAATGAAGACATGATATCATGTTTTATTTACATATTTTGTAACAAATTTTAGACTCGCTTTTTAATTAATTTTTTGATATCAATAAACCCCAACCTTTTTTTATTTTTAAATTAAAAATTCATTAAATTATTCACCTCTTTTATTGTGATATTAATATGTAAGTATTACCCCTTTCCACTATGCGTGCCTTTATAAATTTTTGATGAATTTATGGATTTGTGATATGGTGTGAAGGTTCTTAAAAAAGGCAAATAATATGCAGTATATTCTCATAAGTTTATTTTTTTAATAAATAAATATATTGACTTTTTTTGAAAAATATTTTAATTAAAAAAAAAGGTTTTTTCACGTTTCCTTTAGTTTTGTCAAAGATCAGTTTCGTTATAAGCCCTTTTTTAGTAACGCCGATATTTTTTAATAAAAATTAAATGACAATGATTAAACTTTTGTTTTTTAAATTTGGGGGGGGGGGGGATCAAAGAAGGAGATCTAATCGGTAATGCGGAATCTCGATTTTAAAAGAATTTATTTTTTAGAAGAGGATCTCCCATCGTCCCCTGTACATACTTGAATAAGCATTTATAGAAATTTTGTTCTGAAGTAACTACATAGCGCCTCGTTTTATCCAATTTTGTCTAAATAACTTTGTGCCTTTTTTTTATTTTCCTCTCAAGAGAGTAATTTAAACGTGAATGCCTTTCTTGTTGTTTGTTGTTGTTGGTATTGTCTGTTTTTTTTATTAGTAGTAGAGTCTTTCTTTTTTATTTTTTATTATTTGTCGCCGCCTAAATTTTCATTTTTTTCCTTTTTTTGATGAGTTGCCTTCTCTTTTTGACTTAAATATATTTTAAAGAAGAATGGGTGGGTGGGGGTATTTGGCACTTTTTTTTTCTTTTTTACATATCAAATTTAAATTTCATTAAATATGAAAATGCAAAATTTTTTCTCATTTGAAATTCAAAAAGGTACTTGAGGGGGGTTTCTAAACCTGTTTTAACGAATATTGTGTTAGGTACACACTCTAGTCATTTAATAGATTTTATAATATGTCCATAGAATATTCTGCTCACCGTTGGTCTCCCAAAGCTGGGTCTTATTTTTACCTCTTATTTTTGCATATAATTTCTAGTTCAATTTTTAATTTAAACGTCCCCTTATTAATTGACTGTCAACATAATTGTTTTAGGAGATGACCCACAAAATACCCAAACTTCGTTTTTTGTTTATTAATTTAATCCCTCATTTTTTTAAATTAATTAATATTTTATTTAAAAATTCCAACATTGCTTTTGTCATATGGATGAGAGTTTTACATATATTTATTTATTTTATATTTTTTATTTTTTAATTAAATTGGCTTTAAATTTCTTCTTTTTATTTTTTTTAATTTAGAAAGAAATATTTTTTAGACATTTATTTTTCCTTTATTTAATTATTTCAGTCACTTTTTCAGGCAATTTGAATAAATAAAATTAACTAAGTAAAAAGACAGATGGTCGAGAAAAGCTAATAATAAAGGAGGAGAATACATATATATATCTAGTAAATCCAATTATTTAAATATATATTTACATAAATATACACACAAACAAACCCAAAACCTTTTTTTACTTTTTCTATAAAATTAATTTCTTTAAAAAACTTTTCTTCCTTTTTTAGTTCCATTTTTTTACAAAAAATTTTTTTATTTAAATTTTAAAATGAATTTTCTTGCAAAACATTTCTTTGATTACCAATCAGTTATTAATTTACCCCATACAGCAGTTCAAATGCATAAAATGGTTACAAAAATATTTTAAAATTAATTTATTTTTATTTTTTCAAGCCCCCTTCCCAAGCTGGCTGTGATCCTAGTGCTGCTTGGGCCCCAAAGGATTTACATGTTTCAGGCAAAAATCATGCAGCGCCCGCTGCTCGTGCTAATCGGGGTTATCATGGGTAAATTAAAAAAAGAAAAGATTTTTATTTTTAATTTCTCAGGGGAGATCAAAGGACGGGAAGTCATCGACATGGAAGACCGAGTAAATTAGAATTTAGAAATTGGGGAGAAAGGCATGGAGGTAAAAAATGAGAGGGGGGGGGGGGGGGTGGATTTAAAATTAATTTTTAATTTTAGAATTACGTTCAGAAAAGATAATTCCCCACACAGTAAATTAATTAAATTAAATATTTTTGTTTTGAAAATATTTTTTAAAAGGAAAATTGGATTGAAAAAGAAAAAGATTTTATTGGAAGGGAAGAAAATAATTGTAGTAATTGTGGAGGGCTTTCTGTTGCAGCAACAGCAATTATAGGTCCAGGCCCGTCTTTAAATAATTTTCAAAAACAAAAATTGGTTGGTTAAAATTAATTAAATTTTTTGTGTTGGAATTTTCTCCTAAAGAAAGTTATTAAAAGTAAAAAAATTTGTTTGTGTATGTTAAGTTGAACACAAAATTTTAGAGCAAGAATTTAAAATTGAAAAGGTTTAGTAATTTTTTGGATTTTCTGCAAAAACCAAAATTTTTGGAGAAAAGAAAGGAAAAAGGAAAGGAGGGAGGGAGGGAAGGGGAATATATATACTAAAAATTAATAAATTTATTTTTATTTTTAGATAAATTATTCATCAAAAAGACAACCACCACCCCTTCCCCAATCTTCTTTAAATAAAAATAAAACAAAACAACAACAAAAAGAATTATTTCAAAAAAATATTTTAATTATTTTAACTTTGGGGGAACATTTCGATTTTTTAACTTTAACTTTAAAAACTTTGAAGGGTTTTTGGAATTTAGAAAAAGAAAAAGGTTTTTCTTTAAAAAGTTCTCTTTTAAAAATGAAATTAAAGATATTGTTATTAATTTACGTTTATTTGATTCTTCTAAAATTGTGGATGAACGGTTATTTAATTGGTTCCGTGACTTTTGCGCCGAGAACATTTGCGCCGCGACACTTGCGCCGCGACTTTTGCGCCGCGACTTATGCGCCGAGCGACTTTTGCGCCGGGGAACATTTGCGCCGCGACTTTTGCGCCGGGCGACTTTTGCGCCGCCACTATCATTAAAAATATATAGATAACTACAGCCGAACCTCACTTTAGTAGTGTTGTCGGATAGTTGAAAATCTTCTGATATCCGGATCCGATATCCAAACTGAAAATTTCGGATATCCGGCCTTTTTCGGATCCGGATTTTTTAAACAATGGCGGCGCAAATGTCGCGGCGCATAAGTCGCCCGGCGCAAAAGTCGCGGCGCAAGAGTCGCGCCGCAAAAGTCGCCCGGCGCAAAAGTCGCGGCGCATAAGTCGCGGCGCAAATGTTCTCGGCGCAAAAGTCGTGATACCATTTAATTTTAATAAAAGGTTTTTCCCTCCCCTCTTTTCTTTTAAAAATAATTTATTTTAGTAAAAAATTAATTTCTTCAAAACAACAAAAAGAAGAAGAAATTTTGGAAGAAAAAGAAGAAGAAGAATATTTATTGGGGCAATCATTCCTTTTAAAATCTCCAAATTATTTACGTTTACCTTTTTGTCAATTAAATATTAATATTTTATTTGAAAATTTTGGTGGTTATTATTTATTAATTGGGCCTTCAGGAAGTATTTCTAAAGGAAATATTCATTGGAAACAAATGATTAAACAACCTAGTTTTTTAACTTAAATTATTTAATTATTTTCTTTTAAAGATACTCCAATAGCTATGTGGCACGAATTAATTCCTTTAAATAAATAAAAAAGATTTTAATTAATTAATTTTATTTTTTAAATTTAAAATAAATTAATTTCTTTAATAAAATTTAATTATAATTAATTAATGTGGACTTACAGTCGTGGAAAAAAGTATGGAAGCGCTAGAAAAAGTTTTTTAAATTCTTAATTTTTTATTCAAAAAATACGTTCTATATACCAATCGAAAGCTCTATTCGTATCTCAGTTGACATGTTTCTGCATTTTTCATGAAAATGAAAATTGGCCGAGATAATCCGGATCTACCGGATATACCAAATCCCACTTTTTCGGAAAAATTTTTCGGAAGAAATTTAACAAACCCAAATGATAAAGCATATTTTTCTGAGTATTTTCCACAAAACCGCTTAAAAATATCTTTTTCCGGAACAGAGATATGATTTTTTGAAAATCGCATTTTTCGTCAATTTTTGCAAAAAATTCGATTTTTAAGGGAAAAATGCGATTTTCAAAAAATCATATCTCTGTTCCGGAAAAAGATATTTTTAAGCGGTTTTGTGGAAAATACTCAGAAAAATATGCTTTATCAAATGGGTTTGTTAAATTTCTTCCGAAAAATTTTTCCGAAAAAGTGGGATTTGGTATATCCGGTAGATCCGGATTATCTCGGCCAATTTTCATTTTCATGAAAAATGCAGAAACATGTCAACTGAGATACGAATAGAGCTTTCGATTGGTATATAGAACGTATTTTTTGAATAAAAAATTAAGAATTTAAAAAACTTTTTCTAGCGCTTCCATACTTTTTTCCACGACTGTATATATTTTTGACTAAACAAAAAAATTAAGAAAAAATTTTCTTTTGTTTATATTTACAATGTTGAAAATTCTTTTATTCTTTCATTCATTATAAATCCAAAAAATAGTCAAAAATAAAAACAATACTTCAGAATGACAAGTTTAATTTGCGATATCGTCACTTAACCTAATTTTCAATACTTAATTTCGTTTCAAATTGACAAATTTTGTGTTTTTTCAAATCTTTTAAATTCCGCTCCGACACCTTGCCTAAATCCCTTTAATCTCTTGATGACTTTTTTAATCCCTAAAGAACAAAAATTAAATAATTAATTTAATCTCTTAACAATTATAAGCCTTTTACACCAATTGTAATATTTGGAGAAAAATGAAAAGACAAAAATAATAAAATATTTTATTTTTAAATTAAATATTTATGAAAAAAATAAAAATAATTATTAGAATAAATATTATTGTTTGTTTCTTCAAATTTCTTCCTCCTCCTCCCCCTCCTCCATTACAGTAATCAGCATCATTACAATAACAAATTATATTTGGCTGTCCAAATACATTCATCTAATTAATTAAAAATTATTTAAATTTCTATTTAGCAAAATTGTATTTTTTAATTTTTATTGTCAACAAAAATGTGCGGCAAAGCGTTTGGCGTTATTTTTGGCCGATTTTTGGCGTTTGGCGTAATTTTCGTTTTTTGGCTCAAACGCCAAAATTATACACCCCTAATGATGTAAATTTTTTAAAACAAATGGGAGAAGGGGTGATCGAGAAGGAAAATTTTTCTGCATAAATTCTTCCACAATTCTCAAAAATTTCGCCCTGTGGCGCTAAAAAGGAGAAATCTAGTTTTTAGGCGTTTTTATATTTTAAAAATTTTGGCGTTATTTTTGGCCGATTTTTGGCGTTTTGCTTAGGTGTGATTTAAAAATTTGAAATATTGATGTTTGGCGCGCCTCGCAAAAATTTCGGCGCACATCCCTGATTGTTAAAACTAAAATTTCGAATGTCTCCACAAAATTTAATTTAAAAATTCTTCAAATCTTTAAATACTTTAATACATCCATTAGGCACAGCAACACCCAATGAAGACATTTTATTGCTATTAGATTTATTTGGATATTTAGTAGAGGATTTAATTAATTGATTTTCTTTTTCTTCTTCTAATGATCTGACAGAAACTTTAAAAAAAATAATTATTTTTAAATATTCCAAAATAAAATAACCATAAAAAGACTCCCCAAAATTTTGTTGTTGTACTAGAATATCCCCCCTCCCTTCATTTCCCCTTCCTTCAAAATAATTTCCTCCATTTTTTGTTTTATTTTCACATCCTTTACTAACATATTTATTTGCAACAATACTTTTAACACAATAATCACCAAAACAAAATCCTGATTTGCATTGAATTGGCATATGACACTTTTTTGGAATTTAAAAATTTAAATTTAAAAGAAAATAAAAATTACTTGAAAACACATTCTTTGTTTTAATTGTTGATTATTGTTATTATTAAATGCTTTAAAGAAATATTTTTTTTAAATAATTTATTTAAACAAACTTTTAGTTTGAGCATTATTTAACAAACAAAAAAGACAAAAAATTTTAATAAATAAATTAATATAAAAAAATAAAAAAGTTTTTAAATCTAAAGAGGAAAATGATGATGGGGAAGGAGAATAATTAATTATTATTTGCATTTTTTAAAATTAATTAATTTACATTTTTAAATTACTAAAAAAAATTTAAAATTTTTTTTAGGTATTTTATTTAAAATGAATGGACTTTCTTTTGTTTTTAAATATTGAATGAAAAGAAGGCGATTAATATTAACGCCTGAAAGCTTTTCAAAATAAATCCGAAAATAATTATTATTTTTTTGTTATTTAAATAAATATTTGTTGTGAACGTTAAAAATAAATTAGTTTCAAATTTAAATAAAAAGACACGTTATTTTGTAATTTGAATATTTTGAAAAAAAGAAAATGTTTTTAAAGAAAGTAATGAGAAGAGGAAGCAATTTGACACTTTAAAAATTAATTTTATTTTTATAAAAAAAATATTTTTTTTTATTTTAAATTAAAGAAACAAAAATAAAATTATTTAAAGAATAAATAAAATAAAAATAACTTCTTTTTCCTATTTTTACACAAAAAACAAAATTGCCTAAATTATAAGATAATAAATGAATGGAAAAATAAATATTTGTTTTTTTTTAATTTAAAAGCTGCTAGGCAACTAAAGAAAAAAGGATAAAAATAAATAAATTTAAAAATATTCGATGGATTTTTTTGTTTGTTTTTTTTTGTTATAAATAAATAAATATATATTTTAACAATAAATGGAAGAAAAAGCCAAAACATGAATTGAGTTAAAATCTGCGGAAATTTTTTAAAAGGAAAAAAAGTGAAAGAAGCCAAGGTAAAGAAAAGAAATTTAAAGAAAGGAAAAAAAGAAAAAGATTTTTTGGAACAAATTGTGTTGAAAGTTTTTGGTGGATATTTTTAACTAAATAAATAAAATCAAATGTCAAAAAATAATTGTGTATTTATTTGAAAATATTTTTTTAAAAAATGGGGACAACCCTGAAGATTTTTGAAAAGGGGAATACCGAAGGACTTAGAGGGATTAAGGAGATAAATATGGGGGCTCTATGAAAATAAGTACCCAATTCTGTATTTTAGAACCTAAGGTGCGGCATTGTGAGTGTGTAACATAATTCTGGATAATTAGAGAAATAACAACACAAAAATAACAATTCCCACAACATAATTTATATATCCCCTCCCTTTCAACCACCCCAAATCCATCGATATCGCCTTAATCCCTCAAAATTCCCTTTTGATATTTCCTTTAAAAAGTTAAAGTCTTAGAGGTCAATAAGTCTTCAGAGAGAAAAATATCTTGCTTTGACCTAATAAAAAAATAAAATTATTTTTAATTGGAAGAAAAAAAGGGGAAAATATTAAAAGTAAAGCTTTAATAAAAAAATGTTTTATATATTTAATTCCCAAAGCTAAACAAAACAATTAAATTGAAAAATAATAATAATCTTTTTATTTTGGAGATTTAAATAGATAAATATTTCTTTTAAATTTATCAAAATAACAATTCCCACAAATTTCTAGCCGAAGCCGCCCTTTGACGCACCAATCTTTTTGGATTTTCGTTAATAGCCCGTGTACATATTCTAACAACACGCCAATAAAGAGAAGCCAAAAATTGTTCTTTTGTGTTAATTAAATTAAAAGAATTTTTTGCAACTAATTCCAAACATTCAAAAATAATTAAATAATTTTTCTGAAAAAAAATAATTAAAATTTATTTTAAAATTTTTACAATTAAAAATCCTTTTGGAGGTATTTCTGTTAAATTAAAAATAATTGAATGTAAAAGAGAAGAATTCTTTTTAGTAAAAGGTAATTTTTGTATAATTAATTTAACACTATTTAAAATACATTCATTTATTGAAGAAAAATTTTTTTGTAAAAAAATAATTGGAAGAGCATCGCTAATTAAAGGGGCTAACTAAAAAAAGAAAAGAAATTATTTTTAATTTAAACCCCACCCCCCTTCCCTACAAACTTTATTAAATTCATTAAATAAACATTCTGTTGGAATATTTTCAATTAATTTCAATAAAGGGCCTAACAAACATAAAAGAATTAATTTTTTCTCATTTTGATCTTTTATTTGTTTGTAAATATTTAAATAAATAGAAGAAAATTCACAAAATATTCTGAAAAGTTATTAAAAAATTTTTTTTATCATTTAAAAAAACCTTTGTTTAGCAAAAATTGATAATTTAAATAATAATTGTTCTTTTCTTTAAAAAATTAAAATTAAATTATTAAAAAATAATTACAAATCAAAATTTAATAATTCTTCTATTTTTGCATTAAAAACAAATATTTTAGCTTCATCTTCAGTTAAATTAACAATTTGTTTTAATAATTTATTTAATTTAATTTGACTTTCTTTTTTATTTAAAAAAAGAAATGAACGAGTTTCGAATAATTCCAAACGAAAATTAATTAACTAAAAAATTAAAAAAATATTTGAACACCTTCCCCCTCCCTTTTTAACAAAATCCCTACCTTATTCTCCTCCTCTTTTAATTTCAAAATATTTTCAAAAAACAATAAACGTAATTTCTCCAATTCCTCACTCCCCTCCTTGTCCTCTTCATTATTTAATAAACAATTAAAAACAAATTTAGAATATATTTTAAATAAACATTCAATTAACCAATTATTTTCCTCAGAATAATTTAAAGAAAATAATATTTTTGTAAAAGAATTTAATAAATCCTTAAAATTTATTAAATTTATTTTTTGTAAATTTAAAAAAAAACCTTCTCATCTGTTTGTAAAAATAAAAACAAAAAAATTTTTGAAAATAAAAATATTCTTCTTTTATTTATTTCTTCATTTAAATTATTATTTTTAGTAATTATTTCTAGCACCAAATTACACAATTTTAAATGTAAATCTTTTTTGTTATTTTTGTAAAGTAAAATTCCAATTTTTCTAAATAAATTAGAAAAAGACTCCAAATCACTAATTTCAATTAAATTTATTTTCTAAAAAAATTTTTTATTTTAATTTTTAAATATCAAAACTTACTTTATTTTCCAAAATTCCCTTCTTTATTTCTTCCAAAAATTCTTCTACTAAACAATCAAAATTATTTTCAATTAATCTTTCAAAAATTTCTTCAATAGCCAAGCAATATTTATTTATTAAATTTTTATCTTCAAAATTAATTTGTTCAAAAATATTTGAAATAATTTTTGTAAAATAATTTTTAATATTAATTAAAGTTTTAATTAATTTCCTTTCTTTCTCCAATTGTGGATAAACAAAAGAAGACAAAAAAATAATTTTGTTATTAAAATTCTCAAAATTATTAAAACAATCCAAATTATCAAAATTAATTTTTTTGTAAACAACAAAAAGTGAAATAAATTTTTTGATTAAATTATTTCTTTAAAAAAAAATTAATTAATTATTAAATTAAAATAAAAATTACTTTTGTTTATCAAAAATTGAAGAATCAGAAGTTAAAAGAATATTATTAAAATGTTGTAAACAATAATTGTTAAAAAGTTTATTTGTTGTTAAAGAATTACCAAATAATTTTAAGCAAGGCAAATCTTTTGAAGATTCTGTGCAGATTGGTAAAAGAAGAATCTTAAATTTTAAAAGAAATTCTTTCTCATATTTAAAAAAAACTTACAGAAAGTAAATGACATTTTCCTATAAAAATTTGAATATCTTCTGAATCTTCTAATGAAAAAATAGCAGAAATTAAAGGAATTATTGAATTCGTAACAATTTCCTCAACTCTTTCTTTCGAAGGAGAATAATTAATAAATGAATTTTGAGGGATAAAACCAACACATAAATTTAGCCAATAAGGAAGTAAATTAATTGCTTCACAGGCTATTTCAATCCAATTTTGTTTTGCTCTGAGAGTTTTACCTTTAAAAAAAGATTTTTTTCAAATTCTTCGAAATAAAATACCTTCAATTAAAATATTAATCCAATAAAATATTTTAGTAATTATAGAGTCAAATAAATCCAAACTTGCTTCAACCAAACATTCTAAAAGACAAAAACTTTTTTCCATTGTTCCCATTTCTGCTTGAAGAATAAAAGGTTCAATATCTTTTTAAAAATAAAAGTTTTTAAAAATAATTTAAAAAATACTTTCTAAAGTAGAATTAACCATTTGTTTAGTTAATTCTTTTACTTTTTCAATTCCATTTTTAGTAAATTCTTTATTTAGAACAAAAATAATTTGTTTAACAATTTTTGTGCTTTTTGTTAAATAAATAGAATTTTGAGAAGGATTCATAAAAATTAAACGAAAAGCTGTCAACAAATCATCAATAGAATTTGTATCAATTGCACTAGATATTGAATTAAAACGTTTACAAGCAAAAACCTTTTTTTGAATTTTTTTATTTAAAAAATAAAAAATTCTTTACAAAAAATTCACAAATTTCCAATTGTTTGTCAAGTAATTCACAATCACCACCCCCACCACCACCAACTGCATCAGCATCACTTTCCACTAATTTTTCAACAATAAATTGAAAAAAGAAAGAAACAAATAATTCATTTGATGTCATACAAAGTTCGAGAGCATGTTTAAGCATTAAAGAAGTAATTGAATTGTCATCATTTTCTGACTAAAAAAATTAAAAAAAATTTTTCTTAAAAAATTAACTGGTTCATAATCAATTGGAAAATAACAAGCAACAAGTTCAAACATATCCTCAACAAGTAATGGATCTAAAAAAATTCTTTTAAATATTTTTTAAAAATATTTAACCATTTAATTGGATAGCCAAAATTTGATGAATTTTTAAAACCCCAAGAAGAACTTGAGGATCTCTTTCACTTTGTGCTGAATGTATAAATGCAAGAATTAATCTTTTTTGACTAAAAATAAGAGATTCAAGAGTTAAATTCAAAATATATTCAAAAATTGCAAAAAGAAGAAGTCGATCTTTCTAAAAATTAAAATAAAATTTCTTTAAAAAATTCTTTAAAAAATACCCGACTGTAACTTTGCACTCCATTATTTTCAAAAAGTTGAGTTAACAAACGTTCCAATAAATCTGTCTGAATTTGTTTTTTCTGGCTATCAGAATACTGTATTAACTGAAAAAACACTAAAATTGAATAGTAGAAATTTGTATAAATTACTAAAATGTAAATTGTCGTTATAAGTGCATCAACCAAGTGGGCAGAGTCCTCCACCTGTTAAAAATATTTTAATTTTAATTAGGGTGTCATTACTAATTCCGAATGCTGGTGAAAAAATTAATAATCTTAATGGTTTTGATTATTTTTTAAATGCCTCATCTTTGGGTATTTTGCCCAATATTTTTAAAGCCAATCCTCGTTTTGGTGTTTCTGAATGGGCCAAAATTAATTTTTAAATAAAACCTTAGAAAGCAAAAAATTAAGTAAATATTCACAATCTCCAGATTCCAATGCAGAAACATTTGTTTTAGTCAAATTTAGAAAAACAGAGCAGAGTTCACCAATCCCCTCACCTCTAACCTCCGCCTCTCTTGCTGTCAATTTATCTCTGTAATAAACAAAAATTAATATTTAAATAAAATATTTACCTCAAAGATTCTATAAAATCAACAAATTTCATATCACCCTTCACTAATCTTTCAATAATTTGTTCAACATGTGAATTTGGAATTGGAAGATTTTCAAGTAAATTTTTTGACACAAAACTCATATTTAGCAATATTTAAATGACAACTAATTAACTCAAAAAGTTTTAAATAAAAATTTACATAAAAATTATTTGGCCAAAAAAGGCATTTAAAAGATTAAATATAATACATATACATTTTTATCGATACAAATTATTATAGGAAATATTTCAATTAAAATGGAGTAAAAATAATATTAAGTACAATAATATTTTTAAATAGATATCTGACAAATATTGGAGAGATATATTTTTGGGAAATAAAGGCAAGACTAAAATTATGCATTATTTTAAGAGTAAATAAATGCTAATTATACAAAAAATATGAGGTTAAACTTAAACAAAAAAATCATAAAAGAATCAACGATTTAATTCAAACATCTGAAAGAGTCCAACTCCAAACTAACCGAAGTTCATTAAGCCTTTGAGAAGCATTTACTGGATCTTGATGGCATGCAGCTAAATATTTATTTGATTTTGACCAAAAAGTCCCAAAAAGTTGCTGATTAACCAATTTTTTACAAAAAACCTTTAAAAATATATATTTTTTAAAAAAGTCTAAAAAATTAAAAACATCAACGTTGTCGTTGGTTCTTGCCGAACAGAATCCTAAATTTTTTTTATTATTTTCTTTAATAACAAAATATTTACCGCTTTCTATATTACAACGACTTTCACAATCAAAAAGTCCACAATCAGAGTCATTTAAACAACTTTGACTAGTTAATATTTCAGTTAATTTAGTTTCTGTATATAACATATCATTATCCATCATTACAAATCTATTAAATTTTATTTAAATTTAAGGAAAAAAAGAAAAGAAAAAAAACCTTTTTGGATATGAAGCAGACAATCCCAAATTCTCAAATTTAACATCACACCATTGTAACGGTTCATTCAAAAATTCATAAAAAAGTTTTAAAGTTCCCATTAAATGAACTAAAATTTTTGCTTTTAAATTTAAATAATAAGGCTTCATTCGAAAAGGAATAAGCTGTTCAGATTGATAAGAATGTCCACACACCCCTAAAATCTTAAAAAAATAAATTAAAATAATCCATAAATTAAAAAAATACTTTAGGTGTAACTCTACTCATTTGAAGAACTGCTTGATTAATATATTCATTTTGTTGTATTAATGTCCAAATACTTCTTTTTTCTGATTCTTTCAATTTTAAACCATCTTTATAATTTGGCCATAATTTACGAATTAAATGTTTTTTGTATCTCCTTGGCCAATCTAATCGAAGATGGTCATTTACAATATCGAGAACCTTTAAACAATTAAAATAAAAAAAATAAAATAAAAACCATATCCATAAATTGCTCATCTGAAGCCGAATTAAAATCTAATTGTAAATCATATTGATCCATAAATGGGTGTTGCATCTTAAAATTAAAAATTTTTTCTAAAAATAAATAAATAATTACCTTCACAATTATATCAGCTCCATTCAAATGTATTTTAAATACTTTTTTATTTCCACCTTCAAAATAATCAACTAAAGTCCAATTCTTTGCACACAAAATTTCACAAAAATCCCCAGCATAGATTCCTTGATTCCACGAATTACAAAGTTTATCAACAATTAATTGAGCTCTAAAAAACAGATAAATTTTAAAAAAATTAAAAAAAGTACTTTGAAGCATTATAATAAGTAATGTCTGATTTCTCATTTGGATTTATATCGATACCATTTGCAGATGAAATGCCTAAAAAGAAATGTAAATTTTAATAAAAAAATAAACAAACCATAATAAATAAAAAAAGTAAAAATAATCATTGGACAGAAAATGAGAAAAACACTTATACAGCTTATTGGAAAATCACAAAAGCAATGACCATCCCTAATAAAAAAAATAATAAAAATTTTAATTAGTAAATAGTATTTTTTAAAAATTGTATTCACTTATTATTTTTTTCAAAAAGTTTTTAACTCTCACGCAAACATTTTAATAAACGGCAAAAAAGTGGAACGCGTAAGAAGAAACTATTTAGAACAAGTTTTACGTTCTTTTGGTTATCATAAAAGGTAATCGAAAATCAAAAAAAAGGAAAACAAATTTAAGTTTTGGAGAGAAATTTTAATGAGAAATAATCGACTAATCTATTTATAATCCCCATATTTTAATCTCCCACAATTTAATTTTACACAATTGGCCAATCAAAAATTATTTATTTCACCCACCTTTTTCTCCAGCAATGTTCAAAAAATCTTAAATCTTCTTTTGGGTTGTACTTCTCTGTTATAAGCTTTATATCATCCTTGTATTCCATTTAATTTCAGTTAAAAAGACACATTTTTGTAACTAAAAGAATATTAAAAATGTTAAAATAATTTAAAATATTTTTATTTGAAAATAACAAAAAAATCTCAATAATTTTCCCCAATTTCTTACACTTTATAAAAAACATAAAAATAAAAAAAATATTTTTTCTTTTATTCTCTCATCGCAATTATAATTTGTAATGCTTGTTCAACATCCCCATTAGTTAATAAAAGTGCCTGAATATTTTCATTATCATCAGTAAAACCAAATTCATGCATTTGTTGAAGTTGTGTGGCAAAGTTGGCCCTTGGATCGTTGTTTTCTCCCTCATTTTGTGATGTGCTTGTTTGTTGGATAGATGAACCTTGCTGTGAATTAGATGTTGGTTGAGCTGGTGTCTCGCCTTAAATCATTGAAATATTTAATAAGTGAGAAGTAAAAGTTTAGCCGTGGGCAAGCATCAATTCTGCTACATCCTGAGTTATTTTTTATACCTAGTAAGCATTTTAAATTCGAGCCAACTGGGTCTCCCTTCCTTTTTATAATATAAATTTAAAGATAACCTAAAGCAACGGCAAAGGCTTGACTAAGCATTTGTTGTGTAATAAGTTGAGTTCCTGTAGAAGGATTATTTTGCATTGGCATAGCTAAATCACCGCCCATTAATGCACTTGGAAACCGAACAGATGTAGAAGTAGAGGAAAACTTAGCAGAAACATTATCCAGTGCTTTTTTGAACACAGATAAACAATCCGGGTGTTTGTGTGCAAACTCATTATTCTTTAAAGAAGTAAAAATGTTTTTAAATAAATTAATAAAAACCTTCAAAATAAACTGGATAAGAAGACGAAAATCACAAATTGCAGCATCTCCAATCTGATCATAAACAAAATTTGGATAATCTTTCAAAACTTGCTTGTAATTTTCACATTTATTTTCATGCATATAAGACAAAAGCTTTTAAAATAAAATTAGGTAATTAATTTAAAAAAGAAATTACCAATTTGAAAGCTTCTGCAGAAACTTGAGGAAGTGCATCTTCTATTAATGCTCGATAAGAAGCCCGACAAGCCTGCAACTTTTTATTAATTTCTTCTTTATTTTCTTTTAATTTTTGATTATTTTCTTTTTGACAAATAATATAGAGAGGACGATTTTCATTTAAATGTTGAATTGTTTCGAGTTTTTGATCGAGAGCCAATTTACGCCCGAAGAATACTAAAGCTAAAAGTAAAAATAAATATTAGCATACATGTACATAATTAATTTACCAAAATTTTCATAATTTTCATCATCACAATTTGCTTTAAGCACATCTAAAACTTTTTCTGGGCGATTGATGACTTTTTTAATACCATTAGGAAGCACAATCTGCACAGTATTTGCTACAGAATCATCCATTTTTTAAAGAATAAAACGTTTAAGCTGAAAATGAAGAGAGGCGGGAGAATTTATCGGAAGAGCACGGGATCCCGCGTGATTAATTTCGCGGGATCCCGTCCGGCAATTCCCGCATAAACATTATGCGGGATCTCGTGATTGAGGCATTTTTATTAACTATGTATAAGTAAAAGTTTTTTTCTTGTGTTGATCTACCGCAATTAGCTAGGATCCAAATATACATACTTATAACTTGTTTTTAAATTTTTAGAAAACTAAACAGTCAGTTAAAGATGCTGAAGTAGCAAAAATGGTTTATTTTAAATATTTTTCAAATTTTTGGGATGATACTTTTAATTGGCTTAAGTAATACAAATTTTAACATATTTAAATTTCAGCATTGTTATTGATGAAGAATTTATTTTTACAATCAAAAGCTTTATTTTCGCCTTTATTTAACATATCTGCCAGGACAATATTTAAACCACCAACAAATATTCCATATTTGGGTATTTACAGGACCAATGGTGAAATATGTAGAAAGGATGATTTATTAGTTTATCAAAAAAGTATGAATTATCATCCAGGAGCCAACGTTTGTTTTTGGATTTTTTAAAAATTTAAATAAAATTTTAAACAGGTCCGATGGCATTCTTTTAATGGTAGGCATATGTTAAAAGCTAATTGTGATGGAACTGTTTTAATAACTCGTGAAGATTGTAATCCTGATCCAAATATTAAATTGATGGAGGATCTCTACGGCTATAGGTTTTTAATTTTTTTAAACTTTTTTTTCAAAATATTTTATAGAAATTATGAAAATATTTATAAATTGACTTTTAATGTAATTCCAAGAAAGATGTCAAATACGTTTTCACTTTTGGATGAAGAATGATTTTAGTTTTTTGTTTTGTTTTACAATAAAAGTTTATTTTTAAATTAAATTTTTGATAGTGTTTTATCAAAGCTTAAATATTTTAAAATATTCCTTTCTTAGAGTTGTACTCTGAACTTCGGAGTGGGTATCTTTAAAATAAATTTATATCATCATGGGACAGAAATCCTTGTTTTTAGCGCGGTCATTTCAGAAAAATCGCTGAAAACGAGGTTCAGGGTATACATCTACGTTTAACTTAAACTATTTAAATCTAGCTAAATGTCTATTAATGGCAATAATGTTAACGAAGATCTAAAAATTGAGAGAGATGCAGTACTTTTTCAATCCACTAAACTGTCTTGTTTGGATCAAATAGTTAAAGGTTATGACTTTAACAGAGGTATTGATTGGCAGGCTTTATTGGATTCTTTTACAAATACAGGATTTCAATCAACAAATTTAGGAATTGCAGTTAAAGTTTGTTTCTTTCTGTTTTACACAACTTAAAATTGTAGTAGTGAAGATTACTGGGAAATAGTTAAAGATTATATCAGAATATCGAAAGAGCACTGCTTTTTTCTGGGGACCAATAATCTTCACAATTACCCTTAAAATTTTTCTAAAATTCAAAGGAGATCAACTCAATGTTGGAAGAAAGATTAAGACCTGTTAAGATAGACCCGGATATAGATCAATATTTTAAATACCCTCCAGGCCGTTTGCGACCATCATTGACGCTTTTTCTTGGTTTTACTTCTAACTTGGTCACTTCAGGATTGAGAGATGTTTGTTATTTTTAATATATTTTATACATTAAAAAAGATTTTTCGATATCTATTAGAACATAATTTGGTTGATTGTGTCGTCACAAGTGCTGGAGGTGTTGAGGAGGATTTAATTAAATGTATTCATCCAACATATTTGGGTATATTTATTTACATTAACGTTATTATCAAGAGGATAACACATCGGGGTGTCTTATTGACATTATCTTGAGCCTCCTGCTTATATAGTGGTAACAGCTATATGAGACATGGGTAGAACCACAGCAGAAAATTTTTATTTCTGATGATTCCCAACATTTTTTTCCTTTTCCGTTCTAGCCTTTCCCCTTTGGTATGTCTCATTTAAATACTTCCATTAAACGTTATTTAAATTTTCAGGTTCATTTAAAATGTCCGGTGCTTGGTTACGCTCTAATGGCATTAATAGAGCAGGAAATTTACTTATTCCAAATGAAAATTATTGCAAATTTGAGGAATGGTTAATGCCTATTTTGGACACTTGTTTAAATGAACAAAAACAAAAAGGATTTCGTTGGACACCTTCAAAAGTTTTTCTTTAGAAATTATTTTTTTCTAAAAATTATTTAAGCTTATCAACAGACTCGGAAAAGAAATTAACGATAAAAATTCAATTTGTTATTGGGCATGGCGTAATAATATACCAATTTATTGTCCAGCATTAACTGATGGCTCTTTAGGAGATATGCTATATTTTCATTCAATGAAGAATCAAATGGATGGTTTAATAATTGATATTGTTGAGGTTTTTTATTTGTAAAAATATTTTTTTTATTTTTAAAAGGATCTTTGTCATATTAATTCAATGGCAGTTATGTCATTTAAAAGTGGAGTAATAATCTTGGGAGGCGGAGTTGTCAAACACCACATAAACAATGCTAATTTGATGAGGAATGGTTCCGATTATACAGTTTATGTTAATACTGGACAGGTTAAAAAATTTGAATTTTGTTTTTCCGGTACTTTAAAAATTTTTTAAGGAATTTGATGGTTCAGATTCTGGGGCGGAACCAGACGAAGCTGTGAGCTGGGGAAAAGTAAAAAGTGATGCAAGGACTGTGAAAGTTAATGCCGATGCAACATTAGTTTTCCCTCTTATTGTTGCCAGAACATTTGCACGAGTTATCGAGGAAAGGAATATTAAGGAAGGTGAAAAATAAAATAGTGTTTAAAGTAAACTAATTGTTAATATTTAAAAAAAAAGTTAAAAACTTCATTTTATTTGAACTTTATGCGGTAAAAATATTATAATCAGCACCGCAAGTATAATTAGCATAGACAATTCTTTTCAAAAACACTAGGCGAAAGATAAAATAGCTACCAGATTAAATAAAAGGCTATATCTTTTAAAAGAAGCCGGTTCTTTTCTGTTGAATACATAAAAATTACAAATCAAAGATAAAGTGTACAAATCGTGTAATAAAAAATTTGGCATATTTAAAATTATTTTTGGGTTTAGTGCAATACTTTTCCCATTCTAGACCTTTGGGTATAAAAGGAAAATTAATCTGACTCAAATAGGAGGGGGCGGGATATTAATAAAGTACCCATATTTCAACGGGTAATTAATTGTTTAATGGTAATAATTAATAAAATTAAACCCAGAAATAATTTTAAAATAATTGGCTCCTCTAATTTTTTTCCTATTCTCACTTTAATGTACAGATAAGGGTATAACAGAAAGTAATATAACAGAAAAGAACCAAGAATCCTATACAAAAAACATAATTAGCTGAAAAGTGGGATATTTAACGAAATTTTGCCCGATAAATATCTTTAAATTATTAAAAGGATAAAGAGAAAAAGGTTTTTCCTATCACGTTTTTTGATTCACATTAGCTCCTGCATTAAACAAGTTGTAAAACCCATTTAGTTGCTCAAGAATGATGAATGTTAACACCTAAAAATATTAAAAATTAGAAAAATTCAGTTTAGTAATTTCTAAAGGTCGAATTTGTTAAAAAATTGTTACTATTAAAAATTACAGTGTGAGGTCCAAGTCGCATATAATATGGTAAAAATCCTTTCCAAAGCGCAAAAAATCCTTCATTTTTGAGTACCCGTCCAACAACATCAGAAATTCCAGTAAATTCAGGTTTACCATTAATAACTCGCATATTCTGTATCCTTAAAATATTTGTAGATTTAGAATATTTGTTTTATAAGTACCTTGTTTTGATTATGTCAACAGGCATACTTGCTGCCGTAGTAGCGAGTCCACTTATCCTATTAATTTTATTTTTAGAAATCAAAAATTCCATACTTTTACAACTAAATTACTCACATTGATGCACAAAAATGTAGTTGAATTCCTTCCTTAAGGCCAGCTGACATGAGATATTGTTTAGCTTGTGAATATGTGGCAAGCTGCGCCGCGTTTACAACCATTGCCCTTACAACTGATAAAAACGGATTTTGAATGTTTGTGTTGTGGATGGGATGTGGATGCCGTATCCAGGGGTGCTGGGAGGTGGGGTGGTTCTAGAGCCCATACCCCAAAAAATTGGAGAAAGAGATAAAAATTGGGAGAAATATGGTCTCCCAAATTAAAAATTTTCTCTTGTGGCGCTGAAAAAATAAATATATATACAGAAAATCGTTCGGAACGCCAAAGTAAATTCCAAAATTTTGGCGCACCCCACCACTTTAACCTCCTATAATCGGACCCCTTGCAATTACTCGCTGAATTTAGATCATTGGGAAGTATATTATTTCATTATTCACGCAAAAATGTTGCCAATTTCCTCGCTATAATTGTCCCATCGCATTTGCGGTACCGCAAATTATTGACTTTTAGAATTATCCAAAAATACCTGTAGGAGTACATCCCTAAAAAGTAATTTTAATTAATTGCAAATTTTTATCTTCACCCTCCACAAAGTGACTATTCCTTCCTCTCGAGTAACTCTGACAAGTGCATCTAATACATTTTTATAATTTCTCCTCTCGTTTATAGGCAAACGTCCATCAGCGGTCATTCGAACTAGTGCTAATTCCATTGGATTTCTGAACGAGTGATTTTTAAATCACAATAAAGACACAATAAAGACAAACCCAAAAAGGGAAGCAATGCCACCAGATGTCATACCAAGACCAGCCTTTATTGCAAATGATGGACTCCTTCCTTCGTGGCTGCAAAATTCTAAAAGCCAGGTATATAACCCAAGTCTTGTTGTCGTATATATTGCTTGACGAGCCAAACCAGCAGAAAGGCCTAAAAATGTTAGGAACATAAAAAACACGTGGGTGAATTTCACCATTGTACAATGCAATAAACCCCTCATTTCTGACAATTGAACGAACTGCATGAAAAGTTGAAGAATACTCACGTTTGCCTTGCATTCCTGACAATTGCATCCTATCCTTCCGAATCCAAATATTATTATTAAGTTTAATGAAAACCAACCTATTTTTCACTAGATCCAACGGTTGAACAAATAAAGTTGCACCCATACCTGACAGACCACCAAACAAAAACTTAATATAACCGGGCGTTTTAAATTCCGAAATTGAAACATTTTTTGATTTCGTAGTTGATGACATTTTCTGAAGCAAAACAATTAATGAATCAACAATGATTAAAATACTTATTGCTAGAAATCCAGAAGGTAATAAAATAAAATATACTGTGACTGAATTGATCAGAATGTATTGTGGATTGATTAGATTACTTGAACTAAAAATTTTATTGGGCGCAGGAAAATATTAAAATTTTTTCAAAAGTGGACTCATTGTCAGAATATTAAAAAATATCTGCCAAGATCCTAAAATGTTCGCCTGCTCAGCTAATAAAGCGGATTTATTGCTTCATAGATGACTTAACTATTTAAGTAAACTTTTACCCATCGAGGCAAAAAAAAAATGATGCTGTCGCAGACCTAGAAAACTGGAGTTTAAAAGTGAAACCCAAAATAAAAACAATAATAAAATTTTATTTTGGGGAAAAGTCGATAACTGACGCCCAAACTTTTCGCGCCTAATCGGGTGCGGCCAACCCTGCGCCCCAAACGAGGTGTGACACAAAACATGCCTTTTAAATTGTTTAACTCTACTCCTAAAATAGAAGAAAACTAAACATTAAATTAAGCTTTTAGTTCGATTTACATAATTGGCAACCTTCAACAATTGAGGGTCTACCCCAAATAATCGCGTGAAACAGTAAAAACGTGTAAAGGGAATTTGATGACTGTTATAGTAAAAGTGTGAATTCGGTAGTTTATACTGTAGCACGTTGAGTCGAATTCTTTGCTTTTTTATGTTTTTAAGAACCAAAAGAAATTCACTATTTTTTCTTAAAATTAAAATTTTTAGACAAACAAATCTTTATATAATCTTTAAAAAAAAGCGTTCAAATGGCGGCAATTTCTTCGTCAAACAACAATTCTGGATCTAACATCGTCCAGCAGGTGTCTACTAACTTCAATCCTTCTTGGTTTTTCTTTTTTTTCTTGCCCTGTATAATTTTGTAATTAAAGGATGCAACAAACGATGCCGTCTACTCGATCTGTTATATCAAATCAACAGAAACCTGTTAATGCTGAGGAGGTTTATTTTTGCATTTTGCTGTTGTACTAAACTTATTTATTTACAGCCATGTGACCCAATCTTTGCGAAACATAGGTTTTTCTTTTTAAAATTAATCTAAACATGGCTTCTAGTATCAAAAGTTTTCTAGTAGGTTTTTCAATAATTTTGTAATCACTTTGCAGTTATGGGCGTGAGGATCTCTTAGCGATGAGAGGAAAGGACGGAGTAAAACCACCTTCTGGAATCGAGAAATGCCCGTTCTTTGTTGAGTCCTCACTGACTCCTGTTGTTCTTTTGCCGTTAACCGAAATAGAAATGGTTTTCTTTTTATAAGTTTATTTTTTTAATTTATTTTCACCAGCGTCTCCAACAAAACGTAAATTCGAGCAAAGCACTAAGTGCATATAACCGAACTCAAGGGCACAATGAGGCAAATAGCGGAGGCGAGATGGCCGTTGGTGGAGGTGCTTGGACTTCAACTGGTCATTTTAAATTGTTATGTCTTTTAATAAAGATATTATTTTAGGTCGATCAGGTTCTGGGTCTACATCTTTTACTGCTCCATCTCGTAGATACCAAAATTCTGACACCAAAGTTCCAAATCGTTGGAGCGCTCTTAATTCATCAAACACTGGTGGTCCACCTCCTCAACGACAACAATCTTGGAAAAATGCGCCTAGTGGAAGTAGCGGTGGAAATCTAGCTGGAAATATTGAGCAGCAAAGTTTTCATGAAAAACCTGGTGCAATTAATCAATTCGAAGGACTGAATACCATTGGAAGCAAAAAGAATCATCAGGGATCAACAATCGGTCAACCAACAGATCAGAATAAAAGAACCAGTGAATCGGTTTCTCTCAGTGAACAAAGTAAAAATTAAATTTTTTAAAATGGTTTTTATTAATTTACAGAAGACAAGCGTGTTGAGCATTTCGACCATTCATCGTCTACAAAAAATATCTCTCCTGGACAATTTGATTCTTTCCCCACGAATACTGCTGCGATTTCAAAAATTGATCCTATTGAAGCTACTGGGACAGTTGTTCAACCCGTTCAGCAGCCGGATAAATGGAATTATTTAGATCCTAGCGGTGTAAGAATTCTTTTACTAACATCTTTTTCCGTAAATGTGAATTGTAATTTGAAAGTTCTTTGTTTCAAAATAACTTTGAACCTACTCCTAATGCTACCTTTTATAGTACTAGGTTAGGTCACAACCTTTTGTTACCAGGTACTTCAGTTAATCCAAATTTTAAAAAACCCTGTCTTCTGTTTTCAGTTTTAGTTTTTTAATCCTTCATTTTCAAAAATTTTTTGGCAAAAAAAATATAATTTTTGGTTTAAAATTGATTGTGTCCACCCCTAGTTTATATGCATATCATTAAGTACAACTTTCACTTTTAGGTACAGAGAGGGCCTTTTGATTGTCAGCAAATGCAGGCCTGGTTTGCAAGTGGTTATTTTACGACTTCTCTTCAAGTTTGTAGACTTGGCGATTCTAACTACCAGAAATTGGGTTTTTTTGTTTTCCTTTATTTAATTCATACTTATTTTCCTACACCAGGTGATTTGTTTCTTATCAACGGTGAACACACTCCTTTCATCTCAAAACATACTGGAGGCAAAAGTCCGACTATTGCAAATTCTCAGAGACCTATAGAACAAAGGCAAAAACATTAACATATTAGGATAAATTATTACTTATATTTTAGAATTAGTTCTTCTGACCTCCTTAGTGCTATGACGGCTTCCAATTCGACCTCTGGCCCAACTCTCGGATTGGCTGACGTGGAGAGAATTTGGGGTACTACACCACTCGACGACGGAGTGGCTATTTCATCAGACACTCTGTCAAAAGCAAAAATATTTGATGGTAGAACTGCCGTTGCCGATATGACAAAAACTTCCATTTCTACTAGTGGTTTCGCCCATTCTGCATTTTCACAGCACCTTAGAGAGTATGAATTGGAAAAGGTTTTTTTCTTCCAATTATTTTGGTTATTTTCTGTTCTAGACTCTTCAAACGCGTGAAGCACTAATTGAAGAAGAGCAGCAAAAGTTACGCGAAAAAGAGGAGCAGCTTCGACGAGACGAGGAAGAGCGCTCTGAGAGAGAGCGAAAAATGCAAGAAATGGAGGAAGTTCTTAAACGCAAACAAAGTGAGCTCAACCGGATTGCGCGTGAAAAGGATGATGAATTTGATAAGAGGTGCCAGCAAATGGCTGAATATGAACGTAAGAAACGTGAAGAATTAGCGGCTTTAGAACAAAGGATACTTAATGAACAACAGAGACAGCAGCTACGAATGGTTTGTTGTAACTTTTCACTATTTTTACAATTTTTTTTGTAATTTTGGAGATTTTTACGTAAGTTCTAAATTTTAGGAGGAAGATAATCGTCGCAGAGCTAAAGAACTTCAAGAAATTTTATCACGTGAGAAGGAACGTCAGCGTCATATGTTAGAAGCCGAAACTAAACGCAAGCGGGAGGAGGAGGAAGCTCGCATGAATCTGGCACTCCAAGCAGCCCAGCATACTAAAGAGGTAATTTTACTCAACTGATCTTGTTCGATAAGATAATTTAATCTTTTTAGCTCGAGCAAGAACAAGCCAAAAAAGCTGATGAAGAGCAGCGTCGACGTCTTATTAAAGAACAACAGCGCCAACAGCAGCAAGCATTTGAGGAGGCACATGCTGAACGCATTCGACAACAGGAAATCGCCGCGCGAGCCGAAGCGGCGGCAAAAGCGGAACAACAAAGGATCAAGTACTTGTTATTCTTTTATATAAATTTAAAAATTTAAAGGGATCGTTATGCAGAACAGCAAACAGCAGATCAACAACACGCAGCAAAGGTTGCATGGCAAACTATTCCTCAGGTTACAAAACCCATTCAGATGAATATTGTTCCGCCAGTAACTCACAATCAGCAGCAAACTTCAGCTACAAATAAAACGTCATCTACTACTTCTGATCGTGAGCGTCGAGGATGGCAGCAAGTACAAATGCCAAAACCTGCACCTATTCCTCCAGTTATTGGGAAAGGAAGTGGAGGAGCGAACGCTGTTATAACAAATCAGCAACAGCAGTCCGTCGGAGCTAAGAAACATTCTCAGCAAAAGAAAGTTAATGACACAAAAACTAAATCGCCAAAGCAACAAGTAATTGAATTTTAGGTTTACAAGAATACATTTTATTTTTCAGCCAGTAGTGGCTGACAAATTCACCCAATGGATTATTAATCGTGTTAAAGAGTTAAATTCATCAGTTGATGCTGAAGTTTTTGCCAATTTTATTGCACAAGTCGACTCTCCTGATGAGGTATTTTGTTTTTGTTTATCTTAATTTTTTAATTTATTTAATAGGCTGAAGACTACATAATTGGTTATTTGGGTGATAATAAAATTATTAAAGACTTTCATCGTGAGTTTCTTAATAAGCGGATTGAATTACGTCCTAGAGTACAACAGCCACGAAAAGATGTTTGTTTTATATTTGAAAAGGTGTATCCAGGAAAAATTTTCGTAAGTTGTGGACTGAAATTGGATGGGTGGTAAATAGGGTTGTCGGTTCCTGGAAATAGTTCGGATAACCGAAACCGAACCGAAAAACCAAATTTTGAGTTTTTGTAAAGGGCTAAAAACAGTTCGGAACACCAAAATTCTGCACCCTCCCCTCTCATTTTTAGACCCCCTGGATACACCTTTGATTGATAGAATATTTAATCGTATGCTAATTAAATGAACTTTAAGGATTTGTCTGGACCAGCGGCAGCTTTAACTGCAGATGTAGCAGAGCATTCTAAGTCTGTCAACACTGCGTTAACACATTCCAAACAAAATGTTACTATGACCGCAAATAATGCATCCTCCGTTAAAAAGAAGAAACAGAAGCAGCAAAAGGTTATATTTTCTGTTACATACATAATTATTTTAAAAGTATAATTTAAAGGTTTTGGATCCCGCCACTCTGGGTTTTCGTGCTGTGCCAGATCCAAATCGTGTGAATGCTGGTGAGATTGATTCAGTTCCTCCAGCACTACCAGGAGCAAATAGAAAGCGCTAGTGATATAAATATATTTTAGAATTTATTGCTTCCTGGAAAGGCAAAAAGTAATTGACATACCACCAACATTTTTCTATCTTGATGGATTTTGGGGAAATATAGAGAAATATTTTTTGTTTGTACTTGAGTGTGTATTGGTGATAATTTTTCTTTCTCCCACATCCATCTTTCCGTTTCTATCTCTTTTACTCTGCGGATATTGCGCATAAAGATAAAATTTAAATTTATTTTCTCAATTATCAGTTGTTAAAGACGATCAATTAATTCGCCTTAATTTCTTTTAAGATTAGTAATTTGAATTTGTATATTGAAGGTGTTTGTCTCATATTAGAAGTTTAAATGCATGTTGATTTTGAAACAAATATTAATCAACCCGAAAAGGGGCATTTTCGGATGAATTTAGACAAATCGCGTTTAAATATTTCTGTGCGTCTCTTTTCTGAAGATAATAAAGAATTAAGTAATGCTCCAATTGTGGTAATGATTTTTAAATTTATTAACATTTTATGTTTAGCTACCTTCAACAACAAAAGTCGATCAGTTGGAACAACTTTATTATAGTCTTTTGGATATCGACTTGGAAGAAGAACAACCACCAGTTCATTTTCGTGTAGCGGAGAGGTCGGAAGATGGGGGTTGGATAGATATTGTCGATACTTTGGGTGTTTCCCTTCCCTCGGATTGTTTAGTTACTGAAAAGGTTTTCTTATCTAATAGTTTAAATGATGAATTTGTTTTTAGCCTGTTGAATTGTTTTGTCTGCCTCAGGCTGTGTTTCGTGTCAGGCCTGTTACAAGATGTATTGTGTTAATTTTTATTATGAATATTATTTTCTTTTTTAGGTGCTGCTTCATTGCCTGGTCATGGTTAGTATTAGAGATCGGACTTTTGAGGTTTCTTTAAATCGAGATTTTTGAACGAAATCTCTTCTTGTCCCGATCTCTAAGTATTTACTAATGGCATTTACAACTTTTTTCTTCTAGGTGAACCTTTAATCAGCGTGAAATTCAGTCCAAATGGGTCAACACTTGCTTCTGGTTCTGGCGACAAAACTGTAAATAAAAATGAAAATGCTTTTTTTATAATTAAGGTCCGCCTATGGGATACAAAATCACAACTTCCTCTTGTATATTTTTTTTAATTTTGTGCTTGTTTTATTTTAAATTTAGCAAACACTTACCGGTCACCAACATTGGGTATTATGTATTGCTTGGTCACATGATGGGAATAAAATTGCATCAGCTTGTAAACAAGGAATAGTTAGTTAAATATTTTATTGTGCTTTGTTAGAACAAAAATAATTTTTTGATTTTACTTTTTTATTAGATTCTTGTTTGGGAATATGACAGTGAGACCAACAAATTTCGATTATTCAAAAAGTTGACAGGTCATAAACAATGGATTAATGCGTAAATTCTCAAAAATTTTATTAATTACATTTTAAAACATTGAAGACTTGCGTGGCGTCCTCTTCATCTTGAAGCCCCTTCTAGGTCTTCTTGATTAAAATTATTTTTAATTATTCTGAATTTTAAAGATTGTTAGCAAGTGCAGGTCGAGATGCATCGATTCGTATTTGGGATATAATTAAATCACAAACTTTATTCGTGCTTAGCGGTGTCGGGACTGGCCCGACTTAATGATGTTTCATAATATTATATTTTTAATATTTTTTAACAAAATTCCAATTTCTATTTTTATTATTATTTCATAATCTTTCCGATGATTCTTTTCATGTTTCTTCCCAAATAATTCATATTTTTGATATTCCAACTTAATCATACTTTTAAAACAATTCTTGTTTTCACCCTTCTTTAAAAGCAAATTCTAATGCCCCAAAAATATCTTTTTCCTCTTCACTTTTAATTTTAAGAATAAAAATCTTCCCCCAAAAAAATTATTAAAACTTTTAAACTTTGAGAATAAATATTAAAATTTTACGTCTTTTCGAATTTATTTTAAGTCGAAATTTATTAATTTCGACAATTGGTGCCGCTAAATCGAACCTGCGAATAATTGCGAACCCGAAAGGGTAAAAATAATTCAAACTGCCTAATCGACGAGAGCGTAGCCCGATTAGAAGAAGAAGCCCTTTAAGAAGAAATAGAGAAAATTCTGAAAGATATCGGCCAAATTATCAAAGAAACAGGTCGTTTTATTTACATAGTGGTAGACAAATTAATTTCGATAGATATCCACAGAGTAGAAATTTTTCTAATACGTTTCGTGGGCGTGGTCGTGGTAATTTTAGAAATTTACGACAACAACAGCAGCAACCACAAATTGTGATACAAGTGCCACCGCAGCCACAGCAAATACAACATTTTCAAGAACATTTTCCACAAATTCCGCAACAGCAGAATTATTTACAACAACAACCAGGACCTTCAGCACAATATTATATTCCACCGCGATTAAATTACAACAATGGCAGCAGTTATTCAAGCTTCTATCCGCCCCATCAAGGAACGTTTGCGCCGCTACGTGGGAGAGGTGGAACAAGAGGATTTCAGCCTAGATGGGAATTTGCAAGGCGCTGAACGTCGCAGGCAATGTAATCTTTTAAAAGAAATGATAATTACACATATAGAAAAAATAAGTTGTTCGGTAAATGAGTTAGAGGGCCAAAATAAAATTTGGATGAATTGGTTAGGTGATATGGAAGACGAGCAATATCAAAGAGCAGCTAGAAATTTTACGGAATTTTCGGAAGGTCCAGAAGGCCATATGATTTTAATGGAAAGAGCCCGGGAACGATTAATACATCTAAGGGAAAACTTAAGAATTTTAAATGATTTTTGTCCATCCGAAAATGCGAACATTACTATAAGGAATCAGGGAAATCTAAATCAAACAATGGTTGAGTCAAATTTACCTACTCTCGAATTGCCAAAATTTAATGGGGATATAAGTAACTGGGAGGCATTTTATGAAGATTTCATGAGTATGATAGATGAAAAACAAATTTCGGATAAGATGAAACATTCCTATTTACGAAAAGCACTGAGAGGGGAAGCTGAGGAATTAGTTCAGGGCTACGCGATTACGGCACTCAATTATAGATTAGTTTTAGAGGTTTTAAAGGACCATTACGGTAATAAAAATATAACAAAAAGTGCGTTACACGGGGCATTAATAAAAATCCCGAGAAGCAGCAAATACGTCCCCGAGGTAAAAAATACTTTAAGAAAAATTGAGTGTATCCTTAGGCAACTTAAGCAATTAGGGGAAGATATTGAGCACGAACAAATAAAACAATTAATACAAAGAAAAATGCCTAAATGGATTTTAAAAGAGATAGTAAAAAGAACTAGGGCCGATCCTGAATGGAAAGTTGAGGCTATGTTAAAATTTTTAGATGAAATGATTCAATTAGAACAGCACGTATATTTGGCCCAAAAAGACTTAGATGAGATAGATGAGAATTTAAAAGGGCGTTTTAATGAAAATAGAAAAATAAATTCAGGCCGATTTCAACGTAATGGCAATGCGAATATAAGCCGAAATAATTATAATACAGGGTCAAAACAAATTTCTTCGGTAATGTATGCCCTCCAAGAAAAAGAAACTAAGAAAAAATGTATATTTTGTTCTGAGGCTCATTGGGAATCAAGATGCGAAAAATTTTCAACAAAAGAACAAAGGGCCGAAAAATGTCACGAATTAGGAATTTGTTTTAAATGCTTAGAATCGGGACATCTTTCAAAAAATTGTAGGGCAAAAATAAATTGTTTTTTCTGTAAAAAGCCCGGCCATAACACAGCATTTTGTCAGAAAATAAATAAAAATAATATAGTCAAAAGAAATGTCCCCAATCAATACACACAGAAATACAATTCAGCTAAAACCGAAATAAATAAACAAGTGTGCGTTGGAATAGAAAAAGAGACCAAAGAAGAAGGAATTGAAAATAAACAGTTTAATAGCCTAATAGAGCCAGATTTTGATAAAACACTAGAAATAATGCTTCCAACCACACAAGCAATAATAAGTCACCCCTCGCATCCTGAAAGGTATGAAAACATTCCAATCTTCTTAGATTCTGGGTGTCACATTTCGTTAATAGAAAATGAGATAGCAGAAAATTTAGGACTAATTCCGGTTAAGACACAAATTTTTAGAGGAAATGGTATATTTGGATGTAAAGTAAACAGAACCATGCCTATTTACCCGGTAGACCTACATTGCCTAGATGGAGAAATAATGAGAATTTTTGTAAGAGGGGCAGATAATGTTACCACAAGAATGTGCATTCAAACAAAAAGGGCCATTGAAGAAGCAATAAGTAAAAAATACGTTCCGAAAAACTCTCTTTTTGTTGAAAAACCAGGTATTTTATTAGGCTCTGACTACTTTGGAAAAATCTTTTTGGCTGAAAATACTGAAGCAGGCTTTGGAATATTTAATACAAAATTGGGAAAAATTTTATCCGGACCTGGAAAATTAATTGATGAAAAAATGCAAAAAGTAATTGGAGCGCTTTCTAAAGAAAATGAACAAAAGGAATTCCATAAATACTGGGAACTTGAAGGCATAGGTATCCACGAAAATCCAGTACAGAATGACGACAAAGTAGCCATGGAACACTTTCAAAAAACATGTACACGAGACTCAGATGGCCGATATGTAGTGAGCTGGCCATTAAAGGATGAAAATGTAAAAATAAAAAATAACTTTTGGGGAGCCATTTCAGTACTAAAGTCCGTGCATAAAAAGTTAATGGAAACAAAAAGATTAAATAAATACAATGAAATGATTATGACACAAATTAATGAGGGAATTTTAGAAATTATTGATAATGACGGTAAAGAAAATTCTACATTGTACATTCCTCACCATCCAGTGTATAATAAAGAAAAGGATAAATTAAGAATAGTTTTTAATGCTAGTTTTAAAACAAAAGGAAGCAATTCTTTAAATGATCTACTTTACAGAGGACCCGTGTTATTACCTGAATTAGTCGGATGCCTAATGCGTTTTAGAATGAGTAAAATTGTAGCTATAGCTGATGTTCAAAAGGCGTTCCATCAAATTGCGATTGCGGAAAATCAAAGAGATCTGACCCGGTGTTTTTGGCTAAAAGATATAGAGGGAGAAGTAGTGGAAAGTAATGTGATAAAATTAAGATTTAAAAGAATGGCATTCGGTGTTATAAGTGCACCTTTTCTTATGACGGCCTCTATTAATGATCATTTAGAAAAAACAAATACTAAGCTCTCTTTAGAATTAAAAAATGGGGGAATGTACGCAGATAATATATTTCTTTTTGCCAATTCAACACAAGAATTAAGGGACAAATGCGAACAATCCAAAGAAATATTTGCCCAAATTAAAATGAATTTACATGAATTTTTCTCTAACGATTTAAAAATAAATAAAGCATTTTCCGAACAGCACGAAAAGAAAATAATTAAGGTTTTGGGGATTAATTGGAATTTACAGGAGGATGAGATCTTTTTAGAATTAAGTAAAAATGAAAATTTAATAAATGAAAATATGATTTGGACCAAGAGAAAGGTGTTAAAACAACTAGCAAAGACATTTGACCCATTAGGCTATTTAATACCAGTCTCTCTCCCCAGAAAATTAATAATGCAGGAAATTTGGAAAAATGACATCGATTGGGATGAGAAACTTAGTCCTGAATTAAATAAAAAATGGAATGAATTAATGCAACAAAATAATGAAGAAAATATGAGTTTAAAAATAAAAAGAGAAACATTTTCACCGGAAGAAGAAATCGAAATACATATTTTTGTGGATGCGTCAAAGGATGCTTATTGCGCCGCAGCCTATTTGAAATGTGGAGAAAATATAAAAATAATTTTAGCAAAAAATCGACTTTCACCGTTAAAAAATAATTTGACCATACCTAGACTTGAACTTTTAGCAGCAGTTGCGGGTAAGAGACTAGTGGAATATATAAAGAATCAAATAAAAACTCCTTTCAAAAATGTGTATGTTTGGTCAGATAGTAAATGCATTCTCTATTGGATAATTTCGAGCAAATTAGAAAAATTGCCAAAATTTGTAAGGCGAAGATTGGAAGAAATTAGGGGCCAAAAAGAAATTATATGGAGATATGTTCCAACTCAAAATAACCCGGCCGATTTGGGAACCCGGGGTTGCACCATGGAAGAATTAAAAAATAATAAACTTTGGTGGGAGGGCCCAAGCTTTTTGAAGGATATGAACCAATGGCCTCCTATAGAAATGAAAGCTGAGGAAGAAAGTCAAGATGAAAATGAATTAGATAAATTAATGGCTTGTGTTTTAATGGGAGAAATTAATTTAAAAGTTAGAAACAAATGGGATGAATTAGTAACAATAGCCACATATTTTTTAAAATTTATTACAAAAATTGGAAAGAGAATTGATTTAAAAAGTGAAATTTTATGCGCTTTCAAAAATGCTGAATCAGAAGCGAAAGAAAGAAAAATAGCGCAACTATATTTATTAAGGCAGGCGCAATTGGAATTCCCACCCGATAAAAAGACACAAATTGATTATTTATTAAAGCAAGATAAGTATTCCCTTTGGAAATGTTGGGGGAGACTAGAAAATTCTGCAAGTACCCCACCAATATGGATGCCAAAAGAGTCGAAAATAGCCGAATTAATTTGCATGGAGGCCCACAGAAAATGTTTACATAGTGGATTAAGAGCCTCATTGGCCGAGTTACGTGAAAAATTTTGGATCACCAAAGGAAGAGCTTTTATGAAAAAAGTTATAGAAAAATGTGAATATTGTTCTAGATTAAAATTAAAAGCATTTGAAATTCCCCCAATGGCTCCATTACCGAAAGAAAGAGTAAATAAATCTAATCCATTTCAATTTTGTGGCATAGACTATTTTGGCCCATACAATATTCGAAAAGCAAATAAAGAAATCGGAAAAATTTATGTTGTTATTTTTGTTTGTGAATCGACACGGGCCATACATTTGGAAATGGTCAATGACCTTACAGCTAATAATTGTATAATGGCTTTACGCCGATTTTTTGCTGAATATGGGAAACCCACAAAAATTCTTTCTGATAATGGGACCCAACTAAAATTAACATCAAAAGTTGTAAAAGAAATAACAAAGTTCTCAACAAAAGAAACTATTGAATGGACATTTATCCCGTCTCTTTCTCCTCGATTTGGTGCATTTTATGAGCGAATTATTGGAATAGTAAAACCAGCAATGAAAGCTGCGACTGGTAAACGATTATTAGAGTCTGAAGAATTCCGAACGCTTTTGGCTGAAGTAAAAAAGGTAGTCAATTCTAGGCCTCTGACTTATGTGTACAATGAACCAGGGGATAATGTCGAAGTTCTTACCCCAATGAAAGCAATTCAACCTAATCGAAATAAAGAAAACTTTGATATAGATTTTGAAAGAGAAAGAAGTTGTGAAAGAGAGAAACCAGAAGAAAAATTAACCCGCATATGGAAAAATTCTAGAGAAGCGGTTGAAATGTTTTGGAAGCGTTGGAATAAAGAGTACTTGCAATATCTACGCGAGCGGGCCGACAAATACAAACACAATAAAGGAAAAAATTATGTCCCTGAAAAGGGAGAAATTGTTCTTTTACAGGATAAATCATTGCCAAAAAATTTATGGAATTTAGCCAAAATAATTGAAACAATAAAAGGAAAAGACAATATTGTAAGAGTAGCCAAAGTTCTATGTAAAGGAAAAATATTAACTAGGGCCATAGATTTGTTGTATCCACTCGAACTTAAGGCCGAATGCGAAGAAAAAATAATTGATAAAAATCAAAAAATAGGGACTAAAATGCACGAAATGAAATTAAGGACTAGAAAAAAGATAAATTATAAAGAGAGCGATTTAGAAAGTGACGTGTCAAGTGAAATAGAAATGAATCTTTGCCCATTCCTTTACGAAAGACGAAATTTCACCCCGCCAAAAATTGAAAGAATTGATCCAAATAAAAATAGAATATTTACAAATAAACAAAAATTTAATTGGGAAAAAGAAGGGCAGAGTTTAGCTAGTAAAATACAAGAGGAAATAAAAGAGATACCCGAAATTGAAAGTAAATTGGAGTCAATAACTGAAGAAATATATGGGATAAAAAATAAAATAAATTTAATTGAACCATTAAAAGAGGAAATAAATAAATTAAAATTGGAAAATAATAATTTAAAACAAGATTATGACAATTTAAAAATATTAGCGGAAAGAAACAGAAATGATATGAATAGGTTAATTGCGGATATTTATAAGTCGCCAGAAAAGATGAATACAAAATGCCAAAACTCGAAAAAACAAAATTCCCGCAAAAATTCAAAAAATAAATTCCTGAACACTTCTGTCTTTTTAATGTCTCTGGTACTAATTCTTTTTATATTAATGGGGAGAAGCGTTGGAGCACCGTGCCAAAAAGGACAAAGGAATGTTTTAGTCAAGTCGCAAACGTGCGCAACCAACGGGTTAAAAATAATGAAAGCACCCGATGGGAATTTTTGTTGGGAAATAATTAATTGTGATTATTCTAAAAAGGAACATTTTGAGTCTGAAAACTGTAATGTACCTTGTAAATGCCCACAATGGACCGAAACATGTTCCTTTTATAATGGCCCCAGTACTAAAAATTCAACAATAAAAAATAAAAATGTTCAAAAGATTTTGGAAAGTTTGGCTTTAGAAAAATGTGAGAAAATTGAAAATTGTGGGCCCCTAAAATTAATAGAAGTGAATCAAATACAATTATTTGACAATTCTCTCCATATAATAAAGGAAATGAAAATTGAAGAAAAACAAGCACTACCCGAAGAATATGAATGTATAGGAACCGGACCCATTACAGGCTCCCCTAAATATTGTTTAGACCATATCTGTGAGCTACATGGAACAAAATTTTGTTATTACCCAGGAAATGAAATTTCTCTCCTAGTAAATGATAATGGAAATATAGCTTTGAAGGCTTGGGGTCGTGTAAAAATAAAAGTTAGGGGATTTCTTGAAAGAAAAGAAAATTTAAAATGTGAAAAATGTCATGTTGAATGTCACAAAGAGGGAGTAAAAATATTTTCACAAGAAGAGATAGGAAGTGTAGAGATATGTGTAAAAAATGATCGATGCGCGCTCTTTCCCCACCCAAAATTGGAAGAATTAATTCCATTATCAAAAGAAATATTGGTTTCAAATTATGAAATTAAAATTAAATTTTGGAGATACGGAGAATTAGTAAAAGAATCTGGGATAAATTGTGAAGCTAAAGTAATTTGTGAAATTATAAAATGTAATATTTGTATAGAATTGCTTAAAAATCCACAATGTGCTTCAAAAACTGCTATAATATTGTTCGCAATAATTTTCTATATATTCTTTTCAATAATAATGACTGTTTTTCGTGTGATTGTGTTTGGATTCAGAGGGGCATTTTGCTTATTAAATTTTAAATTTCGATTAATGCGATGGATTTATAGAAAATATAATATAAAGAGTAATCGGGGCAAAAATGAGGAAAGTGAACTAAAATTAATAAAAGCCAAAAGGGAAATAAATCCGATAAAATTAACAATAGTATTAATATTTTTGACCATTCCCGAAAGTCTTCAATTAACCACTATTACCGCTCAGGAAGAAAAATGTGTTGTAAATAAAAATAAAGAGCGGACATGCTTATTTGAAAAAGTGATTGAGTTAAATTTTCTACCTAGGGAACAAGAAATCAAAATATTATTTGAGGATCACGCTAACAGACCAGCAGGAATGATAAATTTAAAAATATTAAACGCGGAAGCACGCTGCGCAAAGAAAACAAAATTTTTTACAAGAGAATATGAAATGAATGTAATGAGTGTTAAGAGATGCCCAGAAACAGGAAGTTGTAAAGGTAATAAATGCGCGGAAATTAAAGTAAATGAAACAATATTAGAATTAGAAGCAGTCCAAAACTTTCCGGGGATTACAGGTTGTGTCGAAGGTATGAATAATTGGCCAATGACAGGATGTTTCTATGCTACAGCTCCATGCACTTTTTATAGGTACTATGCAAAACCTATAGGAAACGAAATTTTTGAAGTCTTTGAATGTGAAAAGTGGGATATCGCATTAAACTTAAATGTTTCATTAACTAAAAATGACGGAAAGGGAGAATTTATAAGCGAAAGTTTTGAAGTAAATTTAATACCCCAATTTATGAAAGAATGGAATAAATTAAAAATGGTTTTAAATGATTTAAACATCCCTCCCACTCCTACACTAGTCAAACCTTTTATAGCCAATAATCGCGCTACAGCCATTATCGATTTTGAAAAAGAGCATAATCTTAGGAAATTTTATTGTAAAACAGCGCAAGAGGCGAGAGAATTTATAAAATGTAGTATAGCGTATAAAACCTGCGATTGCCATTTGGCCAACGATATAGCCGCGTGTACTTGTCAAGATGGGAGAAAAATATCCCAATTATTAAGAGGGGACCAAACTTTACCCTTTGAACACAACGGTCTCGTTTTTAAAACAAAAAACTCTGAAGTAATTTTTAATCCTGACCTAGCTTCCGCAAAAATGGAAGTTAGAATTGAAGGAATGTTTTTGCGCACAGAAATTGAATTAAATAGTTGTAAAGTCCAATCCGCGTCAATAGAAGGCTGTTACAAATGCGTTAGAGGGGCAATATTAACATTACAATGCAAAACAGATTTTGGGAAAAACCTAGGGTATATAACATGTCCTAGCTTAAAAACTGTTGTGATTTGTGATCCTAAAGGAACCAAGAGAATTATTTCAGTCCATTTAGAACATTCTAATATCGATGAAAATTGTGAAATCCATTGTCCCAGTTCAAACTTTAATTTTCAGTTAGTTGGAACATTAGCCCTGGCGAGCGCGGAGAAAGCAGATATTTGGATAAAAACAAAAACAAATGAAACAAAATTCGGAGAAATAAATTTACCGAGCATATTGGACACGCTTTCTTTCTTTTTTAACCCTCTGCACATCTTAATTTTTATTGCAACAATAATTTCCTTACTTCTACTAATCAACTGCATCCTACCAATACTCTTTCGCTTAATTCTAATTTCTGTCTACAAATTTTGTTTCCGCCGGAGTGTCGGGACTGGCCCGACTTAATGATGTTTCATAATATTATATTTTTAATATTTTTTAACAAAATTCCAATTTCTATTTTTATTATTATTTCATAATCTTTCCGATGATTCTTTTCATGTTTCTTCCCAAATAATTCATATTTTTGATATTCCAACTTAATCATACTTTTAAAACAATTCTTGTTTTCACCCTTCTTTAAAAGCAAATTCTAATGCCCCAAAAATATCTTTTTCCTCTTCACTTTTAATTTTAAGAATAAAAATCTTCCCCCAAAAAAATTATTAAAACTTTTAAACTTTGAGAATAAATATTAAAATTTTACGTCTTTTCGAATTTATTTTAAGTCGAAATTTATTAATTTCGACAGCGGTCACACTGCTTCTGTCAGTGCTTTAAAATTATATTTGGAAATTTTATTTTTTAAGGTAACAGATATTCGATGGAGTGGAAATGATTTAATATATTCTGGATCGCAGGTAATTTCCAATCAAAAAACTCATTTTTATTTAATAATTAAAGGATAGAACAATAAAAGTTTGGAGAACGAATGATGGTGTATTGTGTCGAACACTTGAAGGCCATGCTCATTGGATAAATACGTTAGCTTCAAATGTTGATTATGTTTTACGTATTGGATCATTTTCACCTGAAGAGGATAGTAAACAAAAACAAATATCAATTTCAAACACTCAGCCTGGGGAAGTATGCAACAATTTTAATAGAAATAACTAGAAATTTTTCTATTTTTAGGCACAAAAAATCGCAAAAAAACAATATGAAAAAATGTTGAACTGTCACCCCGAAAGACTAGTCTCCGGTTCAGATGATTTTACTGTATGGAGGGAGATATAAATTTAAAATTTATATTTTTCTAGTTATTTCTATGGGAGCCTGCCATTAAAAAACAGCCAATTGCCAGACTTACTGGTCACCAACAATTAATTAATCAGGTTCAGTTTTCACCTGATGGGCGTACAATTGCTTCTGCCTCTTTTGACAAATCAATAAAACTTTGGGATGGGTGGACCGGTAAATTTCAAACTTCGTTACGAGGTCATGTGGGGCCTGTTTATCAAATTGCTTGGTCATCTGACAGTCGACTTCTAGTTTCTGGTTCAGCAGATTCAACACTAAAGGTAGATTTAATGTTTTTAGTCTCCATTTATTGAATATTTTCTTATCATAGGTTTGGAACATGCAAAAAAGAAAACTAGGGCAAGATTTGCCTGGGCATGGTGACGAGGTGTTTGCAGTAGATTGGAGCCCAAATAGTGAATGCGTGGCAAGCGGTGGAAAAGATAAAGTGCTTAAACTATGGAAAAGATAATTTTAAATGAATTTGTTAAGTTTGTAAATGTTTATTTAAATAAAATTCAACAAATAACAAAAAAGGAATCATATTTCTCTCAAATTGAAAAATAAATCAAGATTGCCAGGAAACTTGAGATGATCAGCTTTCCATTTCCTCCGTTTTAGTTTCCTTCTTTTCCTTTTTCACTTTCTTTGATGCTCTATATTCAGCAACAACCACAGCGTGATCACGTTCGTAAGGTTCAAGTGTCACCTAAAATTCAAAACATTACCCTCCTATAAATTCCATACCTGTTCAATCGGTTTAAACTGTTCTTCGCGTAATTTGTTCACTTCCCCAGCAAAAACTGCCTCTGGTTCAGCAGTGCTGTCAACACAATTTGCTTTTATTGAGATCACAACATGTCCATTATTTTTCAAAAATTTGTGTGCATTATGAGCCACAATTCTTGCTTGATCAGGTTGTGCAACATCAGAAAAGATTGTATCAACAATCCCTACCTAAAATAAAAATTATAAAATAAATAAAAATTTATTTTCACCATCATTGCATATTTGTGTGGGTGTCGAGCATCATCCACGATTGGAACAACATTTGGTCGTTTTTTGGCCATTCCCAAAAGATCACGACCACTCCTGTGTGAAAATTCCACGGCATAAACAATTCCATCCTGAATAATTTAAATTTAAAAATATTTTCCTTAAAATTTCTTTTTTACCGGTCCAACAATATCAGAAACGTGCGAAACAGAAGTACCAGAAGCAGCACCCAAATAAAGAACTCGAGCACCAGGAAAGATGTGTGCATCTTCAACTCCTGCCATTATAGCGGCTGCCAATTTAGAACGGAAAGGATTCCAAACGCGATATTCTGTTGTTGTTTTTTGTTCATCTTTTTTTAATATTAAATTATTTTTTCTAATAAAACAAATAAATTTACCAGTATCATTTGAGTGTTCGTTTTGAATAGAGACTCGTTTTTCTCCATAAACTGACTCACCAGGCACCATATTTTTTGTTACTAAAGCATCTTCTTTGCCTTTTACAATGAAAACTCCTAAATTTTTAAATAAATATAATTATTTTAATTAAAAAAAAAGAAACCTTTTAAACGGTGAGGTTCAATAATTACTTTCTTTCCTCCTTTCATTCCACTACCGCCTCTTCCTCCGCGGCCTCCTGCTCCTCTTCCGCGTGGAGAACCACGAGGACTTCCACGGAAGCTTCCGCCACCTCCACTTGATCGTCTATCACCACTACCAAATCCATTCATTTGTCCCCCTCCTCTTCCACCACGGAAGCCTCCACCACCTCCCCCTCTTCCTCCACCACGACCACGAAAACCTCCTCCACCGCCGCCATCACCTCTAGGACGAAAACCTGAAAATTATTTATTGCTAGACTAACTCAAATATATCAAACTAACCTCCACCACCTCCTCGACCACCTCCACCACCGCGAGACATAAATCCTGGACGACCCATTTCTTTTTGTTTCTTTATTATATTCTTTTAAGACTGTTCAAAAGAAATTTAAAAAAGATTAAATAATTATAAACAAAAAAAACAATTCGGAAATAAACCGAAAATTAAAAAATATTTTTAATAATATTTTACTGTCAGAAAAGAAATCAAAATTGTGGTTTGGGCTTTGTAATTTCTTTAGAAACTTCCAATTTTGGAGGCGGAGGCTTAAAATTAGCTCCTCTAAATTTCTCAAGTTTTTTCTCCTTTTTCTTCATAAATTCTCTCCAAGAACCCCGTCTTTCATCTCGACTTTCTTCATAATTCTTCCTATATTCTTCTTCTAATTGACGTTTCTCAGAAGCTGTTTGTACAGCTTCAGCCAGACGACGTTTTTCATCATTAGCCCTTTCCTCCAACATTTTTCGTTTCTTTTCTCTGTCAGCAAAACACTAAAAATACAAAAAAAAACATTCAAAAAATATAATTTTAAAACATACTTTTGTAACAGTTACCCACAAAGCTCGTGCATATCCTGCTGGAGTATCTTCCTCAACTGTGTCAGGCCTTCCTTCCTTTAAAAAAAATAAAATTAAAAATTAATCTATACAATTTATAAACTTTTCGCAATTTTCGTTTCTTTTCACTAATTTGCACAGCCAATCGAGCTTTTGCCTCCTCATACATTTCTCTACATCGCGCTACTTCATCAGGATCTTCAAGCAACGATAAAGCTTTTTTCAAAGCATCAAAAGCCCTTTCTGCCCGTTCTCGATTGTCAGGATTTTTGTCGGGGTGAATAAGCAAAGAAAGTTTTTTATATTTTTTTCTGGCATCGTCAACATTCGATTCAGGTTCAAGTTGCAATACTTCAAACGGATTTAAGTTCAAATAAGTAGAACCTGGGCGAAGAATTCGATCAATTTGTTGCTCAGACGTAAGATTGGCATCACGCTTCTCAGTAAACTTTAAATCACTATAAAATTGTTCAAAATAGTCCATTCCTCCTTAAATCTTTGAAAATAAATTTGTTAATTGGAAAGTGAATTGTAAACGGGAAATTTTTATTTTTAGAAACGTCAGAAATTTTATGATACCAAGATTTTTGAGAATTCCAGAACCTATGAGCAGTTTGTCTTGCGTTACTGCTTGCAGAATCAATAAAATACTGGGCCCTATCTGAAATGAGGTGCGTAATCATATTTTTTCTCCTTCTTTTCACAAGGTAAAAAGGGTCATTTTTTCCTTAGTATTTAATTTGTGTTGATTTTTCCTTAAGGAAAAATAATGCAGGAGGACTAACTTTTTACATTTTCTTTTCTGCCCGTGTCGTCTGTCCGTGTTCGTCCGAGTTCGTCCTTGTTTGGTACAGACAAAATTCGGACGAGCAAGGACAGACAGAACACGGACAGAAAAACTCGGACGAAGACGGACAGACAAAACACGGACGAAAACGGACAGACAAAACACAGACCGAAAAAAACACGGACGAAACGGACAGACAAAACACGGACGAAGACGGACATATACACGTACCAAACAAGGACGAACACGGAAAGACAACACGGGCACAGAAAAGAAAATGTAAAAAGTTAGTCCGGCTACCCTACAACTCATCGAATCCTTAACTCATCGAATCGACCAAAAACGCTCAACTCATCGAATCGGCTAAAATTCCTTAACTCATCGAATCGGCCAAAAACACTCAACTCATCGAATCCATAACTCATCGAATCCTCATTCGATGAGTTATGCCTTGTGAAAAGAAGGAGAAAAAATATGATTACGCACCTCATTTCAGATAGAGCCAAATACTGCAAGTCAATACTTCAACAAACAAACTCGCTCAGTTGCTCGGACTCACAATCAGTTGGCGGCGTTTATCTGACCCAAATCGGTTTCGTTTGGGTCACTATAGTGCCGCTAATAGAGTGCCGATACCTTTTACCATAATCATTTTCTGAAATTTTGGGTGCCGTGTGATTTGGGCAGTGGTGAATTGGGCAGTGAGTTAATTGGGCAGTGAGTAATTTGGGCAGTGAGTGATATGGGCAGTGAGTGATTTGGGCAGTAAACGTTTTTAAAAAAATGATTTTACACACAAAAACAACTTGAGTAACAATGATTTGGGCAGTAACTTAAAATTTTTAAAATTATAAACACACAAAAATTCAAGGTACCGTGTCCAAATTTTTTCATTTGCCAACCTTCACCGTTGTGGGAACAATATTACCATTTGTCGTAATTATTTTGGCCCAATTTCTGACGTTTCCCTAACTGTTAATTAGATTTAAGCTACTAAAAATTGACAAATAAGTTCCTATTCCAAGTTTTTAGGTCTCAAAATAGGTCAAAAATATCTGAAAAAGGAAAATATCTGAAAATTCTGGTTCTGTTGGTTTTCAAGTGTTACTCAAGTTGTTTTTGTGTGTAAAATTTTTTTTTAAAAACGTTTACTGCCCATATCACTCATTGCTCATATCGCTCACTGCCCAAATTACTCACTGCCCAATTAACTCACTGCCCAATTCACCACTGCCGTTTTCACCAGACACGAAATTTTGTTCCAATTTTTATCCAAAAATTAATAATTAACAATAAATACAATTCTTTTAAATTTATAATTTTCATTTTTAGATGAGATCAAGAGCCTCAAGCCAAAATTTACAACAAAAAACGTTAAATTCAGAATCAAATACGCCATTAAAAGAACCAAAACAAGAACCACCAACAAATTTTAATGATTCTCTTTGTTCCCCTTCTGATATTTCAACAAATGTTTGTTACTGGTTATTTTTTATTTTTGTTAAATTTTAAATTAAATTTTTTAAAGTAATGGAGAGCGCAAACTTGGAGGTTTGGAAGTACAATGTTCTGGGTGTAAAAGATGGTTTCATCAAGAATGTTTCAAAGATTTAGAAAATTTGTTCGTTTAACAAAAATTTCCTTTTCTAATTTTAATTTTAAAGTGGTGGTCTTCCATTTATGGTTTCCTATATGTTTTGTTGTAGGGGTTGTTCACCTGAAAACAAGGAGAAATGGAATATTCGAAGCACAAGTAAATTAATTAAAAAATAAAGTAAAGAAGGTTTGGTTAATGGCTCTGGTACTCACCTCTCCCCCTTCAAACTATCCTAAACACGTTTTTGACATTAAATGAACTAATAACAGACTCTCATTTAACGACTAGTTGAGTGGGTCAAGTATTTTTGTGAAAATATCAAATTTATTTTTTCAGGTTATTCTTCAATGGCTGTAATGGCATTAGCTAACATGACACTTGAATATTTTATAAAACAATATGGCCTTTCAAACATTTCTTCAATCAAAGGCCCTAATCCTTTCTTTTCAATTGATCAAGAAATTGTGCAATATATGGACAAAAATTGGGTAGAATTTTTTTCTATAATTTTTTCTTAAATTAAAAATAAACAGGAATATTTATCAACAACGCCAAAACGTCAAAAGAAAACTTGGCACCAAACAATTTTGAAAATTTTACAAAAAGAAACTGAACTTTTTGTACAAGATTCTAAGGGTTGTTCTTTTGCTTTGAAAGAAAAAGATCTTTTACGGATTGGTCCAATGCATGAATCTATTTTACAGGTTTTTTATTTTCTTATAGAATTTATTATTTTTTAAAGATATTTAAAAGAGGCAGAGATGCTGCAGAAAGAGAAGCAAATTCTTTACAAATTTCTGAACAACAAATTTATCATTCATTAAATTTAGAAAATTTTAGTGAAGGGCCAAAAACAAGAGGAGCAAGTAAAAGAAAAGCAGCTACTTCAAATAATGGAGAAGGATTGGATACAAAAATTAATTTAAATATTCCTTTACAGAAAAAAGCAAAAATGTAAAAACTTTTAAAAATAAATTTATTTAAAAAATAATTTTTAGGGCTTCTGAATTTGCAACAGTTACAATTAATGGACAATCAGGAATTGATTTTCCATTTAATAGAGAAGGATATCGTTATTATTTGGTAGAAAAAGATCCAAATATTTTAAATAGGTTTTTAATTTAATTTGAAAATAAAAATTATTTTTTAGAGATCGTTTTGACAGAGAAGAAGTAAATAATACTAGAGCTGTCCAAATCCCTTCACATATTCACAGAATTGTTGTATGTTGTTTGTTTTTAATTTAATTTTTAAAAATAGTTTTTAGATTCCCCAAATAGTAACACTTTCACCAAATGATAGAGCTAATCAAGTTTGGGAATTTTTTTTGAAAAATTTAAAAAAGAAATATTTTTAAGTTAATTTTGGATGCAGACAATTTAACTTTAACTGGATGTGATGGTTAGAATAGAATAATTTTTAAATAAATATTTTTTGTTATTTAAAGGTTATTCTTCTGTTAGGGCAACACATTCTGTTGGTCATGGAAAGTGGTATTTTGAGGTAAATTTGAAAAAAAAAACTTTTTTTATTCTAAAAAAACTTTTTTAATTTCCTTCTTTTTGTTAACAGATGGAATTTTTAAGTCAACCCGGAGATTCACATGTTCGTGTTGGATGGGCCCAAGCTTTTTGTAAATATTATTTTAATAAAAAATAATTTTCTCTTTTGTTTTTTAGCTCCATTACAAGCTTGTATTGGATATTCTAAATTTAGTTATAGCTGGAGAAGTAAACGAGGAACTGTTTTTAATGATGGTAAATGGGGGGTGGGGGTATGATATTTTTCGAGAACGATTCTAAATTTGGTCCTTTTGATATTCAGAAGTTTAACTGTAGTAACAAAATTCTCGATATTTCGAAACGAAAATTAAGAGATGATTAAAAAATTATTTTTTAAAGGTTATGGTCGGAGGTATTATCAACGAGGATTTAAACAGGGAGACACTATCGGTAATTGTTTAATGTTAAATAATTTATTTTTTAAAATTTCAAAAAAGGTTGTTTAATTGATTTACCTTCCTTGAATGTTGAAAAAGCTAATAATGTTGCCACAACAATCAAAATTTCAGATATTTTACCTCCTTCGTGGAAAGATTGTGATTTAATTAAATTTAAACAAAATTATTTTTTTGAAGAAAAAGAAGAAATACAACAAGAAATTCAAAAATTACAGCTTCTTCCAAATTCTAAAGTAAAAAATAAATGTAAATATAAATAATTATTTTAAATATAGATTGAATTTTTTCTAAATGGGCAAAGTTGTGGAGTAGCTTTTCAAAATATATTTACTGGCCATTACTTTCCCGCCGTTTCTTTATTTCATTCTGCACGTGTTCGACTAAATTTTGGACCAATTTTTCGAAGAATTCCAGAATGTGTCAAAAATGGTAATGTTAAACCAATGAGTGAAAGACCTAATCAAATGCAAATAGAACAAGTTTTGGCTGATATTTTATATATGGTTGTTAATGAAGAAGAATTAAATAGAAGGAATGTAGATTTTTTCAATGCAATTTTAATGAAAGAAAAGGTTTAACATAAAGCACTAATACTTTTTAATAAAAATTAGGTTATCGAATTCAAATATTTTTTTGATTAAATTTTATTTCAAAATAAAAAGAATTAATGGGATAAAGGATTTTTAGAGTATTTAGATATCAAAAACTTAGAAAATTCCTGACATTCCAATCTCATCAACCGTCCTTTATGCTTTCTTTCTTTAATTTAAATTGTGTAACAGTTCAAAGTTAAAGAAGAAACAAAATATGAAAACAATTCTCAAATTTTTAATTATTTCGAACACCCAATGTGCATTCCAATTCAAAGCGTTTTTGTTGCACTTTTCCATATCTAGATTATGAAAAATTAAATATAATATTAGTTTATAAGAATATACATATAACGATAGACGCCTTCTTGCGTATCCGGTTGCAAATATTTTTCTACTCGACGTTCTAATTCATTATCATTAATAGAAGCTCCGGCCAAAGTCTAGAACAAAAGAAATTATGAAAAATTTAAAAAAAACTAACTCTAAGATCGTTGCTTTGTGAAATTAACCAATCTTGAACAAATTGTTGAGGATTTTCAGAAAACCCAGCAAAAAAATCTCTTTTATGTTTTAATTCATTTATATTATCAACAATTTCGTGAATCTTTTAAAAATGCAGAAATATTTTTTTAGCTTAATTAAAATAAACCTTTTGATCGTAAGCCATTATGTCTTGATAATTTGAGTTTGACTGAAGAAATGTTGATTGTAATTGCTTAACAGGATCATCTAATTCAACATCAATCTATTTAAAAAATATTTGATTTTTAGCAAAACCTCAAAATTTAAAAAAGTTTGGAACTGCCGAAAATTTTCGGAAATTTTTCAATGTCGGAACTATGAGAACTCACACTTCGATTGGGCTAATAAACTGTAATAGAGCTACGTCTACTTAAAAAATGCTGAAGTTAGTGAAACAAATGTATCTTCAAAATACTTGAGGGTTTTATTTTTTTAAATTTCACTTCAAAGAATTTTCAGATTGAAAAAAAAATAAACTTACATCATAACAAGCAGTATTTTTATTATCACTAACAGAAGACCCATCCCATTTGATAACGTGATGAATTACTAATGGATCTGGTTGCTGTAATAATTGCTGCAATCGTTGAGGGACTTCCATAAAACGCATTTTTGTGCAGTTAAAAACTTGTTCAAGGTAATGATCACAATTAATTACATCATGATCTGTAGCATCCTGAAAATTAAAAAAAATAATAATTTATTTAAAAATTAAAAACTTGAAGTTTATGTGTTTTAATATATTGCCAAAGAGCCTCAATTATACGCATACGTGATTCTACAGAAATTCCCAATAATTTAGCCAATCGTGGATGTAATTTAAATTTCATAGGTTGGTGATCAAGAAGTAAAAGAATTGTACATTTTACATCCATATTTCCTGGACGTTTAACCTTTAAATAAATCTCAATTAATTTAAAAAAGTTGAAATCCATTCACTTGAAATCCATCTGTCTCCCCAGTTTGCGGTGTGCGATGCCACTCAACCAGATGATTGTCTGGACCATATATATTTTTATCCAATTCAATAACCAAACTTTTGAAAAAAGAACTAAATTTGCGTTTATGTTGGATAATAAGCGATGAATTTGCGCAGGTTGATGTTCCTCTCTGAACGGCTGTGAGTGGAGGAGGAACAGCTGTCGAAGAAGAGGCCGAAGATGAAAAGGAACCTCCACTTCGACCTAAAGCTGGAATTGATGAAACAGAAGTATTGAAAGAAGCAGCAGAATTTTGTGGGATTGAAGGAGTTTCATCTAGAAGGCGACCTTCAACACGTAATTCCCACATTGGAATAATGCCTTCATCACCTTCATGCTTTAAAATAAAAATCCTGTTACTAAAGACTTATTAATGAATCACTATATTTACAATTACCTTAAAATATTTATGAACAAACCTCGGGTTCTTTTCCATGGATAAATGAATGTGAAACATAAATACGAAGTTTGCGCTTTATCTTCAACGGACGTTTAAGTGCTTCTTGAATTTCTAAACGTTTTCTTGCTATAAGGGCGTCCAACTTTTGCTCATAAGTTAACAAACATGAGTAAGCGTCTGCCTCTGGAACTAGCTGACGAATCTTAGAATAAAAGAATTTAAAAATCTGAAAAGATCGACAATCATACTTCAGGCATAATTACTCTGTCAACCAGACGGCGCCTTTTCCGCGTGCCTGAAAGAAAATTTGACATTTGTTGACGTCCAGATTGCTGTGTTAATTGTGCTTGTTGAAAAATTGGGCGGCGAGGAAAATTTGTTTGTGGTTGTTGACTACCATTAACATATCGTGTTTGTTGTGGCGTAGAAGGATTTTGTTGTTGAGTAGCAGAAGGTCTATGCATTTTATAAAGTTTAGAAGGAAGTCTCTGAATGTAAAAAACAATTTATGTACTACTGAATTTTTGCATTTTTATTGTCGCAAATAAAACATTAGACGAAATGTAATATTTCTCAGTGGTTGACACTTTTAAATTAGATATTTTGTAATAATTGCATCTATGAAAAATCAAATTGTCAAATGTCCTAATTGTTCGGGATTCGACTTTTCCGGTAAGGTTAAAATTGAAGTTTATTTTTTTTTGTATTTTTTTGTTTATCAAGAGTTGTAAACTCGCATTTCTATTTAGTAAAATATCACAAATAATATATTTTAAATTTAGATAAATATTTAAATATAATTATAATGAGTGAGATGAAGCCGGTGGATTCAGGAGATATTGGAAATACAATTAAAGTTAATAAAGATTGAAATAATTATTGAAATAATAAATTTTAGAAACTTCAATCATCAACTGCTTCTCTTGTCAAAACAAGTAATCAAATGCCATTAATTGGTGATGGTTTTGAATTATATGCTACATTTCCTCAATTTAACCAATTTATGCATACTCAAAGAAATAGAATAATTAATGTGTATGTTTTTATTTTAATTTGTAAAAATTTATTTTCTTTTAGTTTACGTAAAATTTCAAGCGAAGCTGGACTTAAATCATTAAAAATAAATGATAGTTCTTTGGAGGATATTACACAAATTATTTCCGTCAATGACAGACTTGTAGATAATATTGTTTGTTTTTTTAAATTTTTTTGAAAACAAAAATATTTTTTCTAGGTTCGTAATTTTGATGAACATGAGGCAAAATTAAACGAGGATAGGGTCAACGTTCGAAGAATTGATTTAGGTGCAGAATGCATTTCCGGCGCTACAGCAACATCCTCTGAAGGAAATACTCATATTTCATCTAAAATTATTAGACGAACTTACAATCAATTTGAAAAGCAAATTAATGTTAAAGTGGTAATTTGTTCTTTTCCGTTATCCTCACCAGTTTTTGAATGTACTTAAAATTTTACGTGTCTTTTGGAAATTTTTTTAAAGTAATTCCTTCTGCTTTTTTTATTTTTATAAAAACCATTATTTTTTTAATTTTTTAGCCTGAACAGTCAAAGGACTATAAAGAACTTTTAAATGGTCGGCAACTAAATAATCGACAAATATTTGCTTTGGAGCAACTTTGGAGATGGCGTGAAGTGACCGCTAAAGAGCATGATAAATCTTTTTATTATGTTTTGCCTGATCATATGATGTTAAAAATTGCTGAGGTTTTTTGAAATTTTTTTAAAAAATAAATATTTTTATTTAAAAGGTATTGCCTCGGGAACAAAGTGGGATTTTGGCTTGTTGTGCTCCAGTTCCGCGTTTGGTTCGACATGAATTGGAATCACTTGCAAGGTTATCTTTTAAAAACAAAAGTTAATATTTCTAAGAATTTTGTTATTTAGAATATTAAAAATAGCGAGAGAACTTCCACTAGAACAAACAACAATTAACAACAATTTAAATAATTTATCTAAACAAACCGGAATTGATGAATTTAGTAAATTAAATAATTGTGTAAATGGATTAAAAGCAAAACTTGAATATCGTTTTGATATAAGTAAATATTTATATAATGAAGAAGAAAAAAATAAAAGAAATTTGGAATTCGATAAAAATAAATTAAAAGAAAATGATGAAGGAGGGGAAAAAGAAATTAAAAATAATGAAGGGAAAGAATTACGTCGAATATTACTTTCTGGGAATATGGAAGAGTTGGAAACTAAAAAGTATTTAAAAATTAATAATTATTTTTTCTAAAATATTTTTCTTTAAAGTTCTAATTCTTGTAAGGAAAAGGCATTAAATATTCAAGAATATTTGGAGCAACAATGGGCTAGTCCTTATGAGACTTATTTGGTTGCTATGAGGGTAATTTTAATTTTTGAAAAATAAATTATTGTTTTAACTTTTAGGATTCTGAAAATAAAAAAATAGAAAATGAAACTAAATTTATTCAAAAACAAACAACAATTAATAAAAATAAAAGAGAATATTCACATTTAGATGAAAATAAAGAAGAAGAGGAGGATATACAAATTATTGAAGAAAAGAAAATAAAAATTGAAAATAAAATTGTTGGTTTGGATGAAGATGAAGAAATTAAAGAAGAACGTGAATTCTTTGCTGATCCAGCAAATTTGACTAAAAAAGCCAAAAAGAAATTATTTCAAAAGGTTTGAATATATTTTTTGAAATTAATTTTTAATTAATTTAGTTACGGAAATCTGCTGACATTCAATTGAGTTAAGAAATTGAGAGTATATAAATGTTATTTATAATTTTTTGGATAATTTCCTTATTTAAATTAGATACTCTTTAAAATTGTTAAAATTAAAATATTTTAAAAAATTAAAAGAATAAAAAAATATTTAAAAATTTTGTTAAATATTCTTTTATAAACAAATCTTTGTTTGGTAATTTTCAAGCTGTATTATTTATAAATACATATCTATTAAGGGGGGGGGGGTTTAATTAATTGAATAATTCTTCAGTCTTTTTTATATTTGTCTATAATGTCATTCAAAAAATATAATAATTGGGTTGGCCAAAATATACACAGAAGTACTAAAATATGCATTAAGAATATCCGAATTAACATAAAAAGTTGTTAAGCTTCTTTCTTCAAAGCGTATCCGCATATAAGAACATGCACATTTAAGTAGTTGTTAATTGAAATGAAAATATACTATTTTGAACAACTCAACACAATTTCTCTTTCCTTCCTTTTTTCAATTTGGAGGATAAATAAAAAGCTGGAAATTATTATTGCACTTCATTTCTTTCCAAACAACCTCTGAAAGAGAAAATCGATTGTTGCGCTGCAACTCTAAATGCTTGACTGACTGACGTATTTTTATTATATACATATTTTTAAGGATGTTCTTTTCTAATTTTTAGACAATTTTTATTTAAAAAATGAATAATTATTTAAAAATATTACTGTCAATTTTTTATTTAATTATTTTATTTAATAAAATAAAATCATCGAAAGATAGTAGTAACGAAGATTTAGAGACTTCCAATTCCTTCGACGGACCTATTCAAATAGTGGAAAAGGAAGAAAGAATTTCACCTCAATTATCTCATCAAGAGGACAATAATTTAAATGAAATTGAAAATAAAGGTAAGAAAAGAACTTTTAAATGGAAAAAGATTAATTTTTTAGATGAAATGAAGCAAAATTTCTCAATTAAAGACAATAGATTAAATAAATCAAAGGAACACAATTCTTCCAAAATAAATAAATTTTCTTTTATATTATTTATTTTTCCAATTTATATTTTATTTAAAATTTAATTTCCAAAAAATTAAAAGAAATTATTTTTATTATTTAAAAAAACGTTGATTGATGTAACAAACAAAATCTGTGAGCAGTTACAACTTTTTTTTTAAAATATGTCAAAGAATTGTCATTCCTCTTGTTTAAATAAGCACAGAAGAGATCATCAAGCCAAATACTAAAAAAGAAAAAAGAATTTCAAAACAAAATTCCTTAAAAAATAACCTCGTATGAGTCACGCTCATTTTCACCACGTTTTAAATATTCCTTTTCAATTAACATATCAATACATTTCTTAACTAAAGGCACCTAAAAATATTTTTATTTTTTTAAATTTAAAAGCTTTCAAAATTACCTTTGGCTGAAATCGAGCAGTTAATTGGTTAAGTACTTCTCCAACTAATTGTTGATGTTTTAAAGTCTTTCGCATCTTCATTATACGTACAATTGCAGCCTATTTAATTTAAAAAAATATTTTTTAAAAAATTTTAAAAATTTACTTGAATAACAATTTTTCTATCTTCATCAACACATTTCTGTACTTCTTCATTATCCTTCTTCTGTTCTTTTGCTGAAACCATTGCTCGAATTAAATCAACTTTAAGTTTTTTACTAAATTAAAAAAAAGAATTAAAATTATTTCCTTTTAATTCCCACTTTGTAAATCCATTATTTAATTGTAATTCTTTATCATCATTTTTATTATCAGCTTCATCAGTACTTGATTTTTTTGACGGGACAGATTTATCATTCCCACTAACATTTAAAAGTAATCCAACTTTAAGTAAAGAATGCAAAGCTGGAATTAATTGGTCTTTTGGTAATTTTAAAATAGTTTCCAAATCAGATTGTTTATAAACATTTCTTTCATTAAAAAGCATTAATAAAGAAATTTGTTGAGTATTACACTAGAAAAATAATTTAAAAATAAAACTTTAAAAATTACAATAAATGTATATTTATTTGCAAAAGTTCCACTTGTCGAAATTACTTCACCACGAGACATTTGCAAAACCCAATTTAATTTTCGACCTGTGTATTTTCCAGAATAATATCTCGTAAAATCTAAAATAAAACTTTTTTTTAAATTAAAATAATTATTTAAACCTTCAATACAATTCATTAACGGAGAGGGAATCTCAAATAAAATTGGTTGAGTAAGAGGCCAAACATTAGACATAACGACAATAACCGAAAAATCAACCTCCCGTCTTGTAGCTTGCTAAATAAGTTAAAATTAATTTAAATTCAATTTCATGAAGAACCTTTCTAAAAATGTCAGAATTGTCTCTACTCAATGCAACATCAGTCAAAAGTCGCTCCAATTTACTTGTATATTCAAATCCACACATATGTTTAAGTTTAGCAATCATTGAACTTTAAAATTATTTAAATTTTAATTAAAAAATAATTTGAAAACCGCTCAGCTTCCTCACTAGCACTTGCTTCTGTAACAAGACGTTTACAAAGCATTTTATGGAAAAATGCCTGAAACATATCTTTATCTTCAATATATTTAAAAACAGTCATCTGAAAAAATAAAGAGATAATTTCTGTCAAAAATATTTCCCAAACTAACCACTTGCTCCAAATATTCATCCATTCTTTCATCTTCAACATTCTTTGCATTTTTACGCAACAATTGATCGCAATATAAAACCAAAAGTTGTGGAGATTTCGAAGCACTTTTTGCCAAACGAGTAATTTCATTTTCATTAACAAAACGAGTAAATGCTCTATCCATTGCCTCAACAAATCCATGGTCTAATTTAAATGCTTTATTAGCCAAATTATTATAAACATCATAAAGTTGAAGAATTGTTGTTATATAATATTTTGGGTCCTAAAACAAAAATTTTTAAATTTTTTATCAAAATATTTCTCATACACTCATTGCATTTTGAGCAATTTGTTCAATAGCAGCACGCCCCTCTCTCGTAATGTATATCTCAAGTATCTGCTTCAACTTATCTAAAGCACCAGTGACACGGTGGCAAAGATCATACATTCGTCCCAAATGCTCACATTGTCGTTGACTGAGAAGTGCTTCAAATTCATTATGAAATCTAAATAAATAATTCCTTTTTAAAGAATTTTAAGATAAATAAATACAATTCCAAATGATTGCAAATAAGAGCGTCGTCACAAACTTTAAGTAGAGAATCTAAAGTTGTGTAGTCCAAATAAAGTTGACAACGATCACGTTCTTCGTTAAGACGTTCACCAACCTATAAAACTGGTAATAATGTTTGATTTACGAGAAAAACCTTTTTCATATATTCTGGAACACTATAACTTTGAAGAAAAGTTGTAGATTCTGTTGTATAATAGTTAAGAGTTTCCTCCAAGAGTCGTTTGACAAAATGTTCCCGATATACTTGGTACTTCACACCAGGTCTAGTCATGTTAGGTTGAAGGCCAGCAGATTGAGAGTTGGCGCCGTCATCATTACCTGATCCAACGGTTTCTCTCTCATTAATCCCCAATTCAACTTAAATTCATTATTGAAAATTAATTTTAAAAATATAATTCACTCACTATATGACTCGACAACTCCTTTAATAAGTTTAGTTTGAATCATTTCCCCATTTCGATCTTGTTCAATCAGCGCTAGAGCTGCAGAAGTAACATTATGATGAAGATCAGTAAATATAACTTGCTTCCAAATATTAATTGCCATCTTGAATATTTACAAATTAAATGAAGATAAAATAAAATTTCACATTATAAACTTCAAAAATTCCCAATTTGCCTTCATCAATTTCACGACGAATCCAATGTCGGTTAAGATAAGAGAAGATTCCATTCACTACAGTCGAACCGAATCGATAGTTTGTCCATATTTTTGTATAATGTTGAAGCAAAGAATCACCATAAAGATTGATAAGAGTCTAAGAAAAAACAAGATTTTAAGAGTAATTCTAAATAAAAACCATGCGGAGTGATTGTGCATATTTTGTAATAAAAATGTTAAGTTCATTGTAAAGCTCCGAGCCAACAAAACTAGTTTGCATCTGAGTGATTGAAGTGCCGCGCCTTGAAGTCTCGGTTGGAACATGTGAAGAACTGCAAAAATTGAACACATGCCTGAAAATAAAATTTGACTGTAGTATAGTAGACCGGTGGAAAGGTTTCGATACAAGGCATGCCATTCGATTTGTCTCGGCGAGCTGAGTCGAATGGTACCACTCCCTGGATGCGGAAACGTCTGTGGACCGAGATACAGGCCCCGAAAATCGAAAAACCATAGGGGGGAGTAAGCACAATTTTGGGATATTTGAATATGCAAATACCTCATTCGAAAGAGCCTTGAATCGAAATGGTATATGCCTTGTATCAAAAACTTTCTAACGGTATATATCTTTGAAATTGAAAAAATAACGTACGTATATAATTCCATATAACGATGTGGCGGCATTCTTTCATCACCAGCGTAAATGCTTTCAAGGCCAGATGCCAAATCATTCCAAAGCTCATTCTGAAGTTTTTTGTCCTTAACTGACGACATTTTTCTCTTAATAGAAGAAGAAAAAGTAACGAAATGAAAAATCTTTAAAAATAATCAATCACTGAAAAGTATTATTTATGACATAAAATAAAAGAAATCAGCCGAACGGATAAAAATTGTGATTAAAAATTTAATCTTTTAAATATTTATATTTTTAAAATTTATAAAACGAAAGATTTTGAAAATATCAATAAGGTAACAAGAAGAAAAAAGACGAAAGGTTAATGAATTATCAAAATTACGGTAGTCTACAACGGCTCCTTTGAATCGGCTCTTCGAAGAAAAGCCGATTCAGAGGAACTTTTCTGTAACGTTCCCTGCCCTCAAAATTAAAAGTGTCCGGTAAATTTTTTCTGATCCGGGAATTTGAAATTTTTAAATAAGTATAATGCTTCTGGGTTGCAACTATTTTGCTACGGATAATTAAAAGTCTATAATCAAAATCCTATTAAAATATAGATTGTTTTTATCAGTTGCATATAATTCAAAATTTAAAATATATCTTACTAAAATGAGTGATGCGGCCTTACTAAGCAAATTTACAAAGCTCTCAATTGGTGGAATGGGTAAGTTAATTAAATATTTTATTTAAAAATTATATTTAAGTTCCAATTGAACGGAGTGGACAGCGAATTTATTCAGATCATGATTTTATTTATCTTATTGGGGGATATAATCCCAATCCACCACGCACTCTGTTACCTTCTTTTTTAATTTAAAAAATATTTGAAAATTTAGTTCTGATGCATGGCGATTTAATCGACTTACTCACAAATGGCAAAAATGTGAATTAGCTGATCCTGCTAATCCGTTGCCTGATACTTTAGCTTCTTTTTCATGTAATTTTTTAAATAATAGATTTTTTATTTTAAAAGTTTTTAGTAGTATCACGCGGCCAGTCTTCAAATTTTGGTTGTTCTTCTAATGAGGCATACATTTTTGGTGGTACAAAAGTGCCCTTCGGTGGAAATTCAAACACCAATCGACTTTATTGGATTAAAATTGACCGCGATGGTAAAATCCATTTAAAGGTATTTTTTATTTTAGCGAGATTAATTTTTTGTTTATTTTGAGCTTCAATCTGTTAGTGGGCTGTTGTCACTCCCAAAGATTTATGGACAAGGAATGTGTCGGTGCATTGAAAAACGTGCGAAAGGGCAAACTTTTGAAGTACTTTATATTATTGGTGGAACTGATGGACACGAGTTTGTTTTTTTTTCTCTCTTAATTTTTAATAAATTATTTTAAGATACACAATGGATGTTTATCGCCTTCAACGTGATATTTCTGCATCCAATGATGAAAGCTGGGAATTAGCGATACTTAATGTAAATTTCATTGAAAATAACTTAATTTTTCTAGCAATTATTAGGAGCGAAATATTGATGAAGATGGTCGTTACCGATTAGAAGTTGTTCCCTTTCAAAATTTTTTGGTAACTTTTGGTGGTTCAATTTCAAATCAATTTATTTTCAAACTTGATGTTCTTACTGTTTTTGATCTTGAAATGAGACGATTTGAGAAAATCCAAACAAAACCTGACCCTGTTTATGGATTTCCTGAAGAAAGAAGTTGTCATTCTATTGTACACCGAGAAGATTTTGTTTATTTAATTGGAGGATATGGAACAGAAATGGTGATAAATCTTTTATAAACGATTATTTTGGTGTCGTGTGATTTCGACACAAGTGAATTGGGCAGTGAGTTTAATGACAGTGAGTGATTTGGGCAGTAAATTTTGGAAAGTTGAAATTAAAAATTTCCAAAAGTAGCTGGGTGATTTATTTCCCAAATCACTACTGCCGATATAACTCCTGCCCAAATCCTTCACTGATTAAATCACTAGACAAAATTATTTTTTAGAATGCTTTCTCTGCGGTTTGGCGTTTTAATCTTCAAAATTTTGAATGGAGAAAAATCGAAGAACATAACCGGTTGCCTGTGCCAGTTTATTTTCACGCTTCAACGCTAACACCGGTTAGTATTATTTTTATTAAATTTTTGTTTATTTTTAAAGGATGGGTGTATTTTTGTATTTGGTGGCGTTGAAAGGCAAAATACACAAGAACGTCGCGAAAGAAGAGTAAATGATTTACAAAGAATGTGGCTTCAACCACCTTCTCTTAGTTATTTCGCATCAATAAGTCTTTTACGTGATGTGCCAGATCGTCAACTTTTACGTTTAACAAATGAATGTGTTAGATGTAGTGACATGTCAGTTTTTTTTCTTTTTGATAATTTTTGATTTAATTTACTTAAATATTTAAAAAAATATCTTAAAATAAAATTATTTTAAAAATATTTTGAACAGTTTTAAGATCCCCGTTATTGGGCGTCATTGGCGCGATGGTTTAACAGAAGGATTAATTGGTGATGATTTTCCAATACAACCACCTGAATGTATTTTGTTATAGATTTGTTTTTTAAACGAAAATTGTTTGCTCAAGATCTCATTTTGAGAAGAATGTTTTTTATTTCTTGTAAAATTTTTTTGGTAAAATGTGAACTTTTTTATGACTCAACCTTATATTTATTAAAATAATTTTTTGAATATTATTTATTTTTTAAGGATTTTTTTATTAAATTTATATAAAATTAAAATAATTTTATAATGCATTTTGTTAAAAAGAATCAAGTAAGTGAAGTTGAAAAAAGTGCTTACGAGAAGAAGAGAGCGGCAAAATTGGAACGTTTTGTTCAAATGAAGAGCAGAATCTTTGAAAAAAGAGAAATTGGTTTTTTAATTAATTTTAATTATTAAAAAATATTTTTACTTTAAGGTGAATATGATGAAGAAATTATGGAATTAACGGCAGAACTTTTAGGGAAGCATGCAGATATTTATACATTTTGGAATATTAGAAGAGAAGCTATTGAACAGATTTCTGTGGTTTTTATTTTTTGGTTTATTAAAAAATTTTTTTAGAAATTAGAAGGTGAATTGGAAGAAGAGAATATTGAACGAAAATCAAAATTACTAGATAAAGAATTGAAGTTGACACAGGAATGTTTAATGAAAAACCCAAAATCTTATTCTAGTTGGCATCATCGTTTTTTAGTTGTAAGTCAACATCCTAAAATTAATTATAAAGAAGAATTGGCACTTTGTGATAATGCTTTGGCATTAGATTGTCGAAACTTTCATTGTTGGGGTAAATTGTTTAAATTGTAAATTTCATTTGACATTGAGTTTTGCAGATCATAGACGTTCTGTTGCCAAATTGGCTAAACTAAATGATATGGATGAATTAAGGTTAGTCATTAAAGTTTTTTCAACTCCCCAGGCTTTGTTTAAAAATTTCTTTGAAAAATTTGCTTTATCTAAATTTATTTTTAGTTTCTCTGATCGATTAATTGGCAAAAATCCAAGTAACTATTCAGCGTGGCATTATAGAGGTACTTTGTTGCCCAAACTTGAAGAAAACCGCCGGGAAAATTCTGAGAACCGACTAATGACTGATGAATGTCTGAAAGGAGAATTCGAGGTTTAATTTTATCTTAAAATTAAATTTTTCTCTAATGTAAGAAAGTTCTCCACGTTTGTGGTGTTAATTCCGAGGATCAAACTGCCTGGACATATTGTCGTTGGCTTGTTGAATTGGCAACAAATGGATGTAAAAATTTTTTTCTTAAAATAAATAATCCTCTTTTTAGTGCCAGTTTCACCACAAGTTGTTGCAGCAAAATTTTTAGATTCAACAACAGTTCTTGTTGTATTTTCTGAAGCAGTTAACAAACAAATGGTTAAAAATACTTTTTTGTTTGATGATTCTAAATTGATAAAATTTGAATCGGTTAATTTTTTTAATTTTTATTTTTTTTAAATTTATTTTTAGATTTCTCCATTTAAAACTTCTAATTATGTATCAGAATTTAAATATTCTCGTGTTTGGTTATTATCAAATATTTCTAATCCATTATTAATTTCTACATTAAATGAAGAAGGAAAGAATGACAGCGAAATAAAGCAAATTAATGTTGATAAAATTTTTATAAATAAATTTTATTTTCAAGAGGTTTGTTAATATTTTTTAAAATAAATTTTGTTAATTTTTTAAAGAAGTTTTCTTCATCGGCCGTCAAAATAAGAGAATTGCCTAAAAAATGTTTGAATGATTTAGTTAAATTGTGTAATGATTTAATACCTGTTGAAGACAATCCGGTAAGTTTTGTTAGATTATATTCAGTCAAATCCCCACTTGTATACACCCAATGTCAGATGGCCAACTCTAGAGTTTAAATTATCCCAAAAGTTAATCCACAAAAGGTCATGTTACTTTAAGGGTCAATTCCAAAATCTAAAATTAAAATGCTGTTTCGTTTTTCGTTTACATTTCGATTTAATTGAAAACAAGATGAACAACCCCAATGGTCGGGTCTGACTATATTTAAAATTTTAGTGGGCACTTGCTGCACTTACTCGAGCGACGTTTCTTCTAGAAGGAAATAATAAACAAACATTTGAATTAGCTAAAGATAATTGTGACAAATTAAAGGTAATAACTAATTCAAAAGCAAATTTTTAATTCTTTAGAAAATTGATTCTCAACGATCTAAAATGTATGAGGAATTAATGGATAAATATCGTTTAATTAAATCATTAAATGAAGAATTTTCTTCTGGCGGAACTCGGCTGAGCAAATTAATTGAAGGAAATGAACAACTAAATTTGAAAGAGATCGGATTAATAAGGTTTATTTTTCTGAGAATATATTTATTATTTTTCAATTTTCACAGTTTCGACAATATTTCTCTTCTCTCAGCTTTTATATCTGACTTAAATTTGATTGACAGTTTCAAATTAAACACATTTGCGTTCACTTAAATTTTAAATTTAGTATTTTAAAACATATTTTTCAATTCTTAAAAAATTATCTAGTTATTTATTGATATTAATATATCACCCATATCCCACATTTGAGTCAATCAAAATGAAGTAAGAGCTCAACAGAAAATTCCCGAAATCGATAATATGTTTTTAAGCAGGATCCCCTAGTGATATACATATCAATAAAGAACACTAATTATCCTAATTTATCTTACACAAATTTTCCTTTATTGTTTTCTTGAAAAAGTGAGATAAACATATAAAGGCTTTTAAATATAAAATTCAAAAACAATTAAACAAAAACTAAAAAGGCCATTTTAACAACGAGTTTTCACTTCTTTTTGAACGTGAAGCATCTCTTCTAATTTGTTTTGCAAAATCACTGACATATTCGCGCACAGAAGGATCTACAGCTTCTTCTTTTGATAAATTGACTGCTCTTTCCGCGTAATCGATAGCCATTTCTTTTTCACCGGTATGAAATAAAGCTTCAGAATAGCAGCAATAGTAGGAGAGTAAAATATTTCTATAAAATAATCTTTGATAATTAATTGGTAAAAATTTGCTGATATTCTAAAAATAAGAATCCCAAAAGTAAATAAGGAACAGAAAACTCAAAAAATTTAAATTCTAAATAATAAATAACGACTTCTTGCTTGTGAAACCAATGAAATTAAAAAATATGTATTTTTAAATTTTACTCATTTTCTGGCTGTACCAATATTCTCCCAATTCCCATTTCTAAATAATCTCGAGCAATTTTGAATCTAAAAAATTAAATGATTTTAAATTAAACGGCACTTGAGTAGATTGAGGGGCTACAAACTTTTTAAATTTTGATATATAATTCTGTTATATACCTAGTAAATTTTAGAGTTTGTTATATACAAAAATATGCAGAAAACAATATATCAGAAAAATATCCATCAAAACCCCCCCCCCCAGTCTACACAAAATTTCAATAAATATAAATTACTGATTTTTAAGTATACATCTCCCAGAAAATGTAACAATTATATTTAATGCATGAGAGGAATTAACACCATATATTTTATATGAAATCTACAAAAATTTTTAAATATTTTTTTAAATTTTTTTAAAATTAAAAACCTTTAAAGCTTCATTTATATATTCTTTTGCTTCATCCAACCTTTCCGGATAAAAATCAACCTAAAAATTAATTAAAATATCTTTAAAAAATTTTTTTAACCAAAAAGAGTCCATATTCGTGAAAACACATTCCAAGAAGGGCAAACTAAAAATTTAAAAAAAATTTATAAAACAAAGAAAAACCGGTTCAGTAAAATCAAGCCCAATTTCATCCATCGGATTCTTTTAAATAAATTAATTTAAAAAATATTTTAATTTAAAAAAAAACTTTTAATTCAATATGTGCCCCATGTGCTATATAAAATTTTCCCAAAGCTTTATCTGATTCTTCTATTTGCTTTTTTAAACAATGTTTATAGCCAATATCTGCAGAAACAGCGTCTCCTTTCTTTGCAAAAATTTCTGCTAATTTTAAAGAAATTCCAATAAATTCTGGGGAAGATTCTGTTTTTTGATGAATTGTTATTAATCTATTTTTTAAAAATATTTTGTGGTTAAAAAAAAAGAAAAAAACCTGTGAATAACTAATCTAAATAAATTTTCAGCTTTTTCAAAATCTGTAGATTCATAAAAAGTATTTGCTAATTCATCATATATTCTTGTTATATATTTTTGATTTCCCAATTCTTGTGCTTCTTTTAATGCTTTATTTAATTCCTTTTAAAAATTTTAATTTTTAATGGAAAATTGTAAAGGAAAAAAGATTTAAATGGAGTTAAAACACCTTAAACAGGGGGTTTTATAAAAAGAATTAAAGTCCCCAAGCAAAATAAACTGTCAAAAAATAAACGTTTAATTCCATCCGGCCAGGGCCGTAACCAGGGAAAAAATTGGCGCCAAAAATTCGGCCCCTCCCGAAAAAATCCTGGTTACGGCCCTGGATCCGGTGACTAAACTTTTGGCTTGACAACCTATTTACAACTATAACTCTACCTTTTAAAAATATTCCTTTTTCCCCTTAAATTAAAAAAATAATTTATATTAACCTCAACAGCATTATCATAACGTTTATATTTTCTATGTAACATTGCCCACTTTACTTTATCCTTTAATGGATCATCGTCTAATTTTTTCCAATCTTCCCATCCAAAAATACCAAAAAAAGTAAATGCCCACATTCCTCTCCAAATTTTAAATTTTTTATAATTTTGTTTTTGATCAAAATATTCTTTATTTTCCAAATATTTTGAAGAAAAAAATAAATTATTTTCAATTTGTGGAGCAATTTTAACAACAAAATTGTTTAAAAATTTTCTACAAAAATTATTAAAAAAATAAAAACAATTAAATTTTTTACCTTGTAATAATTAATTGAAACCGATAATTATTTAAATAAATATTAAATGGAAGATTATAACCAAAACGATTTATTATTAACATATCTAGTATATAAATAAATTAATTAAAAAGAAAATTTAAAAATAAATATTGAAGAAAAAAATTTCTTTTAATTTTTTTAAAAATAAATAAAATCAAAAATAAATTTATTTAAATATTAAACAAAAATTTTTTTAATTTTTAACTAAAAATTTCTTTTGGAGAAAAGCTAGCCCCACAAGAACATCCATTTGTTGCCTTTGGATTATCCTAAAAATTAAACAAAAAAAATTAAAAAAAATTAAAAAACCAACAATTATTCGAAAAGCTGCTCTCATTAAATCTTCTGAATAATCCAATTTTGATCCACGAATAAATTCAAGAGAAATCTATTTTTATTAAATTTTTTAAATTAAATTTAAAATTACCTACTTTATCTATAACAACACTAGCCCCATTAGAAAATTTAATAATTTCATCTTCCTTTTCATTTATTTCTTTATCCAAAATCATTTTATATTCAAAACCAGAACAACCACCAGAATCTACACTTATTCGTAAATTTTCTCCAGGCGATGAAACTTTTCCTAGCTTTAAATTTAATTTAAATAAAAAAATTAAAAAAAATATTTACTTGATTTATTGCTTTTTCTGTAACTATTAAAAAATTATCTTTTGAAGAAGAAGATGATGAAGGAAAATAAAAATTTAATAAATTTACTCGATTTCTAATTAATGGCCGTAACATTAAAGCTTGGCGAGAAATCATTTTTTGAAGAAAATAGATAAAATTTTTATTTTGCACTTTTTGTTAAGTACAAATTCGTCTTATTACCATTTTGTCACTTTTAATTGTTAGAGACGCAGAGACGGAAACAAACTACTCTAGCATGTAGCAGTCACATTTCATTTCTTGTCCAGATTCAATTAGGCCAGTCATTTGGGTTTTTTAATCCCGTCCCGGACTGAACCCTCCAGACAAAGCCAAATAATTCATAAAGCCAATTCATTTGGGCAATCTGTCCATGGGCAATTTGTCCTCTCGCTGGTAAACATACACTGCGGTGCATATGTTTATGCACACTTGTTTTTTGTTCATAAGTTTATGCACACTTATTCAAAAAATAAGTTCTATATAGTAATCGAAAGGGTAATTCCAAGGCTGGTCCCCCCCCTTTTTTTCTGTTCGCCTGACCATTTTGAGATTTTTTGCTTGACATATAATTTACAATATATCATTCGAAAGAGCTGTTCGAGCTGAGTAGAATGATACTATGATCGGATAGATTTGTCGATTTTCAACCAAATTATGAAGCTAAATCCTTGATGGACATGCTTTTTGTGATATTTAAAGAGATTAAAACAAATAGTCATAACTATGTTTATTTAAGTCGGATTTCGATGAATTTAGTACCGTTCTACTCAGCTTGAAGAGCTCTTTCGAATGATATATAAAATGTCATAAAAAGTTTAAAAAATCGAAAAAAAATTGAAAGGAAAAAAAGGGGGGGGGGGGACCAGCCTTGGAATTACCATCGAAAGCTCTATTTGTATCTCAGTTGACATGTTTTTGCATTTTTCGAAATTCTGATATTTTCGACAAATTTTCGACCGGTCTAACAGGTACTACATTTTCAACTTTTCGGAAAAATTTTTTTGAAGTCTGTAAAAAATGTATGTGATTCACCTCTAGATTCTACATACAATACAAAAAAATCATCCAAATCGGTCGAGATTCGACCGAGTTATGAATTTTTAAAAATCGAAAAAACGCGATTTTTTGACGAAAAATGGCAAAAATATGGTGTTTTTTCGATTTTCAAAGATTCATAACTCGGTCGAATCTCGACCGATTTGGATGATTTTTTTGTATTGTATGTAGAATCTAGAGGTGAATCACATACATTTTTTACAGACTTCAAAAAAATTTTTCCGAAAAGTTGAAAATGTAGTACCTGTTAGACCGGTCGAAAATTTGTCGAAAATATCAGAATTTCGAAAAATGCAAAAACATGTCAACTGAGATACAAATAGAGCTTTCGATTACTATATAGAACTTATTTTTTGAATAAGTGTGCATAAACTTATGAACAAAAAACAAGTGTGCATAAACATATGCACCGCAGTGTATACATATACGAGAAGAAAACTAACTGCAAACAGAATAGACCAAAAGTATGTATGAGATCTCATAATCTCTAAAAAGCGTGTCCGCACATTTTGCTAATACTATATTTTGCCAATAAATACAAAATTCTTAGTTTTTAGTTTATTTATTCACTAAAAAGCGTATAAAAAGGTCACTTGCATTCAGATAAAAATTGAAAACAAAGCATATACATATTAAAGTCATAAATAAAATAAAAAAACTTGTTCTTGATTTTGTTCTTTTTTGGTTTTCCAGCCGTCTTTTCAAATAATTTTTAGTTGACCGAGTCCATTCTGGATTCGAAGCCTTTGTCAATTTAAGTTTGGAAATTTAATTATATGTATGTATAATTTTAACACAAAAATTGATAAAAAATTTTTTGAAAAATCTGAAAATTTTGAGTCCAGCACGGAATCATTGTAAACTCTGCCGGAGTTATCGAAAAATAAAATTAAGAATTTTTCTTCTTTTATTCAAGTGTCGGTCCTCAAACCTATTGGCAATTTAAGTTTGGAAATTTAATTTAATATAGTAGACAATTTTTGGGGTAACTGTGGTGTAGAGGAGGCCAGCAGCGCATCAAAATGCTTTCAGTCATCAACGGGTTGGGATTGATTCCTCCAATTCTTTCTCTTAAATATGTGTTTGTGTGGGAGCGGAAGAATAAATTATTGTGTTAGTTTGTTTTTGGTGACTTCTGCCTTAGGTAGAAGAAAAGGATGCGTGTTGGGATATGTAGAATATGAAGTGGGCTTTCATCTTTCTCTATCAACACATAATATATAGCCTGCTTGGTCTTTTTACTTTTCCACACAATCTGCTCTCATTTCTATGCTCTTTTAAGTAATATTCGACGATCGACCGATGGACACCAAAATATGCACTACTCAATAAGAATCTTTAAGCAATTGAAAGTGAAACAGCCATTTCCACTCCGACTCTTTGTCATGCTTATTGTTGCAATAGAGTGGTGCTTTAGGGACTTTTGGATGAAACGACAAAACAAGCGGATGAATATCTGATAAAAAACAATTAATCGATCTCTTCTACCAATAATGATTTTGCCCCGACTTTTTCTTCTTTTCAGACTCTCAAAGGGTTGCAAAGAGAAGAATACAGCTCAAGCGCAGCATATGTAGTATAGCGATAGTGTACCCGCGTTACAATTATTGGGGCAAGAAAAGTGTGCGAATGAGCAACCGTTGTCGCCGATTTTTTCTTTCATTGAACTCTTCCTTTTCTCACTTATACTGTGTATGTTGCTACACCACCCTCCTTCCTTTTTACATCATTGACTGTTTTTATTTCCTATTGGCTTGAGTAAACCGCAGCGTTTTTCAATGTACTACCAATTAATTTGGCTATGTATGATTTTCTCTTTACAGCTCACGTTAATTTCAACTACCAAAAAAATAATATTTATTTTGTTAAAATTGTTGAAACAAACAATAATTGTTTATATTTATTTTCAGATTACCAATCAATAAAAATCTTTTATTATAAAATTTTAAAAAATTGGAAAATAAAACTTCTATTTTTATCGGGCTTTTGAGTCCTTTCATTCTTTATATTTTTATCATTAAAAGAAAAAATTAAACAACTTGTTGAGATCTTCCAACAGTTATTTATGTTAATTAAATGTTTTTTACTAGTTCAAAGACGTAACATTTACGTCCGAAAATGAGTAACGGCTCAGTTTCACCAGGAAGCAGCATTCCAACAACCTCACTTGAAGATTGTTCTACAAATATATTTCAAATTGTATTTATTTTTTTTTTACAATTTTTTTCCAACTTATTTTCAATAATTTTTATAAATAAATACATAAACAAACATTTTAAGGCCGAAATCAATGGACTAAAATGGTGTTGCTTTACATCAAATTTTTCTTCCAATTCTCCAACTCTAAAGCTAAAATTAACTTCAAGTGCTGACGTTATTGGCACTGACAATTCTGATCCAGTCTTACGAGCCTATATTGATTGTTTGGAAGCTAATTTGCTTTGCACATGGAGACGGAGGTATAAATAAATAAAATTATTTGAGCTAGAAAAAGAGGAAATTAATATTTTTAGACCTCCTGTAGCCAGCACATTAGCTGCATTTGATAATCCAATACCACGTCCTGATGCCCAGAAAGAACTTTGGATTTTTTGGTACACGTCCGAGGAGCCAAAATTGGTTGAAGATTTTAAATTACGAGGATTGAATGGTTAATATTTCGAAATGTTTTTAACAAATAATTGTAATTATTTTTAGTTGTCACTCACAGTGAGTCGACAGATGCTGATGCTCCTCGTGTTGAGTTTGAGTATGAAACACGGACACTATTTTTCAAATCATTAAATAGTGCAATAGAGCGGAGACTTTTATCGGAGGTTAATATTATGTCTAGTAATTTATAAAATAGTTTTTTTAATATTTAGGGGTTTGTTCGTTTTGGACGTTGGCTTTGTAGACCTTTAGAATTGAGCTCTTTATATGCTGAAGATAAACACACAATACCCAAGTAATTTTTCAAATATTTATTTTTTTAATTTTCTAAAAGATTCATGAATGCCATCCGTTTTCATTATTTTTTACATCGTGATTCTCTTGTCTGTGCCAGCATTGTTGTCCAAAGACAACCAGCAATCCTTCGCCTTTCTCAGTGCCATTTCAAAGAAGCAACACAATTTGCACAGCCTGTCATTTTGGGTAAATAATTGTTTTAACGTATAAAATTAAAATACTATTTACCTTTTTAATAGCTCCTTGGTCAATACGCGCTCAATTATTGCCAAATCAACAGGATTTATTGGGTGATTTTGACACAGGGAAAACTTCTGTTATTCCAAGTCCAAACGATGAGGAAGGTTTACTTTTTAATTTAAATTTTTTATTTATGGTTTAAGGTCCTTCATTTCTTTCCTCAACCCTTTCTCCTGAAAAAAATGATGGTGGTGGAACTTATCCAAAGAGACGATTGAGTCAACTTGTTGAATCCCATTGGAAGGAATGGAAACGAATTTATCCATCGTTGGAATTATTGACAACAAATTCTAACGGAAATAAATCAACTAATGCTGCTAATAATAAAAGGAGAACAAGTAGTGGTGTCATTTCTTCTAGGTATTTGAAAAACATATAAAATAAACTCTTACTTAATTAATAAAGGAGTAATTCACTTTCATCAATTCCTCGAATGGTTGTAATTCAGTTGGGTGGACAATTCGTTTTATACCCCAGTGCTTTTGTTGGAATTTTGGTTGATGAATTGATTTGCCCTTTGCCATTTAAAACAACAAAAAGTACTTCAAAAACAGATGAGGCTACGTGCAGTGATATTTTAGTGGACAATATTCCTGATCAATCTGAGAAATCCTCTAAATCTTTTTCTTCTAGAAAATCTGGTTAATTTAAATTTTTTAAAAGAAAAATTTGAACTTTAGACTTTCAAACTTCAAAAATACGAAGGCATATTCATACTGGCCTTTCTGCAGCAAGAGCCTCTTATGGTTTAGGATGTTTGCGCAATCCAAAAAATAGAGTTAGTGCGGCGGAACATTCAGATCCATTCAATTGTGACTTGCAACAACAAAGAGCGTCCGATTGTATGGCAGAGTTTGGTTACGATTACA